CCATGCGTTGGAAAGTAATACTAGCAAAGATTCAAAAAGCAGTAAAAGAGAGCTGTCCTATCAGACATCGCCATTGAATCTTGTAAACCTGTCTATACCTTCTTTCTTTAATTCTGCAGACTAATAACTCAATTGTGCAGGCCAAGGTCGCGTTTATTATCAAGTTTCATGATATTGGGACATCATGGATTGGACTAATTTAAATATACTAATTCTACTAGTTTTACTCTTCCTTTTCCTCATTTGGCCAGACTCTCTGGCAGCCCTGAGATGCATATTTATTGGAGATAACAAACGTCCGAATCCAGACAATGCTCTAATGAGCTGAGTATTGAGTCCCCGGTTCGTTCCCACTATGGTCCAATTGCCCAGAGACCGCAACCATAAATATCAATCTTCCACCCCTTAGAACATATCACAGACATCGCAACAAGGTAGAAGGGTCGTGGAGATTGTCCAAAAAAAAAAAGAAAAGAAAAAAAAGAAAAGAAAAACACACACAGGTTCAAAGGCCCTAAGCCCTGCAAGCAGAAACATTCCTCATCTTTTCATCTTTTCATGCTCCGTTACCACCACAGAAAAGAGTAAAACTACTAGCCTAACGAAAAACCGGTCCAAACATCCCTTAGGAATCATTCATTTCAGAACTCATAGTCTCATTCACAACACTTCACCAATAGAATATGCACATTTGTTACACATTACGCGGCCTTCTTACCTTCTTAATCTATAAGAGTGCAATGTCAGGGACGGAGCAGCCCCTACAGAACCCCGTACAAGCTTAGACTCAGCTGAAGAATAGCGATCGAAAGTAGGGGAGGATAGCTGAAGAAATCTGATTGCGGTGACGATCAATTTTAAAAAGCTTATCCAGTAAGCGCTCTGGCGTTTATCAAAAAAAAAAAAAAAAAAAAATAGCATTGGGGATTGCCACCAGTTGGTCACCACCTCTGCTGCGGGTCTATTTACTTTTTGAATCATGCTTGGATAACTTATTTTATTTGGGGTGTTCAGCTTTGATAAAAGCATATGCCTGCTTTCTTATTTTCACGTTCTTCTCACATGAAACTAAATTTGAGTAAGGAGGTATGGAAAATTATTTATTTGTTGGGAACAAAGTAAACAATAGAAGACTATTAGGATATCCAACTTACGAAGATCACAGGTATCAATGGCCGCCCATGTGGGATCCGTAACAAGAATTAACAAGCCTAAAGTCCTTTCAACAGTATACAGCTTTGGACAAATGAGAAATTCATATCATTAATATATCAATTACCTATCATCTTCCGCGATCCGCAAGCCAATAACTTCTCCTGAAGGATAGAAATTCACAGGAAGATTGTACACGATACTTCATAAAGTGTGGGTTTTCCGGCACACGAACTTTTGCGGAAGCTTGTTCTCATAAGATCAGAGGCCTTGCTTGATTAACTGTATTTGAAATATTTTATGTAATTCAAGAAAAGCAAGAGTTACTCTTTATCATTAGCGGGCAGACCCTTGTTGTTGGGGCCTTCCCCTTGGCTGTGATGTAGTGGATAAAGCTCACCAAGAACCATGAAGCTTCAACTCTGCCCACGAGTGGCAGTCGGGGTCACCTCGGTTTCACTTTTCAAAGACATGAGTAGAGAGGGTTCAAACAATGATCTCCTAATGATGCTCCTGGTTATTATTTAGCGATGCCTCTTCTGCTTCTATGACTTTACAGGGCGAGCGCGATGGGACTCCTATCCTACAATTGCTTTCATGTAGCTTAGCTTGCAACAAAACAAAGAATTGCCCTCAGTTGTTTCTGTCACCTTTTGCATTGATCGCAATCGTGGTTTTTCCTCCTCACCTATATTTATAATGCGTAAAAACGCTGCCGTTTCTTTTCTTTACTTCTTCGCCTGTCCCAAAAGGAGAATAGAGACATATCTCATATCAAACATGGTAAAAACTGTGTTTGCTCCCCTTGCTATGTTTTTTAAAAAAAGCTCAAGCTACCTACCACTGTCGCATAAATCGAGAAATACATTTTGCTGCAATCAAGGAAAACAAAATCTCCTCGGGCTTCTTTTAAAGGGGTTTTACGTGTCCAAAAAAAAAAAAAAAAACAAAAAAAAAGGAATATTCATTTCTTGGATATGATTTTTTTTTTTTTTTTTGGTTGAATAGCTTAGCATCTTTGTTTTACGCGCTATATTAACAGGCCACACGTTTTTAACAGAAGAACGACATTCTTGATTTACATTTTAGATGCAAAGAGCATAAGCTTTTTTTTTGAAAAAAGTTGGATCGATTTTATTTCAATCTTTTACTGTACTATGGTCCAACATAGACTTTTTTTTTTTTTTTTTTTTTTTTTTGCAAGTAATGAGGTGATTTGGAGCAACTCCTTCAAGAGCATAGAACCAATCTCATCTTGAACGAGGGAGGATAACTCAGGCTTTATTATTCGAAATCCACGGAATATTTCAGCCATATTAGTGCCATCACAATTCTAAAAAGTTGCCTAGTTTAATGTCTCGAAATGTGTGAACGTGTGAAGTCCCTAGTTGGGCCTGGAAGTTCGGCATCATCGCCACTATATCCATGGCCCCTCAATATCATCAGTTAATACACGTTCGTGCTCACTAGCTGCCTGTCCATCTTCGCTATAAATATCGCTGGCGGCTAGAGCATAGGAAGCGACACAGGGACGATAGGTTTGTCATCTGATTCTGGGCCCCATGTTGGGGTCTGTAGCCGCGTTGATGGCAATACTACGGCGTCAAACCCATTCGATAATGTTGTTATTACTGTTACAAGGCCGCCATTAATCTCATTTGTCTCATCCACAATCTGTTTCCTTATGGGGCGATGGTACCCTTGTTCTGCAACACCATCCACGCCACCGTCGATGGGGTGCCTTTTCAAGAAAGCGTTCTTGACAGATATACCGACCTTAAGGTCAGCAACTTCATTTTCTACAACAGTATCGCTAAAATCAACCATCCCCAATATCGTCGAACCCCATTATCATACCCTCATCTTTTCTGCAGTCTTACAGCAGGCTACTGTTGTATTGCGGTATCGCTATTCACAGACCTGTACAGTTCCTCATTCTTGATATCCTGTAGGCAAAGCTGTTGCTTTGGGGGAAAAGTCGAAGTGTTTGATTAGCACTAGGTCAGAAATAGTGCTGATGTACTCTTAATTGGAGTGTCCATATGCCACATAAATCGAGAGCCAGATCCACTTACAGCGATTGGCAAACCCCCTGAGACTTTAATTCTGTAGGATCAATCGATATGCTTAGCTCTTGAAGTAGCCGGACATCGGGGTTTGTAATATCGCAACCTACGAGCCATTCTTCATATTTTTGACGATGCAGATGTGTCGCTCGTGTTCCGTTATGATTCCCTTATGCAGACTGGTGAACAGATAACGAGTTTTAAAGCCAATAGTAGTCCATATTGAAGAAGTGAAACCGTCTGACCATCCCTTACATACACGGGGGACAAGCAGCTAAAGCGCCAGATGTCATGTTTTGGATAATATATGAACATATTAATGACGATAGAGGAAAAAGTGACTGCAAGCACAACTCGGTGCTACAGATGGCGAAGCAACCCAGAGTCGGCCTCTTTTTTACTGTTATCTACTGATTTTTATTTTTATTTTTTTGTCTACTTGTCAGTACGTGAATGTAACTTTATTTCGCGTTTGTAATATCAAGCTATGCGTAAAAAAAAAAAAAGTGGCGAGTAGGTCGGGACACCAGAGTTGTTTCTATGTACCATGATTGTAGCCTCATATAGGCGAAAAGAAGCCGATAGCCGGTTGTTTTCTACGCTTCCTATGTCAGCAAGAAGCACAGAGAACTGGAATCTGGCCTGCCCATGACTTGATGAATGCTAAATGGGCAAATTTGCCCGTTTTACGGCAACAAGAATATCCACGCGACACACAAGCCACAAAATACTTACTCTGTTGTCTCCATGTGCCCTCCAATTCTTCTACATCAGACATTGGTACATGGACCAAACTGTCTTTCCTACTATCTATTTCACACTGGATGGTTGTGCTTCCAATACCTGCGCGTTAGGGCTGTATGGATGCATTCATGTCGATTCATGAATAATTCAAACATTCAACACATCTGGTATATATGGTAGTTTGTCTTTGGAGTCCTGGAAAGTCTTTTGTCGCCTTTGCAGAGTGTAATTGAACTTGAGTCCACTGCAATCCATCTTTCTAAGAACGTTACCATCGTTGTCTGCCACTATCTCAGCCCAAAGACACAAAAGCGCTCTTTCAACTGGGCTTCCGTCATCATCCTAGCAGAGGCGAAAAGCAAGTAAGAGCATTGGAAGTTCCTGTAAGCTGGCTCTATGAGTCCTAGCTACTTACAGACTCAGTGATGTAGACTCTGCCAACAATAGCCTAGACGAACTAATGGAAAAAATCTGGATGGTTGTGAGCTAGGGCTTTGTTAAGGAATGAATATGATTGCTCCCATTGGCTGATAGATCATTGCAGATACTACGTTCATTCTGTAGTGGTCCTTCATATCAATTAAAGAAAAATAAAACATAATAAGTTGACTTACCCAGTATATAATTACAGTGTTGTAGCGGTCTCACCTAACATCACACTATGAATGAAAAAGAAAGGTTGCCAAGCCGGAGGTTTTGTGGAGAAGGCGGAGTTTTAAAACAATAAAAAAATTTTATGGGATCATTGGTCTAGTCTATCAATGTCCATGTATGGAAGAAATGTCTGTGCTTCTCTCCGAAATAGTCAATTTAATCACAAAAGGTAAAAAAAAATAATGCCCTTTTTTTTAATGATAGAGCAGAAAAAAAAAAAAAAAAAGCTCGCTTGAATGAACAAGTGTTCTATAACCACACAGCCACTATTTTTTTTTTTTCTTTTTCTGTGACACTTAAAAAAAAATGTATAAAAGGAAGGCTATCTTCCCTTTCCTTTCCTTTCTTTTTTTTTTTTTTTTTTTTTTTACTTTCTCCACAGCTCACAGCTTTCTCTCTCCCTCTCTCTCTCACATACACATACACACACAAATACAAAAACAACAACAATGACTCTTGCCTACGATCTGCTCAACCCCACTCCTCTCAGAGAGGCTCAGACTCACAAGCTCAAGCGTGTCGTACAAAGCCCAGATTCATTCTACATGGATGTCAAGTGCTCTGCCTGCCAGACCATTACCCCTCTATTCTCTCATGCTGCCACAGTCGTCTCCTGCCCAAAATGTAGCACGGTCCTTGCTCAACCTACTGGTGGTCGTGCCCGTCTTTCTGAAGGTGTCTCCTTCAGGAAAAAGGCAGCTTAAAAAAATCCCCTTCACTTGAGTTCCCATAGCCAAAACTCATCAACCATCCTTTCTCAAAAAAAAAAAAAAAAAAAAAAAGTCAAGAGTGTTCATGGACAATCTATACCAGACAAAAAACTCCCTAATGGCTCTTCCTAAAATTGAGCTCTTCCAATTGTCCCTACATCTCTTTCAAAGCTTTTAATCATGCCGTCAATGATTCGATCGCTTTTCGATTATTTTACACCTTTTTCTTTTTTTATAAATGAGAAGGAGGATGGGTTTTGGCAAACTTGAAATGCTTAGCTTGGGTACTCGATTTAAGAAATAAATAAATAAAAAACAACTTTACATAAATCATCCAGAGTTTTTTTTTTTGTTATTATTATTCATGGAATGAAGGATAATGCAACATATTGTTTTAGACTAACAACGATGGGTTTCTTAAATGACTCGGATACGTTTTGTCTCTTTGGTCGCATGACTTTCATGATCACTATCGTCCCCCCCGCTCGGGCTTCCAACATGACTCGGACGACCATGAGTTCCGTTCTCACGGTCCAGTTCGTCTTCATCATGAAGATCAATGTCCTCATCTTCTGCAAGCCGTTTCTTACCACTCATTTTTTCCGGTTGCTGCTGTTCTATGCTCTCTCTCTCCTCAGCAGCATTGTCCATCTCTACATCCGGCTGTGGCTGGTGTTCTTGTTCTTGTTGTTCGTCATGTTGCTGGCGAGCTGTGTTTTCAGCTTTCCTTGCCGCAGTAGCCTGCTCTGCCGCAGCACGTTGCATCATTTTCTCAATCTTTAATTGGTACGAATGAAGGGGCTCCCAAAGATCCTCCCCCTCCTCCTCCGTCACATTTAGCTCTCTGCGCTCACATTCCGACTTGATTAGATCATAAATCGATGTAGTCTCATTCAAAGCAGTATGTGGCCCGAACGGCATATGGCTCAAGACATCAAAAAACTGAACCATCTTTGAAATGCTTTTCTTGGCCCCATCCGCTCCATTAGTGGCACTAGAAGAAAATCTTTCAATCTTCTCTAATGCATACACAATACCACGTTTATGCAAATCCCACACCAATCGAGACTCAATCCCAGTTCTTGACGATTGCATAAATCCTGGAGGCTTGATCGCTGTTGATAGGGCTTTCGCTAGCTGCAATGATTGGCTAGTGGAGCGAACACGATTATTTAGATAAAGTTCAAACGACTATCAGAAGGGATAAAAGTATCGATGACGTTAGTAAAAAGAAAAAGAAAAAACACTTGACATTCAAATACTTTTTTTTTTTTTTTTTTTTTTTTTCTCGCCATTTGCTTACCTCTTTGAGTGATTCAAGACATACAGTCATGAATGACTGAGCCTTTTCTTCTCGTGCCTGCTTCGAAAGTCCTTCAAATATCTGACCTTTGATGCTAGCCACAACTCGCTTCACACCCTCGTCATATTCAGTCCCAAAGCGCCCATACCAGGCAAGAATGGGGATAGCATGACCCATACTAAAGTCCTTAAGCATGATCTGACGCATGAACGAAAAGACAGTTCCAAACATCTCATACTTGTCCTCTTGCTCAATCTGAGCCGCTGCCAATTTTTCTTCTTCAACAAGTTCTGCAATATCCTGAGCTTCTTGGCCGTCTTCTTCCTCTTCTCCTCCTTCTGCTGCTGTTGCTGCTCCTCCTTTCACAGCGCCATCCGTTGTTCTGGGTGTTCTGGCTTGTTGCAAAGCTGTGGCTTTCTGTCTTACTTTTTCATCCCAAAGGTCCAGCTCTGTTCTCAAAAAGTTTTCACATTCAGCTTGCGTGGCTTCAGGGCAAGACATGTATAGAAGGTGACGGTTAGCACCCTTAGATGAGTGGAACATGTCACCCCCAAAGAGCCAATAGATGTCTCCAAGGACCTGGAACGCTCTACGACGTACTCGAGCATCAATAGTCTGGGTCTGATTTTCTTTGATAGCAAGGTCCGAAACGAGTCGAACAAGTGTGTCCTGTTTGTGTAGCATATCCTGAGTATCCTCTTCTGACCAATCAGCATTCTGACCACGCTTGATAGCATTAGCTCTGCATACCCACGAGATCCAAAGAAAAGCAATTGAAAGTGCCGAGACTAATACCTATTCGCAATAACAACAACAACAACAAAAAAAAAAAAGAAAAAAATCAAGGTGTCCATATTAGTAAAAACAAAGAAAAGAAAAATAGTAATGATATTCTAACAAAGAGGGATATATTTAGGCTACGAACCTCGGCATCTTGATCATGAGCGGTTTTATATCTCTCAATGACTTTCAAGAGCGCTCCAAATGGATCCTGATCAGTGGAGCGTGCTCTTCTGACCGTCACATCCGTGCACTTGATCAAATGCTCCAGTCTCCGAAGGCATAGCGTGAGCTCCTCTAACATTGCTCTATCGGTAATATCAACATTCTCTCCCTAGATATATACATAACCGGGTTTGATAGATAGCGTTTTTATAAGATTAATTTCACATTATGAAACTGAAAAAGGGCTCAAGCTACCTCACATCATCTTCTTGATTTTACACGTACCTGAGAAACAAGGGTCAAAAACGTGTTGACGATCGATGCTCCCAATGCATCAATCCTGGCTTCGTGTGATGTACGCAAAATTTCATACCCTTGCATGGTACGAAGTGTCACTGCTGCTGTACTTAGTACTGATGGGTCACTGTGCTTCTTGAAAGCCTTGATGACATCATCTACTAATTCTTCGTAATCCTATGTGATGAGTAGAATAGAAAAATAACAATAATAATAATAATAAAGTATAAGAGGACATAACACCATTTCTTAAAGCCTTTCTCCTTTTCATAGGCATGAAGGTGTGTGTGTATTAAAGGAGAAGGGGATTGAATGCAAAAAAAAAAAAAAAAGATTTAATACTAACCGTAAGCAAGCGCATGTCCACATAAACGTTCAGAGGAATTAATTGAGGAATGACCAAAACAAATCTGATACGACCGGGATCCACGCTGTACTTCAAGAACAGCTTTGGTAAGATTTCAATACAATAGCGACCGACCTCGCTAGCTAAATCCTCTTGTTGTTCTTTAATCTTGGCCTTGTTCTTTAAGAATCCAGGCACAGCAGGAGGTTGGAGTATCAATTGCAGGCTCGCAATAAAGATTTCCAGCAAAGTATTTTCTTCTTCCTCGTCCAGGTGATAGATATCCTCCAGTGATGTAGGCTTGCCCTTTCCAGAGCGTTGTGATAAGGTAGTTGATGACTTTGTATGGTCTTCAATAAGGTATTCTGCAATGGATTTCCAATTCTAATACAGACAGATAGAAAAAAGGGCATGAGCAAACTGATGAAGGAAAATAAATAAATAAATAAAATAAAAAAATAAAAATAAAAAAAAAAAGCCAAATTGGATACATACCTTGAGGACATCAATTTCAGACCAAAGAGCCTCGACAGCCAAGGCAATTCTTCCGACTTTGGTTTCGTCAAATAGGCGTGTTCCAGCTCCACTTGGCTGCTGATGATCATCACTTTGACCAGAATGACCATTCTGTTCGTCTTGCGCTTTACCGACCTTGATCAAGAAGCTCACCAAGGATTTGAGCTCCACTTTGTCCTTCTTGATCACTACTGCATCTGCATCGCCGTCTCCTTGTGAGGATGAAGCCAGCAATTGACATGATGCCATCCTTGTTTCCACTTCATCCTCCCAAACGCGTGCCTTCACAAACTTGGCGAGTGACTTTCGGACCTTTTGGTTTGCGCCAAAAATCAATCCGCTCAGTTGGAACTGTTCTTCCTCGTCCAGCTGACCATGCTTATGAACCAATGTCAGTACGCGAATTGCCCCCAAGCGAGCGCTGGTGTCAGATTCTCCAATAGCCATCTCAATGAAGCGAGCTGTGGATCGGGTGGTAAACTGTCGCAGTGGATGGGGCTGATTTTCCATTTCAAACAACCTCGTTAAAACCTTCAGAGCCTCCAATCGGACTGCTGCTGTCTTGTCTGAAAGCGCCCAACTCAAGTAGCGCAGATAAGAAGATGCAACAAAGTGATCCGGGTTGGCTACCATCCATTGTCCCAGTCCATGAACGCAATCTGAGCGCACTAAGGGATCCACATCCCGACACCTTAAAACATAAACACTAAAAAAAAAAAAAAAAAAAAAAAAAAATACATACATACATACATACATACATAGAGGTAATATGATGTTAAATAAAATTCCAATGACTAAAAGGGATTCGAAAAAGAAAAAAGACTTTACCTCTCAAAAACTTGCTCGATCCATTTCAAGACATCAGCTTTTCGAGCTTGCGTCTCAGAAATCTTCTTGCCTAGTTGTTTTGTCTTTACCTGTGCTGCCTTTTGCTTCTGACTTGTTGCTAATTGACGGTTAGTAATGTTCAGTTCCTCCTGAAGCTCAGTTGCAATCTCAGCAAGGGATGACACAATATTGAGAGCAACTGTGGTGGCGGTATGACGGAAAGGTCGGAAGGTCGAACTATTTTTTTTTTTTTTTTTTTTTTTTTAAAGATTATATGTGTATATATAAGCATTGTGCTTGGCTTTTCTTCCACTATCCTTTCGCTATCCTTTATGTGTCCCTGACTCTAGCAGGTCCTCCTTATGCACTCCTTACCTCGAAAGTGAAATTGTCCAATCGAGTAGAGTACTCATAAAGACATCATCAAACAAGATATTGTTCTGTGCCTTTTGAATAAGTCGTGTGTAGAACTCCAGAAGATTCTTCTTGAACTTTTTAAATGCCTTTGCCTTAGAAACGATTGGGTAATCAAAGTTGGATGTATTCTAATATACCAGTCATCGTAAAAAAAAAAAAAAAAAAAAAAAAAAGCCAAGGTACCAGCATCACGAGTTAAAAAAAAAAGTCTCCACAGGTCGTTGATAATAACCAAGAAAAATAAATAAACATTATTATCATCATCATCATTATCATCGTGATTGTCATTAATATTTCTTTCCATACCTCTTTGTATTGGATCAAAATATCTTCCAGAGTTTCTACCATCTTGTCCTCGTCCGCAAAGTCATCTGCAGGGATCAAATATTTACATCCGCAACACCGGAGCAAAAAGTTGGTCAAATTCAGCATGGCCTCCTCCGGCGACTCTTTGTAAAGCTTAATCCAGTCTGCTACCACTGTATCTAAAGCCACTTGTGAATCCAACACGGCACCTGTTTCATAATCATACATATCAGAAAGGATATAGATTAGCAACATCATATTTGCAGAGATGTGCAAGTCCTTGCAGCTACACTTTTAAATTACTCATTAAGTATAGTAAGTAAGCTTGCAAAAAAAAAAATAAAAATAAAAATAAAAAAAGAAAAGAAAAGAAATCTACTCACGATATAGCTCTGACTGTTCCTGACTGTTGTCATCGTCTGCTGTTATAGTTCTGGATGGCTTCTTCGGTGTGGATCGAGCTCTACGGGCCCCTCGAGGCTCTCTGGTCTTCTTTTTCTCCGGTTTATATTCATCCTGATCGTCTTCTTCCTCCTGATCGTCTTCTTCTTCATAATCATCAGAATCCACTTCGTCCTTTTTAGACGTGGATCCTTTAGATTTGGGAGACGGTTTCGAAATTGTGGATGGTTGCTTTGGTGTGAAGCGAGTTCTACGAGTACTCCGAGATCCTTTAATCTCCCTTTTCTCCTGTCTATATTCCTCCTGCTCGTCTTCTTCCTCCTGATCATCTTCTTCCTCCTGATCATCATCTTCCTCCTGATCATCATCTTCCTCCTGATCATCTTCTTTCTCATGATCGTCTTCTTTCCCACGATCGTCTTCTTCCTCATCATCATCAGAATCCACTACGGTCTTTTTAGACTTGGATCCTTTAGATTTGGGGGGTGGTTTCGATACAGGCACCTTGGTGTTGGATGCTACATCATGGAGGGTGTAAAATAATAATAATAGTCATTAGTCTCTGTTGTAATTACTAACAATATATGTTACAGAATACGATGACAATGTGAGCGAATAACTCATAGAGAGCCCTCTAACCTTTGGGCTCTACAGGCTGTGTCTTGAGTCGGGACGATCGTCGTACGCCAGAATCCTTTGATATTAGAGAGAGTAGGTGTTACCAAAAATATACAGATAGTATAATGAATATGGTTTTAGGATATAGGATGAGTGTTAGGTCATTGTTATTGGTCACTTTTTTTTATTATTTCTTTTTTCTTTTTCTTTTAATGCATTTGTGTGAGAGTCTGATTGTTATGGCTTGCCTTCCATTGAACTTACAGGCACGGTTTTAGGCTTAGTCATTTTCTTATTTAATGGTCCTCGACGAAAACAAAAGTTGAAATGGGGGGAGGAGGAAGAAAAATGTACAGAAAAAAAAAAAAAAAAAAAAAAAAAAGGTAGTAGTAAAAAAACAAAATAGGGATCGGCTTTAATGTGGAGTGAGTCGATAAAAAAAGAATGATGGCAAAAAGAAGGAGAATGTTATTATTATTATTTTGGTGGCGTCAGACAAGGAAGAGGAGGATGGGAGGACGTGTTGGGCGCGACGCGTCCGGAAAGTAAATAAACAAAAAAAAAAAAAAAAAATCATTCGGTAGAGTTAAGGGGTATTCCCCCCACGGATTATAAACATGTGGTCATTCATGCATATATTGGATTCAACTTTTATAAAAGATTAACAACAACATGACATTAATTATAAATGTATATTATATTATTAGTTGAAAATGCTTGGGTAGACTCGATCATCTCATAAGAAAACTACTAATAAAACGAGGGGGTTTTTTTTGCACTGATAATACAGATGATACTACAGGAAAAGCTATAAATGAAACAGAGGAAAAACGAAACAATTATAATATTAAAAAAAGAAAATCAAAGATGTTCTGAAGTCTTCAAGAAAACAATGAAAAAGAGAAAAGAAAAAAAGGAAGAAAAAAAAAAACATTGTATGGGTATAGATTATCGTATTGCTTCTCCAAAGAAAAGCTCGGTTAATAGAGTTGCATTCCTTCACAGCTTTTTTTTTTTTTTTTTTTTTTTTTTGTTCTTCAGATGTGTCGTCAATGAAGATCCACAGCATATTCGAATTTGGCTAAGTGTGCAGAAAAAAGAAAGCAAAAAAAAAAAAAAAAGATTAATTACGGAACTTCAAAACTTAACTTTTTTTTTTTTTTTTTAAACAAGCCAAATATTGAAAGGGTGAACTTACAAATACCAACGATGGTCCAGCACAAGAAATCATCACCACCGGGCTTAGAATGCTCAGTCATGGTGGAGGCTTGATAACGCAATACAGTTCTGGTGGAGGTCGAGTGATCCATGAAACGCCCGGTCGGATGATCATCACCCACTGCACCAAGATACATAGGCATGCCGTCCTTGGTGCGCTCCATCGACATGAGCGCCACCTTTTGCATCTGACAAATGGGTCCGATAGCACCCTGCAAGATCCGACCGTTTTCGACTTTACAGACGATGAGGCGGTCGGACTGAAGACCCGTAACAGACTCTGTCAAGATGATTTCAGCGCCATAAGTGATGGGGGATGCACCTTGTTCTGTAGGTTGACGCTGATGTGGCTTTGGTGGTCCATTACGGGCAGAGGCAGGCGAAGTTGGACCATTGTTGACAATAGAGATGGTGAATGCAGACCAGGTCGAGCTCTTTGCGCAGAGCCCTCTATCATGGACAGACATGTACTTTGTACGGACTGTTTGTGAGTTGATACGGTTGAAGAGTGAGACCAAGGAACCAGCAAGGATACAGGACGAGACGTTACGAGCCTTTGCAGTCTTCTTTGAAGGCTTGGAAATGATGGCAATGGGTTGAGATTGAAACTCTGCAATAGGCTCAGGGAGGTCTAATTCTGATTGAGATGTAACAGTGCCATTGTTCTCGGTCATTGAAGAAGACTGAGAGGAATCACCAGAGACAAATCCATTGGGCAAGCATGTCCGTCCATAGACCTGAAGCTTCAATTGAAATGCTTTGGCCTTGGCGGTGCCGCTGACGTATAGATAGCGGAAAGTACTGGATTGATCATCCTCCAATGTTGAGCGTTGTCCAAGTGTGTTGTCACCGGATTCACAAATGACAGACATGGCCACCTGGGGTTTGCTTGTCAACCCTAGGATAGAATCATCCAGCTGACCCTCAATGTGGACAATAGGGGGTGGACACAAGAAGCGCTTCTCAGATCCATAAGATTTTTGAGCGACTGAAGCATGATAGCAGCTAATGGTTGTGGTAGTACTAGTAGTGGTGGAGGAAGGGGAAACGGTGGTGATTGTGGATAGACGATCCATAGGGCCATTATTGTTGCTGGTTTTTACATCCTCCATTGAGGTGCTTGGTTGGCTATGGGGTGCAGCCTCCAAGAGTCCCTCAACCACTGTGGACATGTTGAATGGTCTATCGATAGAGGTAGGGATCACGCGAGGGGTCTTTAGATTGCGGGATTCGTCCGCAGGATGAGTACTGAGGCGTGACCATTTGCGCTTATGTGTGACCTGATTAGGGATATTTGAAGGTGAACATGGACGAGGCAGCATTGGCTTGTGACGTGGGCGGGGAATATCCTCAGATTTTGGGTCAGAGTTGATGTCGCGTTGTGAGTGTGAGTACGAGTGCGAGTGTGGCTCAAAGTCGTCAAGGAGGTTACTAATGGACATTCGCCTGTGAGAGGGACTGCAGTTGGTCCGTGTGCTCTTTGTGTGACTGTCAGTGATTGATGAAACCGAAGGGTCAGAGGACGAAGATAGAGAGAGGTATTGATCTGTGGTAGAAGAAGGGGATGTGGGAGCAGAGGAAAGGCTGTGGGAGCTAAGGCAAGGAGAGAGGGAGCCATTGGAGGAGGATCCAGAGACCTCGGATGCAAGCATGTTTGAGTGGACTTCGACTGCATCCAAAAGTGATTCCATATTAGTGCCCATGTACTCATTTTTATTGGTCCTTGCATCTGCGTCTAAATTGCTCAACTGTGATGGAGCAGGGGCAGCAGGTGTAGTCGTAGTAGGCGTAGTAGTTGTAGTAGTGGTAGAAGAAGAAGAAGAAGAAGAAGAAGAGGAAGAAGAAGGGGCCTTTTGGAAGCGTGCGTCATAGGATTGATAGGAGGGTTGATGACGATTTTGTTGCTGGGCTGAATATTGTGATTGAGGACGATCAGTGGGAGAATGTGGGGAAGGAATAGAAGTGGAGGAGGAAGAGGATTCTTCTAAGGGGTAGAGGGCAGCGAGGGAAGGGAGAGGTAAGATGGTAAGACGAGCATCAGGATGGTGCCGACTACCAGTCTCTTGGTGCAGAGACTTTGCGTACGCCTCTGCGGCAGAGGGGAAGGGAGACCTCATGATGGAAGGAAGTTGTGTAGTAGGAGAGTCGTCAGGGTGAGGAGAAAGTTGATGGAATAGAAAGGAATGAGGTTTCTGTGAAGATGAAAGAGTAAGACTGTGAGAGAATAAGACTATACACACAGAGAGACAATTGAATGAAGGAAACGGAAGAAGGAAGAAGGAAAAGATAAAGAAAGAAAAAGAAAAAAAGCAAGGAGGACGAGGAGGAGTGAGAAAAGTAAAAAGATAAAAGAAGAAGAGGGTGGGAAAAGAAAAAAGAGTCTTTTTGAATTTTTTTTGATTTCTTTTATAGTCTCGGAAGGATCGTTCTTGTGATGACTGATATCTTTCCCCGAGAGTGTGTGAAAGTAAGTGAATGTGAAAGTGAAAAGTAAAAATGCTTATTTTATTGTTTATACTTTTTATATCCACTTTTTATATCCACTTTTTATATCCACTTTTTATTTATTTTTGTTTTTGTTTCTTTGTTTCAATCCTTTACGTCTTTCCTCTTCTCATTCTCTTTTTTTTTTTTTTTTTTTTTTTTTCTTTCCTTTTCCTCTCACTTGTGCAGGAGAGGGAGAGAAGGATGAGGAGGATGAGGAAAGCAACGTTGATAAAAATATAATAACACAGATGGCAGATGTGCCTGTAACCAATGTCGACTTTGTCCACTCTGCATCCTATTCAGTTGTATTCAAACAGAAACTATGTGGAGATAAGAAAAAACAAAAACAAAAAATAAAAAATAAAAAAATTTGCCACTCAATCAATTGACATTGAGCATTCATTTCCTATAAACAATAAGTAATAATAAAACAACAGACCATTCTACATGTACCATGAAACGGCTACTCTTCTCATTCGAGCCTTTTTTCCTCTTTTGCTCCTTCCCTTTCTCCTCCTCCTTCTCTTTAATGAACACATTATAGTGACAACTTTCTTTTTTCTTTTCTTTTCTTTTTTTTTTTTTTTCCCACTGCATACTTTCCATAACAAAAAGGAATAAGAAAGGAAGGATAGGAAGGAAGGAAAGATGGAGGAATGGAAGGTAATTTAAAAATGGAACTTGCCACGACCATGCTTTCTATTGTGTATCGTGTGCTCTTACACATCATGACCACAGACACAATTAAAAGAATGCATCTTAAAAGACATTTATCCTTCCTTCCTGCCTTCTTTCACTCTCCCCTCCCCCCCCCTCTTCTTCCTCTTTCCCCTCCTTCATCATCTTCCCCGCAATCTACTGTCCAAGATAGCTTACAGCCATTCATCATGTATTGAATATAGACTATCATCAGACTATTTTAACCATTCATAACAGTAATAAAAAAAAATCACATAGTATATTATATTATATATATATATATATATACATGTATACTCTAATCTTTGTTACCCCTTGGTCCAATTTTTTGATGGACAAAAAAAAAAATTACCAAAAATCTCAACTTTCCCACCGTGGGAGGACCACAGGAAAGAAAAAAAGAGATTTTATTATTTTAGTTCTTTTTTATTTTTGTGTTCGCCTCTCCTTTCCCTTCTTGTCTCAATTATACCCACGGTTATTCGTTCTCAATAGTATAGTTGTAGTTTATAACTAAAACGCTTCTTTGTTGGCCGATGCTCCTTTTTTTTTTTTTTTTTTCTCATTCCGTAAGCTTTGAACATCAGATTAAGTCGGATATCAAAGTGTAATTTAGAAAAAAAATATTTATATACAAATTATGTATGACCATCTTTACTTGAACCTACAACTTGAAGGTCGCGATGTGAAATAATAGTTTTGACGCGCAAATAGAATGAAACGCCGCTTACTAAAGATTTATACAAAGATATTATTCAAGAGACACAAACTGCATCGTAGGCAATTGGATAACGACCAAAGAGAGATAGAGAGAGTCGGTACAATGAGATCGATTGATACATTACAAACCAAATACCGTCAAACCCTTTCCTCATTTCGCCCTTTTCTTTTTTTTTTTTTTTTTTTTTTTTTTTTTTGAGTGATGGGATAATGATGGTAGTATTCTTTTTTTATAACCTTACTTATCTCCCCTCACCCCTCTTTGACCCAACCTAGCCCTGTCCAACCCTTCTCCTTTGTTTCGTCTCCAAAGATCAAAAAGGACTGAACAAACAGTGAAAACAAAAAACAAAAAAGAGATGGAGGAGAGGGGGATAACAAGGAAAATAAAACGAGAGCAAAAAAAAAAAAAAAAAAAAAAAAAAAAAGAGAGAACAGACCAATGGATAAAACCAATGGTTCGGGTTGTTTTGGACCATCATCAAATATAGAACCTCATGTGGATAAAAAATGATAATAAAAAAGCCCTGTTGTTTTAAAAAGAAAATCCACAACAAATGTGTATACCATGCGGACAAAATGTTTTATTTGGTCTTCAAAGAGCATTTGATTCAAATGATGCATCTAAAGAAAAAAAAAATTATTAGAGAAAGCGTGGTAACAAACGAACAAGTTTTTTACAATGGTCAAAATAAAACACAAGGGTTTAGGGTCTATGTCATCTCAACTTTTTACTTCCCTCTCTATCTCTCTCTTTTTCCCTCCCTCCCTTTCCTTCCTCGCCTTTTCTCACTTCTTCCCTTCCTCCCTTTTCCTCCCTTTTTCTTTTCCCCTTTCTTGCTCAGCTCATCATCAGCGTCATTTATTTTTTATAGTGCAACCACAAAAAAAAAAAAACGGTTTTAGTAAATACACGAACATTACATGCTAAACACTAAAAAAGAAAGGGTGAGAAAAAAAAAAAAAAAAAAAACACTTGATAGTTCAGCGAGCATGTGATGATCCGATGGTGATGATCCAACGAGAAAGTGGGCTCGGGCAAAATTTGCTTTTTGTTAGCTACTTGTGTAGATACCGTATATATTTTATAAACCTCATGAATCAATAATAATAATAATAATAATAAAAAAACTCGAGTTTTTTTTTTATAGTTTCGGTTAGCTATCCCGACTACAAAAAGATGTGTGTTTTGTATTCGATTGAACATGTTCCTGTTCATGTATTATACTTTTTTGTTTAGATGTTTATCGGCTGTGTAAGAAACAAAAAAAAGATTGTGCGTTTTGTTCAGATCTCCCCCCCTTCTCTCTTCCCCTTCACGTGCGTATTTATTCCCACGCATAGTATAATACATATATACAACATTATATATACACTTTGTTGCTTACACATTTTTTTGGATTCTCGGAGTGAATTCTCAAAGGTGTAGTAAATAATAATCATCATCATCAAAGCTCTACCCACCTGCTGTTTGTCTGACCTTTTTTTTTTTTTTTTTTTTTTTTTTTACAATGTTTTCAGCATTCCGTGAGTATCGGGATCGTGGGAAACCTGTGGAGATTTGACTTTTAGCAGTCACTTTTTTTTTTTACTGCTACTGCTTCCTCCTCCTCTTCTCATGGAGTGATAATGACATTAATAATCTATAGGCACATATTAGGAGTCGCCTTTTTTTTAAAAAAAATACAAAAAAGGCTATTTTTTTTAAATCTTGCTGATGTTAAATGTGCAGGGTCAAAAATCATCCCCGATTGGCTACTTCTCTTATCAACGGGGAGAAATCTCTTGCTCTCTGATTTGAAGAGAGTATATAAAAAAATAAAAAAAATAAAAAAAGGGCTTCATCTGCAAACTTTGATGTTTGTTTGTTTGCTATTTCTCTTTTTATGATTTTGATTATGATTATATATATCTATATAATAGTTGATATAATTGATATAGTTGATAGTTGATATACAGATATGCGCGTGAGCTTGATCGGCTTGTTATTTATCATCAGGTCAGCGACGACAATGGCGATGAAAAGGTACCTTTTTTTTTTTGTTTTTGTGTTTGTGTAGCAATTACATGTGGAGAGGTGGGAGGAGCAATATCGTGGATCAACATAAAAAAAATAAAAAAAATAAAAAAAAACTCCCACGACTATCGTTCAGGCACTATTTCTAGCTTTCTTCAAGGTAATGATGGTGAAAAGATCAAGAATTCATCTGTTTCTTCCATCTTTTTTTCTTGTTGTCGTTGCTGCTGTCGTTGTTTTCTCTCCAATTCTTCTCTTTCTTCTGCTGCCACGTCTGCTGCAGTTCTGAATGCACTCGGTGGAAGATAATAATGTGCCGGTAGAGGTCTCTCATTCGCCCCTACACTCACGCTCACACTCTGTTTTGTGGTTTTATGATCGTTCACGCCCATCGTGCTAGTCCTAATACTATTGGCACTAGCGTTCATGGATGTAAGGCCTAGACCTATCATAGAGGACCCTTCACGAAGAATAGGGACAGGGGGTGCTCTATAGACGGAATGGTTGTGTAATACAGGTTGTGCTCCTACTCCTGCTCTCGCTACCGCTGTATCCGCCGAAACAACCGCCGATGACGATGCAATGATGACATTATGGCTCCTGCGTCGAGATTGTCTCCTCCGTCTTGTCTGTTGCCGGGTTCCCATATACAATTGGCTTTGGATCTCCAACGGAGTGAGCGCTTTGAGGGATGCTGTCATCAACGAGATATCATGCGCCGTTATGACCGTCTCTCGCGGAAATGATGGTCGGATAGAGCCCTCTGTAACAACGTATTGGCCTGGTTTATAATGTGACACATCGATTGTCTTGCCCTTTGGCAACGACGCGTTTTCCACATCATCGTCCTTTCCTTCCCCTTCCTCCCCTTCCTTCTCTTCCTCCCCTTCCTCCTCTTCCTCCTCCTCCGCCTCCATCTCTTCTTCTTCCATTGGTTCCTCGGATATAGGCTCGCGCTTCATGAGAGGAGGAGGAGGGGGTGCTGGTGATGGTAAAAAGCTGAATCTTTTGAAGCCCTCGCTACCGTTGCCGTCACCGCCGTCATCGTCACCAACGGTATTTCTTTCGTTTTCTTCATCTGCCGCTGCTGTTGCCATCCCTGTTTCGATCCTAGCCTCGTTTTTCTCTTTAAGCCTACCATCTACTTGTAATCCATTCTTCGTCATCATCTCTTTAGGATGAGAAAGCTGTTTGGGGTCCAGCTGTACTTTTTCACTCGTTGATGTCAACACTGGCGATTGTACTCTCATGGTCCTTTTGAATGCCTCTCGAAACATCTGTGGCGATCCTGGAGGGAAACAATATGGCGATGATGATGCTGACGATGATGACGATGATGATGACAATAGCTGGGACTGTAAGCTATTTGCTGAAGGGTGTTTTAAAAGCGTCGATACTTTTGTCCATGTCCTCTGAGGCGACCAAAGATGAAGATCTCTTCCTGCTCTAATCCCTCCTCCTCTTCCTTCACCATCACTACCATCACCCTGGCTGGGCATTGACTTTCGCCGCCGATCCCCTATCCCGTGGATGATATCATATCTCCAATCCTGATTCACTGCAGCAGAATTTCCATGATGTGAATGTCTTCGAGGAACAGGTGATCCTACCGCATTTACTCCAGTCCCAGCCCCATTTGGTTGTGTAGTGAATCGCTCCAAGAATGCAAGGTGTTGCCTCCAAAGCCTATAATGATTATCACCTTCAATCATTCTTGATTGCCTTTTCGGATGAGGATGGGGATGAAAATTGAAACTAGAATGGGAACAGGATCGAGGACGAGAACAGGAGCGAGGGCGGGAACTGAACCGCCGCTGCACTCGCTGTTGTTGAGAGCAAGGCCGTGGAGGTAGGCTACCTAAATAGATAGTACTGTTACTATTATTATTACTATTATCATTACCACCACTGCTAATATTATTACTGCTGCTATTTTTGTTATCATTCTTATTATTTACTACTATTACAGAGTCGATCAAAGTCTTTAAACCATCCAGAGGATGTTGCCATGCCTGTTGCTGTGGGAGGTCCAGCAGTGGCTGCACTCTCACTGAAAGTCGTGGCAGTGTCCGGTACGATCATTGTTGAGCTAAGGTCGGTTTGGGGAGGTAATAGCACTAAAACTTTACTCTGATCGTTGTTGGACGCTGTCGTGGCACAATGGTCATTAGGCTCTTGTTTTGGAAAGCGAACAGCGTCTTTGTCATTTTCAACTTTTGGTGGTGGGACTAAGAGTAACATCGTGTTTTAAAAGAAGACCAAAAAAAAAAAAAAAGCGAAAGAGTATGTGGAGGGAAGTGGGAGAGAAGTGGGACAAGGAAACCAACTTAACAAATACCAGCAGTTGACAAACTAATAATATATATATTGGAAAAAAAAAAAAAAAAAAAAAAAAAAAAATTTGCTTGGTCATTGGTGCCCGGTAAAGGCGTTTGTGGGATGATAATTGATATGACGGTTGAGGACCATCAAGGTGTTCAAGATGTTCAGGATGTTCAAGATGTTGGATGTTCTTGAATAAAAGGCTGAAACCGAAATCGGTCTATATCAGAACCTCAAAATGGTGATGCACACAAAACACAACACGACGCGTTTTACGGGCCAATGCACGGGGTCTTGTATTACATTTGTATGACAAAAATAAATCCTATTGGAATGTTTTATTTGCTCAATGCTTGTGTTCATACAAAAATAAAACTAAAAATAAAAAATAAAAAAACGACTGACAATAAAATAAGAGGATGTCCCGCACCCCTTTGATTGTTGCTTTATTGTTGTTCATGAACTCTGCTAAACGTTACAATTACATGAAGAAAAAAACGACTACAGAAGCAAGTGGAGGAAAGAGCAATGAAGAGTTGTCATACAAGGATAGTACAATGATAAATACTCGAGTCTGGTTGTTGCTACCTTAACCTAATAGAAAACAGAAAAAGAAAAAAAGAAAAAAAAGAAAAAGAAATAGAAAGAAAAAAAGAAAAAGAAAGCTCGAACCATAGTACTGGTATGAAAATGAACAAGAAAAACAACAAATAAGGACTAATATGACGAGAAAACAAAAGGACTGCGGGAGAATTTAAAAGCAAAGGGTATTATTAACTACTTGACAGCTCCAGAAGCAACATGACGCATCACCATGGTCCGCCGTGTCCATGTCCATGCCCATGTCCATGCCCATGGCTCTGTTGCCCATGTGGCATAGGGCGATAGTTCGGGTCATGTTCGTTAGGGCGTCCCGAATGGGGTTGTCCGTGACGAGGAGAGGGAATAGTTGGAGAGGCAGTATGATGAGGAGGTGGAGGATACGGCGAATGATCCTGAAGGTGCATAGATTTCTGGGAAGCATACTGTGTTGACTGTTGTTGCTGGTGATGATGATAGGATGCAGAGCTATGCCGGTAATCGTGTTGCATTGGCATCTGTTGTGGTAGGTACTGCTGCTGGTGCTGGCGTTGTGAGGATGGATGGTCGGAAGGCAAATGACCCATCGATCCACGTCCACCATGCCCAAGAGCTGGCGCAGTAATATGAGCCCTTCCACGCATATGCTCGTCTTTAGATCCCATGTCATTTCCAGGTCCTGGACGTGCACTGCTTCCTGTGTACGAACGATAAGACGGATCGTGCTGTTGTCCCGCTCCAGGATGAGAAGGATATGGTTGGGGCTGTCTCTCCTGGACAGGAGATGGATGCAGAGGTTGAGAACCATATATAGAAGATCGACTCGATCCAAAAGTGCCAGCTGGCGGTGGAGCTTCCTGTTCATAATAGCTTGGACCGCTTGGACCAGAAACCTGTTCATGATGGGGGACACGGTATTGTGGAGGTGTCTGCTTATGATGCCCTGGAGCGGGATCTAGATCATGTACAGGCTCCTGCTCAGAATGGCGGTTCAGGTGTTGGTGCGGCAGCTGTTGATGAGAATGAGAATGCTGTGTATGGGAAGCTCGGGACTCAAATCCAGGATGAATGCTAGAAGGTGGAGGTGGACCATATGCTCCAGCGTGGTGTTCCACTGGTACCTTTTTACGCGTAAATGCATTGGCACTAGCTTGCTGTTGCTGTTGGCTCTGAACTTGTTGGTGATGAAATTGCGGGGATGCCTGTTGTGACGACTGTTGCATATGCTGTACAGAGTTTGCCACACGTGCTTGTACGGGAGCATGTACCGTTGAAGGCGAAGGATAGCCACGCCCATACATCTCAACCTGTACCGGTCCCTGAGGTGCTTTACCACGGTTAATTTGGTAGGGAAGGCCTTGAGGGTGAGGATTCTCGGGTCCGGGCCCTGGTGTTGACGATGAAGAGTGTCTCGAGTGTGTTGGTCGATCAGAAGTAGGGCGGGGGCCTTCTGGGGATGGTACTGGCCCTGTCAGACCATATTGGTCATGATGTGTAGGTTTGCCTATCTGGTTTCCGTGCGGTTGTTGTTCAGAACTTTGGTATACAGGTCGAGCGGGTGAATGAGTGATTTGTAGATGAGGCGACAACGCTTGTGAATCACCTGGCAATCGCCTTCCTGCAACTTGAGTTGGACCTGACATAGTCTGTTGTGAAGGAGATGGAGGAAGAGGATGATGTTGCTGTTGGTGCTGTTGCTGTGGCCATCGATCAACTTGGGATACAGAGCGTTGTGAGGGTTGAGCGGCTGCTCTAGACAACATTGGCTGTATTTGAGACTGACGTACGTGGTACTCGTACTCGTCTACTCGATTACCATAGTGTTCCGATCCAGTACCTTCCTGTGGGAGCTTCTGTTTCTTTGCCTGCTGGCGTTGCGCAGAGTTAATTTCCATGGCTGAAGCAGATGTATTCGGAGGGCTACGAAAACCCTGGTACTCGTACGCGTTATATTCTTCAGGGATTGGAGGTCGAAGTCCATATTCTTCCTGGGACACATTTGTTCGCTGAGGCGTCTCCTGAATAGGGGGCCGTTGGTCATTCCACTGAGCCCTTTCCGGACTTAAGCGACGTTCTTGAGAATCATCCTCATTACCACTTTCAGGCCCTGCGTCGTCGTCATTCAAAATGAACTGCAATCGAGTCTTCGATTCTCGTTTCATAGGCACATCCTCTTTTACGGTGGTCGAAAATGAACTGTTTTTCGATACTCTTGGACTATCTGCTTCGGGATGATATACTGCCGTCAACATACCGGGCGGCTGAGGGCTGTAAGGTGAGCCAGGTTGGTCGCGTACTTCCAGTGCCCCTTTATGAGGCAGCTGTCCAGGCGTTATCATTTGCGGCTGTGCAGTTGTATTCATTATTGGTTTATATAGAGCCCCAACATCTGAGTGTAAGCGTCGATGGTTCGGCTCAAAATGCTCGTCTATGTCTTGCCGTATGCTGTGTGTTTGATCATATTGTTTAGGAAGCTCCTGTTGGTCTGGCGTAGATGCATCTGCACGGACTGAGTCTAATGAGTGATGATGATCTTCCGTTGAATTGATCCTTCTGTGATTGCGAGAGGGTCCTTCCGGATGAAGTAGCGCGGGATTTGGGACACTAACAATTTGATCATTTAATTGACCGTGATGAAGTGACATGGGACGATTGATAGACGATCGCTCCTCACGCTGGGTTGTGATAGGAGCAACTGGTTCCACAATACATCCAATCTGTTCTTTAGAATTGCCTGTGGACGGTTCCACATGAGACTGTCCTTTGACATTATTTTGAGCGTTTTGTTGAGCCTCTGTCCTAGAAGCTGCCTTGGAAAGACGTGTCGTGTATCCAAGGCGCTGCTGTTGATCCTGAGGCGAGGCTAACTGACGTTGAGCTGCTTGTGACTGCCCTCTCAAAACGGGGGCATCATTATTGACTTGTCTTCCTTGTTGCTGATTAATCTGGCGCACAGGTTGGGCTCTACGATCTTGTACAGGCGTCTCATTTACCTCCTGCATTTTCCGTTTTTGGGCTTTGTCTTTTCGAATTAGTGATTTCTCCTTGAAAACTTCAACGTCCTCTTTCAGTTTCATTTGAATCGCTTCTTGGTGTTCCCGTTGCACTGCCATTCTAGAAATCGCCTCCTCTCTCGCTCTCGCCAAAGCTTGAGCCTTCTCACCTTCACTCGGAAGATCGTAGGCCGTCTGTTCCATGACCGTCAATGCCGGTGTAGGGAGAGGACCTGTTGTGACCGCTGATCCCATGTTATCTTCCTTCATCACCACGTCTTCTTTCAGTATAGCTGCTGTAGGTTCCACTTGGTCCACCTTTTCAACATTTTCATGGGTTTCTAAAGCATCATGCTCGTTAGTCTCCTGTCCAAGCTGTGCCGTGACCTCATGCAAAAGTTTTGAGCTGATGGTTGTTCTAGAGCCTATTGGATGCTGTGAGCGCGGCGACGCCTGCTTATTGTCATCAGACGTCACAACAGCTGCACGATCTGGACTACTCAAGGGCGAAAGCGGGGACATAGTTGTACTATCCTGTACAGCTAGTGGAGAGCTGAAAGATGGTTTGGGTGACTGTGATGCAATCAATTTTAAGGTTCCTATGCCTGTCATAACTGCTTCAGTCTTGAATGAAGGTCCTACTCCATCCGAAATTTTACGGCGCTGAACAATTGAATCCTCCGATCGCTCCCCCTCAGATTCTGAAAGATCAGCCATTCGCTTTCCAAGCACAGGCGTAGGTGCTTTTAAAGTAATATCCTCATCGACAGAAGTTTTCACAGCTGCTGAACCCGAGGGTGTTGTTGTTGTTACTGGTATCACTGAAGGCATGCGAACATGATCTGCAGACGCGGATGAATCTTCGTGGCGCTTCTCATCTGAATCCTTGTTATCGTTAGTCTCAAGGGCAACCCCCGACAGCGCAATATCTGTGGAAGCTGATGATGTCGTTGGTGGAAGTGCTGGCACGGTTGTAGGCCTTGATATTCCAGAAGGTATTGGGGTATGGGCAGGAGTAGGAGTTTGTGACGGCGCCTCTTGGGAAATTGATATTGAGCTTGAAGTAGTGGTAGATTGGTTTCCATTTGCATCCCCCGCCTCATTGGCCTTTGATATCGAGCCCACCACTGTTTCCTTTGGGACATCCGCAATAGACATTGAGCTTTTCCTAGATGGTGCGGATTTAGGTGAATTACTGCCACTACTCACGATTGAATCTCTGCTATCACGTCTCTCATTCTTAACACCTTTGACGCCTTTATCGAGTGGGGGAGCTCTAGGAACAGGCGATGCTGTCATCCATGATTTTATAGGCTGTAAGTGAGCTGGGACCTGTGAAAGCTTCAGCGGGTTCTTAACGCCTGACGTAGATGAAGGCGACGCTACAGATGACGTTGGTGTACTAGTGGGTGGCGGGGTTGATTTCCTGTCTGGGGTTTGAATAACAGATGTTGACGGCGTCGATGACGAAGAGCTACTAGTTTGTTCCTGATCAGCGTTTTTTGCGGATTGTGATTGAGATTGTTCTACTGATGAATGTCGAGCCTGAAAAGATTGAGGTTTGGGGGGCAATGGGTGAGAGAAAGTCCCTGGAGCGGTGATCGGATGATGGCTTGACGAACCATGCTCATCTACTGATGACTTTCGTTCCCCCTTCTTGGAAAAATACCCATGTGAACCAGGATGATTTGCAACAGAGGGTGACTGCAAGTATTGTGACGAAGTATGGGAAGGCGTCATAGGCGGAGGATGGTTTTCGGAGTGGGTACTGACAATGGAGAGCTGTCGGATAGCGGGACGTTGACTAGTAGAATGTGGCGACTGGTTGTTTCCATTTGTGGGTAAGCCTGCCTCCCTAGCCTTCCATTGAGTCCTGATATGCTCGATTTGTGATTCTAACTACAGATTCCGAGTTCATATAAATAAACGCGTGAGCTGTGCAGCACAATGCACGGTTAAAGACAAATTAACCCCAATTTGACATGGTTAATACAATAATAAGCACATACCTGTTCTTTTGTGACAGCTGTCTCAATCCCCTTGACTAGTGCTTGTACCGTTGCTTCATCATCCACGTCTTTTTTGTCTTCCCGCGTGCGATAAAATCGCCAACCTCCTGTACGAGTCTCTAACCCATAGCCCTTTTCAAACATTTGCGTTGGCCACTGCGCATCCCACCTATAAAGAAATACCACAATGTCAATGAGCAAAGCGACCCAGAACACGCATAGCATCCTAACAGAAATGTTATTAACATACCAAAATTCAGCAACTTTCCCATCTGGGGAAGAGTTATGCCATTCTGAAGCTAATTGAGGCTCTGGTGTAACATAGTCATAGAACTTTGTACCGCCTCCATGCTTAACATGAATAGAGTACATTGGTTTCCTCTCTTTGCTCATAGCCACTTTGATCAGGAACTGCGCTGTTGTATGAGATTTCCATTTTAATCTATATGGAACAAGTTCATTGAAAATATGATGCCGTGAGGAAACAGATTCAATTCATAGTCTGTCAAAAATAGATGAAACAGAAAAAAAAAAAAAAAAAAAAAAAAAAAGCTCGCTTCATTACAGTTTTGGACTCGTTCCTGGTACGTATGGTTGTCGCACAGGCATAAATATTAACCCTTCGCCACCATGTTTGTGTCGTTTGCTCCCAGATAAAATAATATTCAATCCATATGACCTCTGCATTGTCTTGCGCTCGATTCTAATTTGATATAGAGGCAGAATATATTATTTAAAAAACGCTGGTAGCTCTGTCTGTCAAGATTCAATGGATCATCAACGACAGTAATCGATCCTTACGTGAATGGTTCTTTAGATCGTATCTCGCTTGATTTACTAGCCTGTACTGCTAAGACGTCCTGATCCATCATCTAAAGTTGATATGGATGAGAACGGTCACTTTATCAAAATTTCGCAAGTAGAGCAACATCATTGATCTTTTTGAGTCGCGTCAACTTACCCCTAAACGTGTACTGTAGGATCGTTGTGTTACAACTATACCATTAAGAGCCATGAGATCAAATACTAAAAAACGTAATGTTTTCTGAGTTGTCAAGGCATGTGAATAAAGAAGGAGCGTTAAGTATATAACAACAATAGTAAATAGATTGTAGTAGGTACACTCCCATGGACATCATGAGTCATGGTGTCTATTTTTTTTTTTTTTTTTTTTTTTTTTTTTTCCTGAATAGCAAATAATACCTTGCTTCCATCCCCTTCCACGATCATCTCTCCATCCAGCAATGTTTCGTTTTGGTACTTTGAAGGGTTATCCCGAAGAGGAAGTAGCAGATGTGGCACAAATGAAATTTCGTAATGTCGGTCGATCTAAAGAAACAGAACCAATTAAATGTGTTAATGATAATATTCAAACATAAATAAATATATGCAGGGATAATTATATAAGAATATGCGTTTGACAACTGATGTTGCTTTCTTACTAGAAAACATGCCGGGCCTTTGGGTGTGTGGGTGCTGAGAAGCATATATCGCACACCAGGAACCTTCTCTGTGACAAAGTACTCTTCCTTGGCCAATAGCTGTAAGTGAGATGATTCGAAATTGACTGGGTATGAACCAGGGAACCTGTTTTTACAAAGTTATAAAAAGAAATAAATGAATAATTAAAATAACAATTTAAGAACCATTTCCCTTCCTTCCACTTTTTCTCTGCATGCACGGGTCAACTGGGTTGTTTGGTGAAGGATCTACAGTCAATGCTGCCAAGCCCTCCTACTACTATATCCTGTAATTCCTCGACTAAAGTTTATCATTCCTACATAAGAAATCACCGTGGTAGTCCCGCAGCAGCGCCACTGTTCTTGGGTCGGCTCCCTGACGTTTCCATTAGCTGGCATAGCTGCTATAAAGTTTTTCATCATTATTATTTATTTATTCTCAGGCTGGGCATGAGATGGTCAAGCATGGTTTCAGATGGTGGCGTTACAGTTCAGACTTCTCTGAAATTAATATACTACTGCTGATGTTATTGAACAATAATCTCCGTGTGTCCCTGAATTCAATTTGCTTGATTCGACAACTATCCTGACTCAAGATCCTTTGGTCCACACGTAATTCATCATACTCTTTCTGAGATGTACCGAATTGATTATTGTTTATAAAAAAAACTTTTTTTATAAAGTAAGCGTACCCTTCTGATTTTCCCTGCAGCAAGGACCGAATCTTTGCCTGAAGGGTCTTACGAAAGGTTGGATCAATTGGAACACCAAACTCGAAAGGCATTTCTGGCGTTTTAAAAAAGGATTGGCTGTCAGATTAGATGTAATCCTTTTTAGTAAACCGGCCGAGGAGACGATGGAGTGCCTGTTGAGAGAGTGGATCGATGCAGGCACACACACAAATTCACAGAAGGAAAAAGGAAGGATGTTGTAGTCGGCGTCGAGAGGCATGAAAAGCCTCTGAATTTTCCGTCTAATTTTGTCAGCTGGTGGTGATGGATGTTGTAGTAGTTTGCTTATAGCCGGATTATGTACTGCGCTTCTGGTTTCAGAGTTGATGTACGCGACAGATGTGTCCAGGAATGATGATGATGGCTTGTGCAAGGAGTTGTCTAGACAGGAAGCGGAAGAAGGATGAGAAAAAAGTATCTTATGAAGAAAAGCTACGTGTGTGTATGATTTGTTGAAGTGAGGATGTAATGTGCATGTGATAGATGATTGGATTGTTAATGAAGTAAATCGTGTGAGCACAGAGAAAGGTGTTAAAAGGCAAGAAAGTGAGAGAGGGCATTAATGAAGAATATCTGCAAGTGGGCTGGCTGTGCTTTTTTTATTATTGTTATTGCGCCACCACCGCGTCGTTTATTTATGTGAAAGCAGAAAAAACAGTTATCGGGTTGGACAGGATCAAGTGCAGTAGACAACAAATATGAAGACAATGGAAGGGAAGCGGGCTATACAAACGAAAAAGGAAGAAGTCTAGAAAGAAAGGAAAATAAAAAACATTAAAGATGTTTATCGTCCAAGTAAACCATTGTCAATGGAAACCACACATGTTACTAGTGTGGCGTTGCACACAGCCGGTATCGACCTCTCATCGTCCACCAACTAAGTCGTTTTTACGTCGCAACCCTTTGTATTGGTCGACGCCAGAAAGGCCTATGGATGTCATTATGACAACTCAAATTTCAGGACACTACCCCTTACTCTTAGCTAAGTGGTGGCAATGAAATTCATATCAGATTGGAGTGGGAATCACTGTGGCAGAATGCAAGACAACAGTCAGATGCCTCAGTCAAATGTAATACATTTTGTCTATCAACATTATAAAGTTGACGTCTACAAACTAGAAGTGATGCTGCTCTCCCTCCATTTTCTGGGGCCAAAAACCCCACCAAGGAATCTTTCGATCATCAGCCACATAGCACTTAGCTTTCTCAGTCCCCTACTCTCTTTTTACTTTGATTTCATGACCATCTTTTTCTGTAAATAAAATAAAGTAAAATAAAATAAAATTCATTTTAATAGTTCGCTATTATAGATTATCGAAGGAGCATTATCTGGCTGTATCCAAGCTTCAAGGCTCGTATCGAGGAAGTTGTTCCTGATTGCTCATAGAATGGGAGTCAGCGCTCGAATATTGTTGCGAATAACCATCATGGTTCTCTGGTGCATGCTGAGAGCTTAGTTCATGTTTCTTGACCGCTGTGCTACCACTATCGACTATTGTGGGCGAGGAACGATGCAGTCTTTTGCGAAATTTTTTGAACAGGCAACAGTGAGGAGTGTACATTTTTGTTGAACTGGAAGCTTAAGTGAAGAGTATCAGAATAAGTTGTGTTGCTCAAGGATGATTAATAACGCCTTTTATATCAAAAACAAGCGTATTTCACCTACTCACACATGTCCAATATGGCGAACCACTTGGCGGCGACAAGTGAACGATGATCGACTTTAACAGCCAGTCAGCAGTCAAAGTCGACACTCTTGAGTGCACTGTGCTCTGTCTAGTCTATTGATTACAGCATAAACCTCTCTCAAAATACGTCAGACGTGGCTGTAAAAGTCTAAGCGTGTTTGCGGCGAGCACGTGTATTTTCTAATTTGAGAATTATAAGTGGATTTTCTTGATTCCTTCGCAGCCTCGAATGGTGCTTGACGTTTGGTGCGCACTAAACAGCCGTCTTTCATCTATGGATATGCTCTATCCTTGTCTATCGGCTGAAGGTAAAGGGGACGCTGTTGGCGTATTAGATGACCGTGGACGACGTTGATTATGCTGTGGCCAGCCATCACATCTCTGTGCATAAATATCGCACTTGGAATAATAGAGTTGGTGAATGCTAACTTGCCCTACAAATTCTTTACAGCTTGGGCACTTCTTAGAGGATAATATTTATTCGCACCGACAACAATGTATCCAGCCGCGGTCAGAGATAGCCTAGTTAAGAGAAAGATATATATACAGTATATACAGAACGACTGTGTCATACCAATAAAGTGATGTATTTGCGCGATATCATTCTAAGCTATTATCCCCAGTTGATGGCATTTTCTACGCCAGGGAAAGAGTACTCTATTACTATACATATAGTCAACCCCGTTCTTCTATCTTGCAATGCCTTGGTCATGGAAAACAAAGAATTCCTCGCAAAGACATGTACCTTGCAGAGAGGGCCTACGATGGGTTCAATGTCAAACGCAATGCTACACCCGCACGTACCCAAGTCGAGTAGGCCCGAACACGATAGACATCGATGATTATCTTGGACAGCCTCTCGAAGACTTCCTCTCACCATCTTTGCTACAACTACAGATAGGGGGAGCTAAATAGAAGGAAAGAAAAAGAATAAAGCGAGATGAAGCATCTGCTGGATTGTCTAGACAGAATAATAGCGAAATGATGGACGCGTGGAAGAGATTGGGCCCCTTCGGATTGATACGAGCAATTATTTTGTAATTTTGAGTATTGAGTAAAATTAAACTCTCGTAGTTACTACTAAAGCGCAATCGACGTGTTTTGGAAAGGTTAGTACATGTTCTGTCTAGGGGAATCAACGCAATTCAAAGCAAAAGGAGTTAACAATACACATTGGCAGATTGATAGGTTGGTTCTTGCATGGCATCGTGGTTCCTTGTTGCCAGAAGAAAAAAGGAAACAGGAAGAAGCAAATGCTGAATTATCTAGATTGTGTGCAAAAAATAACAACGAAATAGTGGACGTGTGGGGAAATTGGGACTTTTTATAGTCAATACGAGCATCAACTCCCACTAAAGAACAAGTAAATCCTCGCGGTCTGTTGTGACTGGCATTTCAAGCTTCATTCCATGATCCATGAAACAACGTTGTTTAGATCACTCAAAGCCTCAGTTCTGATCTCTTTGCATTCCGACAGCTTGTCCTACAGGGTTCACCCATACCCGGCTACAGACAACGCACAACGGCAGTAATAGCAACAAAGGTTTGGAAAGGATTTGGTGCAAAAGGGAACTCCATTATGTTTAGAATAAAACTATGTGCCTTACTTTTTTTTTTTTTTTTTTTTTTTTTTTTTTTCATTTTTCTTGCATTTCTTAAAACTACCTCAAAAATAGAAGCTACCATTCTTATACCATGGCATGTGCAGCATTGGTTCAAAAAAGTAGTGGACTGAAGAAATTAGCAGCTCACGATTTTATTCAACGGCTCTGTTCTCATTATTCCAGAGTCCCATCAAGACGATCAAGAATGACAGCAAGACCACTGTCCACATTATTACCCCAGACGCGCCTGATACATTCAACTTCAAAGCCACTGTACACCAACAATACTACAAGGAGTACAACGACAACTAAAAATGCCAACAATGCGACTAGCTCTAGAATTGCACCAATCGCTCCGAAAAAAGCAAAGAAAGGCGGTAAACACATGCATCAAAGGTTCGAATGGTCACAAGAGATGGACAATAAGGTTGTTGAGATGAGGTTGGAAGGTAATACCTGGGAAGAGATTGCAGAAGCCGTTGGGGTTCCCCCACTAGCGGTCCAGCAGCGATATGTAAAGAACTTGGACCCATCATTGCATATGGGATGGACCCCCAGGAAAATAGATCTGCTTAACAAATACGTTGCAGAGGGCAAGGCCTGGCGTGCTATCTCGGAGGAACTATTAATGACTCCAACAGCCTGTCAGGAAAAGTGGAGAATGTTGAACCCCAGGCTTGCATTGGAAGCCAAACAGGAAGAAGCAAGGAAGCGAGCGCTAGCTAGGCATTCACAGCCACGAGCTCAAACCTCGAAATCAACTCGCACATCGACGGTTCGACTTCATCGATGGCATGAACATATGGACTCGCTGCTCATTGAACTGAAGGATCGTGGACTGAATTGGCGTCAGATTGGATCTGTCTTTGGATCGCTCCCACTGTCCTGTTACACGCGGTACTGTGGTTTGAAGAGAAAAATGGTTAGTAATCGCTGGACTCCTCTTACACTAAACGCATCTAATTCGCCGGCATACTTGCTACCGAACCGGCGTTTACCGCTCACAGCGACTACAGGCATCCAAATCGCAGGACCAAGTAGTAACAATGAAAGCGACGTACGAGTTAATGGCACACATGAATCGGTTCTTGACTCGAAAAGTCCTACTGCAGTATTGGATACGGCTTTATCGTCCACAGGGCAATCAGAATTGGATATACTGGGCTTTATCAATGAAGATCTCTTATACAACACTACAACCAACACTTCATCCAAGATATGGACTCCAGCAGAAGACGAGTGCATTATCAACAGCCACGAGTCAGGTGTTTCATTCACTGATATTGCAGCATATCTTAATTCCAGCGTGAAAGAATGCTATGACCGTTTTTATGGCGTTCTTGACCCAAAATTGAAGGCCAGAGCATGGACACCAATCCTTCAAGAGAAGCTTATATTTTTTGTGGATCAAGGAGTACCATGGTCAATAGTATCCAATTATTTGGGCTTTCATCGCGTTGCGTGTAGGAATAAGTATCGAGAGCTCATGGGCTTATCTACGCTGCAGCCAGCGGCGTCATGGCAAGAAGGCTCTAATGATAAAACAGCTGTAAATAAGCTACCATTGGCCACGATAAGCTCCAATGCCGATGCTATGCATAATGATTTTGATGACGACACAGATGCGAACATGGATAAATTTGACGATGATGACACTCTTGATGATGACAACGATGATGTTGGATCTGACGACTTGGAGGATGATATCATCGAAGAAATGAACGATGAAACGGCTCATCAAAATCATGATTATGATGATGATGACTTTGATGATGAGAACAACAACGACAATGATGACGATGACAGTGACAGTGTCCAGGATGCCATGTTGACTGCAGCAGCACTTGATGGCAGAGAGACGTACACAGATGGCTCTGTTACTGTTGGTAGGAGAGTCAAAGGCCCTCATTCTGTTGCACCGCCCTCTTACACACCTCCAGAACATTGGGACAAGAGTACAGTAATGAGAGAAGTTAGCAAAACATGGTCAGCAGAAGAGGAAACAACTCTGATTCAACATGTCATTCGCCATGGAACACGTGGGTGGGAGGATGTTTCAAAAGCACTGGATGGGCGACATTCTGCAGAAGAATGCCGTGCTTACTGGAAATACCTGGATATGCCTGTTCGGCGACCAGATCTAGGAGTAATCAAGTGGGATGTCAATCGTGAGGCATGGTTCTGGAAGCTCTGGCTTGAGTGTGGATCGGACTTTGAGAGGATTTCTCAGAAAATTAATACTGTTTCTGCAGACGATGAAGGTAATTTACAGTCTTTGTCGCCAGAATCAACATGGATTACTACTGAGGATTGTGTGCAATACTTTAGAGAGCAGACTCGGATATTACGTGAGAAAGCATTTGAGAATCAGGAGGACGAGACTCTGGATAAGGATAAATTCTACAAGGACTGTGTAGAGCTGGCTTTGGCACGCAGCAAAGAGCCATCCTTCACCTGGGACAAGGAGTCATCGGTCAAGCTACAAAAACTGGTTCGCCAACGTTTACGGACCCGTGGCGTTCAGGTGAACTGGATTAACTGGAGATGGGTGGCACGTCATGTGGGCAGAGGCGCTACGGCGCAGCGCTGCAATACCCATTGGAGATCTCTCAGGATTATGGAAACTGAACCTTGGTCTGATGAGGAAATCTTGTTGCTGGAACGGGGCATTCGCGAGACTGGACCAACATTTAATCAGATTATGAGGGATGAGACAGAGTCGCCAATGCTATCTGTGAACGCAGCCGTTGGAAATGATACAGAGCCAATATTGAATGGATTCCGGATGATTAGAAAGTTCTACCTCCCTAACCGCTCGGTTCCTTCATTGCACCGGAAGTATCTTTTACTGTCTGACAAGGCAACGCGAGTGACTCTGCGTGAGTACATGGCTATCATGGATGCGGTGGATAAATACGGAGAGAATCAATGGGACAAAGTTGTAGAGAGCCTAAAGTCTATTCCCGCAACAGCTGATGATCCACCCACAGCATCATCATCTTCATCTTCATCTTCATCTTCATCTTTGAAGAATGAGTCCACTGGCATGAGTTTGGTGGGTTGGACAAAGGCACCATGTCGCCGTGTTTGGGAGTCTTCATACAAATATCAACTTTTATATACCCAATGGACGCCGGAGGAGGATGAAGATTTAAAGGAGGTAGTTAAGCGCATAGGAATGCGGGAATGGGTTGCCGCCTCTCGCTTTTTCCCAGGAAAAACTGCTTGGCAATGTCGTCTACGTTGGTGTCAGTTGACGGACCCTATCCAACCCATACAATCAAGTACTTCATCTAGTTAAATTGATCTGCCTTACAATACCACATTCTAAATCATCACATACACATTTGCACACGCGCACATAATTTCAGCATTTTTAAACTGAGAAATTAGAGAAAAAAAATAGTCCGTCGCTTATTAGTTGAGGACATCAAACTATAGTATTATACATCATTGAAAATTTAATAAGAGACAGCACGGATGAACTTGAAGTTTAGGGCCAGATGTGTGTAGAAGTTGAAAATAAGCAACAGAACTAACAAAAGCTCCAAGCCGACCATAGCACCATGTCGCCGGCATAGCATGCCCGATAAATGCTGATCTGCAAAATCCTGCTTCCAAAGCCTCTGTAATTGACGTTCACCCGCGGCAGTACATCCATAGGTCCAGATGTAGATATAGATTGTTATGCTCAAAATTTGGGCCCAGATTATAGAGGCAATGATCTCCGAGAAAATGACGAACAGTGGTTTTGAACTAGATGAATCCAATCCTTCAGGTGGACGTCTAGATTCCAAGAAAATGGTAAAGCATGAATAGGCGATCGTCATCAGGGACAAAATCACGGTGATAATTAAGGCAGTATTGTCATTTGAAAAATGTGTCTCTTGCTCGGGTGTTTTGACCAAAATAACGATCGCATCCAAAGCAATTGCGAAAAGAGAGACTGCAGCAATGATTGTCAAGGACTTCAGGATATTAGAGAACAAGGGTGAGTTCAGGAAAGCCTTCATGGCCTCAATATTGAAAGCTGTGTTCTTGGCGGCTGTGCTTAGCTCATGAGTAAGCGGTAACTCTGCTCCCTTTTCGTCCCAGCTTGTATGCTCAGGAGGCGTTGTTGATGTACATTGACCCGAAGGATAGCCACGCATATTTTCTCTACACTCCTTTTGTCGACGTTTTGATGTCCTTGCAGACAACATCCCGTCACTGTTTCCCGTGCGTCCGTGTTCTGGACAAGTACAAGTACAGATCCTATCTTCATTCCTATCCTCATCAATGGATGTACGCCCAGCCGGTTTAGAAAACTTGAAGAGCTCGTCGAGTTTGAGCGGAATGCTCCGTAAAGTGGGCATAGAGCCACTGTTAGGCTCTGTGGACTTTGAATCTTTAGCACCAGAGTTGATAGTGTTATTGGGACTAAGTGTTCCTTTATATTTGCTTGGGATGCTAGATATGGTAGATACATTGCTCATAGTTGCAAAGACTGACCAGTCCTGTTGTTGACTGGCTCTGATTGATGAAGTGGAATAAAGTGGTATAGTGGGCTTTGTAACGCGAGCTGACGATGAACCGGTATCGACACTACGATCGCCATTGTGAGCAGTTTTGGTAGTATTACCGCCGTCTTTATGGTTGTTGAGTGGTTGAGTACTTGAAATTGAATGTTCTCCTGAGGAAGCAGAAGTGGATGATGATGCCTTGGAGAAGGGTTGCAGAGGTGGTGTTGAAACATGATCTGGTGAGAGATCAACAGCAATTTGGTCATGTTCTTCTGGTAATTCTTCCAATCGTGAGGAAGAGGATTGTTGCTGTTGATGTTGCTGCGAGCCCCGTTCTACTTCGGCCCATCTGCATTATGCATTATGAACAAAAAAAAAGGAGACAACGGTTAGCATCATGGTGTTGGCTAAAGTCATAGAGAGCCAAGGGAACGGGTATAAAGAGCGTCTACTATTAGAGGAAAAAAAAAAAAAAAAAAAAAAAAAAAACATACAGAGGCAATGTGGAGACAGTAGCTTTTTTGAGAGTAGCTTGTTTAAAGTCCATGGAGGGTTAAGTTATGATGAGTGGAAGGGGAGAGGAAAGGAGGGGAGAGGAAGGAGATGAATCAATGAAACGATGAATAAACGTCAGTTGGAATGAACAATCGATTGAAGTAATGATAAAAATAACAGGGAGAAAGAGAAAGAGTGAAAAGGAAGGAGTTTTGCTCGAGATATTCATGAGGTAATGATGTGCGTTTAAAAGATTTTTTTTTCCATCTCTTTGGGATAATTGGGTTGAAACAAATAAGCAAATGGGCAGAAGGCGAAGGTTGTAATCTCTCTTTGTCCTTGCTCCGACTATTACTTTTTTTCTTTTTCTTTTTTCTTTCTCTTTTAAGGCTGTGTATACTCCTATCATTTTTTTATACCGAACCTCCATTAACAGACAGGAAGTATCGGGTACTGGATTGCCAGCTTGACACAAAGGATTGGTTGCTTCAGGATTCTCACTCTGTTGGCAACATTTATCACTTTTCAAACAAACTGCTTGGTCAAGAAATTGATTAGCAAAGCCATAGACATATAAAATACAGCTGCATAGATTTGCATACAATTGCATATATCTCATTTCTGAAAGAGGCGAGACAAATGGCAACATTGGCATGTGTCATTCTCTGTGTATAATCCACCATAACTGAAGACGAGTTTTTTTTTTTTCTTGTTTCGCGTTCCTTTTTCACACACAGACCACTTCTCCACACAGACACGAACTAACACACAAAAGGTGGATCATTTCACACCACTAAGAGCCTAAGGACGGAAAAATCATTCATTTTTGGTTAGATCCAGGTCTCCATAGATGAGCTTACTACAGCGCCACTAAATTCATATCTAGCCATCAGGTGATTGGTGATCGGGTAGTAATAAAAAAAAATACCATGCACAATCGCGAAACACTTTTTCTTCTCATGCAAACACGATCAAAGAAACGTGAGGATGCCTCGGAACAGACATCCACATCCTTAGAGGCTGCAAAAGTACTTTAATTTCCCCTTTTCTTACTTATTACACATGTTCTTAATTCGTTTATCTGCTCGCTGTATTAAGCCGAAACCATTCATGCCATCTACTGTTTGTAATATTCAGCCTGTAAAGAGAACAAAGCACACTAAATCAACAGCAGATAAAGATCTAGAGCCAGTCAAAGCATCCACAAAGCCTTCCAAAAAGAACTCCGCTGCAACTAAAGCTGTGAGTGATACTGCCTGTGTTAACGCAAATGGCACACGAACAAGTGTCTGGCTCATGAAATCTGAACCTGATACATTTAGTATTGACGACTTGATCAAATCAGAAAACTCTACATCACATTGGGATGGTGTCGTAAGTGAATATAGGCTATCGTTACATAAAACACTCCTCATACGCTACGTCTCGGACTACCTATTAGCCACTGAATGAGTGTATTTACTCGATTCAATCCAATAGAGAAATCATGAAGCCAAGAATCTAATGAAAAATAGTATGAAGGTTGGAGACAGGGTATTGTTTTACCATTCAAATACTAAAGAGCCAGGCATTGTTGGTAAGATGGGGATAGCACTCTCTTTCCTCTTTTCTCTTTTTTCTCTCTTCGTACAACCCCTCTTTTCCATTGTTCAACCTTCTTCATCTTTTTTTTATTTTATTATTACTATTATTATTATTATTTCTTATTAAAAAAAAAATAGCTTTAGCCAGGATTGCTCAAGAAGCTTATCCAGATCATACGGCTCTAGACCCCAAGCACGAGTATTATGACGAGAAATCCTCTAAGGATGATCCTCGGTGGTTCATGGTTGATGTCAAGTTTGAACGCAAGCTTAAGAGGATACTAACGTTAAAAGAGCTCCAGCAGTACAAGGACAAGGAACTTTGCAACATGAAACTGCTCAACAGAGGGCGATTGTCCGTGCAGCCAGTGTCTGATGATGAGATGGAGTTTATCTTGAGATTAGAGCAGAAGGAGATGATAGAGGAATAGGCTTTAATTTACCCTCGAACTTAATATAGTATATATATGTAGTGATATGTAATCCTACACCTTTTTTATTTTTTTTATTTTTTTTTATTTTTTCAACTTGAAGAGAGATGCATCCATGTAACTTTTTTGCATATCTAGGATGTCAAAAGTGATCCTGGCCGAACTTGTGCATGGTAATCATATGGCTTCGATAGAGCAGGGCCTGTTCCTGTCTCAATTGCATGATGACATTCAGGTCCGCAAGTATTCTTCCATTTTGCGCGACAATTTGGGCACTGAATAAACAAAAGGTGGCAACGAATATTGGCGCAGTTCGTGATGTCATCATGGGGTGTATGGCATTGATGGCAAGTACTGATCACATCTTCGGTGATACGTTCGCCTCGTCTGCCATCAAATGTAAAGTTTTTGCCTAGAAAATGGGACTTTAAATGTGGGTTTGATTTGATATAGTGCCCGTAGCTGGTGATGCCCCCTTTAAGCTACGCATAAAAATGAAAGAAAAAGTAAATAAAAAAATAGTATGAAGGAAATATCATTTGATGAATAATTTCAAGTCTTAAGTAAATGGAGCGGATTTAAATATACTTGCCATTTTGACATCAGTGAATCCTTTCTGCCTAAGGTATCGTCCCGAAATGCTACAACGGATGCCGCCAGTACAGACCATCAAGACCTCTTTATTCTTGTCCCTTCCTTCCAGAAGTTCATCTAACAGATCCATGTTTTGCTTGAATGTATTGCAATCCATTTTGACTGCACCTTTAAATGTCCCTACCTCACTGCAACAAGTTCAACATACACAAAAAAAAAGTGAGAAAACTGTAAGGTTTTTTTTTTTTTTTTTTTTTTTTTTTTTTTTTTGAAACGACTATTCATGGATTACACCGATGTGAGAGTTAATTGAGTGAATCACTTACTTTTCGAAATGATTTCGCATATCGACCAGCAGTGCATTGCCTCCAACTTTATCCAAATGTGCATGAAACTTCTCGGGCTCCAGGTACTGTGGAGGTGTTGAATCCTGAACATCCCAAGTACCTAATCGACCATCTGCGACTAGCTGCTTTTTAACTGCTACCTTGAGCTTCCTAAACACTCGGTCCCCCGACTCTTCACATGAAAAATTCCAGATAGCTCCATCAGGGCCTTTACCGAATCGATCCAAAACGAGATCTTTCAATGATGATTGAAGATCCTTGACATGCTCTACCGGACAGCACAAATGAAGATTGATTCCATCCTTTGCCAGATATATACGCCCAGTAATATCGAATTTGACCAACTGAAGGAAGATCTCTTCCCGAAGATCTTCTAATCTAGATGTTGGTATGGGTGTGATGGTATAGAGAGTCAAAGTCTGGTGCTTCCGACCTGGTGGTGAAGGCCCTGGAGGAATGTATAAGATCGGCTTTCGCTTCGGAATAGGAAAAGGTGGGGGTGATGGATCTTGATCCGCTTCTACGGGAGCGGCTGTTGCTTGTGTGTGGTTCTTACGATATAATTGGTAGCCTACAAGGCGAGGGATAGCTACTGAAGTGCGGTGTTGCTGACAAAAGTTGGACCATGTGTTGACTGTATTCTTTGTTCCTGGAGGGGACCATCGTAGCTGAGAAGAAGACGCTGTAGTGTTTTTGAAATGTAAGTTTTGGCACCCATGTTTACCGGCGAGGCCTGAGAGTTCGTATAATGATGATTTGAGATTCAGTCGGTACAGTTGTCTGCATGATGCCATGGTGAATGTCGGTTCTCAATTGATTTCGAAAGTAACTGATCTAATAATCGGATTCTAAAAAAAAGAAAAAATAAAAAATAAAATCTGATCCTTAATACTTTAACCTGCTCCTAATGGATTGTCAGTGCTCTTCTCAGATTACAGAGCCACTGTTTGACCTTCCCAACAGCGACCAAGGTTCTTCCTCTCTTACCTACATGGATGCAAACATTTCATTTAAAAAAAAGCTAATAGAAAGCGGTGGTTGGGAAGGCGGCAGAAGGCTCAAAGATTGTGAACTCGAGCAAATTGATATGCGAATTTCGTAGGACAAAACCGTTAATTAGGAAGCTAATTTCTCAGGAGCATTTTTGCGCATTGACACCTTTGAGTTCTGCCTCCAGAGATCCGTTCTTCTACGAGTAAGTTATTCATGTTAGCTTTGATTTCAACAAAAATGATAGTCTTTTGTCACATCCCTCCTTGTCACTCTCACCTTTCCCATCCTCCCCATCTCTCTATGATAAGCTTTGTACGTACGAGTTAAATCAAACAGTGCATTCTACGCAAAAAAAGCCAGAGCAAAAGGTATTCCCAGTCCGGGGATCGAACCCGGGCCTTGTCGGTGAGAGCGACAAATCCTGACCACTGGACCAACTAGGAATTAGATATTCGTTTGTCGTAGAGCATCTACTAGTGATCTCTGGAAACTAGTAGGTAATGATGAAAAATGAAGAATTGGGCAAGAGCCTCGTGGTTTTGGGATATGATAGTGATCCTAAGTAATGCTTTGAATGATTTTGAGGATGCTGCAAAAGGGCATCGATAATAAGAAGAGAGATCTTTAATAACTGCTAATTTTCTGAGAATTCATAATGAGAATAATGAAGATAAACTCACCTGCAAAAGGGCATCGATAATAAGAAGAGAGATGCCGTTTTTGCAGTGAAGGAAAAAGCTACTTAAATACTATTTAAAAATGGTAGAAAATAGGATGATAGGAAATAAATAAATTGAAAGGAAATACATATTTAGGTAAATGAATAGGCGTCATTTACGACACCCCTCCATTCGGATTGGCACTACTCCTGGAGTGCCTGGATAAACGCCGTAGCTCTCTCTGATAAATCTCAGCAGCATTTGCTGGAGGAATGATAGGAGAAGGAGGAGCTACAGCATCACGATCAGCGATGAACTGCTCTTGAGCTACACGTTGTCGTGCAGCATCTTGAATTTGTGCCGTTACTGGATCAAGTTCAATGGGTGATCCGTCCATGGAATTATCCATAGAAAATTCATCAGAAGCGCTTTTTGGTTTATACCAAGGCGTCTTAGGCATCTCGTTATCGACTAGAACAGCCTTCTTCAATCTATCTTGATGGACTAAGTCAGCTTTTATCGTACCGTCAGGCCATGCAAGCTGAAAGGTATGTAGAGGCGTTGCTCGAACAATACGTAAGGGACCATAAAAACTTTGATCAAATTTCTTCTTAGCGAAGTGCTTCACAAGGACAGCATCACCTGGAAGAAATTTATTTTCGTCGATTTCATTCTGCTTGTCATAGGTAGAAGCCATAAGATCTGCTGCTTTCTGTTGTAGACCATGTGCCTTGCGACGTATTTCATCAATCTGATCAAACTGTTGTTGTCTGTAAGCTGAGTAATCATCTTCCGTTATGAAGTCGAATAAATGAGGGTGAGAAGTATCTCCAGGGATAACTGGATCTAGACCATAAACCAGTTTAAAAGGTGACACTTTAGTGATAGAGTGTATACGAACTCGACATGCGAATAAGGCTTGTAAAATGTATCTGTCCCAAGCTGTACGATGATTTCCGACAAACTTGTTAATCATTGTGCCTAATAAGCCGTTAAATCGTTCGCACTTTCCGTTGGCTCGGGGATGGTATGCAGATGTTAGTTGATGGTTCGTACCCATCCGATTCATATATCGCTGTAAGGTCGCTGCCGTGAAATTTGATCCACGGTCTGTGACAATTTCAGATGGACATCCAAACTGCATAAAAATTTCCTCATAAATAAAGTTAGCAACTGCCGATGCAGTCGCTTCATGCACAGCACGGGCTAAGGGCCAGTTGGTAGCATAATCAATTGCGGTGATAATCCAACGATTGCCATTCTTGGTTTTCGGTAGGGCTCCTATGAAGTCCATTCCCCAGCGCTGAAAGGGCAAGGTAGGCTCTAGAGGATGTAGAGGTGCAACAGTGGCATCTTGACGGGCTAACAGCTGACATTCAGGACAAGCTGAGACCATTGTTATAATATCAGCACGAAGGGTTGGCCACCATACACGAGTTGAAACCAGATCGAATAAGCCGTTTCGGCCAAGATGACTGAAATATGCCAGGATCATAATAAGTAACGAGAACGAAAGAAAGATGTGTTTATTATGATCCAGGGATCTTCGTTAAATAAAAAGGGTAAAAATCTTAGCTATAGTAAAAACCCATGTAAATGACTGCTAATCGCAACATAACTCCCCCTCCAGACGAGCGTCCAGGTAAGAGCGAGTGCTTATAAAGCTTGGAAGGAAAATTTATAAAACCTTCCTATTAGGATAATTAGTGTCGAAGGAAAAGTCTAAAAACCTTCTTGTTTGATTAAATAAATAAATAAATTCTTTGAAGGAAAATAAATAAAACCTTCAGCGTCTGCATTTCTTTTTAGATGCGACCATAAAAAAAGGGTAAAATAATAAACCTTAAATTTGATTTGATAGTGAGGAAAACGTTCATGCTGTTAACGCATGCGTACAAAAACCTTAGTGAAGCAACATTCGTTTTTTTGCTTCTACCTTCTGTTCTTATGTCTTTTCTGAGCCCTTGACCCTACAACTGTTGCAGGTTGCTTCCTCTTAGCCATTTTGGCAATCATATGAGGGTTCTGCTGATTAAGCTTTTTATAGTACTTATTGATCATTGCTTTGGAGTCAAAATCTTTGTACCAAAGTTGCGAGTTGTGCTCATCGTCATATCCTTTCCATTTAACTGTGTACAGTGTCTCTCCCCCCTCAGAAGTTTCATGACTCAAGATAGCTTCGACTTCATAATGATCATCGGCGTCATCCGAAGCATCAAGTGGTCGATCCACTAGCTTAAGCTGTTCAGGAGCAAAATTACGAGGTAGTAGTTGTCTCATCGCGTCACGGAGAACATATGTACCACGAACAGTGCGGCGAACTACTTGAAACGGCCCAATGTACTTATTATCAAATGTACTATTAGCCAAGGGGTCCTTGATCATCACATAGGCGGCAATAGGGAAGTCAGTTATAAAATGATTTGAGTTGAATTTATCCACCATCTTCTGCTGCGAGGCTGTACTCTTATCTGCAATAGCAGGGAATACAAGGTCAGTAAGATACCTTAAGCGCTCATTCAATTCTGATTCAGATAGCAATCGTGATCCCGATGCTGAGAAGTCAGATATTCCAGCGAAAGATCGACCATAAAACAGCGAAAAAGGCGCCGAGCCATGAAGGCTAACAATTCTAGTATTCATTTGTAACTGGACCATAGGAAGTTGGTCATCCCATTTAGTGATTTCGCCTTGAATAGATTTCTGCAAGAGATCTTTAAGGGTACGGACATTACGTTCTGCTAAGCCATTGGCCCGAGGATGATAAGGCGTAGTAAGCCTATGATCAATCTCAAGCTTGGTAGTTAACGATCTGACAACTAAGTTGACAAATTCAGTCCCATTATCACTCTGGATAATTTTAGGGAACCCAATGGAGCAGAATAATTTGAAAAGTCGAGCGGCGACAGTGACCGCATTACGATTAGGTATTGGTTCGATAAAAACAAACCTCGTGCATACATCTACGGCGAGAAGAGCGTATTCGTTGCCTGCGTCGCTGACAGGAAATTGGGCTAGATCAAAGGCTATGTGCTCGCCTGGTAGAGTAGCATGTATTGCTTTGAGTGGATGGTAGCCTTTACGCACGATATTATAGTGCTGGCAAGCAGAGCATTGTCTTATCCACTGATTGCAGGTTTCACGCATTTTGGGCCAGTTATACCCTTGCTGCTGCAATGATAAAACCATGGCATTAATACCAAGGTGTCCAAAGCTGTGTGTATCTTTCAAAAGTTGCTTTTGCTGATCATCAGTAGGCGTCACTCGTGGCACTTCTTGATCTTGAATCTGGTGCACATAAGGTAAAGAAGCATCAAGACTTTCAATCCTTGGAATAAGATCTGCTGATTGCGTAACTATTGGAGCAGATTCGTCAGTGGAGCGTAAGCTGCGTCTAGTAGATACTGCAGATACTCTTGTAGACTCTGAATGAGAAGACTCTGAACGGGTCGGACTATTTTCTCGGGCCCATAATTCGTCAGGAAAAGCTCTCGATAGCGCATCAGGAATAATGTTCAGCAATCCAGGTCTGTAGATGCATTGGAAATCATAGCTGAGAAGGGTTTCTCTCCAGTCCGCTAGGATCTGAGAAAGTTCCTTTTGTTCATGAATATAAGTGAGTGGTTTGTGATCAGTGTATAGGGTGAATTTACGACCCCATAAATAATAGTGAAATTTTTTGCAAGCATAAATGATGCCTAAAAGTTCTTTCTTATATGCTGGGTAGTTGCGTTCGTGGTTCTTTAAAGCTCTAGCCATAAAAGAAATGTAATTGACTTTGGTTTCATCTTCAGGACCATTTGGTAATTGGTAAAGCACTGCGCCAATACCTAGATTGGATGCGTCAGTGGCCACATAAAAGGGCTGAGAGAAGTCAGGGAATGACAATACAGGTGCTGATATGATGAGCTGTTTCAACTGATTAAAACAACGCATTTCTAAATCACCAAGTGCAAAATGTCCTTTGACGTTTCTCAATTTATCCAAAGGTGCTGCCAAAGTACTAAAGAGGGGTATATATTCTCTGAAATAGTTAAACATCCCAAGATACCTTTGTACCATTTTGCCATCGGTGGGAGGAGTCCATGATTGAACGTTAGCAACTTTTTCTGGATTAATCCTTCTACCATTTGCATCGATGACGAACCCTAGCAACAAAACTTCCATGCGGAGGAAATTGCTTTTTTCCTTATTGATAATTAGATTGGCACCAGTCAAGAGTGTAATCACCAATTTGACATGTTCAGTGTGCTCTTCAATGCTGTCGGAGAAAATGACAATGTCATCAACATAAACGCTAACGAAGTGAAGATCTCCAAGCAATTGAGACATTCCTCTTTGGAATATACTGGTCATAGGCTTCAACCCAAAAGGAGCACGAGCAAACATATATTGTTTGTTCATATGCTTAAATGCCGTGTAGGGTTGGCTTTTCTCATCCAGAGGTAATCTATGATATGCTTGTGACAAGTCAATTGTAGTAAAATACTTATGACCTGCAGCTCGTTCCAATATTTCGGAAATGATAGGGATAGGAAAGTTATCAATATCCACGAGCTGCTTATTCAGCGTTCTTGGGTCAAGACAGACTCTGTATTTAATAATTTCGCCTTCTAGGTTCTTCCTTGCTGCAAGTGTGAGAGAGTTGTTGTAGGGGTTACCTTTAGGCGCCTCAACTATAACTCCATTGTCTAGCCATTTCTGTACGGTGGTATTGACTTCATCCATTTCTACTTGCGCGTAGAACCTACGAGAGCGTTCTTGAATCACGCAGTCATCTCTGACTTTTAGATGGACTCTCATAACGTCTAGTGGACAGTGACTCTTGGGGTCTATCTGGCTATTAGAGCAAAGGAAGGGCTCAATGGCTAATAAGAACTGTTTCTTCTGTTCGATGAACTCAGTTTCTAACTCTTGGTCTTTCATAATGGAGGGTACAAGTGGCGGTTTACTTTCATCATCTAAGAAATCATCTGTCTTTTCAGCAACAGCTGTAGCTATGCCATGGATTCCAAAGCCGAAGCGGTAAAATAGATCCATTCCGATAAGGAAGTCGTAATAGCCCATAGGCATCACACTGACTCTGCATTCTACTGTTCGGTGATTACAAGAGAGAATAATAGCATCTACTGTGCCGACATTTTGAAAACCAGTAGTGTCATCTGCAAATCTAATTACAGTGTTTTTCGAGGTTGTAGTCCTTATTTTGAGGTCTTTGGCTACTTCTCGATTGATAAAGGATACATTGGAACCAGGATCAAGTAAAGCCGTGTATAAGAGGCCATTTATAGTAATGGGAACAGATATTCTGTTGTCTTCCGGTTCAGGTCCTCTATAACCAATATTTCTACTCGGTTTGGGATCCGCATAATTGTCATACGGATGTGGTGCTTTTGATTGTGGTTGTTTAACATTTAATACAGCACTTGTCGCTGCTATTTTTAAGGAATGGTTTATAGACACGGTTTTGTGAATCAAAGATGAATACTTAGGTGTATCTGATGAAGGGCCGGTAGGGCTGTCAACATAAGGGCAAATATCCATTCGGTTTATTGCGAGTTCAAGATCATTTCCTAGAACGTCATCAAAGCTATCTTCTTTCATTTGACGCAGGGAGGCTACCTTCTTATATTGAATAGGCCCCTTCTTGTCTCTTCCGTGAGCTTGCTTGTTAAGCTCGGCAAACTTGTTTGGATTTGTATGCCGAAAGCAGTCTGCATCTGAATGTTTTCTGTTCAGGGAGACGCAAGTAGGGTCCTTACAAGGATTGGAATTGCCGGCCCTTTGGGCTCTTTTCCCTGTGTTATAGGGATGGCGACTTTCTACCCTTTTGGAATGGGTTCTTGATTGTCGACGATGCTGCTGAACCTCCTTAGGTTGGTTGTCCTCTGCATTCTTGGTGGGAGACAGCTCGTTCCCAAATTTGTTTATAAACCACGCACATGGATTTCTTCTTTCACCAGAAAGGACACTAGGGTTCATTCTGATAAACTCAAGAAGCTGGTTTACGTCCGTAATGGTATCCAGCGAATGAAACTCAGATAGGACTTTCTCTCTGCCTGCGTCTGACAGCGTCGAGGTGATTTTCCCATATAAAAGAACACCCATTAGCTGCAGACCTCCGGCTTCAATGAGCAGCTCTATCCGGTCCACATAGGAATTAGCGTCTTCACCAGACATAGGAGCGAGGTCACCAATTTGACTTATGATCAGGGAACGAATGAGATCGAACTTCAAGATCTTTTGGATGCATCTTTTAACTTGATGCCAAGATCGGTTTTGATACACAGGGGTCTTGATAAGTCGGTCGTACTCTTCATGAAGGCCTGTAGGGACTAGCGCTAGGTTCATATACCTCCACGCCATGTCGTCAAACAGATCATCAGTCAGATAATTGGTATAGTGGGTCTTGAAGGACTTCTGAAAGTCCACGACAGTCTTGATAACTTTGAATGGGACATCCTTCAGGGGAATTCCTTTAAGCTGGAATCGAAGCGAAGGGGCTCCTGATTTCTCTTGGATTTGCACCCTGGAATAATCGATTTCCATGGATGCTTTGTCGATAATGGGGATCCTCTTATAATTGAAGACTCTCGCCAATGCGACATGTTTCTTGATCCCAATGACAGGAAATACATCGAGACCGTTAGAGTCTTGCGTTTCAGTTTCTGGAAGCGACTGATCCTCATGAAGGGTAGCAGCAGGTTGCCTAGATTTGTTCATGGCTTCCTGAGTGTTGATCAGGCCTTTAATCATTTGATAATGGGCCTCTGCTGTTTCTAGCTTGTCAGTGAAATTTTTATTCATCTGCTCAAACTCCAGCTTAGCTGCTTCAGCTTCATCGGGAGGAAAGGCTGGGTTGATAATTGTCGTGTTGTACTTAACGGCCAATTTCATCTTCTCATTCAAACACTGCTGGCGGTTGGCATCAGCTTGTATAAGTGATTCTTTCAGCTGGCTCAACAACGCTTGGGACGGGGCTTCCGCTTCCGCAAGCGTGGGAGGATGCCCTACTGGGGTTGTTCCGGGCAAGGGCATCATTGTCTCTTCCGGTAGGGTAGAAACAAAGGTCCTAGGTGGGGTTTGCTCGTCGAAGACGGGAGAAGATGGTGTGGAGTTGGTTGAGTTAGAGGCCATTGTGGTAAAATGATGGTTGGTATGAGGGTGTAGGAGATATTGTTTCTTGATGTAAATTGTGTGTCTTCGAAAAAGGTTCTGATTTTTTTTTTTTTTATACATATATATACGAGTGCCATCATCTCTATCCATGTTAAGACACAACGCGCCAGGATGGCATGGTTTGTATACCACGTTCCAAATTTGGAGGCAAATTAACAATAGATCGCTCTGATCTGCAGGAATTCATAATTACCCCACATTGCTCTGTCTCCTGGTCCAAAATAAACATTTTGAATTGGTTTGTGAGGGTGTGACGCTTAGTAACATGGGCAAAATCAAGATCAGTGATTGGTTGATGGTCATGCCATGCATGGTGAATGCGGATTGGATGAGGATGTCAATGGGAATGTAATGGTTGAAATTCAATTTTTTAAGCAATTCTCGCTCCTTCATTCCTCATTCCTAAACCACAGCCATTTTCAAACTTTGCTCAAACACTTCAGACTACACCAGTTTCCCTTTTTTTTTTTTTTTTTTTTTTAAAAAAAATAATAATGTCTTCAAACACCAGGAACAATACTTCTACATGTTCACGCACCACCAGGCTAATGACACGTCAACAGGCTGAGTCAGAGGCCCAAGAGGCAAGGCTTAGTCGAAGCCAAAATCGTCTTCCTCTAGCGTCACTGTCTCTCAATATTAGAGCTCGATTTGCTGGACCCAACCACCAGGAGAACGTGTCAAGAATTAGAATAAGAGTGCCCGATTCCTTATCTCCAGAACCGGAGCCCCATACCCATGCCTCTAATACTTCAAGTGGAGAATCAGTGAGGCGAGGATCTGCTAGAGAGTCTCATCAGACTAATGCAGCAGGCTCTTCACGAGGGGTATATAAGGGAAAGCGTTTAGAGAGGATTATTCAGGATCTGTTGAGAGTTCTTCATCTTCACCGTTTAACAAGAAGAGTAGATTGTTGAAAGGACAAGATTGTAAATGTGCGAATGAATTTAAGCTAGTTTTGCATTATCTCCGAGGTGCATATAGCAGGATTGATAGTCTAGACGAGGTCATTTTCGAGCAAGGAAAGACTATAAATGTTCTTTCAATGAGGTTACAAGAATTAGAAGCTAAGCATGCCTCTGGGTCAAGTCCTTTGACTAAGAATAAGGGGAAGGCAAAAAGCCGAGAATAGCAGAATGGTTTTTTAACCAAAACTTTGATTGTATGATTCGAATAAAGTAAAAAAATAAGTGTAGGCTTCAGCTTATTTGTGAATGGACTTAGGATTGATGGTCTAGACAAGACCATTCACGAGCAGAAAAATATTATCAATGCTCTTTTAGAGAGGATACAATGTTTAGAAGCTCATCACACCTTGGGGTCAAGCTCTTCGACTCATCATAATTTTTGATTTAAAATAAATATTTCAATAATAATAATGCAACTGTGGGGAAGTGAGTTGTTCCTGAATTGATAGTGCAGAAATATATTAAGAGTATCTCTGAGAGCAAATAAGCTTTGTTTTGTGTTTGGAGTGTTTGAATGGAGCTAGCACAGGCAAAATATTTGTAAAGCTCTCTCTCTTTTTTTTTTTTTTTTTTTTTTACGCATGTCAAAATCTCAATAATTCATTGGTCCATTAGAGCTGAGGATCACGCCATCGTCTTTTCATGGAGAAAAATCTCAATGGCGAATGAGAATGAAGCATGGATGGTGAGGGATGGATGATTGTGATTATAAATTGATTGTCATTTTTCATTCCTCCATTCCTCATTTCACTCTTAAACTTTTTAACCTTAACACTCTAACACTTCCAACACTTCACATACACTTTTTACAAGTTCTTAACACTAAATTTTCACCATGTCTTCCAACGTTGTTTCCCCTAAAACCCTTATCACCTCTTCCGCTGCTCAGGATAAGGGCAGAAGTCAATCTGTTCAGGAGAAGGGTGAAAACCATATCACCCTCGACTATTCGCTAACCAGCATTGGGGAAAGTAGTGGAAGTGAGGAGGAACGTGGACGTAAGAGGATTCTCAAGCTCAGGAAGGATCCCATACTCAGTTTGGATCCCTATGCTGATCCTGCCTTAGAGCAGTACAATCGGCATCAGCGTATGCTAAAGAAGGGGTTGAGGGATCTTTCTCGATCCCCTTCTTTGGAGATCGGTTCCTCCACTCATACCGTTTCCTCTAGTGCCACTGAGACTGTGCTCGGCCGAAGGAGCCGCAGCGAGACCGATGACGAAGAGGCTGAACCTTCGAGGCGTCGTCAGCGTATTAGCAAGACGACGCAGGAACGCCTTGAGGACACTGTCAGGGCCCTCTGCAAGCGGGTTAAAGAGCAGGATGAGAGGATACTGAGTTTGGAAGTTGATATAGAACTTTTGAAGAAATCCATTCCTTCTCCTACTGTTCGTCGTAGTGGTAGAAATCGCAAAGGAAAGAAATAAATCTTGCGATTGTTGAAATGAATATACTTATCTTATGCGGGATGTATGATAAATATGTAAATATGATGAGGAAAATGATAGTTGAGATGATATGAATAGTATGAATAGGTCCTCATCCCCGCTTAATAAGGGGTTTGTCTTTCTACGTTAAAAAAAGTGAAATATGCCAGGATCATAATAAGTAACGAGAACGAAAGAAAGATGTGTTTATTATGATCCAGGGATCTTCGTTAAATAAAAAGGGTAAAAATCTTAGCTATAGTAAAAACCCATGTAAATGACTGCTAATCGCAACAATGACCAAAGCCAGCATGATACATATATAGAGTATCAGCTCGATTGACGAAAGGAACAAATGGGACTGGGCCGTGTTCTGTTATACGACACAAAGTATCGTGATCGACTTGGAAATGAATTGCTTCATCTCTTACTAGTTTAGCAGATTCATCATCTTCAGGTAAGGATCCATCCTTGAAATAGGCATAGATGTATAAAGGCCAGTCAACATTATCAGCGGCAAAGTCTTTTATAGATGAAGTAGTTGCAAGAGAGGCAACTGTTGGTGTAGATAAACGAGACAAAGCATCTGCGGCTGAGTTATCGACACCTCGACGATATTGAATATCAAGATTGTAGGGCGCCAAAAATTCAATCCATCTGGCCATACGACCGCTCAGATGAGGTTGATTAAATAAAAAGCGTAGGCTAGCGTGATCAGTGAAGACGGTTACTACTGATCCTAAGAGGTAAGAGCGCCATGCTCCACATGCTCGGACTATGGCCAATAGTTCCTTTTCATGGACTGGAAAATTTTTCTCAGAATTAGAGAGCTTGTGTGACACAAAGGCAACCGGGTGAAGACGGTTATCGATCATTTGTGAAAGAACTGCTCCTGTAGCAATGTCAGAGGCATCAGTTTCCACAAAAAATGGCTTAGAAAAGTCTCCGGGGTAAAGAACTGGTGTTGAGGTAAGCAATTGAATCAACTTGTCCATGGCTGCTTGATGGCTAGGAGTCCATTGTGGTAAAGGTCTCTTTTTGGCATTGTTTTGTCCTTCTTGCTTTAATAAATCAGTCAAGGGGCTTGCAATCTTGGCGAAGTTGCGTATAAATCGCCTGTAGTAATTTGTGAAGCCTAAGAATGAGCGTAATTCTTGAACATTGGATGGAGTGGGCCAATCTTTAAGGACTGCAACCTTGTCTGGATCGACTTCAATACCTCGAGAGGATATGACATGACCCAAGAATTTGACTTCAGATACACCAAAGGTACACTTGCTGGGCTTTGCGTGAAGGGAAGCCGATTTCAAAGCTTCTAGAACCAGCATGAGATGTTGAACATGCTCTTTCATAGAAGAAGAGAAAATAAGGATGTCGTCTAAAAAGACAACAACGAACTTGTCCAAGAATTCCTTTAAGACATCATTGGTTAAAGTCTGGCATGTAGCAGGTCCTCCTGTGAGACCAAAAGGCATGACTACGTATTCGAAATGGCCATATCTTGTATTGAAAGCAGTTTTTGGAATGTCTGCAGGGTGAATACGCACTTGATTAAAAGCACTTTCTAAGTCTAGCTTGGAGAAAACAGTAGCACCAGTAAATCGATCGAAAAATTCTTCGATCAAGGGAAGTGGGTACCTATTCTTGATTGTGATTGAGTTCAAAGCTCTATAATCAATACACAGCCGGAGGGAACCATCGCTCTTGGTCACGAATAGAACAGGGGATGCCCACGGGGAAATGGAAGGTCTGATAAAGCCTTTCTTAAGTAAATCATCAAGTTGTTGCTTTAAAACTAACAACTCTTTTGGGGACATCTTGTAGGCTCGCTTATAGATCGGGCGTGCGTCTACTGTATCAATGTGATGATCTTGAGGTCTCTGTGGTGGTAGAGTCGACAATGGAGTGAAGACAGAATTTTCATATTCGTATAAAAGCTTCTGTAGTGTAGGATCAATATTGTTGTCTTTAATAACTTCCGCTAACGAAAGAGCAGAAATTTTCGGAGTCGATTGTTCATCTTGAAGAAAAACCAAACCCAGGTCTTGTTGATTTGACACAGCACGCTGGATGGTTCGATGAGTACACAACGAATCCATTTGAGGTTCCGAAGAAAGAACCTTTGGGGATGAGTCTTTGGAAGAAGCCTTGTATGATGCTCCATTCACAGTCCAAGTCAAAGTTCCTTGAACATAATCAGTATTTGGATTATACTTCTTTAACCAAACCAGGCCAAGGTAAATGTCTTGACTTAGGATATCAGCCACGCAAAATTCCTCGTCATGAGTAAAGTTGCCGATAGTAAATACGAGAGTGACTAAGCTTGTCAACTTTACGTTACTAAGATTGGCTGTAGTGGCGATTGTTGGCCGATTGAGTTTTGTTTCTTTTTTTATGAGCGAAGGATCATATGCGCGGATCCTGTTAAGCGCTGTTGTAGAGATCGCGTTGCAATTGCATCCGCCGTCGATAAGGGCAATCAGCTCAGTTGAGCCGACGTTCGTTTTGATGAAGATCTGTTCAGGCAACATTTTGATGTGATCTTCTAGTGGTGCTGATTTATCTGTCATTGTAATAGGCTCAACGGTATGAGCTTGTAATTGATTAACATGGGCAGATTTGTCAGGCTTATTATCAGGCTTTGTAGGGCAAGCGTACCCTTTGTGATCTGTCTTGCCACAGATATAGCATGACCGGGGACCATTGCCACCGTTTTTGTAGCATTGTACCTCAGAATGGCCGTGCCTGCCACAAGTAGGACAAGGTGGACGTCTTGTTCTGAGGGAATCTATGTCCATAGTAGATTCCGCAACATGGTCATGGTCTTGATGACGGTCTTGATGACGGTCTTGGTGTTGTTGTGAATTATTTTGATGAGAATTGTTTTGATGAGAGTTATTTCGATGATAAGTGGTATGTGAGGTTGAATGTCTGACAAAGTCATTATTTTTGTAAGATGCTTGATGTGGAGGAGGAGTATGAGGTTTGTCATTGGATCTTGATGCCTTGTCTAAGAGTCTCTTTGCGTGCCAGTTATGAGATTCTGTGCGACAAACATCTAGGACTTCATTCCAGGTCGTGGCGTTCTCTTTCTGAAGCTTGCGCTGGAGCCATAAATCTGCGACTCGACGGAAGTTCCATACTTTTTCTCCTTCGGGAATTTTATCACGAAGTGGATAGTATGCTGCCTCGAACTCACGGACGAATTCCATAACATCTGAGTTCGGTTTCATGGATAAATTGTCGTACTTGTAACGTAGCTCGAACTCATCATCCGCCTTGGCAAATTGTTCCTTAAAATCATGAGCGAATTTTTTCCAAGTGAGGATATTCTTAGTCTCAAGATCGTCAATGTGTCTAAGACTCCAATCACGTGCGATCTTTTCCATATGTAGAGCAACACGAACTGTAAAGAAGTTATCATTGACGTTGGAAATTTTGTACAAAGCGTCCATAGCGCGTAACCAGGATGAAACATCCGTCTTGCTATCGAATCGTTCAATTCCTGCAAGATTAAAATGCTGATTGGTTGTAGTTTCCATATTTACATCACCATCGGTGTCAAGAAAGGAATTGGAGGATGTGGTCGTGGTAGAGGAGCTTGCGGTGCTTTGAACGTTGATATTGGATGGGGGTTTCATTGTTGATAAATAAAAGGTCTTTGTTTGAAAAAAAGGGCAAATAAGGGGATGAATAAATAAAAATGTGTGTAAACAAGTAAAAAGGTAACAAATAAGGAAAGAGATAAATGAAACGGAAAAAGAAAGCTAATTTTTTTTTTTTTTTTTTTTTTTTAAAAATATGCGCGAAAAATAAAAGTGTGTGGTGAAGGTAAAGAATTTGGTTGAGGAAAAGCAAAAAGTTTGTAATATGATCACAACAAAAGGATGAATATGTACAATCAAAAAGTGTCAAGAAGAATAATAATGGAGTAGTAACTAGGTCGCGTTAGAGGTTAAAAGAACCTTTGCTACCATTTGTCGTAGAGCATCTACTAGTGATCTCTGGAAACTAGTAGGTAATGATGAAAAATGAAGAATTGGGCAAGAGCCTCGTGGTTTTGGGATATGATAGTGATCCTAAGTAATGCTTTGAATGATTTTGAGGATGCTGCAAAAGGGCATCGATAATAAGAAGAGAGATCTTTAATAACTGCTAATTTTCTGAGAATTCATAATGAGAATAATGAAGATAAACTCACCTGCAAAAGGGCATCGATAATAAGAAGAGAGATGCCGTTTTTGCAGTGAAGGAAAAAGCTACTTAAATACTATTTAAAAATGGTAGAAAATAGGATGATAGGAAATAAATAAATTAAAAGGAAATACATATTTAGGTAAATGAATAGGCGTCATTTACGACATCGTATCCTTGAGAATATACTATTTATTCGCTATACGGCAACCTTACGGTGCCTAAACCAATTTCCATTTTTGTAAAATTATAAATATCACGTGGTAACCACTAGCACGTGAATATCCTGCTACATAAAGTTGTCGTCTTTTTTTTCTTTCCTTCACTCATCATTCATCTTTTCGATCGAAATCTTTCACAAACTACACCAAAAAAGCTTATCAAATTCATATTTGTTCTTTATTCTTTAAGTGAACAATTATTTTTATACTTCTTACACCAATCAAAATCTTCTCTTCCTAGTTCCCACTTTTTCCACACCGCTCAGCGAAGACAGCAAACCAACATGGAGGGCCTCAAACAGTTTAATAGTAATAATAATAATTCGATATTTAACTATCCATTGGACAACTATACGAACTCCATTCGTCCAGTGCAGAAGTCCAATGTCTTGGCTGTTTGCCTTGTTAATGAGGCCAGCAAGGGATCTGAATGCTATGTTTATTCAACTTGTAAGTACCTTTTTTTTTTAATTTTTTTTTTGTTTCTTCCTTTTATTTTTTTTTTTTTCCTTTTTTTTATTTTTTTTTATTTTTTTTATTTTTTTTTTTGTGCCACATTTTCGAATTCCAAAGCTGACTTTTATTTTGTGTTTGTTTTGTTTTTTCGAATAACAGTGGAAGGCAGAGGCCAGTGGCGGCCCTGACATCCCTATTAATGATTGCGCGACAAAGCTCACAGGCCTGAGTGGCAGAAGGGCCTGTGAGCCAAGTCGCCGGGCCGGTGTCTCGGAGGAGCAGATTGCTAAATTTGTAAGAGAGATGAAGCAATACCGCTCCTCGACCAACGATGGTGCCGTCCACCCCCCACTTGTATGTCTAGAAAAGGAAGAGGAAGAGCAACTGAAGGATGTGAATATTGAGGCAACATTGACGATTACATCGAATGATTCTAAAGAAAATACTTGGCTTGGATTTGTGTCCGAGGGTTCTTTGTTCTTGAAGGGTGATGGATGGGATGATATGGATATTCGAGAGGTAAGAGCCTGATCTTGATTTCTGATAATGAACCCTGATAGACAAGATACTGCTTTAAAGAACGAATACTAATATGTTTATTCTATTTCCGCTTTCTCTTTTGTAGAGTGTCGTGGCCGCGCTTGACCTTGCGGAAGAGCAGCTCGGTTGTCGATCGGTCCATCTCTGTCTAGAAAAGAACAACCCCAATCTTGGTATGTCTAGGTGACACTTGTATTTTGTCATACTTTGTATATTAAGACACGTACATAAACACAGGCTGACTAATATTCTTCATATCTTTTTGTTAACAGCCAAACTCGTGCGCACCTTAATGTACGCTGGGTTCGAGATGGTGCATCCATCCATTTTGGCAAATGCGGATCCCAAGTTTCTAGTCCTTGGTATGGATTTGTAAACCAAGAAAAGAAAGCAGTTTCTAGAAGATTTTCCGTAAATTCTTTATTCCTATTCTATTTCTGTCTGCCTATTTGCGGTGTTTCATTGGAACCCTCATTATGTTGCATGTAAAATTTTGCATGTATTTTTTTTTTCTTTTGTGCCTTTCTTTCCCTTCAATCTCTTCCTCATCTAGACGTCAATTTAAATAAAAAATAAAAAATAAAAAAAAATAGTCCACTGGCATGTTTGTTTTCTTGTTTTAATTTTGGTGATGGTTCTCCGTGATGTGCTTCGCCCTAATGCATTATTTTATAAACGAGACTAAAACTACTGTCATCCAACGTTTCTATCCTTGGTCCCTCCTCCTCCACGTGTGTTGGGGACAAGCTTCAGGAGGTGGGAAAAAATGGCAAATGCTATTGGTCTGATTTTTTTGGTGACCAATAGTAAAAGTGCCCAGGACATCATGTTTGGCACTCAGAGAAACAGACATGAAAATCAAAGGGATCGGCTGAAGCATGTATCCCCTGTCCATACGCTTAATGTCCATGTACATGAACGTTCTGACGCAAATCGAATAGACTGCTTGTTTCCATGCACACTGTCGTCTCTCTTGCTGTTGTTGGCCCATTATGTGTCATTATAATAATTGAATTATATCTGAACCACCTTCATACACATGCTCCTTTTTCCTTTCGGCAGAATTGTTGATAAAGTCGCCTTTTTTTATGTCTGTGTGCGTGTGTATGCGTTGAACATATTAGCACATTCTGTAGCGATGAACTATCAGATACAAAAAACGCATTGGGTTGGGGTTCATTTTCATAAAGGGGATGCCTCAAGGGAGTTAACATTCTTCCCTTCTCATTGTTCTTCTCTCCTTCTCTCACTTTGCTCTTCACACTACTTCTCTTCTCTTTACTTCTATCCCTTCTTTCGTAATATCACCTTTTATTCATTCTTCGTTGTATATTTTATTTTGTTCAATTGATTCAACATCCTAGCATGCCTTCTACAACAGCTACCACTGTGCCTGAAGCGCCCGCAAAGCGTCTCTTTGTTTTTGACTTTGACTGGTAAGCTTGAGGAAAAAGCTAAAAAGGAAAAGGGAGATATCTGGTATAGCAAGTCCCTGATACCGGGACCATCATGGCAGTATACCGCAAAGTTTTTGAACAACACTTTGGCGTTGATGCTTACCTATCTTTTATTTTATTTTTTTCCTGTGATTAGGACTCTTATCGACGCTGACTCTGATGAATTTGTTTTCAAGCACCTCAACACTGAACTCCATCAAGAACAATTGGCTTCTGCTGGAAAGGTTCAGTGGACTGACCTCCAGTATGGCAAAGCTTCATTTTGCTTTGCTTTGCTTTTTCCTTTTTCCTTTTCTTTCTTTTCTTTTCTTTTCTTAAACATCCGTTTTTTTTTTTTTTTTTTTTTTTTTAATCTTTTATCCAATATAGGCAGCGTCTTTTGGGTGAATTGTTTAAATGTGGTGTTACTAAAGAAGATATTGAACGAACTCTGAGCCAGGTCCCGTTCGTACGTGAAAGAGTTGTTTGAATATTTAATAAGAAGTGCTTTTATTGTACAGGTTCCTGAATTCTTTTTATTTTATTTTTTTCTATAGGCACCAGAAATGATTGAGGCCTTGAAGTTAATGAAATCTCAGGGATCAGAACTGTATATTCTCTCAGATGCCAACACGGTCTACATTGATACTATCCTCAAGGTATACTGCGCAATGGATTTTTTTTTTTTCTCTTTTAAATCCGATAGGGGGAATACTCAATTATATACACGTCTTTTTTTTTTTTTTTTTAAGGCTCATAGCATTGATAATCTGTTCACAAAAGTCATAACTAATCCTGCAGCTTTTGACGAACAAGGTCGATTGAACGTAGTTCGATTCCATGGCCTGGACAAAAAACCTCATAACTGTCCTTTGCCTTGTCAACCAAATCTTTGTAAAGGCCGTGAGATTCAGAAATTGATCGATTCGCAAACTTGGGACCAAGTGATCTATATGGGTGATGCGACCAATGACTTTTGTCCTTCAACGCGTCTTCAAAACACGGATATCGTCTTGGCCCGTAGAGGTTTGTTGTTGGAGCAAGAAATCAGAAAACGTCCATATCTAGTCAAGGCCAATGTCCTTTATTGGGATAACGCACAGGATGTCTTGAGTGCAACGCATGCAATCTTTGAACCTTGCTCTCCAGCATTGCAGGCGCCTTCTATCAAGCTCTCCGACGAAATGCTCCCTAAAGTTGTATCCACTACTCCTAATGTCCAAGTACAGGCTGTGAAGGCATAAAGTCTGCTACATTAGACATACAGATTTTGCGACACCTTTTTTTAAGCCTTTTTTATTCACTCTGCAGTTTATTTATTTTTGAATTTCATCTATATCAGTCTCTACCCATCATTGAGGATGAGCCTCTTTTCTATTCTTTTTTTTTTAGTTTTTGCCCTGATAAAGACATGAAGGGATTCTATTATAACATATCTTAAACGATCAGGCGTCTCGGATGTGGATGATTTTATTGTAGCTTTTTTTTTTTTTTTTTTTTTTTTTTTTTGGGAATACTTTACCAGAATGCTGGCGAGAGGAGATCTGTGATAGATCATGGATTCGAAAGATCTACCCATATTTTTATCGTCATGTCATTGTCAATAGCGCCTGAAGCGATAATATTCTGCTCTGGATGGCATGCCACGCATAGTACAACGTCTGAATGTACACAATTATAGTCAAAGGTTGTTAGTTTGTGTTAATAAGGCTTTGCCACGATATTCATTTTGACTCAGCACCCATGATCATTCATATAAAGTAATAGCGACCAAATCCACACGTCTCCACTTACCAGAGTGCCCTTCCAATTTCTGCACAATCTCTCGAGTTTGCAGATTCCAGATATAAATGCAATGGTCTTCGCTGCCGCTGACAATCCATTTTCCTCCTGTCACCGAGAAACTTCCAAAAATGCAGTAGGAGTCATTCTTATGTCCAGTATATGTCTTCAGGCACTTTCCAGTGTTATAGTTCCAGAGACGTATTGTGTCATCTAGGGTTGATGTCATGATAAACTTGCCATTTGGTGAAAATTTAGCGAAGGAGCTGGGATTAATTATAGACATAAAAAGAAGATGGTCAGAATTAGAATTCGTCTGTTATAACTTTTCTTTATGCTGATGTCCGATACTGAGGCTTACATTGGAGGGCTAGCTTCGTCGATAAGTGTTTTGAGGCACTGTCCTGTTACTGTATCCCAAATTCGGCTACAAAGATAATAGACCATGGACGAGAGGAGACTTATGAGCAAGTCATTTTAAGCATCAAACATTGTCCCATTGTCCCATTGTCCCAAATCCTTGGTTTCCGTGTTCTTACACAACGCCATCATGGCTACATGAGACAATCATCGTTCCATCCCTGTTGAATTGTACTGCATTAACAGGGTCGGAGTGTGCTTGAAGCACCATTATACATTTTCCTATACAATTCAAGGGAAATGATGGTTGAGATTCAGATAATCAGTATGATATAGAGACTACATGATATACTCTATATCATCTCTGGGACAAGTCCGACAAATTACCTTTTTTGACATCCCAGATTCTAACAGATTCATCAAATGAGCCTGATACAATCAAGCTTGATTGGGGATTATAATTGACACAAAACACATAATTTGTATGTCCGCGTAGAACCTTGATGGTCTGGGCCTGTATCAACACGAGATGGTAAGAAAAAATAATTGAAGTCTCAGTGATTTTGCACATTCAGCGCAAACTAAACAAACTATACTCTTGTTTAGTCCCAAAAACCATCGTTTGATTCCTCGTACCGTCTCTAAACTCCAAATACGAATAGTTTTATCATCGGAAGCAGAGCACAATGAGAGTGAGTCCGATGCCCAAGCGATATCTGAAATTCCTTGTAGATGTCCCTCCATCGTGCATTGATGCCGTCCGTCATAGGCATTCCAAATCCTGATTGTCTTGTCTGAAGCTAAGTATCAGATGAATATAACCGCCAAAAAAAAAAAAAAAAAAAAAAAAAAAATTGAGAAGGAGAGAAAATAACATTTTCTTCAATCAGGCTCGAGACATGATAGGATAATTGAAGTATGATGGGCTCTTTGGAAGTGTAGGTGGTGAAGGTGACGCAGGATCGGTTCAATATTTACGACCATTGATAACATTGCTCAAACGTTTAAATGAAGCAAACACAAAGCACAGAGCGCAGAGCATGGAAATGACATATATTTTTGATGTATACAACTTACACGAGCTTGCGAGCCATCGACCATCTGGGGAAAACTTGACACTCGATACAGCCTTTCGATGGCCTACTAGTGAAAACTTGAGCTGATAATTGGGTTTATGAGTCCATGCAGCTGCTGTTGCAGCAGCATGTGATTGATGTTGGAACTGGTGCTGATTCTGCTGCTGGAACTGAAGCTCAGACGATTGCAATTGATGAAACTGCGCCTGTTGTTGCTGTTGATGATGATGATGATGATGATGATGATGATGATGATGATAGTGAAGCTGCTGCTGGTGCAACAAAGGCTGCTGCTGCTGTTGATACTGAAATTGTTGCTGTTGTAGTTGTTGTTGTTGTAAAAGCAGTTGCTGCTGCTGCTGTTGTTGTTGTAGTAACTGAAGTTGTGACGATGATGAAAAGGAAGCATGCTGAGTCAAAGAGGAGGAAGTCATAGAGGGAGCATTGATGCCCAGAACTAAAGCATTAGCCTGTGCTCTGGCTTGGTCAATGCTGTGTGCACCTTGTTGTTCGTCAATATCGGGGCTGTCCTTACGAGCCTTCTTGGAGGGAACATCATATTCGCCATGATGGTCATGCGGACCTTCACCGTGGTCCTCATGCATGTACTCTCGCTTCAAGTCTGCCATGGAGTAGCTGTAATGTAATACTAGAAGTAAACAGATTAGATGGAGGACAGGGATGAGGAGGAAGAAGGATGTTTTGAGTTCCAACAACCCTCGTAGGGAATAGTCAAAGTCAGGAAAGACAAAAAACTGGCAGTGCATAAAAAAAGTAGGTTCTGAGTTTAATCGAATCGAATCGAGTTGTTGGAGTCAAAAAAAAGCCACTTGTTGCACGTGCTCAGAAGCAGGCTTCCTTCTGCTTCGCCTTGGTGATCGTCAAAAAACATGGTACCCTAGTCTCCTACCGATGGGTTCGCTTGTCCATAGATGAATAGATAGCTTCAGTTTTTGGAAGCCAGGGTAAGAAGGCTCATGACAATAGTGTCCATGCTTGTCTCCAAATCAATAGTCATTACATATTGGTAAGTAGCACAACTAACAGAATGTGCTTGTTTTGCACTATTGCTCACTATGAAAGAATTCATGACAGTCTTCTAATTGCCCTCCGTAAGGTTATATTAGCGTCTTTGACCGGAGCCGAGATGAGTTTGTTGACAGAGGCTTTGGTTCAGTTTCACTGATTAACCCCCAGATATCGAGAAGCGTATTTATAGAATATCTCAACGGAGATGGGTGAAGTAAGAAGTAAATATTGTATTACTTGCATCAAGCAAGTATTGATTGCCCCTCCATATCAGGGCTCCTTAACCTTACTATATCATGATATGCAGACTTTGGTTCATTATGGCGCGTCTCTGTAAACGGAAATGTCACCATCTTCAGACTCACTGTAGCTAGAGCATCTGGACTGCGCAGTAAATACACATATTGCCCCACTTTTCACAGATACTCGCCAAAAAGAAGGTAAAGCGCAGAACTATCAAAGCACGGGCGCCATATATATCACTTCAGAATTTGCAGATGGAGATCGTCGCTGCTTAGCTGCTGTAGTTCAGCAGTATCGAACTCGGGAGGGGATAATCAAGCCTCAGCATATTCAGGACTGAGATAATATAAAGAACGATTCAGAGACTGAGGAAGAATCGGAGGATGAGACGGAGGAGGAAGATTGGATTAAAGGAGCGTGCTCCAACAACGATTTCTGGCAGAAACTGCAGCCCCAGATGCAAGAAGCAGCCAAAGCAGTGAAGATCTACAGGTACTTCTCGATTCACAATTTTCCGCAAGAATCAGAGGCTCAAAACAGTTGCCGTGGGCACACCATCCCTTATTTTTTTTTTTTTTTTTTTTTTTTTTGGTTTTACTGCGGTATCAAAAGAACCTGCGGAGAGTTCTACCAATAACCATAATCAACCACAAAGTATGTACAAATCGTTTTAGTGTAGTGAAGCATACCGATATACTGTATATTAGATAGATGGCTAACTTTTGGAGATTGCTTAACTATTAGATCTCGGATAGCGCCACACCTAGTGCAAATACGATTTGCTCTAGCAGCATAATGTCGTTTTAAAAGAAACGGTATTGAGCAGTACTTGGAGCTAAGCTATCCCGGGCATGGGTGTTGAGGGCTTTTGTGATATACTCAATCATCTCATCCGTGAGAATGAAGTTGTGATTTGTAATATTGATTGGAGCATCCTTATCGCACCTCATTCACTGAATCATGTTTTCAACCTTTTTATGGATGCGTTATAACTCAGCCTCTCCGCGTACGCCCTTGCTGTTGGCAAGAGCAATGACATGGTATATATGGTCAATTACAGCTAAACAGAGTGACCAGAGTTTATTTAGAATGGAATGTGCTACACAGCCATCAAGTAAGAGGGGCTTGGAAATGCACCAGACTATCAGGGGTCTCGACCATCAGTTATATATCCTCTTCAACATTTCACATCGAGAAATCTTTTTTTATTTTTCTGTACCACATCAAGATCCAATGCGTATACTTCTATTCGGCTGTGAAGAAGGCTCTGAATCGATCACATTGTGTGTGAATAACAGACAACTGCGGTCGGTTAACATGTTTTTATTTTCTGTCAATGAGCAATATAATAATTCATTTTCCTCATGTGCAGACACCTTCACTGTCCACTTCTCTCGAAGTAACAGGTGCTCTCTTTTTTTTTATTTTTATTTTTTTTTTTTTAACTCATCTCTCTCTTTCCTTTCTTTCACCTTTCTTTCATACATCCTCCTCCCTCTCCTGCTGTCTTGCTTTCGGGTTGTTTGCTGCACACCCTCTTTTACTGCTTGTTCAGTCAATCAGTCACTGACACAGCCCCATAGAGCCGTTAACGGAGTCTCACTCTCTTTCATCACACTCAATATTTTTGAGTAACTTTATTGGTCTCACCCGTCCACGTCTGACACTTTTCTGTTCTTCTCCATTAATTGTACCATTAAGAATCACAAATGGCGTCGTCTATTCCCGCATATTTGTACGCCTGTATGGCTCCCGCTGCCTCCAGCACATCTGTCTATCTTGCAGGGGTTCCCGCATCTGATGAAGGACGTCTGGAGATATATCAGATCAATCTGGCCAACATCAATTCACCTACTGCCACCTTTATTGCCAACCAGACAAGCAGCTATTACTGGAGCAGCGCCGCTCCGAAAGCTTGCCTAGCCTACAATGGCAATAAAGTATCTACCAACAATCCCATGTTCATTCAACAGTTCGGCGCAAAGTCCTACTTCACCAACTTTTATCCCAATGGTACAATTGATTATCCCGCTCACTTTCCTGAAATCGGTTTCATCTCGAGTAAACTGTTCTCTCTCTCGGGTTCAGTTGGGAACCTGAATTGGTTCGCTGCAATGTCAAATGCCACCAGCTCCCTAACTCGCTCTCCCTGGGTTGGTTTGCGTTTCAACGCTACCTCCATCGTCGACAGCCGTCGAGAGTAAGTGAACCCCCTCTAGTGCTGTTGTTGGGGGATGCATCGGGGTGCAAAAAATACAAACTGAACTTGTTTGTTTGTTTATTTGCTCTTCAGACTAACGCACTATTTCCTCTTCTTTTGTGGTGAATGTCGACCTTTCCTCTGTCATTGGTAAACAAAAACCAGTTATACCCTTTCCTCATACCCGACCTTGGACCCAATGTTAAGTGTCGGTACATATATTGAATCGTCCAACACACCCGCTCAGGGATATAGTATCGTGTTTGATAAAAGTGGTGAGGGCGTCATTTATACGACCCTGGCTACTGCTGGGTTGTCCCTTACTGGTGCAGATAGCACTCTGGCCTTGTCGAACCCTCGAAGTGTGGACACGGACGGGATCGCTCTGACTAACAGCGCCATTTCGCTCACAATGACGGGTGTTGGATACATTCTGGACAAAGTAAGACATTCGGCTGTGCTCGACTGTTACAAGTGAGAAAAAGCTGCAATTGCTAATTTTAATTATTCTTCTGCACATTAGGCGTTGGATGGAGCGACTGTCCTCTATTCCATCAATCCAAGCCAATCCAACAAATTGCAGTATGTTTCAGTTCCTGGCAACGTGCCAACTTTCTCAGCTAGCATGGTTGCGGCTGCTGTAGGAAGTCGAATCATCACCTACAGTGCAGGCAACAATGGTGCCGTCGTTTTCAACAGCTTCGACACAGCCTCAGGAGCATGGAGTGGGCCCGGCCTCAGGAAGGCTTCTCCACCTCCAACTCGCTCTGACACCACTTCGCCTTCAAAACCATCTGATGGAGGCAATACCGAGAATTCAAGTAAAGCACCTCTCGGTGCAATTATTGGAGGAGTAGTTGGTGGGTTGGTTTTGATCGCCTTGATCGCCTTCTTTGCTATCCGCCGCCGTCCCAAGAAGAGTACAGAGATCAGTGCCAATCCTCAGCCGACTTATCACGACCCAAACAAAGTACAGAACCCTGCTGCCGCGCCATTGATGGAGCAGAATTATGTACTTCAGCAGCAACAACAACAGGCAGCAGCTCAAAACTTCCAGATTCAGCAGCAGCAGCAGTACAATCTTAATCAGCCATATATTTCACAACCCCAGCCTGATATCTACACTTCGCAACCCATGGCTCAGATTCCGATACAACAGCAAGGAGGAGCCCCTGTCATCTTCCAGGCGCAGACTCAAGAGCCTTACAACTATACTCCTCCAACGCTCATCCCCTTGCCTCAGACTCAGGCTCCCAACATCTTCCAACCCCAGGCGTCGGAACCGAGCCCACAGACATATAGCCAAGCATCGCCTTATGCAGCACCTACGACCGCTTCTACACCTCTAACGCCAGCGAGCCAGGCCTATACCCCAACTCACTCTGGTCAGATCCCCGCTAGTCCTCAATACATTGCTCCCCCAGGTGGCGACCAATATGCCTCATAAGTAGCATTACATGGTAATATCTTTTTTTCCGTACGGGTCAAAATATCAGTTAGCATCTCACAGTAAAGATATTCATCTTGGGGCGAATATAAAAATAATCAATCCATAATGGTTTACGGTCCTATCTAACGATGGCAATAGCTAGGATATCAATAAAAAGAACCTTTTTTTTTTTTTTTTTTTTTTTTTATCCTCTCCTCTTATCGTGCGCATGCTACCCTTTTTATGATCATGTTATCCTAAAAATGGCGTGGGTGCTACCACCCATTACACAAATTTTGAATGGGGGTTTTTTTTTATTGTTGGTATATTTGTCTATACAAAGAAAGGTTCTAATATCCTAATGTTCTCATCATCCTTCATTCTTTCCATTTTTCTTTTGTCATTTGTTTCACTCATAATGGAGGAAATGATGAGATTGGGTTGTATATCGATGGAGTAGGTGGTGAGCGCGCGATAGACGATTCCGAGAAAATGGATGTAGGTGACATGGCATCTGGGTTGTTTTGAGAGGAAGAAAGGACAGATGATGATGGTGTACAAAACATTGATGTATATGATTGCTGCTGTTGCTGCTGTTGCTGCTGTTGCTGATATGGATGGAATGATGCTGGTTGTACCATTGTATGGATGGGTGGAAGCGTTGGCGGCGCTTGGTGTGAACCATCACCACAAATGTTAGGTGGTGTATTGGAGACAGCTGGAAGGATGGCTGAAAAATGGTTTTGAAAAGTTGAGCTTGATGACGCGGTAGGACTTGATGGTGATAAGGGTGGTGAATAAAGCTGAGTTGATAATGGCTCTAATAGATTGCTGCTACCACGACCACGACCATTACCACTACCACTACCACTATTATTGCCACTACCGTTTGTACCTCCGAATACGAACCCACCTCCATCTCCAACGATGTGAAGATGAGGATGTGCATTAGCTTCTGTTGGCGATAGAGCACGTCGTGAACTTGATTTGGGTGAAGACATGGGTGAAGAGTTGCAAGAACCTGGGTTGCTGTCAGACCCGCTGACATGTTGAGAGGCTGCCAACTCTGCCAACGTTGCTAGTGAAGTAAGGTCAGAAAGTGAAGGTGAAGTAGAGCGAGAGGAAGAGCGACGTGAGGATAAAGGCGCACTTGTAGTCGTCATATGCGGACTAGTGATAATGTTATTGGATGTGGTTAGTAGTGCTGCTTGATGTATCTGTTGAAGTCCTGCGCAGGCGCGCAGACGTCGAATTTCTGTGATAGCATTTCGGAGTGTAGTAATGGAATTAGATTTGACAGGTGGTCGACGTTCTATTCCGTCTGAGTTGAGTGTAGGTTGTTGTGATGGAAGTAGAGATGCTGTCGATGATGATGAACTATCGATATCTGAAGCGGATTCGCGTACGAGGCTAGCGAGCTCTGTCAAGAGTTGGTTCATTGTATCGCGTCGTTGGCGCTCATCAAGGATATGTGTTGCACGGCGCCTCTCCATGGCCGTAAGGCGCGCTATCGAGTCAACGTTCTTCCGATTGAGAACGTTGACTCCATGGATTCGAAATACGTTTTTGGTATGTGGTGTCGATTTTGATGGAGTTGAGGAAGACTTTGATGTCGCTGTCATGACGGTATGAGGGAAAAAAAAAAAAAAAAAAAAAAAAAAAAAAAAAAGGGAAACCGAGGGCAGAGACAAAGGGAAATTAGGAAAACACCGGCTTGTCAGGTTAAAAGCTGACAAAGACAAGGGGGAAAAGGAAAATAACTGTGAGAGTGTGAAGTGTGGGATGTGGAGGAAGAAAAAAAAGATGGGAAGCGGAGTGTGGGGAACTGTGTGGATGAAATTTGAAAATGCAAATAATAAAAAGCATGAAAGGGAGGAGGGAGGAAGGGAAAGAGGGAGGGGGAATAGGGAAGAGATAGTGGCGGCAGTTGTTTTATATAACCTTTTCTTGGAGACAAATATTGCCTCGGGTAACAATAACATGTAAAGTATCTAAGAAATTATCGATGGATGTGTATCTCTGTATCCGAAATGACCTAAACGAGAAAGAGACAAAGACTGTATCCGCCTCCCCTCTGCTCTGTTACCCCGCATGCGCTGAAGGCTGCGATTGCGATAAGAAGCCAGGTTTCTGTTTGGCTAGAGATGTTGAGATAAAAAAACTATTACATCCTGCCAGCGATGGTGGCACCATCATCGTCATAGAAAAAAAAGAATACGGATTGTGTTTGAAATTGACATGGGAAAGAGGAGATAAAATGCCACTAGAGCAACAATATAATGGGGTCTATTCCCACAGCCACCTGTAAGAATGTACAGGTTATCTAAGGGTGAGGATATTGTCGTGTGCAAACAATAAAACGTGTCCGAGGACACCAAAAAAAAAAAGCAGCAAGAAGCACTCGTCTTTTGCCATGACGACTGGGCTCAATTTTGATAGTGTATCTGCCCTCATTATCAAGCCTAATGGGCGCACAATCTACATGATACAAACAGGGTTTACAAATACCATTCATACATTTCTATTCAAAATCTTCGCACGCTTTGGCGTTATCTAAAGCCAACGGACAAAAAAAAAAAAAAAGAGTCAACTGGACGACTTGGTATACAGTCCTGGCTCGGAATCTAAAAGACAAAGAAGTGCGATCATTGCTCCTAGACAACCTGTGAGAGAATCTTCTCTGTATATTTCCAATGATAAGATGAAAAACATTATGAATTATCTCTTTTCTTTTCTTTTATATATATATATATATATATTAAAGCGCTCGGTGAAGCACTGAAGCTTATATCATGGCGTCGCCTTGACATTTTTATTCCGCGCAGCGCTCCCATATGGTTATGAGCATGATCTTTTCGGTACTCACATCCTCATGGTGCAAGATAACCAATCTACGAAGCCCATACTGCACAACTATGCGCTTTACTATACTACCACCCCAAGTTTCCATAAATATCTATAGTACTAGCACCACTTTTATCAACATTTTCTCACGATCATGGGAAATGAACATTTAGGAGTTGAAGAAAGTAGCAAAGAAGCGGAGAAATTGCTCGTGAGGCTCTCTCTCTTTTTTTTTTTTTTTTTTTTTTTTTTTTTTTTTAATTTATTCTATACCTAAGCAATTTGAATCACCGAATCAAAGTTTTTATCTTCTCATTGATTTAAACGAAGTTGCACGCGAAAGTTTAGAGTGATCTCCGCCAACCTTTTTGGATGTATCCGTGGGACCATAAATTTCCATCTCATCAAACTTCGTCTATCCGCCGAAGAATGTCACAGAGCATTCTAAGAAATAAAAATTGATGAGTAGCAAAAAAAAAAAAAAAAACTTTCAAATGCATCGAATGCATCTTCTACTTCATGATTTATTGATTAATAGAGCCCATTGTAACTTTTTTATCACTTTCCATCCATTGGTTAGCATCAAGGCGTCGCTTTGTTTATTTGTTTGTTGTAATTGTTTTTCCTTGTCGAGTGTGATACAGAGTACAAAGAAGAAGAAGAAAACAAGGGTCAGGTGCCAAATAGACAAATTGAGAGTACCGATAACAACTGGCAGAGCATTGTTATTGGTCTCTTTATCCCGCTGAGACATGGTAAACAAATAAATAAACAACAACAAAACAGCCCAGCATCCAAGTTATCTATGCATCAGTTGTAAAGCATCATTATGATAAACAATTGAAAAGATCAATAAACAAAAAATAAACAGATATATATATGTATATAGTATCTAACAATAATAGCAACAAAAGGATGTCATATACAGATGCAGCGAGCAAGTGCCTCGGCGATAATCTATTCTGGGCAAGTGTAAGATAGATAGTAGAGAAAAAGAAAGAGAAACCAGCAGCGGTTTAGACCTGATCGTGTGGTAGTCTTTTAGTGTATGATGGCGATTGACGATAAAGCCAGTCTAATCCAGTCTATGGGTAAAAATAAAAAAATAAAAAAATAAAAAAAGAAGAAAGGTGAATGTGTATCTACTAGTGAGACTTTTTGTTTTCGAGGATCATTCTAATTCTTAGTAGAAGATAAATCCCTTCTTACGATAGCGTGTGTAGCGCGTAAACGATTTAAGCCTAAACATTCTCAAGCTCCTAGCGCGGTTAAAAAAAGGATAGCCCAAAAAAAAAAAAAAAAAAAAAGCAGAAAGGCAGGGGAAGGAGAGAAGGAACAGAACATATTGGTCATAGAATCACTGCTCAACGCGTTTCCCATAATTAGTCCCAAGAGCTGAAATCCTTCTGTTGAGTATCCACGTCCCAAGCTCTATTCAATCTTATTTGTTTCCATCCAGAGTATCTGGTCCTATGCAGGCCTCATGAAGATCCAGAGAAGACATTGACGATAAGAAAAGACGGCGGTAAGAGATGGAGAAAGCGAGAAGTAGGGAAAAAAAAATGAAGGAAAAAGAGGAAGAGAGGAAGAGGGGGCGAACAGAAGACGGCAACAAAAAATAGATCAAAACAAACATTTGGGGTTGCACTGAAATGATAGGATGATCAAGTTCATGATATCTTATCACTTCTGTCGCGTGTTTTATTGTTTTTTTTATAAATAAAAGACTACATACACTGCTGTGTGGTTTCCTTTGGTTAAAATATTAAAGTGTGAAAGGAAAAAAAGAAGAAAAAAAAAGGGTCATGGCTCTAGAACCATTCTTTGTTAGTATCCGTGATCGATAGTGTGGTCTCCACAAGCTCTGATAATAGTTATTGTTTTAATAATTCTCTTGCTCTTTAGGTTCCTAGCAATCCCGATTATTCATAAGTTGTACTCTATTTGGCCAGGTTTGAATGTTTATTATCTTGCTCTCTTTCTGATGCTTTTTCCTCCCCACAAATGTCAAAAGAAAGACTGTTTATCTGTTTATGGCCTTCAGGGATTGTTATCAATGCATGAAACTGATGAAAGATTGATAACAGCGCTGTGTCGTACACAGGTATAGTTTTTCAAGCAAGAAACAGAATCATAAATGGCTGTAAACTTGTAACTTCATCTTTTGTACATTTGTATCTCCAATGCTCATCAGCAGGACATCGATGAAGACAAAATCCAAGGGCGCGGAGCAAGGACAAAAACAATCGGAGCTAACCAATGATATTCATGTTTAAATAATATTAAATTCTATTGTATATATAAAAAACATGTTTGTTTTTTGACAATATGCATGTGCAGTAAAAAGAAACTTTGATCATACTCTGATTGTGTAACCTCAGAAGTTTAACTAAAATTCCTTGTGCGAAAAGCTCTGTGGACAGTTGCAAGTGAGCATGAATCAATTCAATACTGTAATAAATGAGAGCAAAGGTTATTTTATATTAATTAATAACACTACATATATATATATATATGAACTCATAATACATCTACCCAGACATAGAATACATAGTCATGACATGAATGAGCATAGCCTAATGATCAGAGATCTTGTTAAATTATATTTGAGTAGTTGACAGCCAGAACCGCGTCTAAGGTTTTAAAGAAAGTCAAGTTAGGAGGTAAAAGCAGAAATTAAATTACAGAAGCTGCAAATTGGGGGACTAATGGGAGACTCCTTGAGAGAAGAAGCTAAATAGTTCTTTTTGTCATCTCCTAAACAAAAAAAAAAAAAAAAAAAAAAAAAAGTATTAAACGCGCAAATTGTGGTCCTGACTTTAACTGATATGATATCGCATACCAATCAAGAAGGTTTGTGTTGCACAACAAGAAAAGAAAAAGCATCGAATCTTCATTATTCCGCTTTTCTTTCAACTCTTTACGCTTATTTGGATCAATAGTACTTCAGTGTTCCATTCTGTAACCCATTAAGACCACAATGCGGGATATAGTGTAAATAAGGGGTTTTAAACATCCATTGCTGGATCATAAGAGCCCTGCTGACCGCACGTCTTAATATCTAGGTGAGATCCTTTTCCGCTATTGGTCTTCCCATATTTGTTTGTGCTCCACAATTCATTTCTTTCGTTACAGATTCGCCATTCACTCAACGCAAAATCATGAATGGTTCTATCACGCACAGCTTAGCGGCATGAATAAAAAAAACATGTTTTAAAAAATAAAAAAACTTTCCTTCTCCTGCATCTGTTCAAGCTGTTATCAGTGAGGTACAAACACAATGCACAACGATCAAAGTTCACTTGTGTAAACTGCTGATTTGTGTATTTTTTCTCCGATGGTGTTATGAAAGTACATATATACTCTTTGTTCATAAATGTCCACATGTGCAGCAGTGAAGAGCAAAATGTGCGAGAATAGTAATGAATGTTAATGAAAGATAGTAGAATCAGGAATTCCAGAGCTTTCTTGAGGCGCAATGCGTATAATTCAGATTTATGACCGAGAAAACAGTTGATGGCAATGTAGACTTTTCTTACTGCAGGTTCTAGTGCTAACAATATGGCAATAGTTGACTATCATCTTTATGCTTCAGTCTCTGACTAAAGCTTCTTTTGGTTGTGCTTCTCCTGTTGCTTCTGATCCTTTTTTTTTTTTTTTATCTGGACTGTTTGGTAAGGAGCATAAACAGATCTTAAGAGGTGGGCAAATTGTCACTGAAGCTGATCTTGGTTATTAACTCCACAAGATAAATGATGGGCTATTGTGAACATACACATGTGCAACACTGAGAAGAGAGTAGAAAACATAGACAGAGCCCATGGAGTTGAACTTTGTTTTGACTATTCTGTCATGAACAATATTTAATCCGTTATTGATTGATTGATTTGTTTGTGCCAATATATATATACAATAAGACAGAACACAAACAAAGATACAAATATATACAAAATGCACAAACAATAAACATCCTGCAAACAAAATGGGTCAAATGCTATTTCGTATTCAATCGATACAATACGATGTGATGCGACTTTGCTCTCACTTTTTTTTGTCTGTCTGTTTCTCTCTGTCACTGCTGTGAGGAAATGTCCTCTTATTCGTATTCTCCAGGCATTGCCTCAATACACAGCATACAATAACATACCTCGATTGAGTTATCAATATTCGCATATAAAACGACTCTCCACCTCCGCTCATTTCATTTTTTTTTTTCTTCTTCACCACTCAGGTCTCTCATTCATTCCTCTATCCCTCCATCCCTCTATCCCACTCTCCTTTCTTTCCTTCCATCCCGCGCATCATCCCGCCCACCATGAAGTTGTCTGATCCCTTGGCCCAAGTTATCATTCTGGTGAGTGAACACTCGCCATCATACGCCGCAGCAACACACAAAAAAATCTTTATACTTTTTTATCGACGGCTCTTCCAACCCGCAAACCCTTGCAGCTGCGATACCCCTTACTGATTCTAACCCGCTCATGGTTATACTTTTTTTTTTTTTTTATCTCTTTAGGGCTTCATTTGCTTCTGCTGCCCAGGAATGTTCAACTCTTTGAACGGAACTGGTTCTTATGGTCTCGACCCAAAGGATTCTGATGTCGGAAACACCGCCAACACCGCCCTCGGTGCTATGTTCGCTGTCTCTTCTCTCTTTGCTGGTGCTTTGTTCAACATCTTTGGCCATCGCCTCCTTCTCATCGCTGGTGGTTTGACCTACGTCTTGTACGTCGGATCTTACTTGGCTTACGCTCACATCTCATCCATCGCCTTTGTTGTCGTCTCTTCTTGCTTGCTTGGTATTGGAGCTGGTTGGTTGTGGACTGCTCAAGGTGCTGTCATGATGGGATACCCCGAGGAAGGCGAGAAGGGCAAGTACTTCTCAATCTTCTGGGCCATCTTCAACTGCGGTGCTGTTCTTGGTAATGCTATTCCTCTTGGTATCTCCTGGAACGGCAAGGCCAGCGGTGCCAGTGACTCTGCTTACATTGCTTACATGGTTGTCATGACATTCGGTGCTTTCCTCACCTTGTTGTTGTTGCCTGCTTCCAAGGTCATTCGCAAGGATGGATCCCATGTCGTCACTATTAAGTACTCAAGCCCTATCTCCGAGCTCATGTCTGTCTTCGCCCTGTTCAAGGACTGGCGCATGTTGGCCCTCGTTCCCATGTTCTTCACCTCCAACTGGTTCTACACCTACCATTTCTCCCTCAACTCTCTTAACTTCTCACTCCGCACTCGTTCCATGAACTCACTCTGCTACTGGTTGGCTCAAATTATTGCCTCGATCTTGTTCGGTCGTCTTTTGGATCGCGCTTCATGGACCCGCCGCACTCGTGCTAAATTTGGTCTTCTTACCCTTACTCTCGTCTTGCTTGCCACATACATCGGAGCTATTGCTTTCCAGACCAAGTGGGGACCTAAGAGCGCTATTCAGAATGAGAAGGGAGTCTGGGTCAAGAACCCTGACGATTATCTTAAGATCGATTTGGTTGACAACTCCAGCGCTTACATCGGACCTTTCTTCCTTTACTTCTTCTATGGTGTCACTGATGCCATGTACCAAGGATTCTCGTACTGGATCATGGGTGCCCTTACTAACGACACCAACCAGGCCGCTCGCTATGCTGGTTTCTACAAGTTTGTTCAGAACCTGGGTGCCATCTTTGCCCCTCTTGTTCAGACCTCAACCATTGGTGTTGCACCTTCAGAGGGTAGCCATGCTCTTCACGCCAGTGGTCGTGGTATGGGCGAACTCATCGTTGTCATTGTTCTCATCTTCGTCGGAATCCTTGGTGCTGCTCCTGTCGTCTTCAAGGCTGTTAAGGATCACACCGCCGAGGAGAACGAGGTGTCTAGCGAGAAGCAGGAGGCTGGCTTTGAGGATGTCAAGGCTTAAATAACTCATAGCTTCATTTCATTTATTTTTTATAGTCATTTATACCGATATGTTTATCATTAGTAACATTTTCTTAATACGTGATTTAAAATCTGCCTTGTCGCTCTTGTTAATCTCTTTTATACCCCACAAAAAGATAATAAAAACTACTAGCAGGTTTTTAAGTCCTTTACATTTTGTTGTCTTTGAAGAATGAGGCTTCAACTATGAAGTTGGCTGCAATGTAGTTGAAGGATAAAAGAAATTGTGATCAACAATATACCTCGGTGGTACTGATTCTTGCTGACATCCTTTTATTTTATTTACAGATGTTTATGCGACAGAAAATAAAGGCTTAAATGGCGCTTTATGGTTTAATTTAAAGCCCTTTCTGGTCCCTTTTACTATACATCTATGCCTATGCCATTGCCAACCCACAATAAACAATAGTATGAATTGTTCGACTGAGTGCCCGATACCCAACATGCAAAAACCATATATATATGTGCTTTGTCTTTTTTTATTTATGATTATAGTTGTGGGTTAGATGCTATTCTCCCCACTGATGCGGTAGAGGGGGAATGAAGAAGCATCACCAGTGAATATCCACCATGGGAAGTTGACATGAATGCAAGCAAAGAATCCATACTTCGCCCTGAAAGTGTCGATTGGCTCTCAATTCAGTTTCTATCGCAACTCCACTGCTACTATCTGATGTTTACTTCTGTACAAGCCGCTATCTCATGCAGGCGCGGGAACAACAAAAGACAGCCTCTGAGGGATCCACATAGTAAACAATGTCGCACGGTCGCATTGGTCTCCACTTTCTAGCCGCCACTACATTCTGCTCTACTCTATCCTTCTTTCAATACAAGAGGAGAAGAGGGCTGTAGGGGTAACAAAATGCTATAAAATGTCTCCTTAAATACCACTTCTTCTTCACAGTTTTGGTCCCAAACTCGCTCGTTCATCATCTTCACTCTCTTCCCCTCTTCTCTTTTTCATCCGTTTCCCCTTTTTGTTTCTATATTAATCCTTCATCATCTTCGCTGTCCTAACCTCTTCTCTTTTTCATCCGCTTTCCCTTTTTGTTTCTACATTAATCCTTCGTCATGAAGTTTTCTGATCCCTTGACTCAGATTATTATTCTGGTAGGTTGAATTTCCTTATTGTGTTAACCTGCTCCGATCACGGGAAAATATTCCATTGTGAGTTAACCTGCAATAACGACGTCTTTAATTTAAATTTGTTCTTGATTGCATCTGTAGGGGTTCATTTGCTTCTGTTGTCCAGGAATGTACAACTCTTTGAGCGGAACTGGTTCTTATGGTCTCGACCCAAAAGATTCTGATGTCGGAAACACTTCAGTCGTTGCCCTTAATGCCATGTTCGCTGTCTCTTCTCTCTTTGCTGGTGCTTTGTTCAACATCTTTGGCCATCGCCTCCTTCTCATCGTTGGTGGTTTGACTTACGTTTTGTACGTCGGATCTTACTTGGCTTACGCTCACATTTCATCTATCGCTTTTATTGTCGTCTCTTCTTGCTTGCTTGGTATTGGAGCTGGTTGGTTGTGGACTGCTCAAGGTGCTGTCATGATGGGATACCCCGAGGAAGGCGAGAAGGGCAAGTACTTCTCGATCTTCTGGGCCATCTTCAACTGCGGTTCTGTTCTTGGCAACGCTATTCCTCTCGGCATCTCCTGGAACGGCAAAGCTACTAGTGCTAGTGACTCTGCTTACATTGCCTACATGGTTGTCATGACATTCGGTGCTTTCCTCACCTTGTTGTTGTTGCCTCCCTCAAAGGTTGTCCGTAAGGATGGGTCTCGTATCGTCATTATCAAGTACTCAAGCCCTATCTCCGAGCTCATGTCTGTCTTCGCCCTGTTCAAGGACTGGCGTATGTTGGCCCTTTTCCCCATGTTCTTGACCTCCAACTGGTTCTACACCTACCACTTCTTCTTGAACTCTTCCAACTTCTCACTCCGCACTCGTTCCATGAACTCGATGTGCTACTGGTTGGCTCAAATTTTTGCCTCGATCTTGTTCGGTCGTCTTTTGGATTACGCTTCATGGACTCGACGCATTCGTGCTCGCTATGGTCTTCTTACCCTTACTCTTACTTTGCTCGCAGTGTACATTGGAGGAATTATTTTCCAGACCAAGTGGGGACCTAAGAGCGCTATTCAGAATGAGAAGGGAGTCTGGGTCAAGAACCCTGACGATTATCTTAAGATCGATATGGTCGACAACTCCAGCGAGTACATCGGACCTTTCTTCCTTTACTTCTTCTATGGTGCCACTGATGCCATGTACCAAGGATTCTCATACTGGATCATGGGTGCTCTTACCAATGATACCAAGCAAGCAGCTCGATTCGCTGGTTTCTACAAGTTTGCTCAGAACTTGGGTAACGTTTTTTCTCCTCTTGTTCAAACTTCAATCATTGGTACTGCACCCTCTGAAGGTAGAAATGCCTTTAACGTTACTGGTAATGGAATGGGTGAGCTCATTGTTCTTGTCGTCCTTATCTTCGCCGGTCTCCTCGGCGCAGTTCCTGTGGTTTTCAAAGCTGTTCAAGATCATACCGTTGAGGATGAAGGCTCTACCGAAAAGCATGAGGCTAGCTTTGAGGACGTCAAGGCTTAATTAACCTGAAAAAAAAAGACGCGATTGCTTATAGTTTTATAATTGTTTTTTAATTATTAGTTCTTTGGATCTAGTTAACTATACTGGTATTATCTCTCTTTTTTTTTTTTTATCATTAGTATCGTTTCAATATAATACCAAAAATTTGCCTTTTTTTCTTTTCCTTTGTTTTCTTTTTGCTTCAATCGACTACTACATATACTAATGGGGTAGGTGGTCTAAGAGTTAGGGTTGTATGACAGTTGTGTTAACACATGTAACAAAAGATACTAAATCTGTTATGAAAGTATTTTGTTACTGCAATAACAACTGAAAAAACGCGAAAGAATAAAAAAAGGAGGAAAAGGAGAGGTGGAATAATTCAATGGTACTTTTGTTGAATTATACAGCCTAATGGGCGTTCATGCAAGTTATTTTTTCTTGCTTTTTATCAAAGTTAGATCTATGTTATTCTATGCCGCCGTCGGCTTTTATTTTTCCCCAAAGTCATCTTTGCCCCCCTCAAATTCATCTAGTATAGAATAATAAAATAACAATAATATTTAATAAAGCTTACCCTAGCATTTAACCAAAGTAGCTCCATTAATGAATGAGCACTTAATAGGATGATCAAAGTTTTTTTAAATCTATCTATCCATTGGTATGGTTAATGTATATTTTTTTTTTCTGCTCAGGCATGAGCTGTTAGAGAAGAGCATTAAGGCAAAAAAAAAAAAAAAAGAAAAGAAAAGAAAAGGAGAGAACCGGAGGTTGAAAGAGTAGAGACTGTATGGGATTACAATACCATGGTACGCATTATTTTATTTTTCGGAGCTAATGAGAGGCAAATGGCTTCCGTTAATATCCACGGATACAGCTGGAGGAGAAAATGTGGAGAGAGATGAAGAAGAATAGGTTATTTTGTATTCTCCGCCTAGAAAACCCATAAGAGCTCTTATTATACGTCTTGTTTAAAAAAAAAGAGTTCGCGAGTTTGATGAATGATGGACAATGTCAAAGTGGCGTAGTAACCACATATGTATATTACAGACTAATAATGTACATGTACACGTTGATCCTCTGGTATTTTGTTAAAAGATAAAGAAACAGATATGATATCGCGCATATGAGAAAGAGTGCTTGTGTAGCACTAAAATAAAATAAAGTGAAATAAAGAAATAAGAGATAAAAGGACAGGCAAGTGACCAAAGGTACATGTACATTTGTTCATGTATGATACTGCTGTCTGATGCTTCTCTGTATGGTCAGGCGACTAGTAATCTAGATCTTGGATCGTTTCTATGTCTTTAGGCTACTTTAATCCCAACACAGGCATGAGTGGTTCCATGAAGCGCAGTTGGTGAAAATAAAAATTATATATCTGCGCAGCCAACGCAGCATTAATAAAAGAACAAAAAAGCTGGGATTTTCTTATTACACGATGTTATTTTCATAAAATATTCAGAAGTGTAGCGAGTATTTGACAAGGAAAAAAAATGGTAGTTTCGTAGCATTGATCTATAGAAATAACTTCTTTTAAAAGAATGTAAGGTTATAATCAATCATCTATCAGCTCTGTTCTTTATATTTTATCTTTATTTTATATCATTTTTTCTTAACTTTTATTTGTTTACTCCACAAACGTTAGATCGAACAAATACACACAAATATGCACATGCGGGAAGACTGACAAACAGATAGTTGAGGGCTGTGGCGTAGATTGAGGACATGTGCAACAGCAGACTTTGGTCCCTTGTTCCCTGCACTTGTTTGAGAGAGACGGTAGTGAAATTGATAATGTTAAATATAGTAATATACAAATTACATATCGACATTAATCGCATTCAATCAATACAGTGCCATGCTAAACCTTTCCATGCATTACCATGTCATTCTCTTTCTATGCTATGCCAACTTATCCATTTCCATCAATAAAACAAGCAAAGCTTTTTTGGGGAAGCCATGTCTGATACTATAAATTGAACTCATTTTCTCTTTTTTTTCTTCACCACTCAGGTCTCTCTCATTCATCCTCATCCGCTTGTTCATTTTCCTCTTCCTCACCCACATCACTTTACCTCTTCATCGTCTTCCACTATGAAGTTTTCTGATCCTATGACCCAGGTCATCATCCTGGTGGGTACCTATTCACGAGCAGAAAACCGCTGCGGCATTTCCTTAATAATATCGTCCCGCACCCATATCATCCCTAATGAATTCTAACTCTCCGTTCCTAATTATTCGTTTCAGGGTTTCATTTGCTTTTGTTGTCCAGGAATGTTCAACTCTTTGAGCGGAACTGGTTCTTATGGTCTCGACCCAAAGGATTCTGATGTCGGAAACACCGCCAACACCGCCCTCGGTGCTATGTTCGCTGTCTCTTCTCTCTTTGCTGGTGCTTTGTTCAACATCTTTGGCCATCGCCTCCTTCTCATCGCTGGTGGTTTGACCTACGTCTTGTACGTCGGATCTTACTTGGCTTACGCTCACATCTCATCCATCGCCTTTGTTGTCGTCTCTTCTTGCTTGCTTGGTATTGGAGCTGGTTGGTTGTGGACTGCTCAAGGTGCTGTCATGATGGGATACCCTGAGGAAGGCGAGAAGGGCAAATACATCTCGATCTTCTGGGCCATCTTCAACTGCGGTGCTGTTCTTGGCAACGCTATTCCTCTCGGCATCTCCTGGAACGGCAAAGCTAGTAGTGCTAGCGACTCTGCTTACATTGCCTACATGGTTGTCATGACATTCGGTGCTTTCCTCACCTTGTTGTTGTTGCCTCCCTCAAAGGTTGTCCGTAAGGATGGATCTCACGTCGTCACTATTAAGTACTCAAGCCCTATCTCCGAGCTCATGTCTGTCTTCGCCCTGTTCAAGGACTGGCGTATGTTGGCCCTTGCTCCAATGTTCTTGACCTCCAACTGGTTCTACACCTATCACTTCTTCTTGAATTCGTCCAACTTCTCACTCCGCACTCGTTCCATGAACTCGATGTGCTATTGGTTGGCTCAGATTATTGCCTCGATCTTGTTCGGTCGTCTTTTGGATCGCGCTTCATGGACCCGCCGCACTCGTGCTAAATTCGGTCTTCTTACCCTTACTATCGTCTTGCTCGCAGTGTACATTGGAGGAATTATTTTCCAGACCAAGTGGGGACCTAGGAGCGCTATTCAGAATGAGAAGGGAGTCTGGGTCAAGAACCCTGACGATTATCTTAAGATCGATTTGGTTGACAACTCCAGCGAGTACATCGGACCTTTCTTCCTTTACTTCTTCTATGGTGTCACTGATGCCATGTACCAAGGATTCTCATACTGGATCATGGGTGCTCTTACCAATGATACCAGTCAAGCTGCTCGCTATGCTGGTTTCTACAAGTTTGTTCAGAACTTGGGAACCATCTTCGCTCCTCTTGTTCAGACCTCAACCATTGGTGTCGCGCCCTCAGAGGGCAGCCACGCTTTTAATGCCACCGGCCGTGGCATGGGTGAGCTTATTGTTCTTGTCGTTCTCATCTTTGTCGGAGTCATGGGTGCTGGTGCCGTCGTCTTCAAAGGTGTCAAGGATCATACTACTGAGGTGAATGAAGTCTCAAGCGAGAAGCAGGAGGCAAGCTATGATGACGTCAAGGCTTAAATTAATTAGCTCCACACTTTCCTTTTTGTCATACCGATTTTGTTTTTTATTAATAATAAAATTAATTGCCTAATGAACGATTGCTGACTCTTCTTGTTTCCTTTGGATTTGGATGAATGAATTTTTTTCAAAAAAGAAAAACATTTTTTATTTACGATGTGCCTTTTTATATTTTTTTAAGACATGTGGGCAATATTTTTTAAGTTTAGACCATGTAGTTATTGCGTTTCCTAAAATCACTTTTAATGTAAGGGTTCTGGTCAGATGCTCCGGATTAAATATTTTGGTAGCGTAGGGCTTATTAGGAAAATACGATCAACTTTCAAGTCTGTGCTTCAAAAATATTTCCTTGGAATAGAGTAGCTACCGATTATGAAGATATGCTTGGCAAAGCAAGGAGGACTGCACCAGGGACAAGTGTGGTTTTCCACAGCAACATTAGTGACACTCATTAAGGCTGTGTGATTACACGCTTTAGGTTGAGGATTCTCCCACTGGTGTCATGCAGCATCGTCCTTGCGAGGAGGATCTTTGTTCATACAAACATTGCAACCTAGCCCTTGCATAGTCTCAAGGAGGTTTTTCTTTTTTCTTCTCTCTCACTCTCTCACTCTCTCATCCTTTTCTTTGGCAATTTGTCCTTCATGCATACATGCAACCTTTATCCAAGAAGAAAAGACTAAATGCACTCATCTGTTCTCTTTCAGTATATCAAAAATACCCTGGCTCTTAGGTCATAGTAAGATCTTGGGCGCGTTTCCAAACTAGCTTCGACAGGTATAAATAGCCCATTAAGTAGGTTGCTTAATACAGTGTGATCAGGTAATGCTCTTTCAATCATTTTACTCTTAAAGAAGATATCATGGAGCGGCCTCTCTTCAATTTTTGTTTGTACCTCATGTCCATGACACTAATAAAAGTAAGTGTTGAGTCGTGTAGGAATTAAATTATATCTAGGATTGGGAAAAAAAGCTGACATGGACAGATGAAGTTTCTTTTTTTGGAATGTCGAATCTTTGGCTCTTATTTTCTCTCTCAAAAACTTTCAACTGCTTCCAACTGCTTTCAACTGCTTTCAACTGCTTACAACACAAAACCATGCCAGTTAGCCATTAAGCCATCTAGCCTTCCAAGATATCTATAAAACCCTGCTCTCTTGTGCTCTCTCCGGAATTAGTTAGGAGCGAGGTTTGTATTTTTTTTTTTTTTTTTTTTTTTGACCCACCAAGACAATGACAAAAACAGACAAAATGGTGTGAGCAAAAAACGTAAACGCAAAAACAAGGTTGGAGTAAAATTAATCATCATTTCAGTAACCGCTATGCGTTTTGTTTCCTCTCTTCATTCTTTTTCCTCTTATTCTCGTTTTCATTCTCATTCTTATTCTCATTCTTATTCTGCTTATTCTGATTCTCATTTGCATTTACGCTCTCATTCTCATTCTCATTCTCATAATTATCCTTAGACGCACAATTATAGCGTACACACCTTCATTTCTGTCTTGTTTATCCTCAAGTAATATAATTGACAATTGCCAACATGGGTTGTACCGGTTCGAAACATGGGCATTCTTCCACCGCTGCTCCTCAATCCAACTTGCACATGCAACAACAGCAACCTGCCTATGGCCTTCCTCAACAAATGTTGCCTCCTTCAACCCTGCCTCAAGGATGGTAATATTTTTATTCCCTTTTCATATCTCATATTTTAAAAAAAAGCAAAGCGATTCACTTTTTTTTTTTTTTTTTTTTTTTTTTTTTTAATGGCATACTAATTTGTCGAATTTGTCTGTGCACTCACACTCTTCCATTCACTTTTCAAAAAAAAAAAAAAAAAAAATTCAGGATCTCACTATTCGATCCGAGCAAACAGCGTCTCTATTATGTCTATCCACAGACAGGCCATGTTACTTGGGAACATCCATTAGGCCCGCAAGCGGATGCACAGGAGTTGGCTCGTTTCTATCAAATTCAACAACAACAACAGAATACGTATGGAAACACCAGCAATCAGGGCACTTTTGCAGATAGTTATAATCGGCAAGGCGGGATGGGTGCAGGTGCAAGCATGGCTATGGGCATGATGGCTGGTACGGCAAAACTTTTGATGTTTCTTTCTTTTTACGTCATTCTTAGAAGTAACTTGTGTACTGTACGATCCGATTGTCTGACTTTTTTTTGAAAAACTATTTTCTTTTTTTTCTTTTGCATCATAGGAGGCGCAATGGGACTTGTAGCAGGAAGTATGCTTGCAGGCAGTATGACAGATGCTTATCCTTCGGCTGATGTGATTCCAGCCAGCGAAGACCTTGGTGGCGGTGACTTTGGAGGCGGTGACTTTGGAGGCGGTGACTTTGGAGGTGGTGATTTTGGTTTCTAAAAAAGGATAAAGAAGCAACTGAAAAAAAAAAAAAAAATGCGATGCAATAATGAACGGATATAACGACCAATAAACTCTATTATTTAATGTAATGATGATAAGATTTTTTCAATATTCAACGGAGGATGGTAATGAGAAGAATGAATGTAATGAAGGGACATGATGACCTTTATTTCAAAAAGTACGAGTACAATAAGCAGAGGAAAAAAAAAAAAAAAAAAAAAAAAAAATATCAATTATATCCGACTCTAATTTCTCCACTCTACTGTCATCACTGTTTCCCTCTCTCTTCTATTTTGCTCCTTTTTTTCCTCTTTACTTTATCCCATCGCTTGCCAACTGATCTTCCACCTCTGCTAAATTGCTTGTTGTCTCAATCTCATAACTTAGATCTCACTCACTCCCCACTCACACACTCTCTCTAACTTTATTTCGCTTGCTCGCATTTGAAATTACAGGCATCGGACACCTCTTGATTTATATTCTCATCAAACAGGAATTCATCTCAGCGCGATCATAAAGAGACATTCAGACATTTCTAATGGGAGCAACAGAGAGCAAAGTGCAAGGGAATGGTGCAGTTGCTGGTGAAGGAGTGTCCTCAAAAGCAAAGTTGACTCTTGCTCAGGGAACACAGCCTCTTCAAACCACATCGCTCAATATCCTACGCGATGGCTTCTATGGGAAACGACCTGTTTCTGTTTTCACCTACGATCCTTCTCAGTTTGTACTTGACAACAATCAGGGATTCCTACCAAAGGCCATCAAGGTATAAATGGCTTTTTTTATGTTTTTATTCATGTCAATGACAGTTTGTAAAAAAAAAAAAAAAAAAAAAAAAAAAAAAGGGCCCAGGATTCTTTGATGAAGTCGCCTAATTTTTTTTTTCGTTGTTGACATTAGAAATTGAAAACCATCCGACACCCTTCAGTACTCAGATTTATCGATTGCAAAACAAGCTCATCGGCGGTGCATCTAATCACAGAGCAAGTTGTGCCTCTGACACTTGACTATCTCAAAGATATCTCCGAAGACGAAATCCTTGTTGGCCTCTTTGACATAATGGTATTGATTTTTTTTTTTTTTTTTTTTTTTTGTTTATGGCAATGAATTTGAATTGTTCGGCGTGTAACAATGGGATTCGCCGCCATTTGTAAAGCAATGTCTCAGTCTGGACTCCTATTTTTTTTTTTTTTTTTTTTTTTTTTAATCTCGTAACAGGTTGCACTGCATTTCCTACACTCTCAATGCCATGTTTCCCATAATAATGTGCAGCTGAGCTCCATTTTCGTTTCAAATGGTCGATGGGTTTTAGGAGGGATGGAGTTCACAGGAACTGTTACTGAACTTACTGAAACAGGCTTAATATCACTCCTGCCCGAGGAGCTTATTCCTCCAGAATATCAGGAACAGTCTGCCAAGATGGTACGGGATAAAGTTTTGTAACATGACATGAACGGAAATCAGGAGTAACTAGAACTTGTCTCTATATTACACTATCATACTGATGGCTTTGTTCATGTCCCTGAGTAGGCTTCACAGGAGAGGGATTTCATACACTCAGTAGACATTTGGCAATATGGAAAGTTGATCGAGACATTGATCCAGGATGGGTTTCTTCACACTAAGAGCAATGCCCTGCCACTCGACAGCATGCTTGACAGTAATCCACGGAAACGGCCTACCGGGGACACCATTTTGGAATCCAATCTTTTTACTCTTAACAACGCTGTTTCTATAGTTCGATATTGCAGACTCAAAGGGCTTGACAAAGCTCAAAACGCTGAATGGAGCCAGTACGTCTTTTGATAATGAGAAGACTAAAAAAAAGAAGTTATTGTTATTATTAACAAGTCAAAGGCAACCGCATGGCTATTTCTGATGTTTTAATCGGTATTTCTCCTCGTAGAATGATCATGCCAAAGCTTCATATGCTACCACCATCCATTATGGAAAAAATTGTCCTTCCACAGCTTTTGACACAAGAGTTTTTTGCGGCAGAAGGCTTCGATAAATTATACAGGTCTTTATTCACCCCACAACCTCCACAGCCCCTTATCACAGAGGAGGTATACCGCGCGCAAGTGATGCCATTCATGATCAAGTTGTGGACATATCGGCAGGCCGATATCCGCTTGACCATCTTACGACTCTTTGAGGTTTATCTTAAGGCTGTCGTCTTGGGTGAGGGAGGATCAGAAGTGCTTGGACAGATCATTTTGCCAGAGGTATGGTGACAGAAAATTTTCTCGTTACGGAAGTTCGCCTTGGATATATAGTTTCAAATAACAAACTTATTGGCGCTATTGTCTACCATAGATCTTGGCAGGGCTGCAGGATGCAGATCCAAAAGTTTATTTCGCATCACTGTGTGGACTAGCCACCGCCATCCCTTATGTACTCTTAGTGACAACTCTTGTGGATACGGACCTGAGCAAACAAAAGTTCTCGGTCAAGTCACTGTATGAGCAGACTTTGATCCCTCAGATTATGGCTTTCTGGATTTCGGAGGATTGTGTGCAGGAATCAAAAGTTCAGCTGATTGAGGTTGTGATGGGCATGTGGTGTTCTATTTATACATTAGGTCTGCACAACCACGCAGCAGTTAAGGATATGAGCGCCACACTCACTCTGACATTAGTCTCGGTCCTCAAACTTTTGCCAGCTAATGAACGCGTGGAACTCATCTCAAAATCGTTTACAAAGCATTGTACCAATGGATTGTTTTGTATCAGTGGGCTGCTAAAATTTCTACCCCAATTCTTATTGGATGAAGATGTACGGGTACGAGAGGCAGCGGCTAAAGCGATCTCAGAGATTGCCTTCCAGACTATTAATCTGATGCCTCAAACGGAAATAACGGAACAGCAAGACCAGCAACAACAAAGAGAAGAGGATGACAGTTCAACTGCCTCGATATCCTCTGTCTCCTCACCTTCACCTTCGCAGTCTACACATGTCTCGCGCATTCGTCAGTATTGTGAAATGCAACAATTGCTCTTGCCTCCTAGAAGACCTATCTTTTCTCGATCAACTTTTGCAGGTGATAGGAGTGCATCGAGTAATTCCTTGAGAAATTTCAGCGGAAGCAGTAACTCAGCGCCGGATCTGCAATCAAGCAGGCGGTCATCTATAGTTTCACAAGACTCATTCATGTTCTCAGACCAGGGCTCTCTTAAGACGACACCATCTCTGTTCACGCCATCTCTGACCCGTGCTGGGTCGTTTTCAGGCGATACCTCCAGCCGCGATGCTCCTGCTATCGCTATAAATGGGTTAGGCTCTGGATTAGAAATACGAGCGGATTCGAATTTGGATAAACAAACTAAATCGCTGGATAACCGTCTTGGTGAGAATGGGGCAAGAGAGCCTTCGCAACCTATACCCAAGAGTGACATGATGTCTGAGAAAGAAGAAGAAAAACATATCATGAACGAAGATTTGCAGGCGGCAGCAGATCAGTTGGAGCTTATGAAGGCTCTAGAGACTGCTAAGGCAGAGATGAAAATACGTCAACTTCCTGTTGTTGAGCGCCAAGGAGACTCCAAGGTTAACGCCAATGCTACACGCAAGACAGACCAACTTAGAAGTAGCGATAATACTCAAGCCTCAGCAGCGTTCAAGTGGGATGATGCTGGTGATGGAGAAAATGATGATTGGGATAATGAGGATTTAACAACTTTAGCTGGTAAGTCCTTCTTCTGTTTATGTCGCTACATGTCAGATAATCCTGAGGAGTAAGACGACGACATGTGGTTTATTTTAATTCAAATTGACGTCTCTCTTCTATATGGTCTAATTAGCTTCCTCTCGCCACTCACCCTCGCCTTCATCGGAGTATCTTGTAGAGGATGAAGCCACACGTTTGAAGCGCGAAAAGGAAAGGGCTGAAAAACAGGAGCAACTTCGCTTAAAGCGCGACCAAAAGCAACAGGAAATGCAGGCAAAGCGTGAAGCACGACGACAACAAATGGCAGAGAAGCAGGGCCAGAAGAAAAGCCCGTCTAATGGACTTAAGCTCTCTGCTGTACGAGCAACGCCAGTATCAGTGCCTTCGGCCCCAGCTGCAGTTGTGGCACCTAAACCAGTATCTGGGCACAGCATGATCCACTTGTCACAGGGAGCAGATATAGATGATAAAGACAATTGGGATGTGGACGAAGGCCTTAATATGGGTGATCTTGATAAACAGCTGAATGATGCGGAAGCCGATGAGCTTTTCAAGGATCTAGAGGTTTCCTATAAGCCAGCTTATGTTGGTTTGGGTTCAACAGCCGGGCACGTTGGCATCAATGGAAACAATACAGCAAATATTTCAGGATCTACAAGTTTTCAATCCTTGTCCACATCGTCTTCAACGACGCTGTTAAAATCTCCAGTAACCATTTCAACAGCAAAGACCCTTCATAGCTCTTTTACTACTACCAACATGACGAGCGTCACTACAACCACAACCACAGCCGCATCCACTGGTTCGGCGTCTCTCGGGATAGATAACTCACAAAGCCGAGAAACGAGCCCCACATCAACTCCAAAGCGTGCTCCTTCTCCGCTCTTGAAACCAACCAGTAACAGTAATAGTAACTTGAATAACAATAGTAACATCAAGACGATAGCATCTCCAACCATCAATTCGACAAAGACATCTTCCTTGGCTCCGCAGATGGATGAAGCGGCCTTAGAAGAGGCGGATGATTGGGAAAATGCATGGAGTTAGAGGCATCCTATCTTTGTCAATACATACCCTCTGTCTTTTTTTTTTTTTTTTTTTTTTTTTTTTTTGAAAGTAGCACTATAGAGCTATGTTTTGCTTTTAAAAATGTTCAGTCCCTTTCGATGTTTGCATTTATTTCGCTATTAGCTTTTTTTGAACGGCTATTTAAATAGCTTATGACTTTGATGTTGATAGTGACGATGGTAATGCAGTTGTTGATAAAGCTGGATTTGATGATGACAGTGGCATCGTAGATTCAGAAACAGAAGCGATTTTGTCTGTCAATCGAATAACATTCTTGTTATAGTCTTCTAACCCAACATAGTCATCTGCTTTGGTGGCATATACAACTGCCTCCCTGAACTGTGCCAATGCTACGTCTACATCTCCCTCCATCTAAGCAAGGTTCAAATAAATAAAGAGATTAGGAGGTTGTTCTAATCAAAACGCGATTTTTTTTTTTTTTTTTTTTTTTTTTTCCTTTTTACCTCATGAATCAAACCTAGAGTGTTGAGACCCAAGGCTGCACATTCGTCACAATCTCGATGTTGTCCACTCTTTTCCTTGGCCATTGCAACTGCTTTCTGCACCCAGCCCAGAGCCTCTTCCTCCTTTTGCTTCTGCTCCAATGATTTGATAGCCTTAGCAGCTGTTGCTTTAGACTCTGGAGAAGATGACGATGACGTAGATGGTGATGATGATGAGGATGCCCAAAAATTCCATGATGAGGACTTGTTTTGCTGTATGGGCTGCTCCTCAACCTTGCTCTTTGTTTCTGGTTTTGATCTGCTATCGGCAGTAGCGGTAGTCGTGGTCGCAGCGCCGTAGAGAGTTTCTCCGATACTGTTCATCAAGATGGCCTCACGGCAATACCACATATTCTTGGTGGATGGGGTATCTGAAGCAATATTGCCCACGTCTGCGCGATGTTTCTGAACCATTTGTAATGCCTTCACGAAAAGCGATAATGCATATTCAAATTTTGACTGATGTACATATAATGCACCCAGAGTGGATAGTAGTCCAATTTCATCGATCGATGCATTATCTTTATCGTCCTGTTTGGATGCAGTCACCGTGCTCAACGCCCAACTAAGGGCTTCCTCTGCAAGATCGTATTCGCCCATGCGCATCCAGCAGGTTGCTGCAAGTTTTGCAAACGGAATACCATCCTGTGGAGCGATCATGGATCGATTTGAAGTAGAACGTCCAAACAGATTTCCAAAGAATGAGGCTGAAGTTGAATCTGAGGCTGTAGTTGATTGGGGAAATTGTTTCCCAGCCAACTTCCATAATCGCGTCCAAATGGTGGCCGCCCGTTCATCCTGTCCAATCCTTCCATAGAGTCTGGCCAATCGATTATGGATCTCGACTAGAGCTTTATCTTTTTCAATCTCTGGAAACCAGCCATCATTGTCGACATGATGACGTTGATCTGTCAGTGGTTTTTTCTTGTAAAGATCTTCTAGATCTTTTCTGGTCAGCTCTAAAGCCCTTTGAAGATATACTTCCGCAATATCAGAATCTGGAGAGTACTCTTCACGGACCCAAGCTCCATGAAGGCATTGTTGAACTTGAGAGGATACACCAGAAGGGGAAGGACATTTATATTGTTCTATATAAGCATGTGTGCCGGACCATACAAATAAACCGAAGCCAATAGTAGACACAGTGACGAGGAAAAGGTTTCTGAAGATACGTGTAGTATGCAAGATGGATTCAGTAAAAGGAGTGATAGATTCATCAACAGTGGCTCTTGTTCCGGTAGCATTAGTCGTGGTGTAAGGACGATAATGTTGTTTGAACCAAGGTTGTTGTTGTTGAATAGATCGGACAGCTCCTGTAAGGGTCAGTAGAGAGCGACGATTATGAGGTATGAGCCTTTGTTGTCTCAGTGCTGTAGTAGTAGCAGCGGTGGCAGCACGAATGAATGCCCGGCTGGTTGACGACATGATGAGCAAAAAAAAAAAAAAATAATGAAAAGATTGTTGAAACGCGCAGAAACGCTCATGTAACACGTTTCTCACGCTTTAATGAGTACAATGAAAAAAAAAAAAAAAAAAAAAAAAAAAAAAAAAAAAAAAAAAAGCCACATCTCAACATCCCAGAGTATTAACGTGTGTGTGTGGAGTCAACAATGTTTTATTCTTTTTTTGAACGAACGTCTTAATTCCATTGTGCCTAGAAACATGTAAAAATAAGGAGAAACAAACAAACAAAGTTCAATCATGAATACATGTATATCATGTCAATTTAGCATCTTCTTTCTTTGCTTTTCACTAACGTTTGTTGGTTCTGGAAGTTGTTCTTCAACAGCATAAGGAGATTTTTTGTTTCTGTCAGCCAACTTCTTGGCAAGTTGTCCTCCGCCTTGTTGTACGCCTCTCTTCCCAGCCTATAGATCCCCCCAATGCGATAAAAAAAAAAAATAAAAAAAAAAAAAAAAGATAAAAAAACCAGAAGCAATTAGGGTCTTTAAGAATTCAAGCTGACAATGAAAGATAGGCTTTTTCTTTTTCATTTTTTCTTCTTCTTCTTTTTCTTCTTCGTCTTTACAGCTTCAGCTCGCTTTTGTGCTGCCAGAGCAGACGGGGAGAGTTCATTCGGGGTTCGTGGTGAAGTCGAGGCTGACGCTGCACCGCTATCACCTAAAGTCCGTCCACCGCTGTTCAGAGTTTGGGTCTGTGTCTGTGTCTTTGTGTTTGTGTTTGTATTAGTATTGGTGTTGGCACTTGTCTTTGTTGCAGAGGCATTGGATGGGGTATTGCTATCGCCTAGGACATAACCCTGGCCCTTGCGATTTGGCTTTCCGCAACAAGCGCCCATTATGAATTCGGTATCGACTGAATTAAGCTTGCAAGAAAGAGAAAGAGAGAATGGGAATGTAGGAGAGAGGGAGAGAGAGGTGGATGGTAGGAATGTGGGGTTGAATGTAATTATTATGAATGTGTAATAATAAAAAAAAAAAGAAAGAGTGAGATGGAGAGATGGAGAGATGGAGAGAGCAAAGTCAAGTGCAATATATTTGTACACCAGTATCACATTGACCAAGAGTTTGTAAACAGGCATGGTGATCCATTCCATAGCAAGCATCCATCCAATCAGATGGCATGCCATTGATACAAAAGGGGGGTTTGAACAAAGACGCGTATTGCATGTTCATCTATTCATCTGTTCATGTTTGTTTCTATGCATAGTGCATACTTGTGTCCTTTCTTCTAAGCCAAAGTAAAAAAAAAAAAAAAAAAAAAAAAGTCGATCTGTGTGTTTGTCAATGGTATCCGTCAATGCATTCTATTTCTCTATTCTACCACTTGAGCCTTAGTCAAGCAATGGAAATGACCCCCTTGTTGTGTTACTGTTGCCTGTGGTTGTGGTTGTAATTGAGGATACGAACAATAGGCCAATGGGTCCTCTCTATCAATCACGACAGTTACAAAGGTTGACAAAAGGATGACATGTACGTTTCTTTTCTTGTGTAGCCGTGCTAGTTACTTAGTGCTTTAATGGTTAAATAGTTAATGGCAATGATCCATATTTACAGGAATGCTTGATCGGTATATATCTTATTTTTCCTTTTCCAATGACATGGACTCCTTTTCTAACCCTCCTTCTACTCTCTTTTCCTTTATTCCTTCTTTTCTCTTTTTTTTTCTTTCTTGATGCTCAAAGCTTCATCCATTTGCTCATTCCCCACAACACATCAATTCTACATCTAACAAGCCTCATCCTCTTGCCCTCCTTTGCATCACCATCTTTTTTTTTTTTTTTTTTTTTTTTCATTCAGTTCCATCTCTCTGACCTTGTGTTCTCATCGTCCTTGATCTATTTACCTTCTTTCTCTCTTATCTCCTTCTCTCCTCTCTCTCCTCTCTCTTCCTTTCCAACGTTTGCTAGTCATGCGTGAGCAAGTTAGAGAGACTAAGCTTGCACGTCGTCTTTCGCAGCATATCCCAAAATCAACTCTCTTGCCGCAGCATCAAGGCTCACTTTCTTCAGCTTCCCCAACCACTCACGCTTCGTCCTCTCCTGAGAGGCCATTCAAACGCACCAGCCTTCAACAAGGCATTGTCTCTCCTCTTCCTACTATTCCTCAGCAGCAATCACTTGATCCCACAGCAACTCGCAAGAAGATCGACTCGGAACCAGAGCTCGATCCCACGTCTGTATTCAATCAACACGATAACCCTGTATCCACTCAAAGCAATGGAATGGTATCGTCCGCAACAGCCGCCACAACCGGCTCTTTACCGCCTCTCAATACGTCGTTTAATTCATCAGGAACAATCAATCCAACAAACTCCTCTTTGGGATCCCCATCCCATCCTGGAAGTATCAACACATCTTCACGCAATACCCCACCTCTCTCGGCTGGTACAGCACGAACTCGATTAGGATCGATTCTGGCAAACAATTTAGGACTAACTCGAGGGCCAGGGAGTCCAATCTCGCCCACATCATCTCGACATTTTAAATACCCCTCCATTCCTTCCCCAACTTCTCCCTCGCCGACAATTTCAGGCGACAGCACCGATGTGAGCACGACGCATGAGACATCCACCACACATCTGCCACCCCTTCGAAAGTCCTCCTTGATGAGCGACCCTGAAAAAAACGAGAAACTTGGTAGCGGCTACAGTAACAGTCATACTCCTAGCGTATTCATTAACATTGGGAAAACCACATCGTCATTACCTCAGATCTTGATGCCAAAAAAACGCATTGCCCAAAATATTGTTTCTAATATGGGTTACATTGGCGCGTGGTATTTCTTCAGTACAGCGCTATCTATTTACAACAAGGTAAAATAAAAAACAAAAATAAATAAAAAAAAAAGAGAGAGAGAGAGAGAGAACACCTTTGGCAGAAGCTTACTCTATTTTTTTTTTTTTTTTTTTTTTTTTTTTCTTTGCCCCCCTTATGAATCCTATTACTAAAAAAAAAAAAAAAAAAAAAAAAAAGAACCTAATGGGCAAAGACAACTGGAACTTCAATTTGCCACTGTTTGTGTCCTCAATCCATGCTGGTCTTCATTTTGTGATTACAGCATGTTTGATGCATTTTTTCCCGGACATCTTTGATGCAACTCGATCTGGGAAAGGAGGCAGAATTACAATCCGCAGCTATGTTACTCAAGTGGTACGTAAACATTCATACACACAAAATAGTTCTTGCACGCGCACAACGAGGCTGTGCAGTAATCATGTAGAGACGCTGTATATATCAGGTTGTAGAATAGCCCTATCGAAGACATGCATAGCTCATGCATGCTACAACATTATCGTAGCATCTTAATTGGACAAAAGAAAGAGTAATATGAAAAAGTCTAAACTTAATTAGTTCATTTGTTCATTGCGATTAAATTAGGTTCCATGTGCAACCGCCGCAGCATTGGAAATTTGCATGGCGAATGCTTCGCTCATGTTTATCACCCTCTCTTTCTATACTATGGTAATTCATGTAATCTGAAAAGAAAGGCATGCACCCAGGATGCATAGTGATTTATTAACATCTTCATTTGATGTACCTTTAAATGTTCTGTTGTGTGCTTGTATCAGATCAAGTCTAGTACGCCGATCTGGGTTCTGATCTTTGCATTCTTCTTCCGTCTCGAAAAGCCACGGATGAGCCTGATCTTGATTATTGGTGTGATCGTTATTGGAGTTGTTCTCACAGTGGCTGGTGAAACACAATTTGACTTGACAGGATTTATCCTCGTCCTCTTTGCGGCGATCATGTCAGGACTTCGGTGGTCCCTTACACAGATGTTACTTCAAAAAGATCAATTGGGGATGGATAACCCAGTGGCGACACTGTACTATATCAGCCCAATCATGTTTGTCATCATGTCGATCTTGTCGCTCATTATTGAGGATCCATTTGTACAATTTGCATCATCAGAGTTCTTTGACGATTTCTGGACAGGAATGACAACTTTACTGATGGCAGCTGGAGGCGGATTCTTAGCCTTTGCAATGACAGTCGCAGAGTTCAAACTGATCAAAAATACGGGAACTGTCACGCTCTCTGTCGCAGGGATCAGTAAAGAGATTGTGGTGATTTCTCTTAGCATGCTTATCTTTGGTGACCGACTGACATTTGTGAACTTGCTTGGGCTGTTAGTCTCAATTGGTGGTATTCTGGCTTATGTAAGTTGAGTTGTTCTATTCTTTGTCTGTGCTTATAACTCATAAAAAGTTTGTATTTTGATTTGAATGAAATAATAAATGTTGCTTCTTTACTATGGGTTCTAACATGATAGAATTATGACAAGATTAAGAAGCTGCAGCAAACCACTCTTGGGACAGGAGATTATAAAGCTTTGGGGCCTATGGGACGGCACCATAAGGGAGATAATACGGATTGAAGAGAAGGAGGAAGATAAGGAGGAGTTTGTCTTTTAGAAACCTATAAGCCATTATATAAACAGGGTTGCATCATTTTTTTTTTTTTTTTTTTTTTTTAATTTTTACATTAGCTTCCAGAATATATATATACAGTTTTACTTTTGCTTACTACAACTACAAGTCCTAGCCCTGCTACTCCATTAAATGTACTTTAAAGCGTAAAATCACCGTGTCTCTCATTGTTGGCAAGGGCCCTCAAATCCGTAGCGGTGGCGGTAGCGGAAGAAGATGGGTAGGACAGGGTATCATAAGAGTCATGAGTCACAAAGTGTTCGGGTTGAATCGAGGGCCGACCAAAGAACGTGTTATCTGAGATCTCACCCAAAGTCGATTCACGGAAATGAGCACTTTTACTTCTTCCATCATCAACTCTTACACCGACACCGACACCGACACCGATACCAACACCAGCATCATTATCATGGTCGATATGGACAATGATGCTCCCAGCCAAGAGATCTTCGCGTATGTACTCCTGTGCCTGCTGCTGTTGATGTGATTTAGATGAATCGAATGGTGTAGATGAAGAAGAGAGAGTTGACTGTCGATAGGGTTGGTTCGTCATTTGTGCAAGATCTACGATATAGCTACTGCTGCTATTTCTGCTGCTACCGTTGCTGGCGGCGGTGCTGGAGCGGCTATTGTTATTGTTATTGTTATTGTTGTTGAATTCTGTTGATTCTGTACCAACGACAAGGGGCGTTTCTCCTATCATTGTAAGGACTGATGGATTGGCAGATTCTGGTCTTGAGGGTTTCACATAGTAAGCATCTCTTCGTCTGACTTTTTTCTCACCGATCAATCGAACCGAAGGGGGTCTTTCGTTTCGAAAGGCTCGATTCTTTTTGGTAGAACGAGGAGGGATTTCGTATTGAGCAGCTTGATAGACTTGGTAGGTTCCTGTGATAGCACCAAGAGCCAGGATAGCGGAAACAAGTCCCACAACGATTTGACCTTTTTTAGGGTCCATCGTGAATTGGATAGTACTACCACCATCATTGGATGTATCGTTGCCTTTGTTTGTCTCGTCTACAGCGGGAGGGGAGCCTGGAAGACCAAACTGTCTTTTTGTCATTGAAGAGGGGACTGTTCCTTCCCATCGAACTGCTAGGGTATTGAGTGCTGGACCGGTATTATTCCAGAAGCCGACTGTAGAGGATAGGAGGGTTCGACAGTAAGGATCCGAATAGAGGTTTAAGATAACATGAGGATCAGATGCGGCGGCAAAGGCAAAAGAGGGAGAAGAAGAAGGGCTGTTGTGGAGGTTTTGAAAATTACTGCGCGCGTTATTATTATTATTATTATGAAGGTCGCTGTCATGGTTGTGGTTGAAGGACAAAGTATCAAGGACCACACAGGTGGCATAAGGGATTAATTGAGGTCGTTGTCCAAGAGGAGAACCGGTGAGGGCATGGAATGACAAGGTGATCGCGGTCAGATCATTATTATCGGATTTGCTTCGTGGAAGCGCAGAGGCCAACGACAAGAGATGAAATTGAGGTGTCACAAAACATAAAAATAAGGCCAATATCGACAGGGTTTTGTTCAGGGTCCATGGACGCGTTGTTGTACCGAGCGTTACTGTTGAATGAAGTGCTGTTTTTGTTCTTCTTGCTGTCGTTGTCCTTGCCATTGCTGTTGATGCTATAAGAGTTGGCCCCGTAGTTGGCTATTGAGATGATGAATTTGGAAGTATGTGGTGTAGGGCAAAGTGATGTGTTATATGTATTTATAATCAACGACTTTTTTTTTATTTTATTTTTTTCCTCGGGGTATATTTTTACTTTGATCGTGTGAGGCGATGACCAATTGAGGAAATGTCTATTTGGGAAAGTAGACAATGCGAGTAAAGAAAGATAAAAAAGAAATGGGGTTCTTTTTTTACCGCAAGGCCAGATCAACGGATGGCGAAAAAGAAAAAAAAAAGGAGAGGGGGGGGAGGAGGAAGAGAAGGGTGGAGAGAAAAAGAAAGAATGGCCGGATTTTATCCAGAATAAGGGAAAGGGTTTGTTCTGTCAGTCAGGTAGGGACATAATCAAATCGTAGGATGTCCCAGAGGCAGTGCTTTCTACAGTCATCCCCTCTCTACAAGCACTTCAAGGCATGCCAGCGTTTTACAAACAACGCAACTGTAGATACAACAGCATTAACGTCAGTATTCGCATAATCCAAAAACTTACAGATAAAATCCTTTTTTAGAAATATCACAAGTCTGCTGTTTTTTTTTTCCCTTTCCTACGGCATACCTAGGGGGAAGGAAAAAAAAAAAAAAAAAAAAAAAAAAAAAAAGTGAAGGGGAGAGGAGGAGAAGAGGAAAGAGATGGGGCTGTTGTTATTGCTGTTGTGCGTCTGTAGCTTATGATAGGCAAAAAGAGTATTATAGAAGAAGAGGAAGAAAAGGAATAGAAAGAAAAGAAAATAGACGACAGCATACAATACATTACGCATGCATTCATCAAGAATCATCCTTTTCTTTTTTTATCAGCTTCACTTTAGGTGCCCAAGCATAAGTTAATCATTTTAGTCGACGTGATGAATAAAGTCTTATCACATTTAAGAAGCAGTAAGATAAACTGTATTTATTATATATAAATATACTCGAAATGATCCTTATACTTCATCCTGCTCCGTATCGAAAGCGCCCATTGTGTTGACAACCATTTGTGCCATTTCCAGCGAAGAATTGATCACGGTCCTCAATAGCTTTAGTGTCGATGTTTGAAAATCTCTAAAAGAGAAATCAAGTTAAAGAAAAATAAAAAAAGAAAGTCAATTTATCGGGTTGTTTATCAGTTGATTATGATTCATTGGTGATATAGCTTTGAGGTCTTACAGGATCAAAATGTTGTCTTGCGTCCTAATAATTCGCCTTGAAACTTCTGGCTTCAAATCCTTGTCTACATCCAATACGTCTGCGGCAATTTTGGCGAGTCGTGGTGATGGAAATGGAATCTGTAATGTCCTATTTTGCCCCGTAAAATAGTGGGGAGCGAAGTAGACAATAAGATAAAGATTCATTAAGCTTTTTTATTATTATTACTGTTATTATTATCATTATTATTATTATTATTATTATTGGACAGCTGCTTTTTTCCTGGCGTCCTTGATCAAAAGCATAGTTCTGCGTAGTGTTTTTATCCTTATGCACAGCATTTCCAGAAAATTGACATAGCCCTCCCTTATAGCTGCTACAGTGTTAGGCTTGTGTAATTTCCCTACATTTGCTAAAAATGTCGACCGTCTGTATACAGTTGTCTGCGTTTGTTTATACTCTCCAATAGGAGCCCTTCAATTACAAGTTTCATACGGCATCAATGTTTAACCATTGCCTTAGATATTCAGCGACGCGTTCCTCTCATGCCATTGAGTATAGCCTCATTAGTCCTGTCTTTTTTTGGACTATAGGAAAGTAGCATGGGTTCCCCGAAACACTCCAAGTCCAGTCTCCCTTGAGAATTCATAAATATGATATGTATTTGCCTTGTTACCCTGTTCTCCTACTGTTTTTTTCTTCTTTTTCTCTTTCTTTTCATTCCCTGCTTGCTGAGTTTGGTCGTTCAGACTTACAATTGCTCGTTTAGGGCAGTAATGGCCATGGTGACTGTAATTGTTAATGTGCAAAGGCATAAAGGAGAGATTTAGCTTCGCCTAGTCCCTTGTGTAAATTGCAGGTTGGGTGATCAAGAGAATCCTTTGTGGCTTGTGTGACTGTCTCCAAAGCATTTCTCTTTACATGGTCATTCTCCGCTATTTCAGGAGAAATAAAAACAACGCACCAAACAAGAGGAGAAAAAAAAAAAAAAAAAAGACCGCCAATAAAAGAAAATTTATGGGTAGGACGTGTGTTTTTTTGCACACACTGACAAGTGTATTTTATACTCCACCTCTCACCTCTCTTTTTTCCTCTCTGTCTCTTTCTTTTCTTTTTTTTCTCTCTCTCTCTTCTTCTCTCTCTTCACCTGTCTTCCTCCCTTCCTTCCTCCTTCCCCTCTTCCGTCCGCCCCGTCCGCCCCGTCCGCCCTTCCTCCCTCCTTTGTCCGCTTCCTTTCCTCCTCTTTCCATCTCCTACATTTTTCCTTGTCTCCAATCGCTTTTGCAATGTCTTTTGCCAAGGACTCTAACGACCTCGCTGCCTCGGCTAACAATGCCAACTATGAGGGTCAGTACGAGCATGATCACGAGCACAGGGAAAATGAGGGTCTTGATGCTGATGCCCCTCTCACCCTTCGCGCCCTTGTCTCAACTAAGGAGGCCGGAGTCATCATTGGCAAAGGAGGCAAGAATGTAGCAGATCTCCGTGATCAGACTGGCGTCAAGGCCGGTGTCTCCAAGGTTGTCCAGGGTGTTCATGACCGTGTTCTCACTGTCACTGGAACCATCGAGGGTGTTGCAAAGGTAATTTAGCCCCAAATGAGCAATACGATCTATAATTTTATTTATTGGGACATCAAGAATCCGAACATTGTTGCATGTTGTTCTCTTAGTTGAGAGAATCAATCCTCTTGTGGCTGTAGAGCTCATGGAATAGACTCCTTGAAAATTTAATCATGAGCAAGTTTACAAAGTTGCAATTCAGAGATGATTCATTTATTTTTTCTCCCAAGGACAGATGAATTTTGTCTTTTTGCTTTGTATTTCTCAGCTCGTGGTTTCATATGGAAGGGGGGACCTTGAACCAATCCTGGGGACCAGAACAAACGAAGGTTCAGTCCAAGTACAGAGAGCATATGCCCCATCCCAGCGTGTAACCTTCACCTCTACCAGTCATAACTTGTGCTTTTCTAATTACATTACATTATTACTTTCATATGGTGGCCTTTTGGATGCTTTGGACATTCATCCACTGTGTTTGCTTATCTGTTGTGATACCAATCTTTACTGTCATCAACCGAGGCGCTTTTTTTGTCCGGCAAATTATCCATTAGCAACACAAGGACAAAATTCAAAGATTTATTAACACATGATTTTCTGCTCTATGTTGTCTTACTCTCTCGCTTTCTAGGCTTTCTCATTGATCGCTCAGACCTTGTTGGAGAACCCTATTACTTCCTCGTCTCCAGAAAATCCCCTCAACTCGCTTCGTCCTGTTGCTCAGACCTCATCTATCCGTCTGTTGATCTCACACAACTTGATGGGCACTATCATTGGTCGTCAGGGATTGAAGATTAAGCACATTCAGGATACGTCTTCGGCTCGCATGGTCGCCTCCAAGGAGATGCTCCCTCAGTCAACTGAGCGTGTTGTTGAAGTTCAGGGATCTGTCGATGCCATTCGCATTGCTATTTACGAAATTGGTAAATGCCTTGTTGATGACTGGGAGCGTGGCGTTGGTACTGTTCTTTACAACCCTGCCGCTCCTCGTGCCCCTGGCACGAGTACCACCTACAATGCCGGTGCCACCAGCAATGGAAACCGCAATAACAGCAATAACAATAATTACACGTCGCGCACAGGAAACGGATCTGATTTTACTCGCTCGCGTGATGACACCCAATACCGCCCACGCCCCGAGCCCGCTTTTGGCCAAAACAACGCCAACCTTCGAACTCAGGAGATCTCGATCCCTGCTGATATGGTCGGATGTATCATTGGAAAAGGTGGCTCCAAGATCTCGGAGATCCGTCGTCTGTCTGGATCCCGCATTTCGATTGCCAAGACCCCTCACGATGAGACTGGTGAACGCATGTTCACCATCGTCGGCACCTTGGAGGCCAACGAGAAGGCTCTTTACCTTCTTTACGGTCAATTGGAGGTTGAGAAGGACAAGCGTCTGAATCTCTCCGGCGACCATATTCCCGAAGAGGACGAGGAATAAACTAAATACAAAAGAATGAAACCTTCCTTTACCCCTTTTCTCCCTTGACCTTTCGACAGTATATAGTAACCCAACCCCATATGAGTCTACTATTTTCTATTTTTACATTCCTTTCCTTTTTTTTTTTTTTTTTTTCTTCCCTTGATTCCATCGCACATGTAGGCGCATACCTCTCGTCCTTTTTGTTAATACAGGCCATTGCTTCTGTTTTTTGTCTTTTTTTTTTTTTTTTTTTTTTTTTTTTTGTAAAATACAAGTATGATTTGGCTCCCACTAAAGAAAATTGTATATACAAATGTACTTTTTTATGGAAATATGAAATATAAATGTATATTTTTATACATATTGTATTTACAAAAGAAGTGTAATCAATTAAAGTTGGATAGAAATAGATAAAAGTGAATGCTTTTTTTTTTTTTTTTTTTTTTTCCTTTTTTCTTTTTAATATTCTACAGGAACATTTGACCAGATTGAGTGGTGACAGTGGAGATCTTTAGGATCGCGTTCACAAGAGCAGCTGTACGGAAATCAGTGTTCTTGGCTGCAGCTGTGGCACGAGTCTCCTCGCAGGCACCGATCATGGTGTCCTCCAAACCAGAGTAGACGAGCTCATGCTCTTCAGCTCCATGGATCACAGCACGTCGTTCTTGTGGAGTCAATTGTCGACCTGCATTTTCCTCTACCAACGTCAAAAGCTTGCTCTTGCCGGCCTCTTCCCATTTACGAGACATACGACCGAATCGAACATGGGACAAGTTTTTGAGCCACTAAAAAAGAAAAAGTTTGAAAAAAAAAAAAAAAAAAAAAAATTAGTTCGAAAGTCCTTTTTTTTTTTTTTTTTTTTTTTTTAGTGTGAAATTTCAGAGTTGATTGCTATTGTTGTTATTCTTGTTGATGGCAATGATGATGTTGTGAAATCATTGTGGGGACAGCTACTGAATAAGCGCTTCGCCCTTTTTTGGTTGGATATATATAATCCATGAATTGTAATGATTATAATGTCGTTTAGTCTGGAACTGGGAAGTCCTGAAATATATCCATTCCATTTGATTCAGTTGTGATATCATCAACATCATCATCAACAATAGCACAGCTTTTTTTTTTTTTTTTTTTTTTACCTCAAAGTATGAAACAGTAACTCCACCGGCGTTCAACAACAAATCTGGGATAACGACCTTGCCTTGTGCGACAAGATAATCGTGAGCATCTGGGGTGATGGGTCCATTAGCAGCCTCACCAATGATTTTGGCCTTGATCCTCTTCACGTTCTTGAGACCGATCTGCCGTTCCAAAGCAGCAGGAATCAAGATATCGCATTCACGTTCGAGAATCTTGCTAGGGTCTTCAATCATCTCTGCGTTCTCAAATCCACGGAATGAGCCCTTTTCTGCACGGTACTTGAAAAGGGCCTCAACATCTAAACCATCAGGATCATATGCAGAAACGTCATGCTCACCAATTCCAATGACCTTGGCACTAAGGAAAAAAAAAAAATTGAATATTGAAATAAAAACAAAAAGTTTAGTGTTTGCCTTATCCAAATGAAATGCTATTATTCCTTACATTTATAAATATAAAAATAAAAGGAGAGGGAATCCTTACCCGTTCCTGTGAAAGAACTTTGCGGCCCAATAACCAACATTTCCAAATCCTTGAACAATCACAGTCTTGCCTGCGACCTCTCCTGTCAATCCAGCCATCTTTTGAACTTCTGGGAATTTTAAGAACTCGCGAACACCATAGTAGACACCTAGGCCTGTTGCTTCATTACGACCACGGACTCCTCCTTGAGAGATGGGTTTGCCCGTCACACATCCAGCCGCATTCACATCCTGAGGGTTGAATTGACGGTAAGTATCCATGATCCATGACATCTCACGAGGTCCAGTACCGACATCGGGTGCTGGGACATCCACACCGGGCCCAATAAAGTTCTTTTGACAGAGTTCCATGGTGTATCGACGAGTGATCCGTTCCAGTTGTGCAGGTGTAAAGTTCTTGGGGTTGAGCTTCACACCTCCTTTAGCCCCTCCGAAGGGAACATCGACGACAGCACATTTATAGGTCATCAAGGAAGCCAAGGCTTCGACTTCTTGAAGATCGACCTCATCTGAGAAACGGATACCGCCTTTACAGGGGAGACGATGACGGGAATGTTGAGCACGGTATCCTTCAATGATGATATGATTATTTGGATCGATCTCCACAGGGAATTTCACGCTCAAGACAGAATCAACTGCTCTGATGGTATTGAGATTCTTTTCAGGAATGCCACTGATCTTGGCGGCCTTTTTTTTTTTTTTTTTTTTTTTTAAAAAAATAAAATAAAATAAAATAAAAAATAAACATGTATTTATTTATTTTTTTGATCCATGTTAGTTTGAGTGAGAAAGAAAAGGAAAGGGAAAGGGAAAGGGAAAGGGGAGAGGATTTGTACACTTACGCGATCATAAAAGGTTTCGACGGAACCTAAAAAACCAGGCTCATGATCTTCACACGCCGCATTAGTGATGTGAGTACTGAGTGAACGTGCAAAGGACGTGGCTGTGGCAGTAAGAGCGAATTTATGCAAACGAACAGCCGAGGATAACGTCCTATCAAATATCAAATTCATCAACAGGTGTCGTAGCCAATACATGCGTGAATGAAAGATGAATGAGAATGAGTTGAATGGCGAATGGAATTTCGCATTCTCTTCCTCTCTTCCTCTCTCTCTCTCTCTTTTTTTTTTTTTTTTTCCATCATGCTGGTATCCAATTGCTTACCCTGGTGTTCTACGAAGGAGTGCAGCAGTAATCATGATTGATCAGAAATAGAAAAGAAAGTAGACTGTACTGAGAGAGGCTAGAAAGTAGCAAGTAGCAAAAGAATAAGAGTAACTGAAAGAGAAGAGAAAGAGAGAGAGAGATTTTGTGGGGGGGAGAGGAAAGAAGTAAGAAGTAAGAAGAAGAAGAAAAAGGCTTTCAAGTCCAATTTAAATAACTTTGCAATGCTGTTGTAATCAAACCGAGGAGAGAAGGGGCCAATTCAATCGGCTGAATCTCAAGTCAGGGAAGTAATTTGTGAGAAAATAATTAATCATGCAAAAAAAAAAAAAAAAATTGCTTTACACCATGTCCATGCATTGAAGACGTTCTGTAGACATTAATTACCATGGACTGAATTGTATTCCTTATCCATCAGGAACCAAACGTTCGTCTCTCTCTCTCTCTCTCTTTCTTTTTTTTTTTTATCGGTTTATCGTTACAAAAACATTGGTCCACTTACTTTTTCTCTCTCCCCACATTTGCCCCCCTTCCCAACGCTCACTAAAAAAAAAAGAAAGGAAAAACTCCCACGGATGCTCAAGATTTTACCTGTCTGGCGTACCTGAGTGTCCAGCACACAGACAGAGCGCTTTTTTTTTTTTTTTTTTTTTTTTAAACGTTTCATTCTCATTCAAGACCTGTGGATCCATGCGCACTTGAAATTTTTCTGGTGATATTTGACATTTCCCTGTCCTTTGTCTCTTGTCTTTTGTTCCCTCACTTCTCTCTTGATGGTTACCAAGTAACACTAAAAAACAAAAAACAAAAAAAAAAATACTAATAAAACGTCATAATGGATCTTTGATCTTTTTTTTTTTTTTTTTTTTTTTGGAACGATCAGAAGAGAAAAAAAAAAAAAATCACGCGTCATTTTTTTTGGACGGCTAAATTCAAAGGAACCTTTAAAATCTATTATATTGATTCGTAGCATTTACATTTTTTTTTATTATTATTTTCTCCCTCAGGGTATAAAGGATAAATATATCCGAGTCGACTATGGATCCAGACCAAGGCCAGCCAAAATAAAACTACAAATGTAATGAAATGAAATGAAATAAAGCAGTGCCCTTTTGCCCCCCTTCCATTCCCTGCCCTCCCCATCTCCCTCCTCCTTTTCCTCAGTCCTACTCTTGCTCCTTTTACTCTCCCTCTGCCTTTTCTTTTCTATTGATTCAAGCATCTCAAAGAGAGGAATACTTCAATCCGTCTCGTATTGAGCTTTTGTGATATGCGATGTGATGGAGTGTTGTAAACGTACATGTACATGTGTATAAAGCGAAAGGGAAGAGAAACTTTTTTTTTTTTTTTTTTTTTTTTTACTCGCACGCTCGGCCCAATTACCTGATTTGGATATTTACTCCAATAGAAAAATGTGGGGGAGGAGGAAAAGGCCGTTTTCATCAATGAATGAGTTCCTGCCAATGAAATCCATGTTCATCCCAGGATTAAGATCTTACTTACAACAAAATCGCTATTAGGCAACTGCGGAGAGCCTTGTAAAGTCGAGTTCGAAAAGAGGGGGTCTCAAGTGGAGGGGATCTGAGGGATATGGAGGATACATGGCCTTTGACAAGCAAGAAAGGAAGCAACTATTATCGTGTCATGACATAAACCATCAATTTCCTCAACAAAATGACCATCTCATTTGACCTTGTCGACTCTTTCGCAGAGGAAAAAAAAATATATATATCCACATCTGACGTATTGAGAGAGAAATACCATTGGAACGTTGGAGCGAATGTCGAAAAAGTGATTATAACGCGTTTCCCATGGCTGTTGGTCTTTTACTGAAAGTCATACTGGTCTCGTTAAACTAATGAAGACATTCCGATAAAGCTGGATCTACATTCAGCTCATTCAACTCTATTCTCTACTATCTCAGCTACTCGGTGTGTTTAACGGTAACGAAGGAAACACTCTTGCTCATCACGCGTTAGCTTTATTTATTTATTTATTTGGAAGTACTTAATAAAAAGAAGTTAAGAAAGATACTGATTTTTGTACAGCACGAGAGGTTCTCTTTTTTTTTTTTTTTTTTTTTTTTTTTTTAATGATTATTGTTGACCACTAAGACAAAGATACGTACCGTCTAGGAAAAGCGGCGCTATCCAAGTAAAAATAAGCTTGGTAGATTGATTGGTTGTAACATGAGCCTATAATATGAATATTCATAATCAACCCTTTCCACCACCAGAGATGTGGACGTGTTTTGTTTCCTTATCGACTGAAACTGAATAGTTACTTCCTAGATGTGCTCTGCAGATCCCACATCCTTTCCTCATTTTCTTTACCACCTTCTGTACTGTTTAGTTTAAATGTAGCTTTGCAGCGCGGTAGTTCTCAGCCAGAACCACATAAATATTCAGCACCTTGTCGTGTGCTGAATAAAGCCACATTTACGTGTTCCATACAGAAACCGCACAACTACGGACACGTACATGTACAATCACTGCGTTGACCCATTGGCACACTGATCACCAGCCCATCGATCAACAAACATAGCAATAACGGATGCGTGGAACGCCATCGGTGTAGGTTGAGCGTAACAAAATTAAAAACCTCTGTATATTCAGACCCCTCCTCCTCTCTCGGTAGCAATACACCCTTTTAGGCTGCATTGTCGAAAACAAAGGAACTTTATTAATAATGAGCATGAATAAGTGGAACGATACATATTAAAACTACTGGACGCTAAAGATCCTAATGGTTTAACGTACAGTCAAAAGTGGTTTTACGACCAATTTCACTACGAATTTAGTCGTAAAAACTGCTTTTCGACTGTACAATTGGAAAAGAAACAAGTTATGGATAGAATGTTTTGTGCGAATGAGGAGAGAGGATGACAAAGGAAAGGTAATGTGAAATGCGAGGGAATCAGTAGGGTTAAAAAGGAGCATGATATAAAAAAAAAAAAAAAAAAAAGAGGGGAATGTAGAACTTGCAAACACCGAAAGAACATAAACAAGCAAGTGCTTCGCCCAAATCTACTCCATAACTAAAAAAAAATTAATCTAGTCCCTCTTACTTTAGTTTAGTCAAAGGGAGCAGGACTATAATGTTTCAAGTCGTTTTGGATAGAAGAGTTGCTGCAGCCTGCAGGCGAGGAGCATAGGTGCAAATACCAATAAGATTTCAACATGAGTTTGACAAACTAGATATCTCGAAATCACCTTGTTCGGTAACCAAAGCTGACAAAAAAAAAAAAAAAAAAAAACTATTTCCCCATTAAGATAAATGACCTTTCAAAAAGTTATTGCAAAGCTACAACATGTATTTAAAAAAAAGCCAGAATGTTTTTAATATAACTATATATTTTATTTTTGGTTTTTTTTTTTTTTTTTTTTTTTTTTTTTTTTTAGTTTTCTACTGTTTATATTTTTGTTTTACAAAAGAAATGTTGGCAAATATGTATAAATGCTTGATTAGATGTGTTATAATATGAACATTGGGAATAGAGGACGAACTTCATGAGCGAAGTCAGGCGTGGATTGGGGGAATCATTAAAAAAGCTTTTTTTTTTTTCGGTTATGCGTGGGCATGTGACATGTTGGGTGCATAGTCCGGAGCTTGTTGATCATGATAGTGCTGATCATTGTAAGATTCAGTCTCAAAATCAGGCCGCCTCTTCAGTTGAATGTATTCCAGAACTAGTGTAGCAATCCAGAAGCCACCCATCAATCCTGCGCAGACTTGAGCAGTGTAAAGTGCTATTAAATAAAATAAAATAAAATAAAATTAGAATTGAGGATTTACTTTGCGGACACTAAAGACAAAAAAAGTATAGTGTATCGGAGGATTTTTTTTTTTTTTTTTTTTTTTTTTTTTCCTTACCTTGGAAATTACTAATGGCAAGACATTGGCTTAAACTTTGGCCTGAGGAAGTGGTTTTGCAAGCAATGGTGAGACCAATACCAATTTCACCACAGATCGCAAAAGCGACCATGGCCATGATAGCTCCGATGCCCATAAATGTTCGAGAAGTAACGATGGGCAAAAAGTCATCGTAGCGATGCACAACCGCTGCCCAGTAACCGAGAAAAAGGACTGCAAAAACGCTGACAACACCTGCACCCACAACTGGAAATTGACAGTATGCTAAAGGTTGACAATTAAAAAAAGAAAATTGTAAGTATAGCACAATAATAAAAAAAAAAAAAGGCCTCCCACAGTGGATTTACATATTGCATGTGGAAATTGAGATTGGCAAATTGTGGGTGTGGAGGGATGGTGGTATATACTTACAGCTTGTGTAGAATGGAATCTTGTTATCAACAGTCATGTAGAGGAGACATCCTTTAGTGATTGTTGTTGTAGAGTTGTTTTTGCCTGTGCCTACGACAGTGCTCTCGTATTCGACATCGCCGTTCATTGCCACCACGCCCATGATGATCACGGCCAACAAGAAGACACAGAACAAACAGGCAATGGTTGACATCAACCGGATCCTGGCACTACTTGTCCTGTACATTGTCGATAATAAACAATATTATTTACAGAGGAAATGAGAGTGGATAGGAGAAATAAAATGCAAAAAGAATCTCTTTGAAAGGAAAAAAGTGGAGCAATTGGGTAAGGAAAATGAGAAATGAGGGTGAGGAAATATGTTGTTACAAAAAGAAGGAAGGGATTTTAGAGTTGATGAAAGAATAAACAGGAATACCAGTAAGGCAGGTAGGGGGAAGGAGAGAGTGAGGGATGAAAGGATGGAGTCAGAAGCGTCTCTGCGAGTATGTGCGCTTTAGGTGAAGAAGTTGAATGGGAAGTGACCAAAGGAAAAAAAAAAAAAAAAAAAAAAAGGGGAGGAAGAAAGAGAAAAAGAGGTTAAAAAGAAAGAGAGGAAGGAATGAAGAGAAAGCTGGCATGATTAGGCTATCCTTTGCTTTTATGTATTTTGCTTGCCTCACCAGTCAAGGCACAACTATAAAAAAATAATCCCCCGAGCATGCAGACAGTTGAAAATCTATCCGATCTATCCGGCTACGCGTTTAGAGCGCGTTTTATCATGTTTCGACACGGACCCCTTACCACATTTCCCGCTAAGCGGGCGGTAAATTATATCTAGAACCAATCATTGCAAATTGCCAGGGGCTGAAACTGAAACTTTATTGTGACTAGCAGGAATGTAGAGAAAAAAAAAAAGCTCTTTTTGGATTACATTTCATTCACATTGAAAAAAAAATTTCACAACAAAGAGGCTAATGCTTAAAGCTAATTTAATCTATCTTTATTTTGAATCATAAATGCAACCTCTTCTTTAATAAACGTGGCGGGAGCAAGTCTTTTTTTTCTAATTTTTTTTATGTCATTGCATGAAAAATAAATAAATAAAAGGGGCATGTAGAGTTTGAGTGTCTAAATAGTTTACAAGTCGGCGCATGCATAAAAAGGGATGGTTGTTCCTGTTGTTGTTCCTGACGATCACGAGGACGAGGGTGGTGTTTCGATTGTCGGCTTGAGATATTTCTCATCTTGGGGCGTTACTTCTGTACCTAGCAATTCGTGCAACTTATCCTGGAAAGGTCTCTTTCCGAGAAGACGCTCCATGTCTGCACGGTTCAGCACCTCCTTTTCCATCAACAACTGGGCTACCTTCTCAACATCCGCTCGTTTCGCTGTCAGTAGATCAGTGGTCTTACGGAATGCCGTGCCAATTAAGGCACGTACTTGATTATCAATCAACTGACCAGTTTGCTCACTATAGGGCTTTGTAAACTGCTCTTTGTTATCCTGGTTTCCGTAAGACAAAGGTCCAAGCTCTGGATCCATACCATAGGTGGCAACTAATCACAAAAAAAAAAAAAAAAAAAAATCATTCGTCATCAAGTGTTAGTTAAATTCCTTGCTCAATTTGAGAGCTTTATCCCCACCTATAATCAGCAACAGGTATCACAGAGCATTCTTCATGCTATTTACCTTGTGCATAAGCCATCTTTGTGACCTTCTGGAGATCGTCTTGGGCTCCAGTGGTTACAATACCAAAAAATATGTGCTCAGAGACACGACCACCAAGAGTCATACACATGCGGTCCATTAATTGTTGTGTCGAGTACAGATACTGATCCTTTGGCAAATATTGAGCATATCCGAGAGCTCCAACTCCGCGGGGAATGATCGACACCTTAAGAAGAGGATCAGCATGTTCCAGATACCATCCTGCGACAGCATGTCCAGCCTCGTGATAGGCAACTGTCTTCTTCTCCTCAGGAGAGAGCACTTTAGACTTCTTTTCAAGACCTACAATCACACGTTCGATCGCAGCCTCAAAGTCAGCCCCTGTCACGGTTTCCTGATTATGTCTAGCAGCGATCAATGCAGCCTCGTTACAGACATTATGAACATCTGCACCCGAAAATCCTGGAGTCAATGCAGCGAGTTTTTGAGCTAGTTTTGGAAGATCCTCATCGGTCTTAATAGGTCTCAGGTGCACCATAAAGATATCCTGTCGACCCTTGATATCAGGTCGATCAATGGCAATATGACGATCAAAACGGCCTGGTCTCATCAAGGCATCATCAAGCACATCTGGACGGTTCGTTCCAGCCAGGACAACAACTTGCTCATTCGATCCGAAACCGTCCATCTCAACAAGGAGCTGATTAAGCGTACTCTCACGCTCGTCATTGCCTCCAAACTGATTGCCCTTACCACGAGCCTTTCCAATTGCATCAATCTCGTCAACAAAGATAATGCAAGGGGCATTCTTCTTTGCACTCGCAAACAAATCACGAACACGTGAGGCTCCAACACCAACAAACATCTCCACAAATTCTGATCCAGAGACGCTCAAAAACGGAACACCAGCCTCGCCTGCAGTCGCTTTCGCAAGCAACGTCTTTCCTGTTCCAGGAGGTCCACTAAGAATGGCTCCCTTGGGGATTTTGGCCCCGAGTTTCTGATATGCAGCTGGATTTTTCAAAAAGTTTACAAACTCCATAATCTCGGTCTTGGCTTCGTCCATGCCAGCAACATCTTTGAACTTGACGCTGATATCAGTCTCACGGTTGAAAAGCTTTGCCTTCGATTTACCTACTCCAAAGATGCCGGAACCACTACCTCCCGGACCCTTTCTACCCATGTAGATGAGCACTCCGACCAAGAGTAGCGTGGGTGCAAAATGAATCAGAGTTCCTAACACACTGACCTCATCCTTGTACGAGACAGGGATGCGCTCAGAGCCGGGGATACCCAATTCAGATTGAGCCTCATCAAGTTTGCGCTCAAAGGCTTCAACTGATCCGATACTGAATGTGTATGTTGTGACATGGGGCTGATTCAATGTTCCAGAAGAACCACCCTGACGCAGGTAAACTCTGACTCTGTTTCTGTTCAACACAACGAGTCGATCAACGAGTCCTCTGTCCAGGAAAGTTGAGCGGAAGTCCTGCCAGGTAATCTCGCGGCTCATATCCGAGGGAGACATGGCCTTGTAAAGAACATAGGAGGTGAAGGCAAGAGGAAGGACGGTTCCAGGGTTGATGGTCATGGTGTAAAAATTTGGATTGTTGTTACTATTGCCCTTTTCTGGGGTAGGCTTTGGACCATTGTTATTAGGCTGGTTGTTACTATTGTTGTTATTATTGCTGTTTCGTCCCGAGTTTGGATTCTTGTTTGCGCCATTGTTCTTGGACTGCTGAGCATTATTTTCGAAATTTTTGGTTGCATCGCGCAACATCTTGCCAAAAAAGTTTTCAAAAGACTGTGGATCTTTGTCATCATTGTTACTCTTGTTGTTGTCCCTGTTCCTGTTGCCCGGACTATTATTGTTGCCATTGTTTTTCGGCGTTGGGGTCTTGTCTGCAGAATAAAGACGAGTTTGGATGCGATGTCTCGATGTTGCTGCGCGGACATGTGATCCCGTAGTAAATCGGGTGAGAACTGGTGAAGTCCGGAGACATCCGTTCCTGGACAGAGCTGCTCGTGTAAGGAAGGCGCTCATGAGATCGTTACGTTGAGTGTTGAAGGAGAAAAAGAATCAGAAGAGTGGTATGAAGAGAATGAATGTGCAAAAAAAAAAAAAAAAAAAAAAAAAAGTGAAGTGGGAAGAGCCACTTTCGCGCTTACGCAACGGGTCGCCAGGCCGGGTCTGCAAGCCATGTAAATGAAAAATTGCCTGTTTTGGACAATGACTTTGATTGGCCGATTCGAAGCAAGAAATTAACACAAAGGAACAAACAACAACAGGCAATTCGCCATTTTGTCATTTTGGGCCATGGAAAAAAGGCTTTTGTTGTAGAATTTTAGTGAGGATTATCAAAATACTCGTCCTCATTTTGTGCCTTATCCATTGTTCTGAGGAGATTATATCATGAAAGCCATCCATTACTTCAACGATCCTGACTTGCTTTTTCACTATGCGATACATTCTTTACACTTTCAAACATGTATAAAAATTATGCAGACCAAAATATCATTGATCGCAAACAGCTGGAGGATGGATTAGAAGTCTACGTTGCTTGGTATCAAGGCTCAAGGTTAGCGATGTTGTGATCTTACTAGAAGGCAGAAGTAAAGTTATACTCTTTTTATTTTTATTTTTTATTTTTTACGATCAGGTCGGTCAGTAGTCATAGTCCGAATACTATGAATGAAGAGAATCATAACTCAGGTTCAGATCCTCCACAACTGGAGGATAGTATGCATGCACAACTCAGAGACGTGCAGATTTACCGGTATATCTCTCAACAACAGCTTTTAAAGATAAGATTATATTGAATTAGGGATATTAGGCATACGCGATCTGCTACTTCGGTACCACAGCTCAAATGATGATGGAACTACAACAAAAAAGTATGGGACAAGCATGTAATAGCATGGTACCTCAACTCTTTTTTTGACTATAGTATTGAGGCAGCGACATTTCCGAACGGCTCGAATGACTTTGAGAGAAAAAAAAGATACCTTTCCTTATAGCATCGGCTTAGAAAAAGGAGGCTTGCGCGTTACAATGGTGCTTACACCTTCATTTCCCTCTCTTTGCCATCAACAAACACATATCTAGCACACACATACACCAAAATACATACACACACTTAGCAAGAACATGTCTCACCGTAGTTGCAACGAAATGAGTGAGGAATCACAAAACAAGCGACCCAGGATCAGCATTAGCATTGCCGAGGAAGCTCAGTTGAACCAAAAACAATTCGTGGTTCGAAGAATGGAGCTGAATGCACACGAGCTACTAAAAGCATACTCTAAGGCCTTTAAACTTGTGACATTTACCACCGCTGTGGATGCGCTACACAGAGTTCTTAAGAACATTGAGACGAGTGGTTCTACCAAACAGCGCGCGTGGGCCACAGGAATGAGAAAGGCGTTAAGGGTTCTTTTATTTCGCTTTTCACTATCTGCCATGCTGTGATATTAGTGATGTTCCTGACCCTTTTCTTTTTTTTTTTTTTTTTTTTTTTGTTAGGATCGATGTAAGGCTCAGGAATTGAAAAATGTTTTCAGAAAGCCACGACGCGCAGGAAAAGCTGGCAGATGCCATCGTGATCGGAACATCGAGTGCTTTGGAAAATGCTATTCCTCCAATACTGGAGAGTGTGGGAAAGAGAGTCCTTGCGAAAACAAACTCTAGTGACTCGGTAGGTTCAGTTATTCTCGATGTCTTCAATCCAATGTGTATGGCCTCACAAGAATCATTTTGACTAAAGTTCTATATGCATTAGAATTCGTCTTTGTCTACATGCTCTGTAGACTCTACACATATTGCTCGACGACTTTTCGTACGAGACAGCACAACCGAGATGGAGAACCCATTCATCACTAGAGAGACCAAGACTAACACTCATGACGATGAAGCTCAGGAGGAAACCGAATATGAATATACTAATCAAGGAGATACCATATACGGGAACGATGATGACAATGATGACCTAGAAGATGCCATTCCTGAAGAGATAGAAGTCCCTTCGTCTCATCCACCTTTGCGTCGAGTTATTTCACTGGACGGAATCGATATCAGTGATCCCTTCAACCAATGTCATAGCAAGATCGCCAGTATGGAGACGCTGAAAGTTGCCGAACATGCAGACGAATTGTTACTACTGAATGACATCCTAATCATCCATGACGACAAGGAGCAAGGACCAATCATAACCGAATCTAGCCTAGCATCATTCTTGGCTCAGTATAAGCGAACGCATGATGAGCTAGAATCCACCATCGACCTACAACATCTAAACCATGAGCAGCAAGGTAAGCTCATAAGTATCGCTATGGAATTGATCGGATTGGCCCAGGATCGTCGCGCTGCCTCTGTCGTGTTTTCTCAATACCGCATAGGACAGGATGCCTTTAATATATGTCTTGAGATGCTCTTCCAGTTCTCCTGCCATCTCGAGAAGTTTCCAACTTCTCCGAGGACGGAAGCCACATTTGTTGCTCATTCAGTAATGGCAATGCTTTCACCTATTCAGAATGACCTGCGACAACATATCATATATGATCAGGTGTCTAAGGCGGTTAAACGCAAAAGACCTGACATCAGACTCATTTACAACAAGAAGGAAGTTCTTTTTGGGGAAGTAACGTCACCAGAACGGGCCTCCGATCGCAGGAAGGTTTCGATTGACCTGGTTAGGTTAGGCAGATTCATGAAAGGAGCCATCAACAACGGAGTTCCAAAAGTCATCGGCATTCATGTCCAAGGTCTGTCTGCCTCATTGATTTTCTTTCGTATAATAGGGAAGATGTTAATCAAATTTTGGTATTTGTTTTTTATTACCAGGCAACATTGCTCGATACTATCGAATGGAATTGAAAGGGCCTGGTCTTTATGTGATGATGCAATATGGCACATTTCATTTACCTCAACAATTCAATCAACTTGCACAGGTCATCTTGCACTTCGGAACTATCATGCAAACACAGGTAATGAAGCGTATAACGCTCATTAAATTTCAGTTGATTGCTGCTTTTCTTTTCTTTGACTGATATGTAATCTTCACTCTACACAAAGATGATCTTGAACGATGTAAAAGCCAAAATTGAGCAGCCTCCATCACCCATGTTTATCGAGTGGATTCGCCCTCAAATGGATACCCCATCTCTGCGTAATTACTTCTAGAAGTACTATGCCTATCTTTGCTTTGCTGATTTGATTTGATTTGATTTAATTTTGCTTATTCCTGTATTGTATTTGTATTTGCTTATTCTTGTATTGTATTTAATAAAGAATCATCCCTTTTTATTTCAACCCAACATATCAATAAACCCAAGTAAAAATACGACTAAGGCCTATTTATGCCATCTACGGAAATATAGAGCATTTATATCCGGTAGTGCGATGCATATCTTGAATAGTTAAGCACAAATAACTGCGTATGTAGCGCAGCATATCCATAGAACGTTTGCGGTGGAGTCTAGATGATGCGACAAGCTCGGGTAAAGAAGTAAATTTTTTCAGTATCGGTTTCAGTTGAAACACATGTTATTCATGAGGTGCTCAATGCTTGAAAATAAAAGTGGGTAGGATGGATACCCTTGAGGGTCACGTAAACTTAACCTGAACGTCTTCAGGCACAAGGGGCGTCAAAGCAGCCTCATCCATCAACAAATGGTAACACATGGCCATAATGACCCAACTTCTTTTCGGCCATACGATCATATGGTGAAAAAAAGTGAGTGATGACTCCGTCACTCACGTAAAGAGACGAAAGCGCGTAGGAGCTCAACCTCAGGAAGCGTTGAGAGCCGTAGCTCTGTGTCCACTACCAGGATCCCCCTATGTACCCCACGAACCGTCATCTCCATGCATTACCATTTGCATTCGTACAGTCTTAACGCGGGATCTTATAGGATTATATAGATGGAGAAATTGTTACCTTCACAAGTCGGTAGATTCTTGTCCATGAGGAGAATGAGAGTTGGATTTCAATGGGGTGTGTGCGTAGTTACAAGCACACCTAACAGTCACATAGAGAAGAGTGTCAGGCTTACAGGTCGCTTGAGAGCTATTTCCCTGAAAATTTCCCCACCAATAAAAGGAACTTATAATTTTAGTGGCGCTTTTTTTTTTTTTTTTTTTTGTTGACTTTATATACCTTTAGGTGGTATTATCACAATACCAACGACCGAGAGAACCCTCCGAGGACTACCGGAATCTTGAGTTCCAATGTCGCCTAACTTCTGTATAAGGTTCATGTAAGCTAATTAGTTGAATGAGAGGACTTCTAATAATCTATTAGTTAAGGGTCCCATTCCCCATTTCAATTAACTTTACCGAGAAGTTTAAGAGGATCAATGTCCTGAATATGAATAAACACATGTCGACAATATTATCGTAGGTAGATATTTATCTATCAACAGGCAATTATTACATTGTGAGACCCAAAGAGCATCATCCCTCAATAATAAAGTTACTCCAGTGCGAATTTAAATTGTTTTATTGTTGTTCAACTTCAGAAGCAAATTGTCCTCAAAGCCAAATTAACGAAAAGTATATATGCAAGCCGACTCTTGTCATGTTCCCAAATCGAAGGACGTTGGTATTCTTAGATAGAAGGAAGGATGATAAAAACAACAGTAACGCGAAAAGATATAAACTTCCTACAAGCATCATTGACAATCTACACCATTCTCTTTTTCATATTTTGAATATCCTCAAACCCTAATGAACGTCGTTTCCGGCCGTTGAGTCTTAGAATTAGTCTTATCTCCTCCTGATAAATTGAGACTCATTGGTTAATAAATAGAATTACGTGCGATAAAAAATAATTCAGAACAATCCATGGGAGCATAGCTACCTTTACCGCAATAAGTGTAGGAAGTGTCCCTACAAGGGATGGGATCTTTGATGCAGTTGTCGGGATCTCAAAGTTTCCAATCTCCTCTAAAATAGACATCCCTCTTGACTTATATTCCAACCGCATGTAAGTCCCAGTGCTGTACACAATTTGTAGTAATGGCACTGAATTAAAACCTGAATCAACTAATGCCTTCCCGTGCCTAGCAAGACGGAATGTATCCCACATATTCTTTGTTTCTGAATGCTCTTGAGACAATCCTGTCACTTCGCCGTAAAGTATCTCGCTATTTTTTGTCTTTGCAATAATGTCTGGACGATCCGCCTTAAGACCTAGTTCCCGTTGAACCTCAGATGAAGTGTTTGGGCTATGGAATATAAAGTATTATAGCTAATATACTTTGAGTACAGTTAATGTGTTGTAAATAATCAATTACAAATGTATGGTATTGTACTTACAATTGTACTGAAACCTTTTCGCAGCCAAGCATCCCTCTCAGAATTGGCGAAATGTAGTTGGCAACGAATGTTGATTCGGATATTGACCTGTCCTCCTTAATTGGAAGCTCTTCAATCCTAAGGATTATGAAAATGATTTAGGAACAAGCTACAAGATTCATTTCATGAGGCTACAGTATACTGCAATAATCATAGGTCACCTACAGTGTTTCCAACATGATGCGTAATTTCCTATCCAAAGACTTAAGACATGTACAAGCACTGTCTTTATCGCTATTGAGACAATGCTGAGAGAATTGAGAGATATAGTTAGAGGCGGACAGTATATCATGACCAGAGGAAGGTAAATGAGAATCGAGAACATACTCTCACAGCTTTCATGATGGAAGCGTCATCAAAGGAGGGCTCTGGAAGGGTATATTGCTTTTTCAATTGAGAAAGAAAATCTTCATCAAAATGAATCATCATCCTTGGAGTGGGCATACATGGAGCAAACACTCCGATAATCGCTCTATTCCAATCAAAATTCAAGTTAAATTAATGAATGTAGTGTAAAACAAAGTCGATTGATGAAAGGTGATAATATAACACGTAGGACTCACATTGCATCTGCAATCTCAAGTTTTTTCAATTTTTTTTCAGTTAAAGCTTGGACACAGTCTCTTTGGTAATCTTGGAAACGACAAGGCACACAGATATCACCTATCTTCCACTAAAATTTAACATAGAATAGTAAGCACAGAATACCTTGTTGTGACCAGATTGGCTATTACAAATTCCCTAAATTAATAAGACAGTACCTCACACACTGTGTGCTTTGCTTTCTCTATCATAGCCAAGAGCTTCAATTTCTCATCTCCTTCAATAACCTCAGAATCTATAGACGAATGGTTTTCCGAGATTGTAGTACAATTTGATACAAATCCGGCCTCTTCTGATTCAATTGATATTAGAGGATGCGCCATAGAGTACAGAAGCATAATGACAGATAATCAATCAATAATCAGTGAGACAATGCCATGTCATGGTCCAAGTGTAGGGATAATAAGAGTACGAGTATCAATGGTGTTTTGATATAAAGATTTATACTTACCTCTAGTTTCATCGTCAGGCTGAACTTCAGTAGGAGATGGCAGCACAGTTGGCATAGTAGCAGAAACTGAAGTAAATGTGTGATGCAAAAAACTAATGTTAACAATAATAATAATAGTAATATTTGGTCTCATCCTCATCCTCAACACTGTGAGCATGCTTACCCAGCGTTGTATCTACATGTGTCACAGCCTCTCCTTGCTCAACTAGGGCCTAAGTCATCCAAAAGTGGAGAAAAAGGAAGCATTAGCATTGTATGCTAGGAGTGCTTTATCCAAATGAGCAAGATATAACTGAATCATTTCATGCCTCTTGGTTAGGAGCTTCTGGAATTTGTGTTTGGAGTACTGAAGGCGGTGAAGCAATGCTATCATCCTGATTAACAAGCAATGTCAGCATTATCTCTAAGTAGAAATGGTACATATCGATATTGTGATCAGTGCAATGAGCCTATACCTCCGATGTGAGAAGATCCATACCCGACTTGATAAAATCAGATCCCTTGAGTACTCCGGTGATCTTTAGTTTGTTGCGCTCCTTTTCCACAACGTTCTGGATGCTCAACTTTTTCTGCTTCTTTGCCTGTATGAAATAGTGGGTTGCCCATTCTTTAAAGTCCTTCCCCTTTTAAAAAAATATGAAATACACCAAATATAATGTAAGTTGTCAATCGCAGCCTCACATGATAATGTTCTCAAGTAAAAATTGAATGGAACCTTCAATTTCTCGGCAATCTCATTATTGTTGGTGGCCTTGAGCGATGCATGCAGGGTATCTAGAGCTGTGGTTTTCGTAGAGAGGTTAAAGGCCTCAAAAAAATCCTTGGCTAGTTGTGTGACATCCTTATGTGGTGCGTTTTGTAAGATGAATTCGTGCCTTTTCTGATAAAGGTTCGATAAAGTAAGTCGATCGTTCGTTGACATAGCCTAAGAAATCGAATCTCGTGAAAAACATGAAAATTAAAATCAGTCCATTGCACATGCGATCTGATTGTCACAATGAAATTAAGACTAGGATGAAATAATGATAACACTGTCTTGGATGGCAGCCCTGCTAACCAGAAGTTTGACTCGATTCGAATTCGAGCACAGGGAGGCAGACTCTACATAAAAACATGGAGATGCTGCAGACCATCAATGTTAGTCTACAGGCCTTCCATGGCTAAGGTCATGGAGTGAAGAGCAATAGATCCAGCGAGACGCTTTGAACGGGATTGCCCCGAACGCCTATTGCCCCTCAGCCTATAGTGCACATCGGTTTGACAAGACAGGCTTAAAAAAAAAAAAAAAAAAAAAAAAAAAGCGAAATTGTGATGGCAACCCTGCTGACCAGAAGTTTGACTCGATTCGAATTCGAGCACAGGGAGGCAGACTCTACATAAAAACATAGAGATGCTGCAGACCATCAATGTTAGTCTACAGGCCTTCCATGGCTAAGGTCATGGAGTGAAGAGCAATAGATCCAGCGAGACGCTTTGAACGGGATTGCCCCGAACGCCCATTGCCCTTCGGCCTATAGCATCACATCCACTACAATTCTGGGTTTGACACGGTATACAAAGAAAAGAATGTGTGAATGCAGGAAAGAAGGAAAGATAGAAGGAACGTGCAAATAAATGAACAAACGAAAGAGAGGAAGCAGGGCAGAAAGTAGAGGGTGAGGGAAAAGAGAAGAGGCAATAATGGAGCAATAGATGGACTTACCAGTGATGTGAGACGAAAGTGAGCTTGAGGATAGTTGAGACTGTAAGACAATTGGATTGGCCAAATTGGAGATGATGTCATTTACATTCGCTAAATCCAGTGTAATATTTGCTTACTTGAAATTCCTGCGTTCCCATTCGCAGAGTCTTAAGTTTTCCGAACACCTAGAATTGATGAAGGTGTGTATATGGCACTCATAATTGGTACCTACTTTTGCTCCAAAAAAAAAAAGTAGCTGTCTTATTTACTGTTATTATATGTTATGCTCAGAGGTTGATACAGGCTAGCTCATTAATTAGCACTGAATCAATAAATCAATAACTGCTAATTATTACCCTCATAAGGACCTCATCTTTTGAAAAAGCAGCTACGGAGAAGAAGAGAGAATTAAGTTCATGTTGATCTTTTAAATAGATCCAACACGCAATTTAACTTTGTGAACCTGTAAACATAAGAATCAAAGAGCACTAGACTCTTTGCTTGTCTGCAGATGAACAGACAGCCTAGGGTGCACCACACGGAGGCCACTACCACCCTTCAACACCGCTCTAGCCGTGACCCTGATCAGCATTTCTGGCGTAAGGAGAGTCGCTTCATCATCGAAAGATGTTGAAATAAAGGTTAGCAGCTATAAACCCCAAGTCCCTCGGGACCAGTACTTATAGTGGCTGTATCCTATCGCACATCTCCACGATCACAATTGTTGCCAATACAACACCCCAAAGCGCAGTTGAGGAATCGAGAAAGAGAGGGGAAGGAGTGGTCTTTTTATGAAATTATGGGACACTTAATTCCTGTACAATCAATTTGCCTTGATACCATCAATACCGTTTCTTTTTCTTTTTTCTTTTTTTCTTTTTGTATGGCCTATGATTTTATTTATTGATGTATTTGAGGCTGGAATGTAGAATTCACTTGTTTGCCAAACAAAAGTCTATCACTCACACATTGAAACCAGAGGCACCACTGCCTTCATGAATACTGTGTTGGGCCCAGATATTTCAAAGTCCGAATCCACCAACACCGCACCTACCAGTGCTTCCAACGCGTCGGCAAGTGCTTTACTGACCTCCAAGTACCGCAAACAGTTCTTACCATTCCTTGCTACTTCTTGATCGATGCGTGCCACCTCACGAACAAAGTCATTTTTGCAAGGTCCAGGCCTCACATACTTACAGAGTCCGAGTACATAAAACATCCTTCCGAAGAAGTTATTTGAAACATTAAATTGAGGAGCTTGGCCCCATTCCTTTTCTCTCAAGTTCCGAATCCAATATAAGGTTGCGAGCAAGCCCAGTATCGCATCACCTAAGTACTCAAGCCGTTCAAAAACTGGGGATTTGAGTCTGAAAGCATTTTGGAGGATTGCTTTGCTTCTGAATCTATACTTGATAGTAGCCTCAATCTCCTCAATTTCTTGTTCGCTTAGTGGTGCCAACCGAGGTGTGAAGTACAAGAATGCAGATGCGTGTCTTGCTTTGAAAGCTTCAGCTACGCCTCCCCATCTATCTATCCCTGAGAAAACCTCACATCCAACCAGATCTTTAACAACCCGCAGGACTAAATCGAAGCCTCCTGCAAACATGGCCATGGCCAGAGTGCTCACGAGGAGTTTTCGTTGTTCTTTTGGGCATGGAGTGAGGAATGCATTGCCAGAGATCTCTATAATCCGACTGGTTGGCCTTATAAAATTTTTATCTCTTCGTCTGGTCAACCCAAATGGACCATCAGGCTTGGCCACAAATGCCTCCACTCCTAGGAAAAATTTGAAGATCGAGAGCCCGTAGCTCCTAAAGACTACACTTGTGACTCCGGTAAGTGGGGCTTGCCTCAATGTGACGCCATGTAGCAACTCAAGCCTCATGCAAAGAAGCAGGGAAGCATGGCAGATTGCCAAGCTCTGTTCCTTATAAGGGTCTGATACGACCCTAGTAATGCCTGAATGCCACTGTATGGTCATTTCACATGTGAAGCTCTGTTGAGCCTTAATGTCGTCGCCTAATTTCCTGAATTGAAAAGCCAGTGGCGAAGATGCTCCGTTGAGATGAGGAATTGGTGAGAGAGGATGCGATTCAATGAATAAGAGGAGATAGTTTCTCGCCCGCAGAAATAGAACAAAAGCATAAACTAAGCAGACATCCCTGGGATCAGCCTTATTTACTAACAGCTCCATGGCTGCTCGGATTTCCCTTGACGTCCCAGTATCGTCGCTAGTAATGATCTGGTTTGCTGTGCTAACAACGTTGTGATGAGTATAGGAACAAGGATGAGGGTGAAGACGCCTCAAAACATAATTGCCTTCATTGTTAAGAGACATCCATGTATTTGCTTTTGCAGTGACTGGTCGCAAGTCAAGTGCACCCAACTCGTGCAATCGCATGCAGGCTTTAACTGAGACGCGGAGCTTGGCCATAAGCTTGGAATAGTGTGGACCCGACCAAAATGACTGCACAGGTGCTCCGTCAGGAAGAATGACATTGGCATACCAGTTATGGAGCTTGTCGGGGCTACGACGAAGCTGAATTGGGGTTCAGAGACGGGCGGTTGCGTGACCAAAGTAGAAGTGATCGCAGCGACATTAGGGACAAGCATAGAGGGGTTAAGAGATGATGCAGAAGAAGCAGACAAAGAAGTGGTGGGAATAGCCAGCGATAAGCAGTACTCTTTCAAGGTAGGCAATCCAGTATATATCGATAGATGAGCGCCATTGGTCGGAATAATGTACTCCTTGATATTGTCAGTGGAAACACTTTGGACACTGTTAGCAGTGGATGTGGTAACGGGGATACTGTGCAAGGAGGAGGCTGTAACGTTCACTCCATTAACTCTAAATGGCGTTGGGGGAGTGGAGGTTGCATTGAAGACGGTTGTGCCTACTTCTTCTGCAACATTATTATAATAAGTGAAAGCCTTCTTACCAAAACCAGCATAGAGCTGGTCCTCGGCCTTTCTTTTCGACACCATGATCTTTGCAAAAAATAAAATAAAATAAAGCAACAGCTAATAAGTCATCAAAGAAGTGACAGTACAAAAAAAAAAAAAAAAAGAAAGAGAGGATGTGTGGAAGCTTATAAAGGGAATAGCAACGATAAATATGACCTAGCAGAAGAAAGCAGGGATGAGAAGAAGGCGTTCGTTTAATCAACAAAAGCACACTGAGAACTTGGGCCTAACCTGCCGCAGTACGGGTCGTTGTGACAAGGAGAGATATATATTACACCTTGTCAAAAGTGAAGGAAGAGAATAGACGAAGAAGAAAAAGAAATATAATGTTATGACGAGCTCCTCTACTAAGGATTAAAAAGCTACTCGAGCTTATTTTTTTCGAGCTTAATGTAGAGTATATGCCACATGTGATTGAGGTTAATGAATAAATTAAAAAGATTTTGGTGCATGACACAAACAATTTATTTTTCAATTCATTCATTTTTATGGCCAATTTCGCTATGAATTTGGTCGTAAAAACCACTTTCGACTGCACTCTATCGCACTACAGAAAGGAAATAGTGTGTTATTCCCCTCCATTCATGAGGGTTATTTCTTCTTTCAGGCTGCCATGAGCAACCTTAAGACATGATGATCGACCCCCTCTCCATAGTGTGTCCTGGACGGCGCTGATGCTGGAAGGCCTCTGCGCTGTGCTGAAGGCCGAAACAGAAGAGATGCCTCAAATCGGGAATATATATATAATAACTAGAAAAACGCGAATTAGTCCTCGCACATCAAATACTAATATAGCAACGACGCGTATCCAAAGTCCGGACGAGCATACATTTGACCTAATTCTTGAATGAACCATATAATGGTGGAACTCTTCGGCTGGGTGGGGTAAGGAAGTTAGCTAATGTGTGTGTCAGTGGGGGCAGTAATATCCACACGATGTGTTTCGCACCAAAAGACGTTCTAAAGTGATTAAGAGTCTGGCCTCTTGTAGCTTAGGAACCCTGAAACCAACCAACTGCTAAAATCAAAGAGAAATAAAACAAAGGCTGGTTCAAAGAGTTAGTGGTGCCTTTTTGAATGCACCCTCCCATAGGCGAAACTCTGATAGACGAACATCCTTTGCACTCTTGTATCGAAGACAAATCAGTAGTGACATGGTTTGATGTGATAATGATCAAGGGAGGTTTTTAAGGGACAATATCCTCAGATTACTGACTAAATGTCAATAAACCTTGCCCATTTCCCTGACAAAAAAAAAAAGGATAGCGTTCCGTTGCGACCCATGGAGAAAAGAAATTTAGAAGCTTGGTCCTTGCTTATCAGCGAGTGGTCGTGCATTGTACAAAGCTACTCAGGGCTGGTGACTGAGCCTAGGAATTCTGTATTTCTGTATTTCTGGGCCCAGCCACCAGCCAACAATGCAAAACTCTAATAGCAGAAACAACCATTTTTTTTTTTTTTTTTTGTCGCGACCTTTTCTTTCTCCACATTCGGGGGATAGTCTAGTAGTTGGAGCTTAATAGATTTCAGCAACATCAGGAGCAAGGATTTAACGGAATCTACTTTCCATTCGCACTCAGGTCTTCATCAACGTTTTTCTCCTACTTTGTTACATTCAGCCATGTCAAGTCGTTCACAAAGACTTCAAAGACCGTCAGTGTTGCAGGATAACACTTTTGTAGGGACAACAACAATGCCTACTGGTCAACATAGTGCTACGGGGACACTTAGGAAACACTCTCATTCTAAAGCAGCCACCACCAGTGAATCGCAGGTACTTTGAACCTCTTTTTTTTTTTTTTTTTTTTTCTTTCCTTCACATAAAATCACAATATATTCTGACATTAACTATGTTCCGAAAAAGAGCAGCACAAAATTGCTGGAAGCCTCTAGTGGACGAGCGCGTTCGGATTCTATGCCAGCACGGAATAGAGAGGCCTCTGGGATGTTTGCAGATGATTTGCTCCGAAAGATCAGTTCAAAAATCACAAAAAACTCTACAGGTAGGAGAAAAAAAAAAAAAAAAATAGCCTGCGTACTCATACGCTCCAATTTTTCCTCAATGTTCCTAATAATGACAAAAACAATTGCTTGTTGCAAACAAAATAGTTAGGAGCCATGATGCCCAATACGACGGAAACACTCATCTTCGGGCGCCGTTAAACTCCAGAGTGGCATCAAAATCAAATCTGGATGCGGAAAGGGTAAATTTGCATCTATCAACTTGGAGACCGTCACGTAGAGATGATGTTAACTATAATGATTTCTTTGTTGCCCTGACCCTGTAACTTTCGGCATTTTTATATAGTTTGCAAAGCGCGGAGAGCCAGTGAAAGTGGGGTCATTGAGTTTAAAACTACAAGAGAGCGCCATAATTGAAGATTTACTATTTACTATGATGGTATGGATATCCTATTATTATTTTTGATATGTATATTTTGCTCCGCATATCAGTTTATTAAGTCTATTATTGCTTATTCGACTCTTTTTTTTTATACATGTCTAATACATTAATGCTTGAAATAAATGTGGATAGGGGATCGAAGGAAAGTACATTATCGAGGTGGGTCCTAAGGTTTCTCAGGATAAAGATGCAGAATACATCCACAAAGAGTTTAAAACAGACGGGAGTCTTGGTGAGGATATGTTTAATTGCTGACCTTTGTTTCCTATATTGAAGTTTATAAAGAAAAAAAAGAAATGAGATGTCATTAATATTTTTTTTTTTTTTTTTTTTTTTTTTTTGGAATAAATAGATCCTTCATTACGGGATCTTGTGTCAAGGATCTTGCCATTAGCTTCAATATATTTGTCTCTGGAAGCCTTCGTTGAGTTACATTCGCGGTTCGAGTATGGCTTTGTCAGCCATGCCCTGTGTGCAGCCATCAGAAACCTTTTAAAGGTTAGAGTGGGAAATAATATTAATTCTAGCCTTGTAGAAGAGTTATTAATTATGTCAGCGCATCAAATAATATTTTTTTATTTTGGGGGGTTTTCTTTTTTAATACTAAAATAGGAGTATTTGATTTTAATTGCACAACTCGAGAATCAATTCCGATTGTCTCCTGATTTTACGCTTCAGAAACTTTGGTATTATATACAACCGACCCTACAGACATTGAGCTCTCTGGATGTGCTCGTTGGCGTGATTAGGGTGGCAGGCAAGAGAGAGCCCCCAAAAGATGAGTTTGAGGCACTTCTACAACCAATGGATGAAGGCATTCCTTTAGAAAGCAAGGGTGGCAGTATCCTCGCTATTATTGCTGCTGGAATGTTCAATATGAGTGGGTATGCATCTAATCATGAGCACAGTAAAGATGATTTTGGCTGAGTTGATACCCAGATACTGATCGCTATCTGATCATCCATAACAGAGACCCTGTGACCAAAAAACTATATGGATTTCTCTTAAATAAGGCATCAGTACCGTACATTGCTATGCTGGAATCATGGATTCATAAGGGAGAGATCCGAGATCCGTATGAGGAATTCATGATCGTAGAGAGCCGTAAAGTCAGCAAAGAGGGTATCAAAGAAGATTTCAATGATGCATATTGGGAACAACGGTATACTATCCGGGAAAACTATGTACCCTCCTTCTTAGTACCACTACAGCAAAAAATCTTACTTGCAGGAAAATATTTGAATGTTATCAGAGAGTGTGGAATTCATCTGTCAGGCTCCGGCGCGAATCAAAATCAAAACAATTCTACGACAAGTAATCAAGAGTTTGGAACTTACACTGAACGGAATGACGTTCTGGCAGCATTGAGCGGAGGCAGGCTGGTGGATACAATTGATGCTGCATACCATTATGCGAATAGGAAACTCCTGGACTTGCTGTTAAAAGACAAGCAACTTCTTGGACGCCTTCGGTAGGGACTATCGTGAGATTTAAAATACATGTGATGGAGACTTTTTTTATTCATTTAAGATATATTTACCCCTTTATTTCATCTATAACTATTTTAGGTCAATGAAGAGATATTTTTTCCTTGACCAATCAGACTTCTTCACGCACTTTCTGGATCTAGCATCTGCAGAATTGAAGCGACCTTGGAGAGAAGTATCTCTTACCAAGCTACAATCTCTACTAGACCTAGTTCTCCGCAACCCGTCATCCGTCACAGTCAATGATGTCTTTAAAGAAGATCTTAAAGTCGATATGAGCCACTTGGGCTTAGTGGATCAACTCTTGAGAATCATCAGTATTAAGGGCGAAGCACAAGGCCAAGGCCAATCGATGAGTGACCGTGCGTCTGCGAAGCTCCGAGACTTTAAAGGACGGTCGCATAGTCGAGCAAATAGTGCCGAAACCCAATTACAACAGGGTCCATATGATGCTTGGCAGGATGAAATGGCAGCGAGTATGATGACAGGCTCCACCATGGAGGGTATAATGGCAACGTCTACAGAGCTTCCAATCCAGAGCAAAGGATCCATTTCAGGTAAACTTCTATGGCAACGAACACTTTTTTTTTTTTTTTTTTTTTTTTTTTTTATTACTAATCAGGACTTTTGACTTAACTGATGCTTTTTCGACAACTATGATTGTTTGGCATAGGCATTGACGCACTTACTCTAGATTACTCGGTCAAGTTCCCAGTTTCTCTCGTTATTTCACGCAAGGCCCTTACAAAATATCAGCTCCTATTCCGTCACTTACTCTATCTTAAGCACGGAGAACAAGTCCTTTGCAGTGCTTGGACGGAACATGCCAAATCACCTGTTTGGAAGGATGCATCCCGAGAACTAAAAGCGTGGCGTGGACGTGTGTATGGGCTACGGGCAAAGATGTTGACTTTTGTGCAGCAGTTTGCATACTATGTTTGCTCTGAGGTACTTGAACCTAACTGGCGAGATCTTGCGTCTAAATTGGCCAAGGTATCAACAGTAGATCAAGTCTTGCAGATCCATTCCGATTTCTTGGACACATGCCTAAATCAGTGCATGCTTACTAACTCGAAGCTATTGAGGGTAAACCCCGTGACAGCCCTGTTTTTTTATTTATCAAGTGCCTTAAACAATGATCTAGTATTGTTGACAAATTTTTCTATGATTGATAGATTTACTCCAAGTTAATGTCAACATGTATCAAGTTCACCAACTATACTGATCGATTTACGCGCGCTTTAATGTCAATGGAGATACAGCTGGACCCGGAGCGTGCAGCAACAGCGCCATCGAACCAAGGACAACAGATCGAACAGGCGATGAAGCGATTGAACGAATTTGAGGATAGCTTCGTGTATCATCTCAAGCTCCTGATAGATGCGCTCAATTTTTACAGTGCTTCGGAGACAGTTCAGTTTTTATGTCTAGTAGTAAGGTTAGATTACAACCAGTTTTATACAAACCAGAATAGCAAAAGTCTGGCTCTAGTTGGGGCGCCAGGCACCCAGCTATTGTAAACATAAAGAACTAAAAAAAGAGCAAGCCACTAAGTTGCTTAAGGGTAAACGTTGCTACTGGACTTATGTTGTTTAAAAAGAAGATTTTTGCTTTTTTTTTTTTTTTTTTTTCCTCAACTTTGAATCGCGTCAGTTGTCCCATCCCCTGTCTGTTTTCACCATTGAGAGTCAGTAGCCGGGGATTGTGGCAGCGAGTTTTTTGCTCTGGTATTTCTCTTCTCTCTTTTTTAGGAGAAGGGGAATGATGAGAGACAAAATGGTTAAACGCGAAAGATCAATGTTGATCATTTTGGTGCAGCAGGCTTGTTTTGCCCGTCTTTGAGGCACTTGCATGGCTGTTTGATTTGAATCACACAGATCCTTAAAAGCTTTTTTTTTTTATTTATTTATTTAATTTTGGATGGATTACATTAGAATGTATGCTGTAGAATGAATGATCTGGAATTAGTTTCATCAATGCCAGACTTGATCAATCTTTTTTTTTTTATATATGCTTTTCACGGCTCAAAAAGATCATCTAATAAAGGAAATGGCCTGTATCAAAGGTGCATGTAGCAGGCTCAGCACACACCCTCTCTTATGTATTCAATGATAAGGTGATAGATTTTTTTTTTTCTTTTGTGCTCACTATTCTTCGCTCAGTCAACACAATAACCAACAAGCGCTCTTACTCTTATCTCTATCAAGGCTAAAAAGAGTGAGAAGGAAGAGAGAGCCAGATCCAGGGAGCTAAACATGCAAATGAGAGCAATGCAATAGCCCCTAGAATGGTGGCATCATTTTACTACTTACAAACGCACAAAAAAAAAAAAGAATAGTCCAGAGTCGATGTACATGTAGACGAAACGCTTGTGTTGAGAAAGAATATTGATAAAAAGAATATATGTGTAAATATATATATATATATACATAATATATATATAGTCTAATATATATATGTATCATATTATATAAATGTACTTGAATGGTTATTTTAGAATCTTCAAAGCTTAATGTTTCTTAGTGCAAAAGGCACTTGAGGAAGCTGCTACAAGGAGCATATCGTAAATGCTCAATAGGTGCGGTACAAATGATGTTCTCAAGAAAACGAAAACGGAAAACCTTTTTTTTAAACTTTGAAAAGTCGAAAAAAAAGCCTCGTGTTGACTGAGGCTGACAGATATTCATACCACGCGACAACACGGACACAAAGCATCTGCATGTCCAGAAACCATTTTTGATCCCTAGCCACTTTAACCTACATGAGTAAGTTTTGGCGATATCATTTAGGTCCAGGTACACGGGAAAGGTAAACTTTTTTTTTTTTTTTTTTTATACTTTTTTTCCTTTAACATGGGAAACATGGGAAAGAAAAATAAAATTCACTCTACTACTTCCTGATCGTTCACAGATTCGTCGACTTTGGGAGGAAATCACCATTTCTATATACAACCACTGGTGCTCCAACTTTAAAAGTCAGCCTGTTGTCTGTTGACCTTGCTGAAAGGCACATGTATCACAAGGGCGTAGCATCCAGATGAGGAACAAGAAGACGCCACTCTTGTGCTTTTACAAGTCGTGGAAAAAGAACGGAAAAAAAGGAATTGAGGTTTTTTATTTCGATTTTTTGAGGCTGTAGCCGAGCCATGACCAAAATTACAAATGCTGACAATAACAAACCGAAGCAATTGCTCTTCTTCCTCTTCTTCTTCTGCAGGGTTTTTTCTTTTCTGTCTTTTTTTTTTATGGTTGGTCGACTTTTTCAACAGGTGCATATCTTTGCTTGACGATCAGGGAAAAAAAAAGCTTTTCCATTTTTCCATTTGCGCACTGTACGACCTTCATTCCTTGATAGAATATTATATATATATTTCTCTTTAATCAATTGGTGTCCGCTCGGCGTTTGTTCAATTATCCTAGAGTGATGCAGGTTTAAAACTGCTGAGTGGAAAAGGAGTTTTATAGTTTTTTTTTTTTTTTTTTTTGAGAGAGAGAGAGAGAGGTCCGACACCAGTCGCTTGTGCTTAAGACACCTCTGCAGGAGCCATGGCAACAATGGAAAATTTTGATGACCACAGCCCTTACTTGTACAAAAAAGAAAAAGAAAAAAAAAAAAAAAGCTCACTCACAACATGGATGTTTATTTGCTTCCTAATAGCACACTTAAAAGGGTGTGAGAGTTCAATTTCTGTCGATACCAAGTGTCTGGATACAATATAATTTATACATAAATATAGACTGCTGTAGAATGAGATGTAGCTGGCGAAGCTATAAAAAAAAAGATCTAACGGAAACAGAAAAAAGGGGGGTCTGGGTGGCTATTCAGGCGTGGTATGTGGCGAAAAGCAATGTCCAAGCCAGAAGGTGCAGCGTTTGCAATGCATGCGACGTTTTGTTTGTGTTTACTTTTTTTTTATTTTATTTTATTTTTATGTTTGTTTGGGAAAGAAGGTCCTGAATTCAAATGTTTCCTTCTCTTTTAGACTACATGTGTACAATCTGTATAAATACATGAAATTCATCATTATAGGTGCACCCCGACCCAGGTGTTAATCGAATATCGAATATTGGCTTTATAGCCTATACCATTATAAATAATGAAGACTAGGCTACTGGTAGTACGAAGATGTTGATTATATCATATTATAATACACATTAGTGCTAATATCGCTGCTGTTACTGTTATCGCTGTTGCTGTTGATAGTCGAGTTTAAAGAAAGAAAGAAAAAAAAAAAAGACAAATGTGGCCATGCAAGAGGAAAGGAGATGGGGGAGAGAAAGAAAAAAAAAGAGCAAAAAAAAATAAAGTGTACATTATAAAATACAAAATCAAATAAGCATGTGCGTCCATTCCTGTGAGGTTCCTTTTATTTTTTAAACGTATCCTGTAACATGTCTTACATGACATTCATATAAAAGCAAATATATCCCTCCCTCTTTTTGTCCACATCGGAACTCATTCCACTTCACTCATAAACGCATTCATCGCCTCTTTCTTTTTTTCTTGTTTTTTTTTTTTTTCTTTCTTATCAACCCTTTTTTTTTTTTTTTTTTTTTTTTTTTTTTTTACATATAATTATTTTTATTCAATCTTAATCATTCATTCATTCTCATTCTCATTTGCATTAATCACTTAATCCTTTAATTTTCATTCTCATCATCTGTCGTGCGTCAATTTAACAGCATATTTTGAGTTCATAAATTTCTCTTTCTATTTTTATTTTCTGCACTATTCTCTTTCCTTCCTCTCCTTTCTCTCTCCGTCCCCTTTTTTAAGCCAACAGAAATTATCAGTCTCCAAACAGTTTTCACAGGACTTCAGTTTGAACAGTTACTTTTCATAAAGTCGACAGGCAAGCACGGACTTTCCTTCCTCACAAAACAATAGCTGGCAACAGCCATGGCAACAACAGGTCTCAATCGCACTAATTATTCTGAAGATCTCTCCACCCCGTCAGTCTACCAGCGTAAACGTATCTCACAGAGATATTGCTCTTCCTCTGCATCATCTTACACTACTTATTCCTCAGCTCTGGCAGCGGCTTATCAACAGCATCAGTTACAGCTGCAACTCAGCCATCACCAACCCACTCGTTCATCTAGGCAGAGCCTTGACCAAAACCCCTATAGCACTTACTCTACCGACCAATACCCTGCCTACCATCCCTTTGAACATACCTTCGAAAACTCTGACACAAAGTACAGGGGTGTCTGCAACAATAATAATAGTAATAATAGTTATAATAGCACCCTCCGTGATAACGGTATCCATAAAACCAGATCCGACTTGTATACCGACGCTAGCGTCAGTAAACGCTATTCTTCCCCCTCTTCCAACCATCATAAATCGCCTCCTTCTCCTTACCTGAATACCCTTGACCCTGTGTGCCAATCCAGTCTGAGCTCCCACGAATCATCAGCATTGCCTTCCCCTTCACTTAGCGTATCCTCAACTGACTCCATGTTCTCCTCCACAAGCGGCACCAGCATGGCCCATTGCTCGCCGATCCTTCCCAATGCCGCCATTTCTGCACTTCTCCTGCATGATGCCCCATCGTCTGAATCCTCCTTGGCTTCTTCACCGGTCCTGTCCTACTGCAGCAGTCCGCGGATGCCTTTCTCCCCAGTCTCATCGCCATCACCCTCGCTATCATCATCATCATCGCCCTCACCGTCGCCACCTCCTGCTATGTCTATTACACGAAGGAATAGGAGAACGGCCTCTACAGGATCAGGATCAAGCCAATTGAGTGAGAGCAGCCAGTTATCTGGATACACCAGTCAATCTAATTCACATTCATCTCGCTCAGGACCAATGAAAGGGAAAGGGCGATCACCACTTTCTCGACCGTGGTCAACACATGGTCATTCAGCCACATCCAAGATGGCATCAGCCTCAAGAGCATCATCAAAAGCAGCAGCGGTTGATTCTTATAATTCACCCCAAACCATTGTGCAAAATTCGACGCGCTACATAGGCTTCCTGTTGCTACCTCTATTCCCACTTCTCCTCTTTGCATTGTGTGCTCAGACTTCAAAGAACTTTGAGACGCCAGCGAAGTATGGTGTATAATAATAATAAAAAAAACAAAGCACAAAAATACACATTACAATTACTATCATCACATGACATTGGAATGTGGAGTCGAAGTCGAACAATTACGCGCTTTTTGCATCAATTAATTATAATATACAAATATTGATAATTTTAGTGTAATGTGTAATGTGTAATATATTATACCAATATTATACCAATATTTGTATATAGACATATATATGTATATATACACTTCATTGTATTTTTTCGTTTATTATTTATTAACTAATCCCAAAATGAATTGTCATGTTTGACTCGTCGTTTTATTATCCGAGAGGAGGTTTGGACAAGGAAGGAGAGGGAGGGCGTAAAGGGTCCTGTGGAGAGGAAAGAGTGTGCTTGTTTTGTAAACTTTACAGTGCCGCGGCACTGTAAAAAAAAAAAATAAAAATAAAGGACTAAGATATCAACAAATGTAATATTTTAACAGACATGGTGCATATACGTGGGTATGTATGTACGTGTTTAATCACATGATGTACTCCTTGTTGGCCTTGCCACGTCGTTTGGGCGAAAGCGCGCGCCAAAGACGAAGATTGCTCATCTTTTCAACCTTTCAAAGTCATCTTCATCCACAAAAAGGACACTCCATTATTATAATATATTTCCGCTGTACTTTTTTTATTATTATTAATGTTGGTCGGTCCTATTTTCTGAAACACCCTTCCATCTCTTTATATCCTCCTCCATTCCTAACAAAAATAGTTTATTTACCCCACAAAGAGAAGGAGACGTAATATGAATCTGTTCCGACTGATTGCAGATCTGATGCATCTGGCATCGATCTTCATTTTGCTGCTCAAGATGCAAAAGACACGTTCCGTTGCAGGTATGATGAAGAGGAAAGAAAAAAAAAAAAAAAAAAAAAAAAAGAAAAGAGAAAAGAAGAAAAGAAAAGAAAACCTCTTCATTGATACACTTTTGTCATCTATCCCCTATATTGATTGCTCTATTTGCAAATGAAAAAGAATAGCCGTTAGAAAGAAGATAATGATTCTTTGGACGATCATGCACTAAACTTTTTTTTTTATTTTTTTTATAATATTATTTTCTTTTTAGGAATCTCTTTCAAGACACAAGCCCTATATGCAACTGTGTTTTTAACAAGATATACTGATCTTGTCACGAACTTCCTCTCGCTTTATAACACGTCCATGAAGATCTTCTTCATTACCTCGTCATTGTACATTGTTTACTTGATGAAGGTCAAGTTCAAGGCAACAAATGATCCTCGTCTTGATACTTTCCAAGTTCAGTATATCATTGGAGGTGCCGCCCTTTTGGCTTTGATTGCTAACTATGCCTTTACTTTCCAGGAGGTAAGCTTAATTATGAAAAAGACAATGCCAACAATTATAAACAACAACAAAACTGATAGAGGGTGTCATGCTTAGTTACCGTGTATCGTGTCGATATGAGGAAATGAACGGGAAATGAGGAGAAAATAAGAAAGAGTCAGGTCAAGGTCATCAACAGAAATTTCTCTATGACCCAAGGAAAAATATACCTCAGGGCTTCAGGGACTTTGCAGTATATATTTGAGGATCAGAGGCGTTTTATGAGAGAGAAAGGAAGGAAAGAAGCCAAGAAGTGCATGCCTTTTTTTTTTTTTAAAAAAAAAAAAAAAAAAAAAAAAAACGAAAAATACGATTCGGAGAGTGATACCTTTACTTCTCGAAATTCAAACATTAGCAACCCACCATTATCTTGTTTATTTCACTTCATACTAATTATCCTCCACGCATTATAAAAAAATACATAAACTTGACTACATAGGTCCTGTGGACATTCTCTGTCTATCTGGAAGCAGTTGCCATTTTGCCTCAACTCTTCATGCTTACGAAGACAGGAGAGGCCGAAGTGATCACGACGCATTACTTATTTGCTCTTGGTGCTTATCGTGCCTTGTACTTGGTCAATTGGATTTATCGTTACTTCACTGAGGGTTATGTTGACTGGATCGTCTGGATTGCAGGAACAATCCAGACCGGACTTTACTGTGATTTCTTCTTCATCTACTTCACAAAGTAAGTCACGTCACACTAGTTGTCCTTTCATGAGTCATATGAAAAAACTGTATATACCATAGTGCACTCTCTGATCTTTGCTTTTTTATGACATGCTCTATAGAGTGTTGAAGGGCGCCAAGTTTGAGCTTCCCCAGTAATGAGATTTTTATTATTATTTCTTGTTGGAATGAACACGGATAATGAATTAAATATGATGGAAGCGTTAGTTTTAGGATATATAGCTTGTTTATGGTGTCCTTTTTGTTTATGGTGGTATTGGACAGACACAGTTTAGCACAGATTGCAGAAACACATATTACAAAAAAAAAAAAAAAAAAAAAAGTTTTTATTATAAAAATACCTTTATTTTATGAGTAATAGAAGGCTGAAGTGTCTCATGTTTGCTTTCGCGAGGCCCATGTATCATGAAGAGTAATACAATATTTATATTCATGAACATCCTCATTCGTTTTGACAGGAGGAGTGAAGTTTCATACCAGATCCATGGGATACGGTTAAGAATGAGCTCAAGACGTAAAAAAAAAAAAAAAAAAAAAAAAAAAACGCAATGTGGCTCCAAACGGGTATTGATCTTTTGGCTTCTGTAAGCCTTGCAAAGAACTTTCATAAAGCGGCATTAGACATATTCTTTTCTCAAATGATCTCTTATATTCATTAAATTGATCAAATAGACTACTACGAAAATTGAATTGTATTGAATAGCAACTTTAACTCTAGCGCTGTTCGCTACTTGCAAGCCTGTCTCGTTGTTCTCATTCTTCATGCAGAGTATGAGTGGCTTTGACGTTGTAACCTGTTATCTATACATTTCTTGTTCACTTATAACATCCAAATAAAAACAAGTAGATAAATATATATATATATATATATATCTGAATGCAGCTCCATGGGCGTCAAGGAAACACGAGAAATGTAGACAAGGTTAGAATGGTGTTTATTTTGCCTTTCGTACCTGAAAGGGCCTCCCTTGCATAGTTTTGTGCAACAAGTAATAAACACAAGTCTGGCTTCGTGGGGAAGAGCAATCATCAAATAAGAAACACCCAGCGAATGTTGCACATGTGCATACATATTGTTAAATAACAAGAACAAGGCTAGACTCTTTTGTATCAGAGAAATATGGAGATATGAATGTGCAATTAGCAACCAGGCCCCTTTTATTGTCCATAGAAACGGAGCCCAAGCAGCATGTGTGTGAAGTGTTTTTTTTTTTTTTTTTTTTTTTCTATTCTTTTATGTGAATGTTTTTCCATAAATTACCCTGCAGCGTGTATAATTGTTGGCTCTCGTCTTTTAGCCCTTAGTCTATAGCCTCATTTTAACAATTCAACAGTTGTTCGTTTCTAAAAAGTAGGGGCTCTACAGACCCTGAGAGTAAAGAAAATTGGCAATATTGCATAACGGCGTCCGTCGGTGTTTGTTTGTAGCCAAATGATAAAATATGAATATTAATCATAACCCTAGTGTGAACATCAAAGGTACAAGAAGATGTACCCATCTTGGTAATTTTTCCATGGAAGAACCAGAGTAAAGGTGTGTATTACACATGTCCAATGAACTTACACATTTTAAATCATTTCTGCCCTTGCATCAATATTTATTTTAGTTCCTGGGAACTCTAATTTCAAATCTCAAGACAACATCTCCAATCCTTTTTCAAGTCTTTCTCTCTAGATCCTTTATAGTGTTTTCCCGCCATATATACTATACTATGCCATGCAATGGTTGTAATTTGCTGACGAGAATGGTTTGTATCAAATAATATTCTCGACCATATTTGCTGATGCAAGACAATGAAACTAAAACGGTTCATAATTTTCAAAGCAGAAGCAGGAGTGCGGCAAAATAGAATAGATATATATATGGATTTGCAAGGGAAGGGAAAAATAGAGAGCCCTTCCTTGTCTTTGAGATTAGTTGATTTTGCCATTGTCAATAGTCAGAACATGGGGTTTATTCGTTCAAGAGAAACTTGGGACTATAATTATAATAAAACATCGTTCCGGGGCTTACAATCATAAAGTTGGCTCTCGTATCATATAAAGGCAATGCTTTCTACCAACCCTTCCAACTATTTGAACATTTTTCATTTTCCCTTCTTTCCTTTCCCTTCTTCCTTCCTCCCCCTCCCTCTCATTCATCTCACCACGACGCAACCGACTTGGTTCCGTCTTTGTCTCCTCCCTCTCTATCGCCCCCTTCCAGCCCTTGTCAGGGTCTAATTGTCATTCACTTACACAAACGCAACGCAATTTAACCGTTTCCAATTCCTTTAACGGCTTCTCCTCCCTTCTCCTACAGACTGTTTGGATCTTCACCCACTTTCTCCACTACCGCTTTCACAGCATATACATTATTACCCTAAAAAATCCCTCCCACATCATTCGATTATGAAGTTCACCACCATCATCTCCGTGGCTATCGCCCTCTGTGTTGTGTCCACCAACGCAGCTCCTGTTAGTACGACTAAGGTCTCTGGTAGCAAGGCCACAACTACTCCAACCCCACCTCCAAAAGCTCGTGACCCTTGTGCAGATTTGGCGGCTCAGGGCAAGAACTCTGATTCTATCTTGAAGTTCAACACAGTGCGAGACTGTTATCGTGCTCAAACATTCAAGCCAGAGGTAGCAGAAAAGATTTTGACGTCGGTTGAGAGCGCCATTGGCAACTTTTACGCCTTTATCGACAATGCAAAAGAGGCTCATGGCGCTCCCTTCAAGACTCCTAGAGTTGATCTGTTGGCTGAATTGAAAAAGATTCGGCGAACCAAGTGGAAGAATGATTATGACTTCAATATGGCTTTGACCTACCTCACTTTCTCTGCCAACGATGGACACTTGGCCTATCGAAGTAAAGATCATTTTATTCTGTTTTTTTTTAAATGAAAATGAAATGAAAAAGGGCGATCACTTCGGCAAAAAAAAAAAAAAAAAAAAAAAAAAAAAGCAACTATTTTTAAACATTAGCCTTCCAGACGGGCATTGGGGGGGCTATGAGACATGATTTTTTGTTTCTGTTTATTAACGGTTTTTCCCTCTGCGTTTTTTTTTTTTTAATTCTTTTATAGGCGATTGTTACCACACTGCAAAATTCCTTCAGCCCATCTCTCTCTATGCCCCTGTTGTTAATGATGTCCAGAACATCCGTGTCTTCTTTGCAGATGACACTCAGGAGGGCGTTCCCAAGACAGCATTGACAGACTGTATTGTCACCGAAATTGATGGCGTGCCTGCTCTTAAGGCCGTCCAGGACTTTGCTGATCGCACCTCTGCAATCTCTAAGGATCCCGGTGTGCGTCTTAATGATGCTCTTGCCAGCACATCCTGGTACAATGAATGGTTGATCAGTCCCGGCGGCTTTGCGAGTCGCTGGGAGGTTCCTAAGAAGAACTCAATGGATTATACGATCCAGTGCGCTAGTGGTGCCCCTCAGAAGTTGACTGTTCCTTGGATTGTCAAGCCCGCAGATGCATTCGAGTTCCATACATTCCGGGATACAAAGACTTACTGGGACGTTCAGTGCGCAGCTCCCCTGTCGCCTTATAACAACCGCCTTAGCAGGACCGCTAACAACGCAACCACTCAGGGTCTTAACTATCGTGTGAACGAGGTCCCTGCCACGACTCTTTTCCGTGAGCGTGGTAGGATTCAGTTGCCCGGCGGTGGCAAGAATGGTCGTGTTGGTCCTATCCAGGTGATCTCGAAGGCCAAAGAGATCTTGCTCACTGCCACCACTGCGTTCTACAGAATCAACAAGTCCAATGCCTGTGTTGCTGTGATTGCCTCTGAAGAAGCTGCCTACTACAAGTTTGATCCCTCCGATTATCTGCAGTTCATCGAAGGCCTTGAGAAGTTGCGTGATGGAGGATGTAAGAAACTGATTTTGGACATGACCAACAATGGTGGTGGCTCAGTTGATTTCGCCTACTTTATCAACCAAGTCTTCTTCCCAAAGGCAAAGCCTTACTTTGTGGAAGATCTGCGCTCGAATAAGTATGTCCAGGGTGCTGCTAAGATTGCTGTCAAACAATCAAACCCTCGTTCCGTCTTTGATGCTCGTGGATACGTCAGCATGGCTACCAACAAGGTCTACACAGATGATTCCATGTTCACAAAGGGTGTCAACATGAAGCGTGGAGGTGTTACTCAGACTTACAGCCAGAAGAATTATTTTGAGTATGGATGGCCCTTCATGCCTATGGCCAAGAACAGAACTCTCCCTTGGAAGGCTTCTGACATGGCTATTGTCACCAACGGTTTCTGTGGCTCTGCCTGCACCATGATTGCCACTCGCTTCAACATCGTCCACAAGGTCAAGACTTATGCTGTCGGCGGTGTGCACAAGAGACCCCTTTCCTACTTCTCCTTCCCTGGAGGCTTTGTCATGGACAATGAGAGTTTGACGAACGATATTAAGCAGCTCAACTACAAGGCTAAAGGTGGGCCCTCCAACCTGGTGACCAAGTCAACCTTAAACGTTGCTGTCGGTGAGATCTATGCTACTGAGACCAGCAAGGTTCCTCTGGAGTACGATACCAAGTATTTCCCTGCAAACGTTCACTTGGATCAGGATCCTGTTTCAGCCAGAAATCCAGATAACATCTGGATGAAGATCGTTGCAGACTTCAAGTAAAAAAAAAATAAAAAAGCAATCCGGGGTTGCATGTTATGTAGTGATGACAATTTTCAATAAATATAAATACAATGCTCTCTTCTGACATTACGACTACAGCGGCGGAGGAATTTGATCCGCTATAAGCTACTTGGTTTTTTTTTATCATTGTCATAAAAAAAAAAAAAAAAAAAAAAAAAAAAAAACTTATTTATTACTTTCTGGTTTGTGGACTATCCGGGTATCAATTCCATCTTTATCATCGTAGAGAGCTGTCTTGGGCGGAATATATTTTTTTTCCTTCTCTGCGCTATCATCTCCAGCGATTGCACCTTCGCCACCGCCGCCTTCTTTTCCTTCTATTTCTCCTATTCCTTCATGTCCTCTTTCTTCAATATCCTTCTTCCGACTTTCAAGGCTCAAGTCGGTAGTAGATCTGGAGGATGGAGTAGATGCAAGTGCAGATGCTGATAGATTTGAACTTGATTTAGATGATGGCAAAGCAACGACATGTGCGGTCTTCGTCCAATTGTATTTCCTCAAAGCTGAAGATAAATCTTTTTCTACATTCTCTTCGAGTTTCTGCATACTCTGTGCGATCTTCGCTGCCAGACCGCCGCGCTGTGAGGGTGCTTGAACAATTTGGCGCTCAAGTGGATGTAACTCATATTGCTGTCGTCGATGTCTAGGCAGAGGGCGTCTCGGGGATAATTGTTGAGGATGTTTCAACTGTGATTGCAACCCCAACTGTGGTTGTGATTTTGATTGTTCACGGCGAGTCATTGAGGGGATATCCTTGGGAGGAACTGGTGGGATATATTCTAAAGAACTAAAGCCCTGCGTCTGCGTTAATGGGGCTCTGTGAGTTGCTGGGAGATACGGAAGCGCTTTGTGGATCTTTGTATTTTCATCGCTTAGAGCTCTTCGATCCATCCGTCTTCGGGATGTCGGCTCTTCCGCTGCAGATGACGACGTCTCAGATTGTGCATGGGAATGCCTCCGTCTATCGCGGCGACCCTTGAAGTATTGCAAAGGAATCCGCTCCGTAGGCCTGGCAAGGTGATGATCATAATAAGGATTGCCATCATCTTCATCATCATCATCACCATCATCATATTGATCTCTCTCCCAATGATCTCGGGGTTTGCTCCTTTCGTCTCCACTAAGGCTGTCATAGAGGTATTCACTATCTTCATCTTCGAAGTGGCTGTCTTCTACAATGTTATCGAGAGACTTATCGCTCACAAGGCCATTTTCACCGAACGAGTCATTCTCATCCTCCTGCTTTCCACTATCATCCCTGGCTCGGTTACCTAATAATTCTGGTACGGTAGTAGATGGAACTAGTGGTCTGATAGCCTGATTAATGTTCTTTTTGACAGCCTTCATATTGACGTTTAATTGACGACGATCTTCGCCTATACTAACACGAACATTCTGTGCAATGGGTTGGTTAGGTGCTGCACGATCTCTATCGGTTTCATCACGTTGTCGACTATCCTTGCCGCGTCTTCGAATAGCTTCACTATGCTGCCGATTAAATTCACCTTGTCGCCGGTTAGCATTGCCATGAGCGATAGCATTTTGTGACCTGATGATATCCGATTGCCAATTACTCTCAGGGGACTGTAAGACAGATGATCCTGTCAAGGGTGGGCCCATCCGAGCATAATCACCCATGGTTGACTCGGTATGATAGGGATTGTGATCTGAAGGATGAATATTCATATGCTTAGACCATGTTGGCATGTCCCTTGATACAAGTGGGGGTGTGAAGATAGGTGCTGGTGGTGCGGAAGGTGCAGAACCATCATTTTTCCTGTCACTAAAGTTATACTCTGTGAGATCTCTTTCGCGAATGACTTCTTCAGGTTGACCTTCGGATGAAGCTGCTCCTGAAGCCGATGATGATGTGGTTGTTGCTGTAACTTGCGGTAGCCGAGGAATCAGTGCTGGTAAGGAAACTGGCGTTGGGCTCATATTTACATTTGCCGCCTGTTGATGCTGATTAGCCATCTGTTGATAGATTTCGTGTTGATGTTGACGCTGGGCCATGTGTCGCTGTTGTTGACGATAAAGTTCTTTTCTCCGAGCCTGTACCAGTTGCTTATCATCCCAGATCTGGTCCTCACTTACTACACCACTACTGCCTTGATCAAGCGCATAGAACGAAGCAGACTGATGTCCATTCTTGTCCAGCATCCTTGCATGTTGTAATGGCTTGCTACTATATGCTTCCTGCTGCTGTTGTTGCTGTGACTGTGAGCTTTTGACATAAGTTTTTACACTTACAGAATCCCAATCTCCTTGGACAGCTTTACTTTTCCCAAGCGCTACTGCCTTAATGCCGGGGTTACGTTTCTCAATGATATCTCCTGATAATCCATGTCCCGAATTCTCCATCAACCCACAGGACCGTGACAATAGGAATGCGACCGCAGGGAACATTAATGGAAGAGTCGCTACCCCAATATAAGGGATAGAACATAGTGCCCAAACACCAAACGCAAATCCTTGTAATTCCATCTCATGCTCCTTCCACCAGGCTCGCTCCTCCCACTCTTTGAATTGGACACGAACTAAATACGGTTGCAACAACTCGTAAAGGAATAACTGTTGCTGGATCCAGATCTGTATGAGCCAGATGGTCCAATTTGGACCAATAAAGGCGGCCACAAAGAAAATCTTGGCCATTGAATGCTTCGCTCCTTGATGTTGAAGGTATTGTTGTCCAGCCAATAATGCCAATCCTTGACTTGGCCATTTAAAAGCCCCATCTCGATTCAACAACCAGTGAACAACAGCTGTGATAGCATAGACCTTAAATGTCCTCCGAATATAAGATCGTAGCTCAACAAAGTATCGAGGTTCAGGACGGGCTACAAGATCTGCACGCATCTCACATTTAAGTGCTCGCACTGTATCCATGAACAAAGCATCCCAAGGTTTTGGATATAGGTATCGAAACAAGAGAACGGTTGGGAAAAACAGCTGGTTGTATGCGGTACAAATGTTTTGTCGAAGACGCGAAGCAATCAGGTTGACGATCGTCTGAAAAACCAGGCAACGGATGGCAAGTGAGAAGATGGAGGATCGAGTTTTGGAATGCAGCACATTGGAAGCATGGAGATGAAGTTGTAACAAGGAATCGTAAAACTGCTCCAGACCCGAAGCAAAACGGGAAAGGAGATCGCGCAGTGGGTCGTCATTGTCTGCGCTCCTAATAGCTCGAGAAGAAAGAGACGACCAGCGAGAAAGGGAAGGAGTGGTTGAAGAGGAAGTTAAGGTCGAAGGAGGAGGTGTGGCGGGGCTGGCGCTGATGGTCGGAACCATGGTCTTTCAATGGGTGCTACACCCTTCACTTACTGCACTTATTGTACTGACGACTGTAGCACTGAAAGCAAAGAAAGGATTTGGGCTGGAAAGGAGAAGAGGGCGCTGTTGGTTACGTTCACTTTGACAGAAAGATGATACCGAATTATGAAGGATTTGTTATCAATGTGGTCCCCTCGATGAAATTGAGAGCATATGAATGGGAAGAAGTTAGAGAGAAGAGTGAGAGAGCGTGTGTTTTTTGTTGTGGAAGGACAGAGAGGAGTAAGGATGATTGACAATGATGACAGAGAACGATAAAGAAGGCTGAGCAATATAAATGAAGGAAGACTAAAGAGTCGAGTCGAGTCGAGTCGAAAAAAAAAAAAAAAAAAAAATCCATGCCAAGGATTGAGGGCAGTATCAATTGGGAAGTATTCTCTGTCCTCTTGGCAAATTACATTTCCCACAGGTACTGCGTTGCTTTTTGTCACCCTGAGTGATTTCATTCCACTGTCAGTTGGAATTATGTGTCAGTTCAGCAGATTAATGTCCTTACTAATTTCATGTAAAAAAAAAAATTGAGCAAAATGCTTGTAACCAAGAGGGCGTTACGCTTTTCACACCATACAAAGGCCTCGTCCTTGCTGTCTGATAGATCGCATGTCCTTCGCTTCTTGGTATGCATCCTTTATTAGCCTTCAATCCTCGCCAACCCATTACCACACAAGCGACATCCTTGCAGACTTAAACCTTTAGGGTTACTCTTGGACGCTGTGGCTTCATGATAGGATCGATAAAACCCCAGAGAGGCTTATGTCGGGATCCGCAAATTGATAGGGATGAATCGACGATTGAGGTACCGGATAGCCAAGAAAGAGAGAACTGCCAATTATGTCGTGAAGGCTGCTGGGTGTTCTAGCATGATCTTAATTGATCAGATATGGACCGTATTTATACTTCATGCGCTTGAGCTGAAGCGTGCTCCAGATACTCGTATAAAAGTTTGTTGCAAATGCCATAACATTTTATTGCCATATTCGGACAGTACCTTGCATCTCTCTCTCGTCCTTGAAAGGAATATCGCAATGGGACTCTAGACATTTGGAGCAAACAAAAACACGTAATTCCTCACGAAGCTGTGCTGTCTCTTTTTTTTTTTTTTTTTTTTTTTTTTTTTTAGCAAAGGAATATTTGATAATGATCTACTTTACGAAATACTTTTATCAGTTCTTTTATTGAAGAGACGACAGAATAAATTCCATAGGCACAAAAACCTTGGTTGGCATGATTCTTGCAAAGTCTTTAATCATGAACTTCACCTCTTTGTATGGATTGTGAGTGTGTTCGCAATTCCTGTGTGTTGCTCATCCACCTAGAGGAAGACTGTACGAAAAGAAATGAAGAGTATGGATTAATAAGTAAAATGTAGAACTACATTTTGGCCAAAATAAAGTATCCAAATATCAAGTCGTTTGAGAGTTGGCCGCTGCACAGGAATGTTTTGATTACATCGGCTCCAACTTGTTCTTTTCACAATCAAAGAAAGCATGGTCCGTGACAGTAGTGGCGAATGACCTCGCTTCCTGCGTCGTTTTCATCTCCTCGAGAGGCCTGCTAAAAATCCTCAAAAATTAAAGATTTCCCGAGCTCGTGAATTATGTTGGCTATCGTCTTGTTCTAGCTCAAGATGACATTCTAAAAAATGATATCCTCTGTTTTCGTCGCCTTTTTCTTCCCAAGACCTCAGTTTTCTCTTTCCCTCGCGTATCAGATTGCCCTTCAGAATTGATTTAATTGAAGATACGAAGACAACGGATGAAGAGGTAGAAGTATTTTCATCAGACATCAAGACGTGCTAATAGTCGGATTGTATTGCTGTATTGCACCTTTAGAGGCCAAGTTGTAGATGGTTGCGTTTATGAAGAGGAGTGATTTGGTCAATAGCTTCTTCAAGCACGCAGCACAACTGTATTCATACTTTTTACTTTTATAGTTTTTTTTTTTTTTTTTTTTTTTTTTTTTTTTGGAATGAGTATGTGATAGAATGATCCGCTGATCTGATCTGATCTGATCGAACCATGTACTTTGCAAAAAAAAATCAAGAGATGCAAAAAGAGCGTCCTCCAACTATCAACTACTCCTTCTTCTGTATCATTTATTAGGATGATCAAAAGTTGCTTTCTTCGCTAAATTTATCAAAGACACGCCTCTACACAAATGTAAATGCTTTACAGAGGCTTGGCAGTTTGGGTTTGGGTAACCTTCTTGCCATCCTAGTTAGAAAAATAGGTCAAGACACACATAAAAAGGCGTTGTTTAGTCTCAATTGTCCTTTTGAGCATACTCCTGTGGTATGAATTAAATATTTGTTGCGTATGCGCATATTTATTACCTTGAAACGGAAGCGTGGTGGGGGAGCACGGTTGCGACGGCCCTCACGGGAGCGGACACGGACAATGTGGGCGTGAACAGCGCAGGAGATGCAGTAGTGAATCTTAATGTAGAACTTGGGCAAGGTGTATTCTGTGAACAGGTTGTGGAAAAAGGAGACAAGGAAAGATCAGGTCAATATTCATGGATCTATCTTCAAAAAAGCCATAAACACACTCTCCCTTTTTTCATTTCTTTTTATCGCGCTGCAGATACTTTTCGCCATTTTTTCCTGTCGAATAAAACTTACCCTTGTAGACAAGAGCTTCAGTGATATCACGAACGGCAGCCAGCTCGACCATAGGACGAACGGTGTAACGCTTGATGGCCTTGTCCTTAGGGACGCAGCGCGAGCAGTTGGAGCAGCGGACGGGCTTAACGTGGCCACGACCGTTCTTGTTGCGTCCGTGGTTTCTTCTCTTGAAGGTCTGTTGCAGTCAAAATAGAAGATGGTGTATTTTTTAACTGATGAGTATTTTTCTTTTCCTCCTTCCTGATATCCAAGAGCAAAACTGAGGGTGTATGGAATGAAGACACCAAAAATAGGAGAGGATAGTGCAATGATTTTTCCTGATTCTTCAATTAGTTTAGTAATTTCAGTATGTTGAGGTTATCAAGTAGATTATAGCCATCCTTATGTCAATCTAATCGATGTCGGTACTTGCTCTGTCTTCTCTTCCTACTTTCGTAGCGGCATAACTTCGTTGGGGGAGTTTTTTTTTTTTTTTTTCTCTGATGAAGCAAAACTCCACATTTTTTGGAATCCTCCTTATTCCTTCCGTTTCTTGTTGGATAGTTAATGAAAGATACTCTGTCATTCAAAGTAGCTCTCAGTTCCTTTTTCATTATTCATTCCATTGTAAATGTTTTCTCATTAGATTTTTATAACACCATGGGGTGATATAGTCATGACTCCAGGACATCTGATGGAGCCCTTTTGAGTATCTGCGAATTTATAATTGCGCCGATAGACAGTTCCTTCGATAGGTGTATAAAGCATTTGGTTGATAAAGATCTGTAAATGGATGAGTGTTGGATAGTTGGATGCATGCTCTGTATGTCCAAATGGATGTACTGACTGATGATGATGGATGCCTATGGCCCAACCATGTCTACCAATAAATGTCCAACCCTTTATAATTCTAATAGCATGGTCTCTGTACCATATTGAAGTGGAAAGAAAGAACTCTATTGCCCACTGCGACACTGATCATAAATAAAAATTTCCTCTAAAAAGTCACAGGCGAGCTCCTTAATTCTTACTTTGTGGGAAATGTATTACGCTCGCTAAAAAAAAAAATATTATTTACAACGGATAAAGATGACTAGGGTAGTAAAATAGGATGCAAATGAAGCAGGAACGACAGGGGTAATGCATATAACAAGCTCTCCACAATCTCAAGGGATAATAATAATAGTGCTGTAAACAAGTAAGACAGTGAGTGAAATAAGTGAAAACAACAGTTTAAAAACAGGCAAGTTGCTTCCTGACTTCTTCAATCTCTTTCGTTGTTGCTTCCATCTTAGATCGGATCTCCTGACGCTCACGCTCGGCCTCTTTGAAATCGCCTTTTGAGTGATCTATAGTCCTTCGGGCATCCTCGATATTTATCTGCAATTTTTGCAACCGTGCTTCGTGTGCTCTATTTTTTTTTTTTTTTTTTTTTTTTTGAATAGCATAGTGAGACAAAATTCTCCTCTATCAACATCAAAACGACTAAATTGTAACTCTGATAAAAATATGCCTACCGTGTCTTCATGGCCACCTGTTCCTTTTTCACATTATGCTGAAGAATCAGGGATGAGAGGTGTCTATTAAACTTGCTCGTAAGTCGCGCCTGGTACTTTGCAACCTCCTTATCCATGTCACTACCCTTGCTTAGGCTGTATCTGCTTCTAAGGGCCTCAAATTCTTGTTCAATCGATAAATCCAGTTTCATTTGCAACCCAGCGCCTTCGAGATCGAAATCCGCGTCTTCCAGCTGAGCTTCAGCGTCCGAAATAAACTTAATCTGTTCTATTAATTCAGCTACCAAGGCAGATTTTTCTCTAAGCTTCTGTACCTTCTTGTCATTTTCTTCTAACCTCGCCATTACCTCCTCACGCTCTAACTCAAGTGCTTCCAACACTAATCTTTCCTCGTCAAGCTCATTAAACATGATCTTTTCTGCAATCTCGGCTTCATATTTTTCAACTTCAGCTCTCCATACATCGGCCTCAAAAGTCTTTTCACCGACTTGTTGCTCTAGTTCATCTATCCATTTACTGTGTTTTTCGATCTCTTGTTCTTGATCAGCAACTTGTGCTTTCACTTCCACCTGCTCTTTCTCTGCATTGTCAATACGTTCCATGAGATCATCCTCTTCCTTTTGAAATTCAGATCTTGCGAGATGAAGTTTGGTCTCTTCCTGCTCTGCCTGTTGTTGTAGCTCCATGACAACTCGTTTCACTTCCTCAAGTTCGTTCTCAAGCTTCCGCACGATCTCAAGGTCTTTCTGTGATGCATTTTGTTCTTGTGGGGATAAAGGCGAACAATGCTTTGGTTTTTTTGTAAAATCGAGATGTGTCTGAGTAGGTGGACTGGGCTTCTCTGGGCTTGCAGCAACAGCAGCAGAAGCACTGGTTTGAGGTTTGGCAAGCGGCTTCTTTCCAATAATCCATGGCATTAATGAATATAGAAGATATATGAGTAATAAATCAGCAAATGAAATCTCTCTCTGTTCAGAAGTTTTTTGAGGGTGAACCAGCGCCTAAAATGCTATGTACCTCTTGCACCTGTTTCCCTTTTCCAGTCCCCGGCAAAGAATGTATGCGACTCTGAGCAATTCAAAAAAAAAAAAAAAAAAAAAAAAATGGAAAAATAGAAATATCAATTATTAGATAATGCATCTTTTAACATGTCAATTGCATTATACGAATGATTGAATCCATACATGTCGCTTGATAAAATTTGTGATAGGGTTCAACGGCGTTGTTTCGATCAGTTGAGATGACGGCTAATAACAGTAATACCAAAGAGATATACCAGTTAATACAGTTGAATGTATAAAAACAATATAAAAAAACGCCAAGTAAACTTCTCCCATTTTACCGTATGGCTGGTCTTTTGTGTCTTTTGCGGAGGCATACCCTCAGCAGCGCCCTTTAAAGAGTTTAATGAATTTTGAAGACCATGAAATCATAAAGGGAGGTCGAGATTAGACTTGGGGTTCATGTTTTAGAAAATAGGTGTGTTGTGTGAATAAGTGACAAACAAAAAAAAAAAATAAAATAAAAAAAAAAAATAGAATATTTTCCTGCACCTCAGGTTTGTTTTTGGTTAACTGTCCAGTCTTCAGGACTCTCGAATGACCGAGGTGTGCCTCAATGGCATTTTCATCTGGCATGGCTGGGCGTGCGTGTGTATGTGTGTATCTATTATATGTTGTTGAGGGTCTTTTGAATTAAAGCGAGGTGTTAATGTGTCTTTTAAATGTAGAAACATTCAAATGCTGCATTCAGAAAGATGGCTGGAAGTAAAAATGATCTGAACTCAAATATTGCGCCTAAATTACGCCATGCCTATTAAGGCGCGTGTCGTTAAGGGAGGAAAAAAAAATCGCTGTGGCAACCCATTTTCTCATAATATGGGATTTATCATTCTAACTTTGTATCCTCCAACCATCCTCCCTCCTCCCTTCATTGTTATATTTTCCACCTCAAAATGGCGGCAGGAAATCAGACACGCATTGGATTCACACAGAGCAAGCCTGGCCAGCGCAGGGCCCTTGACTCGGTATGTGTTTACGATTGCCGCATGAAGTGTACATGGTGTCTTATCACTGTCAGGTCTCAATTAACCGCCTTTATTTTACTTTTATTTTATTTTTAAATATATATATCAGAAACGTACCAAGCCAAACAAGGATGCAGAGGCAGGCAGTCAAGATGATCGTGAGTCCTCACTAACTCGTGAAGAACTACTATTGCAGCGAGCGGATAAAGTTTTCCAAACAATGGAGGAAAAACTCGTAAGTTTTTTTTTTTTTTTTTTTTTTTTTTTTACCAGATCAGGAAAGCGAAGGACCACTGTAAGCCAGAAAGACAGTGAAGTAGGCAATGGCAAAAAGGAATCTGAGCTTATAAATGCCGATTTCTCTCTTTTATCGTTCGTAAAAAATGGTAGGCTCAGTATAGAAAGAAAAAAGAAGAGAAAACTGTTCAGAAGGACACACGACAAATGCGTCTCCAGTCAATAACAACCTCAGATATGAAGACAGAGAGCAACGGTGCTAGCACCACTCAAAGGACTCTGCGACAATCAACAAGGATAGCCGCTGTCGTCAGCAAAACCCAGGCATCAATTGATTCCCATCCAGTCAGCGAGAGCGCGAGGAATAAGGAAAATGATCAGACGAAAGAAGCCGCTAAAGACCTGAGCGGATATACAAATATTTCAAAAACGGGTGGTGACGATCACAACATTGTAATTATAAGTCCCGATAGTACTGATCTTCCTACTAGAGCAAAGGCAGGATCAGAGGCACCACCATCACCTGCGCAAACTGTTGTATCTGCGGAGCATGGAGAAGCTGTGCTCAAAAAAGTGGAATTAGATGAGGGAGCTGCAGATGAAGAAGCTGTAGATGACAAGACATTGACCAACGAAAAAGATTTTGCAAAGCCTGTAGAAACGGATACGGTTCAATCTACTGCACCATATAAAGTGACTCAAAAACCTGTAGTAGAAGATACCATTCTGCAGGACAGTAGTGAAGGTTGCTTTACAGAAAAAGAGGTTGAGGGCGAGGATGAGGACAACATTCACCCCTTAGCTCGCACTGTTGTCAAGGTTGCACCTCGATCCAGGAAACCTCAAGTTGAGGAAGAGATTATCAATACCAACAGCCCGAAAGTCGATACTCGATCACCATATAATATACCAGCCAAGGTTGCTCAAATGACTACCATTCGGGAACCAAAGACTGACGCTTTTACACTACCACTGCCCAGCCACATGGCCGTTTTACTTGCAAATTTCAATGCGTTTGAAAACCTTTTAATATTCTCAAAGAGACAAGGACGTCCATGTTTCTATCATAGATTGAAGAGGCATGTTGAACTTCATTCATCAAGGTAAGCGAGCGATAATATTGTCACTTACATCCATATTCATCTATTTATCAAACATGAGTCTAATGGTTGATATATATATCCCCGCCTCTTTACGGACCTCATACTTTAGAAACTTTGAGATCAGTCATCTAGCGCAATTCAAGACTCTTCTGCCGGAAGGCTACAGGTTCACAGCAGCACCATGTATGGTCGACGGTGTCAAGACACGATCTATTTTCATCGAGATGCTTAACTTGGAGGATGAATCTAACCATTTTGTACCGCAAGCTGAAAAAAGAAAGAAGTTATTTTTGGAGCGCCTCCACAACCATGTCAAAGCATTTCATCAGGTAAACAGTTTTACTTTGTGAGGTTGATATCGTTTTCATTAGATGTTATTAAGGCTTGAGATGGTATCTTTGATGAGGAACTCCATTGTTTTTATTTATTTATTAATTAATTAAATTTTATTTTATTTTATTTTGTTTTTTACTTTTTACTCAATCTTTCACGCGTCAGAAATTCCTTACATCTACAACACCGCCACGGACGGATACATACCCTCGGAGCTGGCATCCTGAGTTTGATTTGGAGAGTGTAACACCAGTTGAGGAATCTGAAGTGCCACTATTGAAGCCAGCTGTAATTGATGTGTGGAAGGTGGACCTCAAGGATCTGAGGAGTCAGAACCATGTTAGACAGCAAGAAACCAAAACCGAAGTGCCGGCTAGCACTACATCTGATGTAGAAGAAAAAAAATCTGTTGCTTCTGCAGAGTCAGACAAAAATGACACTACTTCCATTCCAACTACGACTACGACTCCTATCACTGATACTTCATCCGCTACGAAGCCTCTTACAGCATTGGAGCAACTCAAAGAACGGGTACTGCGAAGAAATATGCATTCAATAACCTAAATAGCTTTATAATGGGTGTTTTATAATACTATGAAGAATTAATTGATGTATGCTAACGCTCCAAGTCGAAATCTTTTATTTTTTTTTGTTTTTTTATTATTATTATTTTAAAGATTCGACTGAAGCAACTGGAGATGAAGGAGGCTAGTAAAACTCTTGCAAGTCCGGAAGAAAAGCATGAACGACTCATTGCATCTCGATTGCCAAACGTATTCGATTTAGTCCGATTTAAGCGTGTAGATGTGACGCCGCTCAAGTCACTAGTGGAACTAGTCGTCAAGAGTTCAAGGATGCCTATTTCAGAGGTTGAAGGGAGAGAAAGTTTAGAAATGCTGGCCAAATTTCTACCAGAATGGTGCACCGTCTTTTCGTTGGCGGATGGGTGCCAGTACTTTAAAGTTCTAAGAGACAATGAGAAGGGCGAAAAAATCGCACACGATGAGAGAGCATTGAGGGCACGACTGGTATCGAAGAGTTCACGCAAGCCCTAGACTGATTGTGTATTCAACCCTTTCCATCAAGTATTAAGCATGCTGAAATGGTAGTTATGTAGTAATGTAGTATTAATATCCTTTAAACTGGAAGGCCTTACGGCAGTTAAATAATGGATCGCTTATTGCTTTCTAATTTGGTCAAATTGGCCTAGGACATTTTCAAGGATAAATGTCGTTCAATGTAGATATTCTCTTTTAGAGGGTCCTGAGATTCAATAATTTTCCCTATGCCTGAGATACTATCCTCGGCATAGTACGTCCTCTCGTCATTTCTGCGAACTGGGCTACTTTATCAGCATTACATTGATGTAAGCAGATTACCTCCGATAGAACAGGATCAGTGGATTCACAGAAGTCCCCTGTCACTCTTCGATGAATAAAAAACAAAGCTGATAGGCCTAGGACTCGTCATTCACAAATGGTATCTGCAAGACCTTCTCATATCTTGATAGTATCATCCTATAGACACAAGTATCAATGACACTCTGGCCGCAGACCAAGACATCTCTACTTCCCACCTCAACATCCTAACAGCTATCCATCAAAATTCAATCAATGGACTTGTCACTTACACGGATCTGGTTAACCAAGTCAGCTGGAACTAGGACCTGGCTCTTGTGTTGTTTTTTTAAGTTATCGCTTCTGACAACTTGGCCTTAGTCGATGTTTCATTCGTAGCTGAGTCCACCGTTACCGCCAAGCAAGATCAAATGACATAACTCATTGCTACTTTTGTATCCATGATTGCTGCCAAAGTTTGTTTGATCTCTTCCAAGGAATGACGATGAGGCTGTAGTTGTATGAGTCACATCCAATATTATCATCGGCTTCATTTTTGGGTCCAGGAGGGGAAGAAACCGACTAGGCAACTCTCACAAATGAGACTCAGTCGTACGAACACCAATCGAACTCCCAAATTGCGGTGAGATACCCCATATCCGTTGAGACAATAAGTTCCTCGTAAATCAGAATCAGTTGTTACTTTAGAAAGCTCCATCGATATCGGGATTGTTGACAAGTCCTTTCCAGCCAACTATCACATCGAGGTTTCTCAAAAGCACACACGCATAATCAAAAGCTCGTCAGCGGGGTTCTCTGTTACAGACTTAAGATGAGATACGTATTTGAGAGACCCTTTAGGACAAGGACCAACAATCATGAAAGTCCCTAGCGGTCAGTTGACGAGTTGAGGAGATGGCCTTGCAAGACATTCATCTGCCCGCTATAAAAGTCTTTTTTTAAGAGAATTGAGAGTTCATTCAGCTAGTTTGTTATGGTAACACTATTATGTGAGTGCATCACAGGAGACGATTCAGGACAAAGCAAGACAAAAGTTTCAGCAGAAAAAAGGCACAAATTAATAGATCTATATATTTCCAGCGACGCTGAAGAGAAAAGCTGCGCGCCTTCGGAGGACATCTGAATCAATTTTTCTATGAAATTTTATTTTTATTTACAAAAAGCCGCAGTTTCAATATGCTCTTTTTCAATATACTATTACAAAGCTAAAAAATCAATTGTACATTCCTCGTTCATATTATACTCTTGCTCCTTTAGAACCACAAGAGCTCGCTGTATTTTGGAATGGGGTAGAACTTGTCGGCAGTCAAGACCTCAAGCTTATCGGCGGCATCACGAGCCCTATTCATTGCAGGTAAGACATGAGCGCAAGCATACTTGGCCTCCTGAACGGGATCCTCAGCAACCTCGTGTATATCATGAATAGCCTTGTCCAAGGCGGCAATAGAGGCCTGGAGGTCCTTAACAACAGGAGTCAATGCCTTGAGGGCTTCCAGTTCAGGACTAGCATCTTCAGGGTCAATATCCTTCAACAAACTGACAGACTGAGCCAAGCTGCCACGGTATTCAAAGGCAGCAGGCAAGATTTGTGAAGCAAGTAGGCTTCGAAGGGTAGTGGCCTCGACAATGATATCCTTAGCGTAGCGCTCCTGAAGAATCAAGTGGCGGGACTGGAGTTCCGTCTTGGTAAAGATTCCAAGCTTGGTCAACATGTCGGAGTGGGCAGGGTTCAGGAGCTGCTTGAATGCCTCAGGGCTGGTCTTAATGTTTGGGAGACCGCGCTTCTCGGCTTCGTGGATCCAGGCCTCAGAGTAACCATCGCCCTCAAAGCGAACAGCCTTCGTGGAGGCAATAAACTTCTTAATGACAGCGACCTTGTCGGCATCTGAAGGATAAGGCTTGTCACCCATTTGCTCACGAAGAGCAGCGGTCACATCCTGAAGGGCTGAGGCAACAGCAGCATTAAGGATGGTGACGGGGAAGGCGGGCGATTGCTTAGAACCGACTGCGCGGAACTCGAACTTGTTGCCGGTGAAGGCAAAGGGTGATGTGCGGTTACGGTCAGTCAAGTCACGAGAGATGCTTGGCAACGAGGCGACCTTGACATCCAAAGCAGTTCCTCCCAACTTGATAGTCTGGATCTCAGGGACAGAAAAGTTCTTGATGGGACGGGACTCTTCAATAGAATTGAGGACTTCAGTCAAATGTTCACCGAGGAAAACTGAGACAATCATGGGAGGAGCCTCGCACGCACCGAGACGATGTTCATTGGAAGCCGAAGCGATAGAAGTACGGAGAAGTCCTCCGTGCTGCTGGACAGCGTGGAGGACAGCAACGAGGACGAGCAAGAAGCGGTAGTTGGTCTCTGGCTTAACAGTGGGATCGAGCAAGTTCTCACCGCGATCAGTCGACATAGACCAGTTGCAGTGCTTTCCAGATCCGTTGACACCCTTGAAGGGCTTCTCGTGGAAGAGAACCTTGAGCTTGTTCTTGTGGGCAACCTTGGCGAGGACATCCATTGTTAACAAGTTGTGATCAACTGCTAGGGAAGCCTCCTCAAAAATAGGGGCGCATTCGAACTGCTGAGGAGCGACCTCGTTGTGACGGGTCTTGATAGGGACACCAAGACGGAAGAGCTCGAGTTCAGCCTCAGACATGGTAGCCATAACCTTGGAGGGAACACGTCCAAAGTAATGGTCGTCCATCTGCTGATGCTTAGGAGGCAAGTTACCAATCAAGGTACGGCCAGTGTGCTTCAAGTCAGGACGGAGCGCATAGAGTGAACGGTCGATCAAGAAGTACTCCTGCTCAGTTCCAAGGGTGGTGAAGACATGGCTGACCTTGGGCTGAGCGCCAACAGGGACAGGGTCGAGGAGATTGAGAAGCTCACTGCACGATTTCGAAATGGCTGAGGTTGAGCGGAGGAGAACGGTTTTCTCGTCGAGAGCATCACCATTGTAGGAAATGAAGACAGAGGGGATGTAAAGGACAGAGGTCCCATGAGGTCCTTCCTGAATGAACATGGGTGAGGTGGTGTCCCAGACAGTGTATCCACGGGCCTCAAAGGTAGTGCGCATACCTCCTGAGGGGAAAGATGACGCATCAGGCTCGGCCTGGAGCAATTGCGAACCAGAGAAAGCATCGATGGCAGTGACCTGAAAGTTTAAAAAAAAAATTTTTTTTTGCACCAATGTTAGCTCATCGAACCCTTTTGTAATCGTTGTTGGTTTTCGGCTGAGTTGAATCATTTTGCTTTCCACAACTTTGTTTCCATTCAGCTTCAGACAGATCACAACATGTGGTCCTTTGGTCATTTCTGTTCCTATCATTCCCACTGATCTAGTTGAATGATACAGAGTGAACAAATTTGATTTCCTATCGCTTCTTTCCTTTTTTTTTTTTCTTTTTTTTTTTTGCTCCATCGCTGCCCTCACTTCCTCAATTAGTTGACTGACGTGTACTGAAGATTCTTCAATCCATGTTAATGAATAAAAAGATATTTGCTGCCTTGTCCCTAGACGCGTAATTTTGTAGATACTGCTGTGTCATCTTACCTCTTCACCATTAGGAGAGAAGCTGGACTTTAATGAGAGGAAAGCATCATGTTTCTCGGCAGTTGTGCCTGTTTGAGGCTGGAACCAGTGAGTGAAGTGGGTAGCGCCACGATCCATGGCCCAGATGCGAACAGCGTGAGCAATGGCATCGGCAGTACCCTTGTCAAGGGCCTGACGACCACGCATCTGTTTAAGGAAGGAAGCATAAGCGGGCTTGGGTAGGGCCTTTGCGATCTGCTGGAGCGTGAAGACGTTTTCAGCAAAGAACTCGGAGGTATAGACAGGTTTTCCGTCAGCCTTCTTTGGGTAAGAGAGGACACGGGTAGGACGGTTAATGTTGTCCTGGAGAGAAGCGACACGAGCCTGGTTAGCCATGGTTTACTATTGGAGGATATATATACAGATAAAGGGGATTGGTTGAATAAGTCAACAGAGGATAGGAAGGGATGGACAGAAGGCAAAGAGAATAGGAGCAGAAAGGAAGGAAAAGAGGAGGAAGAGAAAAAGAATAAGGATAGAGAAGAGCGAAACGGAGGAAAGAAAGGGAGAGAAAGGGAAAGATGACGATGGTGATGACGGTTTTTATATGGACGGGCTGATAATGATAAAAGGACGATAAAAATAAAATACAATAAAAAATCCGTCTATGAATGTGATAAATACAATAGAATAGGAAAAAAGTAAGTCTAATGAGTGAACAAGGTCAAAAGTAACCAGAGATGGATGCGCTAAGCTTTAATTATGCCCGCAAACAGTCACAACATTTTATGTTTGCGTTGACTCTTTGCGGGGGGGTTTTTATTTGTTATCATGTCTTTCTTTTGATATCGGATTTTATTTCAATTGTATTTTATTTTAAATATTTGTTTAATTTGGGTTTCATTCTTTTGGTCCTGACTCCTCCGGACTGATCCATTCAAAAACGGACTGGATGATGGAAATCATCGGTGACCGGGCTTTACAAACACACACCGGGGCAATACGCCGAAAGAAAATAAAGTCTGTTCTTATTTTCTTGGTCTAGGTTGCTCCATTGGAACATTTCTGACAAAACATACACCAAGCCTACTCTTTCGATCTTTTCCTTCTAACCCTCCTTCGAGTAACGCTTTCAATAGCGCATGTCTGTCCAGAAATGGAAACAGATGTAAAGGAATCCTGATATCTTTTCACTTCAATCATTGTAGCTCCCTGACCTTCTGAGACAGAGACTATCTGACCAACACCTCTGCATGCGACTGTGTCTTGTCGGGATGTCTTTCCCAGTTTTCTCGCTTTGATTTAGTCAGTCTTCCAATTGTCCGATTGACCCCTGTGTGCTCTGCCCCTTGGCCCTCACTTTTGAAGTATGAGATTGGTGCTTGATTTTTTTTTTGTCCTCCTTTTTTTTCTACCTTATCCTGCTGTCTGAATCTAGTCTGCAGGAGCTGCGAATCAATGTCAAAAGGAATGGTGTCTGTTTGGCCGGAAAACTTTTTTTTTTTTTTTTTTTTTTTTCTCGCGGGTTTGTGAAGTTGTTGCAAAATGAGGGAGTATGCCTTGGAGCGCAGCGTTGTCTTCCTGATCCTGTCCTATTCACGATCCTCCCTGTAAAATGCTTCAAGCATCGCTCCTGAACAGTAATGATAGAGTGGATAGGATGGCAAATGTTAATTGGTTCGAGACAGGGACTGACTGGCTATAAGAGAGAGCGTTCCCATGCCTGAACAATAAGAGACCTTGCTCCTGTTGTGTTAATGTGACCAAGGATATAAGACAAAGGTTTAGGAGCCCTTATCATGGTTTGTTCACTTTTCCTGACCCCGCATTTGTCAATTTCCATTCTGAGAAAATTAAAACAATATCTGAGGACTGATTGATGCTTTTGTTCTCGATCATGTTGGTGCTGTGTCTTCTCTAGGTATTGATGTAGCAGCAGAGTATTCTTCTCCTTCTTTATGAAGGCGAGTATTCTTGGGTGTCAGACTGCCCACTTGAGAATGCTCCAATAGAAATATTGGTTGTCAATTTTTTTTTTTTAGCCTCAAAGATAAAGAGCTTGAAGATGACTAGCACGTATACAAAAACAAAATAGAGAGAGATGGTTAGCAGCCTGAGTCACGGCTCTGGTGCTTGAGTTGCACAGCATGATATCTCGTTTTTATATTGGTAATCTGCGGATCTATTTCGTGAGTGATGAGGGATTGAAGAGAAGGAGGAAATTGAATGCTTTTGAAGAGGAAGGGTAAGGAAGGGATAATGAGGGGGAAAATCAAACCGAGGACGCGTGGTTAGACCTATTGAGCGCTAAACACGCGTTTGGCGTTGTATGACTTTTGATCAGATCTTTTGACGAACACCATAAACTAGATAACAAGATGAAAAAATATACGACGCACTTTAATTAATCCTTCGTTTTGTTGCAAGGAGCTGTTGCCAGGGCACCTTTAAACATAGTCATATACACATTAGGTCATATTGTCTTCAGTATATATAGAGGGAGAATCATATGAATTAGTTCGGGTCTACAAAAGCATAAAAAGGGTCTAAATTACCCGCATACACGATCAGTCATTACCAGATGAACAACATCTTTCATGTTATAATCCAATAATGGTGGCTGAAATATTATATATAATTAAGCTTCTTGCTTAAGAATGAATATGACTTGGGGTGTTTTTTTTAAAGTTTATTGTCCCTGAAAATACCTATCAAATCGAACTGCACACGTGCTTGTCTTCCGATAAGAGCCGCTTGTCTGTCTGTTGTATCCATACGATGACTCGATCTGTTTTTAGAGTTCTCTTTCTCGTGAGGCAATGCTTGCCACTCCGTTGTATCCTCATCTTATTGCTTACTCATGAGAACCATGTCGTGGCTGTGAATACAAAGTTTGTCTGCTCGCGTGGCCAATTCTACGGAGATTTGGACTCTCTCCGAGAGAAATAATTTTTACTTTTTTTCACTTTCCTATCATTCTTTATTCTTCTCTTTCCTTGATAAATGGTTTAAATAACCAACCGCAAACAAGTAGTAAATTGTCTAACTTTTCTTTACGCCGCAAGCGCCGTCACGGACATGGATGTCGAAGCTCTGATCGTTCAAGTAAGGGGCCAGCTAGGACAAAATATGCACAAAAAATGCCTCTATCGATTTTGAAGTCTTGCAACTCTCGCCTTTTTTATTTTCTGTTGTTTTATGAAGCAAATCTATCTCCATTCCTATTGGAATAAATAATCCACAGAAATGGCGGGGCAAAATGCATTAGGGCCGAACCTGCTGTAAAACACCAAAAATCACGGAAACCCTTGTTCTGCACTTTTGAAGCAGGCACAATCTAAGCATCACAAAACTTCTTTTCGTCAATGACTTTCAGGGCGGAGATTTGGATTAAAAAGCACCAATGCCTGTGACCTATTGCTATTATTAAAAAGCTCTCGAGCTCTTAATAAATGAACAAGCTACTCCTATTTATTTTTTGCTATGCAGCCAAGAGTATAGAGCGACGTATCATGTCCATTAGGACAATCGAAAAGGAGTTAGGCTGCTGAACATTTCTCTGTCTCCCTTTCGCCCTCACTTCTATTATTGCTATTCTCATTTCCTCATTTTCTCATTTCCTCATTTCCTCATTTCCTTCTTCGCTCTTAACCCTTTTGACTTTTGACCTAAAAATAATCTTGATGCTGGTCATCGTTTAGTAATTAATCCAATAATATAATCCTAACTTCATTTCAAATCGTGCATAAAGGTCTTTGCACACACACATCATATATTTTTTCCCTGACGTCCTCCAACATCAATCTCCTTGTATCACTTCACCTCAGCGCAGTAAACTTTCTGATTATAAAAAAGCTACGGGTATGATTACCATTAATTATATTAAATCTAGTTGTATTGTAACAATTCATCAGTTCTCATGGCGATATATCGCTATTCTCTGGAAATCGAATATTGGAAGCTCGGCTTAATTACATGGGTGGCAGAAGGAATGTCAGAAGTGAAGCTGGAATCGTGATGCTGAAAGGATTGCACCATAGCTGAAGATAGTTCCCATGAAGGAACACTAGAGGATAAGAAGTGTGAGAAGTTGTGTACAACCAATAGCCGTGTTTAGTATTTAATGTCGGAGGACCTTTTTCCTGTGCGCTTCATATACACTTTTGCTTGGAGATCTATCGGCTCTTCGATCCATTGCTCACAGCCTTCCACATTATACCTGCAAAGGAAAGGGCAATCTTTGTTTCGCCGTATACAGCTGCATTCTTCCTTCTTCTGTTATGATGGAAATAGGAAACTAGACGCCACAAAGTAACTGACAAACAAGTCGTCTTCTGATATGCTGATACAGTCCCCATGGACACCTAAAAGGAGGCATCCAGCTGGCCGCGGATTACGCGATACGATTTCAAAATGGATAGCTTTTGGTCATTCATCGGTATTGAGGCGATCATAGATAGGGATTAATAGAGAGGCTCTTTTGATCACCATTCTTTTGCACTTTTGTATCAAGCTCTGGATTTCTACCTTGTAGCAGAAGTTAAATGATCTGGGACAGAAATGACGAAAACAACTACATTATCATCATCACAACGGCGCTTATATTGTCAGCAACGTTAGCGCCAAGAATGACCATACTTTTTTATTCTGCTTAGGCTTCATTCGTCGCTAACTTGTGCTATCCTGCCTTATTTCTCCTATAGACATTACCCGCTGCATCATCTCAATAGTTACCTCCTTGAACATCCAATGCAAAATGTAGGTAGTATCTTTTTTTTTTTGCCTGTAGTTTCACTACCATCTCAGCTGTAAAGACCAATACCTTCATGTGGGGGGCCATAATGCTAGAGGCTATTTGCTCTTGGTGCTCACCATGCATATTCTTTTTTTATTTTCGCTCATTTGTAGATTCCTATCAACCCTCATGTCACACCAACAGAATGCCACACGGAGAATAGTCCAAATGTGACCTCGGGATCTTCACAGTTTCACTCACAGCTCGAGGATCTGAAAAGTTTACCGGTCCCTTACAATGAATTATACCATACCCTCTCCTCGTACAATAACATCCCGATCAGAATTCTTTGCGACAGAATCCGAAAAGCAACAACTGAGATAGAGGCATGGCTTGAGGCAGCAAAGTCAGCTTTGTTCGGCCTAGAAGTTGAAGTGAAGCAGGATGGCGTCAAGGCCTATAAGCAGGATGTGAATGAAATTGAGATGATCACAAGCCGGTTTTATCCAAACGTTGAGATGATGTTGGAACTCAATAGTAAAGTCGGATCAAAGCTTGATTCTCATGCAGACCAGGATCAGTCCAACACGGATGAATCAGCAGAATCAAAGGGACCCTTACTTTCAACAGAAGAATTGCAGCAAATCGTAAAAGCCATTCACTCGAGTTGGCTTTCTCTCAAGGCGATGTTAGATGAGATTAGGGGCATCTTTGCCATAGCTCAGACCCGACGAGAAATTTTAACACATATGGAGGATATACTGGTGGAAATTGAGCAGATTGGATTAGTAACTGACAAGCTTCAAGAAGAGAGGTCGCGCCAAACCTCTGAAGCTGTTGGTTCAGAGCATGGGAAAACATCATCCAGTCTGTCAAATTCTATATCAACTCATTCAACTGATACAACTATGAATACTGATACCTCTAAAGAGAAAAACCGTAATACAGAAGTGTTAGCGGGTATTGATAGTCGTATCGAGGCATTAAAGCCCCGAGTTGAGAGATTGACAATGCAGGTCGAAAGGCTTCCTTCATTAGACTTCAAATGTGATGAGTTACAGGATCAATACGATGAATTGCTTCGCCTATGGGATGATGCGAAGACACGCAGGGAAAAAATTGGTGATGAGATTAAAGAAGAGCGATGGTTAGCAGTTTTTGGACAAGTAGCAGGGCAGGTTGAATCGATGATGGAATCCTTAGATCGAGCAATAGTTCATTGCAAAGGTTTAGTGGATCAGATTAAAGTTATGGTCAAGGATGAGGTTGTCCCCACAGCTCCTATCGATCGCGATCACCTCTACACAATCTTCAAGAGCTTTGAATCCAAGCACAAGTATTATGCCCCTGCTGTAACTAAGATGCTCAACATGTTGGAGAATGGGATCCAGAATCGTGCAACAAAAAATGCCGATGCGATTCAAAAGCATAAGGACATGAAGGCCAAATGGGAAAAGCTGCAAGGCAGTCTTGACTTAGTTGAACTGGACCTAGATGGGATTGAGGCGATGCTAGATCAGCTGGATGCATCCATTCCATCGTCACATATTGTAACCCCACCAGCTCAGCTGCCAGAAAAACCACTTTTTGCTATGAGACAATCACAGATACAGTCAGAATTGAAGTCCCCTGGGCCGCCAGTCCTGTTCGAGCCGTCTCCTCAGGACCAAGAACCACAACGTGGGCGACAACCCTTTCCATCACCAGTACCGTCCCGGTCGTCAGCTGAATCATCTGAGCCAACTTCCAGGACCAGAAATAGATCACCGCCCAGTGGCCAGCCACGTCAGCGTCCTTGGTCGCCAACACCATCTGTAGCAAGTCAATCATCGATGTTATCGCCAAGCATGTTTGGTAGTCGGAGATCCTTTAGTCGCAGTCCTTCTCGTTCACCTTCAAGAGCCACATCTGATAAACTTCGTCCTTGGTGTCCAAGGTAAAAAAAAAAAAAAAAAAAAAAAAAAAAGGCTCTGGGAATCTTTGTCCATAGTTTTCCTGTTTTATGGATTCACTGTTCTTTAACGCAGGTTATCTTAATATAATTTAGCACGAAGACAACCTCTCCTTCCATCCCTGGGATCCCATACACTCCCTCTCCTGCATCTACATATACTCCACGCTCAGTTTCATCCACTCGACAAGACCGTGCTGTAAGCCCTTCTCCTGAAATGCCTTCTCGCTCAGTGTCTACAGCATCTAGGGCCCGAAGCGCTTCTTGTGCGCCTTCACTTAATAGACCATCTTCTCAGTCAAAGCCAATATTCTCACCTGCAGGAAGTACAAGTAAAATATCCACTGGAATCTATCAGTCTAGAGCAACATCGCCATCACCGAGAGCTAATGCTAATACTTCGGGTGCTGGCGGAAGAAAGACTCAGTCCAAATTCCCGCCCCCCGTGATTGCAAATGGTTCGCCAAGGTCACAGCAAAGCTCCTTGAGCGTAAGAGCACCACCACCACGACGATCAAGCAGTCCGATTCCATATAGTAGTACCGGTCGTACAGAGCCTACTTCAGTTCTGAATTCTTCGGATTCATCCTTACCCTCAACTCATCGAAAAGGACGAGCACTCTCACCCCCGGCTTCTCAGCGAAGTCGGACGAGCGCTCGACCTGCTCGTAGTGTAAGTCAAATGGGATTCCGAAGTGATTCTGATTCGAAACAGCGTCATAGGCGCCCCTCTCTGGGTAATCAATTGATGCTGTCGACGTCGAAAGAGACGAAGATAATTGAAGGCAATGGTATGTCATCGCTTCATGGACCACCTGCGCCCGAACTTATAACAGAGTCGACACCCAGCATGAGACTCGAGGTTTGTGCGGTGCCCCTTTTCGGCTCTGTTGATTCATCCAGTTCCCCGGTGCCTTCTCAACTACAGCAAAGAGAGGAGCAACAGCAACAGTTACGGCCGAGGAAACTTGATCCATTGGATTTTCCACAAGGAATCAAACCCTATATTGCGGTTCGCGGTGATGAACTTGATGAAGAATTTGCGCGGGTTTTGAACGCAAACCCAATATCTATTCAAGTTCGACGGTTAGGCGAAGGTAAATATTACTTTGGAGGTAGGATGGAAGAACGAGGACCCGGAAAAATCGTTGCTGTTGGTGGGAAAACAGTCCTTTGTCGTTTGATGGAGCGTGGACGTTCGGCTACAGGAGCAGGAGATTCAAATATTATAGGTGGAGGAAGCTTCAATGGAGTTGAGGAGGCCATTATACGACAGCAACAGCAACCGAACCAGCAGCTACTGCGACCATCTACATCGCAACGTTCGAGGTCGCGTGATGCTTCTAATCTTCTTCCTCCTCCTCTTCCAAATCCATTGCCCATCGTAAAAACGCCACGAAAGCCGGAGCCAGTGGCAAGTCGGTCTACGCGTACAAGGGCGAGCTCATTTAATGCGCTGGGCTCATCCATAGGATCCGTAGCAGGACGGAATAGGAAAATAATGGTGCGTGTGGGCGGTGGGTGGCAGGATTTGGATCTTCATCTATTGACTTTTCGAGGGTGATATTAGTTCTCAAAAATAATACAGTAGTAACAGTAAAAACACTTTTAAAGGTCGCAATTATTTCTATTGACGCATGTGTATCAAAAGAAGAATTTGAAATTTTGTTCCCATTGTAGAATTTAGTAAATTTTGCCCGGTTGTGGCTGAGCAATAAGGCTCAGGTGGATGATGGGTGCAAAAGGTAAGACGATCATCCTTGTCTCAATCAGAAGTTGAATCTTTAGCGGGCTGACTTACTCCCACTGTTGTTATTTCAAGAAATGAAGTGAAGATGAACTCTATTCCATGGAAGTATGTACTGCGTAATAAATACAAAGGAGTGTACAAAAAAATTGCAGCTTAAACATAATAAGTAATAAGAGCCTGTTTGATTAAACAAGGCCATTCGAAGCGCTTAAATCAACAACTGATTCAAATCAGTCATTGTAAGGAATATCGGACTTTGAACAAATTGTACGAGACTAACTTTGGGCGCTGTGCATTCTCTTTGAAAAGACATGTCATCCCTTTTCAAAGAATGTATGTGTCGCCGTTTAGGTGCCTGGGATTCAAATTCTATTGTCCTTCCTCTTCTCTTCCTCTCTTCCTCTCTTCCTCTCTTCCTTTCTTTTTATTTCTGCTTTCTTTTTACTTCCTCTTCTCTTTTCTTCTTTCTCTCCTTCCCTCTCCATTGCATACACTTCTGCTCTGCTCCTTCGACCATTCCCACACTACAACGGAAGCATTTATACCCGCCTTTGTACTACCATTTATCCATTTTGTAATCCGGCTGTTTTGCCACCAAATACACATACAATACCCAACCCTTGTCATCTTGCATTTCTCATTGACCGTTATCAGTCTGCATCCTCTGCATTGGTTCACATGGCATATAGCATGATCATTTTCTGAATACTCACAGTATATATTTAAAATTCACATATTTTACATCCGCAATACAAACATTTCGCCATTCTTAAATACAACATTATTACATCCCAAGTCATGTCAGATCCTGCCAATACTCTACACACCAAACAGGAAGAGCGAATAGATGAAAAAACCGAGCATGCACATGCGCCTCATTCATCAACGGTTGCTCATCATGATTCTGAGTTGGCTGTCGCAGAGAGCAAGCGAGCGGGCCTTGATTCTAAAGACAATCTCGATATCGAACATGCATCGGTAGAGACCGATCTGCAAGATCCTCCGACATTGATCGATGGCCCTCCTTATGGATGGGCAATTGTCTTTGCCGCATTCATTACTCAAATGATGTGCATGGGCACGATGAATATCTATGGAGTTTTCCAGGTATCTTTTTTTTTTTTTTTTTTTTGCTTGTTGATTTTTAACTATATCGCATTAAGTCGTCTGTATACAGAAAAAGAGAAAATCTGGAATGTTACTTTCCTGACTCCTTCACAATACTTAAATTATTAAGCATCGTATCACCTGCAGTACCTTCTAATGGTGTCAATCCACTTCTATCACTAATAAAGATGGGCACAGACATAATGGTGATTCCTTCTTCGCATAGAAGGTCATTAGCAAGGCGGATTGAGTTTTATGACTCTTTTGCGCCTTTTGTCGACCTCATGTGTGTTAAACAATAAGCAGCTCCCCAGCCATTACTGCTGCGTGGGAGAGTTTTTTCTCCCCGCCCGCATTTTTTTACTAATACACACATCACGCCAAAGCCAAACTTTTAATTTTTTATCGCATCAGTGATGCACTCCTTGTTTGGATAGGAGCCATGCCCTTCATATTATCAGATTTTACCCTTGTTTCGCAACCACATATCAGCATATTTATTTACATATTCCTCTGTAATGGGCTGAGCATGCTCTTGTTTCTGATGATCCTTACTGCGACATATTTTATAATACAATTTTAATACTATAACTTGGTTCAGATCTGAATTGCCTACTTGATCTGATTGATGTTCACCCATGTATCCTATTCAGCTCATTACTAACATGAATCATCTTTCTCGTCCTGATGTTGTAGACGTATTATTTCACAAACACGTTCAATGGCGTAGCCTCAACGTTTCAACTCGCATGGATTGGCTCCTTAACGGTCATGGCTCTAGATATTGTCGGTCCATTTGCGGGCTCAATCTCGGATCATTTCGGCCACAGACAAGCAGCGCTCGTAGGCGTCCTCGTTATGGCCCTCTCCCTCGTTGCATCTGGTTTTGCAACGGATGTGTGGCAGCTTTACATCACACAAGGCTTTCTTTATGGATCAGGCGCTAGTTTAACCTACTTCGCCGGCCTTTCACTGCCTTCTCAATGGTTCACGCGCAACCGCGGTCTAGTCACAGGGATTGCCATTAGTGGTGGTGGCATTGGAGGCCTTTGGATGTCTCCTCTCTTGAGCAAACTGCTGGACTCAAAGGGACTCCGCTTTACTATGATTGTGCTTGCTATTGCGCATCTGATCATTATGGTCCCGGTCTGCTTCTTGTTCAAGACAAGACTAGAGTCTGGTCGTCAACGCGCCAAGAGGATCAAGCGCTTTGGATATCGCAAGGGTGAACAAGAGACTAAGCGAAAGTTCGTGGATTTTACCATTCTGAAAGACACGCGTTTCTGTTTGCTTTTTGTGGCAGGTATTTTCGTTGTCAGTGGTTACTTCACCCCCTTCTATTTTATCAACTGTAAGTGAAATAAGCCTGGTTATAGATAGGATACTTTCAAGTAGAATTTTCTATTTTGCTTACTTTACACCTGTTTCTTTCCTCTAGCATATGCCCAACAGCACGGTGTCAGTTCATCGAATGCTGCTCTGATGGTTGGACTCATGAACGGAGCCTCGGCTGTGGGTCGCATCGTTATGGGCTTAGTCTCTGACAGAATTGGCCCTATCAATGCACTCTGCATCTCCACGTTAGCTGCAACACTGACGGTGTTATTAATTTGGACTTTTGCCACTTCCGAGGCGGTGATGTTCCTTTTCTCAGTCTTGTACGGGCTTTGCTGCGGTGCCTATCTCTCCTCAACAGTCTCTGTTTCGGCTGCTATTTGTGGTTTAGGCCGTCTGGCAACAGTGACAGGGATCATCTATGCGGGTATGGCTGTTGGATCCTTGATTGGTTCGCCAGTCTCTGGAGCCATTCTGGATACCATTGGACATAAAACCAACTACTTGGGTGTCATTTTATGGGCAGGTATTGTGATGGCGGTCGGAACCATCATCCTCTTTGTATTGAAGTATAGGACTGACAAGAAACTCTTTGCTAGAGTGTAAATAGCTTAGTGATGATTTTAGTAGATAGTTTTATTCAGCACAAGTCATTTTGTCAATATACACATTCAGGTCTAAAAAACCTGCTGCAACGTTATTTAAGGAAGCATTATCGATGTAAAATAAATATGATTCTCAAAATATTATTACTTTTGATCCATCTACTCCCACTGGTGGGCCTGCAAAGGCGTGAGTTGTTCGCTGTTTCCATGTTGAGTTGGTATAAAATAACCTTGGCACCGGGACCTTTGGCCATAGCGGTCATAGTTTCTAGGTAACGGATCTGCATGGCAATCGAGGTATTAAGGATATCAACAGCTCTCATCAATTTAGTAGTATCAACCCCAGCTTGGGCACCAATGAGCCTGGACTCGGCCAATCTCTTGGCATGAGCAGCAGAAGATAGAGCTTTCTGCAAATCCTTAGAGGAAGCAATGCTCTTGATCAGGGTCGACTCAACCTTGACACCTCATTCATGAGCTGATTTGTCAACAACTCTTTGAATCACTTCATCGATAGCTTCGCGGTTCTCAATCAATTTTTGGAGAGCACGCATCCTAATAGTATGGCGGAGAGCATACATACATAATAGGCGGAGTCGTAAGTGAAATACATAAAGACAAATGTGAGATAAAGATTATCGTTCAATCAATGCAGATCTAGCATCGGAGAACAGATGCAGCATGGAATGATGCCCAGAGTACCCATGACATCTCCAGCTGCATTCATCAAACTACCGTAGATGTCATGGTTTTCATTGTCTGACGAGAACTCTGTTATTCATTTTACCAGTGGCAAAGGACCTCTGCATGTCATTGTGGCCAAGAGATTGTTCAGTAATTATCGAATTGAGGTTTTTCATAGGCCACTGTTCGGTGCCTGCTGTATCTCCATATCTGCCTGGATTTAGCAGCAATTAACAGAATTGCTTGGTTTCCCTTGAATGGCCGCCATCCAGAGGAACTAGTTAAAATCATCGGAGTTCACTACAGTTCAAAACAATAAAATTCGACTGGTAGTCAGCCAACTCTCAAAACACTACGGTAAATATGTATACTGAGACGCAGAACAGATACTGTCGTCTCTTACATGTACTGAAAGATGCAGAGTTTGTTCCCTGAGCTAAGCTTTTTGAAGTTACGCCAGTTACCAGTAAATACACATATTGTCCCGCTTCTCACATATTCCCGGCACTCCCTCGATCTAAGGGCTGCGACATAGCCATCAGAGGATACATGTTTGTCAAAGCACTGATACTTTCCTTGGGATAGTGCAGGAATGTATTAAAAGTATTCAAGAAGCGCAGGGTAGTCAACAGCACGCGATAGTGGTTTAGATGTTTATACGGTTTCATATTGAGCCCGGACAGTCGCTATAGTGATATCGCCAGAGCGGATGTGAATGTGAGAGTTGGGGCGAGCCATACAAAATGTCGTGTATGATAGGCTTTCTTTCTTTTCTCTCCCTTTTTTTTTTTTTTTTATAAGATAAAAGCAAAATAGGTAGAGCATTTTGAAGTATGCACTCGATGGATTCTTTTATATAAGCATTATTTTCTTCGTCCTTCCCTTCTATTTTCGTTTCCGAGCTGGTATGAAAAATAACTTCTTAGATCGATCTTCAGACTTGACGACAAAAGCAAGGGGAGGCTAGACTTCCACTTTTAAGAAGGGCTAATGACTTTGTAGCTATCTAGTTATACACTTACGAACATTCTTCTTATTTTTCTATGTCTAAAATACACTATTGGACATTCATGGGCATTTACGTAACGCCCATAATGGACAAGAAGAGTCAAAATGGATTACACTTTTTGGTTTCATGGATGCAAAATAAGGTTCAAGGTTTTCCCATCTGTAAAACTCGGTTCAAAGAAGGTAATCGGTTGATTTTGCATTTTACCCAAAGTGAAGATTTCCAATGTCTATTTAAGCCTATCGAGGCTCTGGACAGGCCCTCATGTGCGAAACAAATGTGATATTGTTGTTACTCAGCAGAATAATAAAAAAAAATTGCTGGTTATACACTTGGTTTTGAAGAACAATAATTCTTCATGAGAATAGTGGGATGACGATCCGGTACTCGAAAATTATATTGGCTCCATACGATTATGCTTATCAATGTCAGAGGTCAGTAATTTACCAGTCGAATATGCTGATCATAAAAGTGAGCCTTCAGTGCATTTTGGACCTCAATGCCTTTTTTCGGCTGTCATTTATCAAATGCTCGATGTGTTGGTGAGATGTTTTGAGATGAATATTCGAACAAGGTAGCACGGCGCACACAGCTATTCAGAAGCAATTATTCATATCAATCCTGTGTGGATAAAAGGAATTCAGAGGCGTATCCTGTATGAAGCAAAAATACGCATCTTTGTCGTCATGACATTCATGGCTCAAAGTATCCTCTAAAAATTGGAGAGCTTTTAGCATGTTCATAAATGAGTCACTGAAAAAAAAAAAAAAAAAAAAAAAAAAAATCCGATGCGCTTCAGACCATTACTAATCCAAGAATCAGCGCAGCGTCTCAAAAAGAAAAGAGAGGGAGAGTTCAGGGTTTGTCGTCAACAAAGATGCATCTTTCCTCTCCATGAAAAAGAGAAAAAGAAAGAGGTATGATGTATAAAGTATATGTGCGCCCATCTGTTTATCTGCGGCCAAAGGGCTGAAATGGCTCTAAAGAGGCTTTGATAGAATAGAAACTGATTGGTGATTCCACATGGCCAACTATAAAAAAGCTTTTTTTTAATATAAATGTTGAAAATGGGTGTGGTCTGCTCAATGACTTGCTCCGTTGGTTACATTGCGCTCAACGCCCCTATTTTTCTTTGACAGGGAATGATTCAGAAAATCATGTAAATCTATACAATCAAATCGAAAAAGAAGGTTAAATGCTAGTGGTATTGCTCATTTGGTATTGGACAATGTTGACCTTTTTAAGAAACCATCTCCCCCGAAACAGTTTTTTTTTTCTTTTTTTTATGTCTAGTAGGCTGGTTACTCCTTTTCTTCTCATCTTTAAGTGTCCCTCTCCCTTCTGTAGAAAAAATTTTCGAGAACACTTGGACGAGAATAGCTTAATAAATAATGGCAGCTCGAGATGTTCACATTGTCAAACAGGATCCGCCTATGATATCTATAGAGGACAATGTGCCGAGCAGAATACCACAGGCAAATACCCTTATTGTCCCAAAAGATACTTATCCTCCGGAGGAGATCGTAGCCACCGCTCAAAATAAGGACATAGAGAAACAAACTGTCTATGAAAATAACTTCATCTGTTCTGATGGACATGAGGATGTCAATAGTGAACAGCCTTACGGGTGGGTCGTTGTGGCAGCGGCATTTTTTGTCCAAGTAATGGTTATTGGTACTGTCAATGGTTATGGTGTCTATCAGGTTCGTAGCAGGGCTAATTCGCGCCATTATTTACTACTGTTTACTACTATCGATTTTACTCTAATATGCATATGTTATGGTTATTATGATTGCTTACTGCTATTCCATAGGACCGGTACATCACTCATGAGTATAATACTGCAAGCACATTTGAGCTCTCATGGATTGGAACACTAAACGTTGTGGGAATGAATTTATTAGGACCGTTCACGGGGCAGTTTGCAGACCATTTCGGATACAGAATCAGTGCACTCCTTGGCGCAGTGATCATGGGTGCGTCTTTAATTGCGACATCGTTCGCGACTGAGATCTGGCAACTTTATATCTGTCAGGGCATCCTATATGGTTTTGGGGCCAGTCTTGCATTCTTCCCATCCCTCAGCTTGCCATCACAGTGGTTCAAAGAGTAAGTAGCCTTTCAGGATACCTATTACTCTGGGTCAAGCCTGACCTGTGTGTTTGCACATCCTATTAACGTTATTCATGTTATTCTGCATTTTTTTTTTTTTTTTTTTTTTTTTAAAAAAAAAAAAATAGACGCCGAGGACTTGCGACCGGGATTGCGGTCGCAGGAGGTGGTTTTGGAGGACTAGTCATCTCACCAGCGACAACAAGTATGTTTAGTAGCATAGGATATAGATGGACAGTTCGGACGGTGGCATTCATCCATCTCGCAGTTTTGATCCCGGCAGCTCTTCTTTTTAAAGCCAGAGTTGAAACTGGAAGAGACCGAGCGAAACGTCTGAAGCGCGAACATCAGGAGAACGAGAAACAGAAACAACAGCAACAGGCAACTGTCGTTGCGGCACAATCTTTAGAAGATAACGAGTCCCAGACAACGTTGACGGTGCCCAGGAAGCAGGCTATAGTCGACTTCTCTGTCTTGAAGGAAAAACGATTTTTGATCCTGGTGGCACTTTGCTTCTTTGTTGCTAACGGTTATTTTAACCCTTACTATTACTTCCCTAGTACGGAGCGTTGATTTTCCTCTTTATCATGTACAAAGATATTATATTTGTTGCCAACAAGTAGATTCAGTCTAACATCATTTGATCTCCTTTTTCTCTGTGTAATTATCTTGTTCACTATGATACCTTTATTAGCCTATGTGCAAAAGCGTGGCTCCAGTGTGTCGACGGCATCACTTTTAGTCGGCATCTTGAACGGATCCAGTGCTGTTGGCCGAGTACTCATGGGGTTGACTAGCGATTATATCGGAGACATCAATACCTTGTTTATTTCATCGCTTATTGCTTCGCTAAGTGTCCTAGTTGTTTGGATGCTGGCCGGTACTTCCATTCCAGTTATGGTTATCTTTTGTGTTATCTTTGGCTTCTTTTCAGGAAGCTATGTCGCAATTGTCCCTACAGTAGCTGCACATCTTTGTGGTAAGATGGCAAAACACCTTATCGTGCTCTCATGCTTCGGTTTATTCCACTCTTGTTTCTTTTTTTATAACTTTTTTTTTTTTTTTTTTTTTTAAAAAAAAAAAAAAAAAAAAAGGTATAAGTCGTTTAGCTAGTGTTACAGGCATCGTATATGGAGGAATCGCTATCGGGACACTTATTGGCGCCCCTGTGGGCGGGGCACTGTTAGATCTTAGCCAAGGTGACGATTATCGTCCATTGCAGATATGGGCAGGTATAGTTATGGCAGTCGGCGCGACCTTGAGCCTTGTACTTAAATTGACGGTGAACTCGAAGCTATTCGGGCGCGTTTAAAAAAGAATAATTGTTTTAATAGAGGAGAGGCGTTCATTAATGTTACTTACATGTATCAATGCAACTTCAATTTACAATAAACTTATTACTAATCGCCATGGTTGGAAGCGTTGATTTAAAAATAAGAGAAAAAAAAAGATTCCACGCGTTGATTAAATGTGCATGGAGCACGCCCAGAGCATGGTGCACTGACAATCAACTAATCCTTGACGTTACATTCCATGATGAGAAAACAAACAATGTTTGGGCGTACAAAGCATCATGTTTCCAATCTCACAAGGCTTGAATTAAGTACATGTATGCAACAGGGCCGTGAAGCATTGGCGACTGTTCGATGCTTGTTGGTTTTCCAAATCTGCTTTGATTTCACCATAATTTAGCGGAATTGATTAGCATCCCCTGAATAGCTGCCATCCAAAGGGACTAACTTCGAATGGGCAGGATTTACTGTGTTGTTCAAAACAATAAAACTTGACTGAAAGTCTGCTAATCCTCAAACTATGAGGCAAATAATGCCTCTGAACGCTTCAATAGGATTATGGCGAGCTTTTGGGGTGCAGAAAAGACAAGATTGTCTCTTTTGAGCAATGAAGGATATAGGATTTGTTCCTTGGAGGCAAACTTTTTTGAAACCACGCTTGTTGCTAGTAAAAACACAAATGGTTCCCGTTTTCCGCATACTTTCAGCGCTTCCACAATCCAAGGGCTGTGATGTGGCCATTAAATGTTACATGTTTGTCGAAGCATTGGCACATCCCTTGCAAAAGTTCAGATGTATGCTAGGAATATTGTTTAAGGGACGTAGAGTAGTCAATGACATGTGGTAGTGTTCAGGTGTTTATACAGTATCATATGGAGTCCGAACAGTCGCCATTGTTTATTTCAGATCCGTTGGATACCCTGTCCAACGTCACTGTTTTTTTCCGCATTAACCGTTTTAAAATTTTAAAAATTAATAAGTAAAAGTTGAATACGGCTCCAAAGAATATCCTAGAAAATACGATGACTCTTATACCATTTCTTAAGAGCAAATGTCACTATATTGCAATTTAAGCTTCTTTTGTTGACTAATGCATTTTCTGAAGAAGAGCGGGACGACCAGGGCCCTATCAATGCCACAGGACCACGTACATAGACACACACTTCCCTCTAGACCAACGAGCCAGATAGGAAGACTGATTTTTTTTTTTAATCACTCAAGCTGTTACAGAGATGTCTATGAATGAGGGCATTACTTAAACAACATTGCGACATGACGATCCATGCCAACAATTAAGAAAAGAGAGCCGAACGGAGTTGCATGTGTCGTCCTTGAATATTTGAATATTTGAAGATTTGAAGTTCATAGTGGTTCTTGATCAATCGAGTTAAGAATGTCATATAAAAGAAAAATGACTAAAAGCTATCTTGACATCAATACTGGGATGTAAGCAAGTGGCACCAATGATTGAATGTAAGTGAGATAGTAAGCGCATTTAATGACGCTGAAACACTGGAGGGTAGGAGATATACAACCTCGGACAAAAAAAAGATATATATAAAACCGTATCCGTTCTACATAATCAATTGCAATAATGTACTTTCAAGTAAAAAAAAAAATACCACCAGCGTATACTTGAGCCTTGCATGTTTTTCTTTGCACAATACAAATAGGATGTAGTTATTATCAGTTTTCGTTTCGATATTATTGGACAAAGAGAGAAGAGAGGGAGAATATGAAGACATACACTTGCATCAGCGCAAGGAAGTTGGGATTCAGAAGGATAGAAATAGTGATTTATACGCAGCCAGAGCAGATACATCCCTATGGACAAAAAGCAATGACTAGAAGTGCTCACTTTCCTATGATTTTATAGTTTTTTTTAAAAAATGGGGCCTTGGCTTCTCCGACCAGGGCAAAAAGCGGGTGTGTTGGTACATATACGGTCAACTGCCCGATATACACGAATTGGGCATCAGGACTATTGTCTAATGCTTTCAATTCCCGATTTTTATACAGTTGCCATGTGGTTGTCCGCGGTTCAGGTCTTCCCACATTTCTGGATGGAATGCTGATAACATGGGTTCCTTGGCGTAGAATTGCTGTGGGATCATAAGAGAAATAAGCATGGGGTGTTTAGTTTCCCACATGTTGGCTCTGCAGACCATCCGCCATGTCCATGGGTTTCATTAACGGCTTCCACGTTGCATTAGAAGTAAATAATTAACACTTCATTTCATATGTTTAATAAAAAAAATAATATGTGTATGTTTATATGGCCAAGCATCTTCATCTTCACAATTAGTGACTGAAACGAAAAATGAGAGCATTTGAGCCAAGAAATGATCGGGGTCCTATGGGCAATCATGAAGAAGCAGAGGGGGTTAATAGAGTTATTGAACGGGATTAAATGAATACGGAAGGAAAGAAAATCTGTGAGCTTTGGATGTAATAGCATCGCCTTAAAAAAGCCTGCCTCAAAATATGGTGATTAAGTTAATACATTTGAAAACACATTGTAGTGTCAGAAGGTAAACTGTTGGAATGCCGAAAGGAACGATCTCCATCACAATACATATACAGTAGTATATATACACAATATGTAAATATGAATGAGCGGAATGGCCCCATTAGATATAATAAGTGATGCTGTTTCTAACGATGTCCGTACTCTAGCTCTGTTCATTATCCAAGAGTGAGGAAAGAAAGAAAGAAAGGATATCCAAGACGAACAAGAGCGTCACGAAAAGAGATCAATAAGCGGCGATGGAGATTAAGAGAAAGGCCGTGCTTTTCGAATGAATCAAATGAATTGAGAGCAGCTTGCTTCAGCACAGATTTTGCCCTTCTAACCCTGTCAAAAAATCAGGCTCTTATTCTTATTTCAAATTCAGCAACTCATCATCCATATTGTAATTAACAACATTCAGCAGACATATTAGAGGATAAATAGGGTTAATTCAAATGTATCGTGTGCGCGAAGACCCATAACATATAAATATTAGCATGCCTCGCCAACTCTTCTGCTTCACTTTTTCTCATGCTCTGATCTTTCCCTTACTACCGCGTTTTTTCTTCGTTTTCTACTAACGCCCTTCCCTGCAGTTTCCTGCACACTAGTCTCTTTCGCCTTCTCGCACTCAGACACCTTCCACCATCATGGCGCCTATCCCAAGAATCGCAGCAAAACCACTGTCTATCATCACAGGCGCACTCTTCACCGCCTTTTCTGCTCCTAGCAGCTCACCACCTACCAATGGCTTGAATGCCACGGTCTGGGGCACTAAATACATCGGATCTGCCTCTTTTCTCAATCTCACGCTCCTTAAAACCCCTACATCACCTTCTTCTTCCTTTTCGCCTTCACCTTCACCTTCATCGTCATCATTATCAGATTCACCCTCTACCCCAGTCTCTTCTACGTTTGTCTACTACAACACGAAAACGGATACCTACACAGGTTGCAACAATAAGACGTTTTCTGCCAGCGATAGTGTTGTTTTGATGAATCCCCTCCAATTCGGAAACCCAGCCTCCAAAAACTCAACCTGCGGTGAATGGGTCTTGGTCCGGAACCGCAAGAACACAATGCAGTCAACTTATGCACAGGTAGTCGGCCAATGCCCCACATGTGATTACGGATCGGTCGATGTCTCTCTTGGCGCTCTGAGTGATCTGGCACCAGACCTTCCTTTCGAAAGCATGGTATTTGATGACAGTTCCGATACAACCATCGACGACCTCATGGGCGCCGATACACCTCAACCTGCGAATTCGACACCAATCTCACCCAAGGACCTACTCAGTGTTGTGTGGGAGTTATCAGGCCCTCCCAAGCATACAGGCACTAACCAGATCGACTTGCCTTCTGGAACTCGACCTACCAGTACTACCTCCCCCACCCCTACGTCAACTACTGAGGCCCCAAAACCTACATCACCCTCTTCACCTGTGTTTTCCGGACGTGCAACCTGGTATTCCGACACATCAGGCTTTTGCGAACATCCTTACTCTCAATCTGACATGATCGTTGCAGTGAATGAGGCCCAAATGGGAAGGGTCAAGGACCTCTGTGGCAAGAAGATCCTCCTGACTAAAGAAGGGTCGGACGTACAGGTGGTTGTAGAAGTTGTTGACATGTGCCCTAGTAAATACTGTAAAAGCGGAGACCTGGATCTGTCCCAGGCCGCATTCAAGGAGTTTGCAGACCTAGATGTTGGTGAATTGACCCTCAAGTGGAGCTTCCTCGATTCCTAATGACCATAATTATTACTACTACTTAATACTATTGCCACTATTCCTACCAATAACTCCTGCATACTACCATCCACTTAATTTACTTTTATTTCTATACCCTCCTTTTCTTTTTTTCTTTATTTCTGAATAAGAAGTACCATCCGCATTTATATAGCTCTGTAGAATAGCATCCATTTCATTTCTCTAATTTATTCTCATCAAATCCATCCATCCTCATTCTGATTAACGATCCATAGATTCATAGTTAGCTACCTAGTCTTATACCGGCTTATGATATCCTGCATAAAAACTTTTTTTTTTTTTTTTTGCTGCATTTAAATTTGTAAAATGAATGAAAAGCGTAATTCTAATTTAATCATTGGTGGTACAGGAGTAATCTAATTAATATCACTCTTCATTTCCTCTTTTTTTTTTTTTTTTTTTTTTTGTTGTAGTGGAGGACAAGTAGTAGTAGTAATAGTGGGCAGTTGTAGTGCAGCAGCATTTGCAATACTGGTAATAAAATAGCGTTAGTTTATTACTTTAGATAGTCATAAATGCGATGTCATTTCATTGGGTAGTCATTTTCTTGTGGTATAGTTCTGGAGACAAGTTGTTGTGGATCACAGACGTCCAGCGTCGAGATCTTTTGTATGTCACTCTTCTCCTTCTTTCTGTCTTTCTTTTCATGCGATGCTAATTCTCGTTAAGGTGCTATCAGTCTCTAAAAAAAAAAAAAAAAAAAAAAAATATATATATATAAAAAAAAGAACGATAAGTGGGACATGGTGCGTTAGGATTTAGAAGTACTTGAAGAACTTGACCATCCCAAAAAGCATGATCCCCTCACCCTATCGAGCCCCCGGATGCGTAGAAAAACTAGAACTCGGGGCAATGGACCGTGGTGGTTTGATGATATCAAATTTTACATCGAAGCTATTTTTGATTGGAGTACTGAGATCAATCTCGACCCATGAGGTACCATGATTGTCTTCATCCCTAAGAGATTCTTCGACATTAATTTTGGAATGAGCTCGGCCCTGAGGTTCAACAGAATGGGGTGGTGATGATGCTAATGGTAGCATAGATAATGAAGGTGATTTCATGCTAGCAAAGGACTTTGGTGCTGTTATTGATACAGATGGAGATGGTGAAGGCAATATGTATGAATGTATGGCTGGATCTGAATCGATATCAGCTGTATCTGTAGGGCTTTGTACAAGTTTCGGTGATGGTGGGGAGGACGAAGATTGACGAGTGTAGTAGCTTGGGTTGAGTGGACGTGGTTCTACAACTATGCTGAAGTGTTTGGGCTTCCATGTGGCAGATGCAGTTGATTGAGCAGAAGAACGTACAGACGGAGCAGTGACAAACACAGCAGGCGTGTACTGCTGTTGAACCTCTTGTTGTTTTGTATTGCTTGAATCTCCAGAAGCATCTTTTTGCTCATCTTCATTAGCTGCCTCAGCTTGCTTCCGACTCGCAAGCGCTCTTTTCTGAGATCTTGCTCGTTTGATAGAGTTGGAGGCATGAAGGGAGTTAGATCTTTGAATCAGATCGCTGTTATTAGCTTTGATAGTGTTGAGTTTATAGACCTTTGGAACAACGTTTTGATTTACACCCAAGACAATAGCTTCATCCAGGGAGCTAGTAGAGATCCTAGATGCCAAAGAGGAACCTTTATCGGCGAATGGTGCTTGAGGAGCTATATAAGAATTGTAGGACGTTATTTCTCGGCTTTATATTATTTTTTTATTATCCTTTCCAAGAGCTGTACCAAAAGTCAAGAAGGCTTACCTCCACCTAGCATCTCTATCTCACATATCTTGGTGAGATCTACGTTGGGTACACTGGGGATATACGCTATTTGGATGACATCTTTCTGATCATTTTTACCATGTACAGACTGAGGATACATAAAATTAGGTTTTGGCAATTTCGTTGGTATGGTGGTTTGAGTACGTATTGTGGTTTTACTTCAAGGGGGATGAAAACGGGGGCGTTGAAGTAAAGAATGAATCACGCGAGGAATTGTGTTTCAATATCAATTTCAGTTATTAAGAGGATCCAGCTCAGTTGCAAGCGATTTCAGTCTGTCGGCCCTTGTTTAAGAAGGGGTGTAACCAAGAGGGTGAAAAAAATCTCATCAAAATAACAAGACCCCCAAATCAGGACGTCTCTTCAGTGTGATTAATGAACAATAGACTAAGAGCAAAGTGGGTAATTTAATTGTTTGGACAGGGACGAAGAATTATGATTCAATTGATGGTAATTAAACACTCACACCCTTTCCCACACAGACGCAAACTCACATATAAAAACACATGCACAAATGTGCACTGCACTTTTTTTTTTTTACTCCGTCGTCAACAATACAAAAACTCCATCACCAAGGGGGAACAGTATGAGAAAACAAAGAGTAGAAGGAGGAGAGTATATAAAGGTCACGCTCAGTTATAAAGCAGAAGCGAGCAGCAACACTTTATATCTAAGTATTGAATACATGAGCACTTCATTTAATAAAGAAAGCAGACAAGTTTGCCTTCCGTCTGGGATTTCGCAATTTCAGAATGGACTAGTGGACCAGAAGGGTGGCTGCACCCTGCAAACTCCCTCCTAATCTTTTCTTGAGAAAGAGGGAGAGAGATGGTTTTTTCCGTTGTCCAACCCCAATAATATTTTTAATCTTTGAAGGAAAGGGGAACGAAACGAAAGGGTTTGGAATGAATCTTACATTGTGGTTGAGTTTTTTGTCGCTATTGTTAAACGGGTCTCTTGCAGCCTCAGTTTCCCTTTCATTAATTCGATCTTCCTCATCCTTTAATCGAATTGGACCGGTTGCTGCTTTCCTGCCCTTCCGGCGATGCCAGATAAACAAGAAAAGGATCGCAGCAAAGATAACCAACCCAGCAATACATCCGAGCGCAACTGGAAGAACAGCCTTGCTAGTGGATGTACCAGAAGACGGAGACAAGTCTCTGTCTATATTTTCTCCAGTAACAGAATCAGCTTTGACACAACTGGCGACTGGACACTGACAAGAAGAGTCGATCACGTCTAGGCGACATGTATATCCAGACTGGCAGGGCGGGCATGTATGCGAACTAGGTTGACAGAAAAGGGTTGGGCATGAAGTGCTACGAGGGGTTTCAGAAGGTTTAGAGGTCGATCGAGGTTTAGTGGTTGACGTGATCGTAGGGGTATAGGGGATGACGGGAATAGATATGAAGATGGATGTTGGGTCGGGAGATCGCGCAGATGATGAGTATCCAGTGGCGGATGCTTGGGTGGGTTTGCTTTTGGGTTTTTTATAATGCAGCGCCTCTAGATCGTGATGTAGCATGTTATCGGTGCCGGAAAAGGATGAAGGGGGGGAGGTGGAAAAAGAAGACGATCGTATGTGGGAAGAATGAAAATTAAAAAAGAAAATGAGACGAAAACGCGTATGAAGAAAGAAAAAAAAAAAAAAAGAAAGAATTAAAAAATGTCAGAGATGAAAACAAATAATGAAAAAAGGAGCAGCAAGAAAGTGTTCCAGAGAAAAGTATGATTGATTTGCAATTCAAATAAATGTATACTTGTATATAAAATATACAATTTTGATCAATGGATCAAGGGACAATAAGAGTGGCATTCATATTGCAATCAAACAAGGTTTCTGGAGCCAGCAACTCTGATGCAGAAGATACATAAGATACATTTGTACATTTGTACATTTGTACATTTTTACATTTTAACTCCAAGGTAAACATGCATAGTGATTGGTAGACAAACATACAGGGAGAAAACGACTGAATGTCGACGTCCTAGTGGGCATCCCTGCACATGCCTCGCAAGGTTGCTTCCAGGCGGTTTATCACGTGGTAGCCTAAATCTCTTAAATGCAACCATTGCCATGTTAATAAGCTTAGCAGCTGTAGGCTTGAGCTATATTTCTCTCTTTGTCGTATTTTCACACTCTATCAATTCGCATCCCATTGCATTTCGATAGTAGGTAACCATAGCACGATGAATGAAAGAAGTTTCATACTTTCTTATTCATTCTCAAAGAACATCTTCTTTCTTTGAATTCATTGTATTCATTATTTACAACAATTTCAATACTTCATGCTTTTGCATATTTCATAAACGCATTCTCAACTGCACTGTTGATGAGGCATTGAATGGGCGACCGAGTTAATTGTGTTATGAGTCATCTTTTATTTGTATGATGGTCTACAGAGCTGCTCGAGAAGTTTTTTCCCTTATTTGGTTTCTATGCAGCCTGTGCTCTTTTTTTTTTTTTTTTTTTTTTTTTTTTGAAGTACACTTGACACACACAAAACTCAGACAAGAATGCTAAGAGTCAAAGGTGCTTTGTGGATGTGCTTCGCCTCGTAATTAAACAAACAAGTCACAAATGCGCACACTTAACCCATGTTGCATATTTTTCCATAATTGCCGCCAGATAACCACAATACATTTTTCTCATCTTCTATTCATTCACTTACTTTCTTAAATTTCTTCCATTTATCCCTATCATATCCTCATCAAGTTACGCTGCGTTGCGTATCCCGACGTACCTCTATGAAGCACAATATCCAGAGTATATTCCCACCAACAACCTCGAGCAACTCGGACTCTGAAGACCTTTATGGCGAGTCTGAGACAGAAGAAAGACCTCACTCCCCAAATTCGGAACCAATTTCTCACTTATCCGACAATGATGACCCCACACGTTCGCTCTCTGTATCTCCTATACTCCGAGTAAGCCACGGAGACGATGCCCATAGCGACAGCGATCTTGAAGACGAGGATAATAACCTTGCTTCATATTCCCTATTGAGCCAAGACTTTAACCAGAACTCGGTTTCACAGCGAGAGCGGGGAGGATACAGGGTTCAGGATGACTTCTTCTTGGTTGAGCAGTCTGATTTTGAGCCCTCAAGTAGGCCTCATAGCTCCTTATCGTGTCATTTGGAGCATGGCCGTCCTGAGGATCCTATGCACTTTATCTACCCATCCATGGCGCTTTCATCAGCCCAAGGGGCTTTAAACGAGCTTAGTGATGAAACCAAAGGGGGTATTTCCAATAACGACAAACTCTCTTTTCTTGACCGGGAGTCGCATATTCCAACACATGACCTTGTTAGCGGAATAGACTCAAGCTTGGAAACGATCTCAGGCACGTGCCAGGCTTCACTACCAGGAGCCTCTCAAGAGGCACAACCAATACTCATCACAAATACAGACCCCAAGACTTCATTGGCCCAAAGCCCAGTAAATACGGCAGTTGTGGAAGGCCAGCATGTTGTCTTCACTGAAGTACCTGCAGAGAACACCAGTATGGCATCCAGTTTACCTATGGATTTGCACGAGACTGAAGTTGTGGGATCACAAAATGAAAAAATATTGACAGCTGCCGATATCCCTGCAGACGTCTCAGATGAACTATCTGACCATATTTCGATCCGTCCAACATGGAACCTTCTTATCGCGTTAAGGGCTATTGGACTCGTATTATTCCTGATGCTTGCAGGTATTTTAGCTGCAAACTATCGTCGTCAGTCCATAAAGCCCGCGCATGTGAAGGTCGATATTATTGAATACCCTGAAGATTCACTCGCGGCCTATATTTCCCTCTCTGTATATACCGCAAGTTTGAAGCAAGTAAACCATCCTGGTCAATCGCCAGGGTTTCATATTCGCGTCTTGGAGGACAGCAGACCAATGAGCTTGGATGAGGCGCCTGCTCATCTTTCATGTACCTTTGATGAGCCTGCTGTTAAATGCCAATGGGCGGGCTCTTGCCAGGTTTATATTGGTGTTAAACAGGGCCAGTTACCTAAAGGTTGTTCAGACAGGACTTATTATCTTCACCTATGGTTTGCCAATGGTACTCGGGCTTGGGACTCATCGCCTGAGATTTTTACAGACAGCGAAGAAAGCAGAAGGAAATCATCGAACTGTCGTAAACGGCCTTTTTTTCGGAATTATTTCAAGGACAGTGATTATTATGATGATTTCATCGCCTTCTTTAACCAGTGGAGAGAATTACAAAATATTACTACTAAGGCGTCCGGGCCTTGGCGAGATTTGAGCTTGAACAACATTTTGCCAACGATCCCAAAACTACAAGATGCCGCACGAATAGCCGAGGAATGCCGTTTAAAATCTTACAACTATCTGGTTAACGCACTTCAATACTGCAAATCTGCACCGGGCCTAATGCTAGATCTAATCACTCGAGGATTTGAGTGGGTTTGGATAAATGCTGAAAGAACTACCAACCATATCTCCCTAACGGTCCAGAAAGTAGTGAACCAAGCTAAGCATCGGTTAGGCTTTTATTCTTATCAGAAAAGATCATCATGGCATTTAAAGAAGCAGATCTGGGTATTGCAGAAGACGGTCAAAGATAAGTTCGACAAACTTCCAGTAGGTTCCATCATACACAAGATGGATGAGACGCTCATGGATATGGAGGATAATCTAGAGTCACTGCTACATTCAAAACAAGTCAAGGCAGTTATGAAGAGACTGTATATGGACGAAATACAACATTGGATGGAGGAGCTTGCAGACGAGGTGGAAATTAGGGTCAAGCGGGCGAAGCGCAATTTACGGCGGAAAGTGAACAAGTTCAAGGCGACACCCACTGGCGACAAGCTTGTCCGCAAGGCGCGTGCCATTCAAGAAGACGTCAAATGGCTCTGGCGAGATTTTCTTCAGTGGCGAATGCAGCACCTGAGATAGATTTTTCGCTTATTTTGTTTTGTCATTTTCTCTGTCGTTGTTGATCTGTTTTTCTCTTTGTGTCAAATCTTATTATTGCTCAAATAAAAAAATCTAAAGGTAATTCTTTTTTTTTTTTTTTTTTTTTTTTTTTTCTCTCTTCATTCAACATTCGTAATAAATTCTGATTCCCATCATGTCAGCAGCAGTGTTTGCAAGGAGAGGAGTTCTGGTCGGCACGGGGATTACACGCCATAGAACAACAATAGCAGCTTGTTCATACAACGTGGTGTCACCTCCAGGGGCGATATCTCTACCAGTAGCACGACCCGCCTTCTCATTCCTCACACGTACTATCCATGCCTCACCACGGCCGCTTCGCAACAAACCCCCATCCTGGGGTGATTTGATCCCACAGCCTCAGAAACCGAATTCTTCAGGATCCAATCCTTTGGGAGGAATTCTTCTTGGACCGCAATATAAACGGTTTGGGCAGAATAATCGATCTGGAAGGCTACCAATTATTCTTGACAGACGATATCAAATTGCAGCAGGTGTCGTCACTGTAGGAGTTGGAGGATATTACGTAGCGCATTTAGAGACGTAAGGTTTTTGTGTTTTTTTTTTTCTGGATCTTCGTTCTATTGAAATTGAACGCTGATTTTTATGTGTTTTTTTTATTTTTTTATTTTTATTTTTTAGTGTCCCAATGACAGGGCGCCGTCGATTCTTGGATGTAACAACAAAGCAAGAAGAGATGATGGCTAAAGAAGCCTATAAGCAGGTCATGCATCAGGTACAAGTTATCCTTTGTGTAAACTAAGGATGATGCAGTCATGGAATAATTTCTAACTTATATTACTTTTTTTTTAAATACAAGTTTGGAGACAAGATATTGCCTCAGAGTCACCCATATACGTTGTATGTTAAACGCGTTGCAGGCAGGATAATCAAAGCGGCTGGAATGGAAAGTAAGATTGTTGTAAAAAAAGAAAAAATTGTATGCATGACATTATTCTATTCAGAACTCACATTGCGATTTTTTTATTGTTTTTATTTTTTTATTTTTTTTATTTTTTTAAAAAAAAGACCTTGATTGGGAGTTCCATGTAATCCACAGTGATGAAAAGAACGCGTTTGTACTACCGGGAGGGAAAGTCTTTGTATTCACAGGGTAACAGCAAACAATTGAGGGATGGGTTTTTTTTTTTTTTTTTTTTTTTTTTTTGAAACTGATCATTTTTCTTCTTCTTTATAGTATCCTTCCTATTGCTCAAAATGAGAACGGTTTGGCGACCGTGCTTGGACATGAGATCGCACATCAACTGGCGCGCCACTCGGCGGAAAAGTTGAGTTTCACAAAGATCGTACTGTTTTTCGGGATTATTATTTCGCTGGTATTTGATCCCTCGTATGCTATGCAGCGCATTATCATGGATCTAGGGATGATGGTAAGCAATAAGAACTATAGAATATCAGTTGAGTCAAATACTTGTTTTTAATTAAACCTTTTTTTTTTTTTTTTTTTTTTTTTTCTTTAGCTTCCATTTAGTAGAAAGTGTGAGACAGAGGCTGACAAGATTGGATTACAGCTCATGGCCCAGGCATGCTTCGATCCTCGAGAGAGTGTTCATATGTGGGCTCGCATGGCTTCCCAGGAGAAGGGTCCTAATCTGGCATTTTTGAATACCCACCCAGCCAGTAAGGATCGGATGCGTCAACTAGAGCAATGGATGCCAGAGGCAATAGACACAATCAACAAATCCGATTGTGAAACCACCAATGAGTACGCCAAAATGTTCAATAAGGCGAGACTTGCCACTTGGTAGAAATAGAAGGGGTGCCGGCGAATCTAAAGGAATGGTGTATTCAATTAAAATGGACGACTAGAATTTTATATAGCTGAGTGTGTAAAAAAAAAGAAAGAATATTTAATATTCCTGGCTATCTATCTATTAGAAAAAAAAAAAGAAAAAAAAAAGCTCAAAGGTACTGGGTAGCATTGGGGCTCCTTATGGAGATCGAGCTTCAACAGCGCCACCTGCTTCCCTCTCGCCCGCGAGTTGACCTTCAGGCTCTGAAAAAGGTTCATCTTCAACATCGTCCTCCTCTTCATTAACACCGTCATCACCGTCATCACCATCGTCACCATCCTCACCGACCTTCTCTTCTATTAATGGCACATCTGCCTCTAAATCTACCCCAGCATCCGTCCCCCGTATCTTTCTTTCCTTGAATTCATTGTCATCCATACTGAGTGCTTCCTTGAGTTGTTCCTGTTTTTGCTCGCCTACTATTTGTGCTTGTTGCTTTGTGGTTGACTCCAATGATTGAATAGACGTAACAGACGACAAGGGTGCATGAGAAAATAAATTTTCCAAAAAGTCATGAGGCTTATTCTGCACTAAAGTCTCCACAGTCTGTGCCTTATTTTGGTTATATACAGCTTCCGTCGTCCGATACTCTGAGTACGATTCCGGATATTGGTAGCAATCATAATCCCAAGTTTTGAGAAGCTTCGATGCTTCACACTGTGACCGTGTCCATTCGGATCCATAGGCCAAGGGGGCTCGAGCGCGAAAGACCATGATTGCAGATAAAGAGACAATGATCAATGCTGCAAGACGGTGCCGATTAGGAATGAAGCGACAGACTAGATCAAATGTAACACATAACATGAGAATAGCAAAGTAAAGCGCTGGTAGGTAATGGTGCAGAAAGAGTTGGCGACCCATGAGGAAGAATGGTATATAATGATAGCACCATCCCATGAAAAAAAATCCTCCAGAGAGCTCGTAGTATTCACGGAGACCTTTTTTAAAAAGAAAAGAAAAAAAAAGTCAAGTCAAATTGCATAGGGGAATGGAGTGATTTAGTACATTCAGCCTTCATATCTTGAATTAAAGAAAAAAAAAGCTTTTTTTTTTTTTTTTTTTTTTTTTTTACCTCGGAAATTGTCACGGTAGCCTCGCTTATCGCGCACAACCAACAAGATGCGGATAGCAGCATAAAGTACAATCGAGAATGAAGACAGATACCAAGTGAACCAATTACCAATAAGATAAATGTGCTTCCGTTCTTTCCCCCAAAAACTAATACCACGCCTCAACCATACCCATGATGACGGTCTAGAGTCATAAGGATGTGAATCTGTCAGGCCGGCGTTGGTTGTCCACATGACTTTGTTTAGCTCGAAAAACTTTCCAAAGAACCCAGGACGTTTATAATTAACCATGGGCACTCCAGCAGGATCTATGAGAGCATAAACAAATACAGTATACACAGTGACCATTATTGAGAATAAAACGTGGTTAGTATTAGAGGGATGTAGAAACCAATAATAGCGCTTACTGATTATCGATCAAAAAGAAGGAAGCAAAGAAACATTACATTCATTATATGCATTCGATTCGACCATCCAGGTAGCTTTAGGAAGCACAGCGCTTCGAAGACAGGTTACTTCTTGTTGTTCAAATGCCCATTTCGGCAACTTGACTCGGTGCGAAAATAAATCACAGGCCATATTGGCATGGACTAACTTGAACTTCGATCGCAACGTATGCATTGTCTGCTTAGCTTCCTTGTCCTTACCGTCATAGTCCACAATCTCCAAGCGCCATTCATCATTTGAGTCTCCAGCAAAGCCTTCATGGCCATACCCGCTAACCTCGAAATGGTTCTCAGTTTCCGTTACAGGTGGCTTTTGGTCATGTGAGTGCAGGCGTTTTTTGGTCGGAACATGCAACAGTCGAACATAATCTCCATGCTTTACATATTCTAAAGTATCCGGAACGGATCCATCTCGTTTTTGAATGATCCACTCATTGTTATTGTCCTTGTGTGGATATAGAGTAATTTGCTGTTGTTTGCTTCCTGTCTCGTAGTTTGATGGATGGGAGTGGAGATAGCCCCCCTGCGTGCCTTGATGACGAATAGTAATCGTGGCTCCATAAGCTACTGCCAAGGGCGAATCTTTCAGAGAGTAACCTAATGTCATCTGAAATGGCGCGCTCATGAAACCATCGCCGTCTCCCGAAGATGCAAGCAGTAAAAAGTGGATCTCAAACATAAACATGTACACAATTACAGGTACAAGGATTAAACAGACAGCGCGTGCAAGGAAGTGATCAAGCCAGGTTCGGATTGGGACCCTCAAATCCCCCCAAAGGAGCCAAAGTTGATTGATAGTCGATGTGCCAATAGTTGCGATAATAAATAATCCAACCCATTTTACACTGCCGGCAAGACCAAGTCCCAGTCCTGTAAGGAAAAGCCAAATGAACCAATCATCTGAAAACGGATATTTTCGCTGATTATGAAAGTTGGTCCAAGCCAAGACTGTAAATGCTGTAAAGAAGATCAATGGGGAATCCAGTAAGATAAGTCGACTTTGCGTGGTAATAGCGTTTTCTAACATAAGGAATAATGAGTCAAGTGAGAATAGTATCAGTTACATAGTCAGCTACCAGGACCAAAATTGATCAGTTGCAAAAGACCCTTTTTTATGAGCGTTTTTATCTGTTTTTAATTTGACTCCTGAATACTCAAGTTTATTCACTTACCAAAAAGGACAAGAACTGCTGCCAAGATCGATGCATGTAATGAGTGGCCAGAATTCTTGATCGTATAGAATGCCATAGGTACAACAGCCACGCCCATGAGCCCGCAAAGCATTCTCATTGCCACATATGGGACCTTGGGTTTAAGATAGTCTCTAAAGAGCCATGAGAATAAATAAATAAAATAAAAAAAGGTTTTGTGTCCGTTAATTACACAAATTTCCCTGCATGCTTATCGCATTTTCATCACAGAAATGCAAAAGAAAACATTAAGTCTACTTACAATCCGATTTCCTTGAAGTCGAAGCTAGGGTCCAGCCCAAAGAGCCATCCGGTAAAAGCAATAAGCATTTTAGCTAGTGGGGGATGAACATCCATAAAGAAGCGGCCTTTGATATACTTTGAAGCAAATCCACCGAAATGCACTTCATCAAACCTAAGGTGCATTTTACCGTAACCATTGTAGATTAATAAAAAAGTTAGAAAGCTTCAAAAATCTGTCTTTTTTTTTTTTGTTCGGCTTGCTATTCGTGTACACAAAAAAAGAAAATGAAATACTTACACAACGGAACTTGGATATCCGATACGCCATAGTCTCACAATCAATGACACTATACAAATCGCCATCACAATCAGAAACTCCCGACTTCTGTACCAAACTCTACTGCGACGACTCCTGAAAGTTGCAAAACGTTTGTTCATTCTACTGGCACCGCTTAAATCACCTAGATGGTAATTCTCGTCATCATCCGATCCGCTACTGCTGCTCAACCCACCAGTCCCTCCAGAACCAAGACGTGGCGCTGGACCTCTGAAGATAGGCTTGTTGCTTTGATCGAGGGAAGAGCTGTGACCATTCCTCATCCTCTGTGTACGTGAAGCATACAATGGAAGACTTCCTGCAGGTGGGACATTAGTTGTTCCTCCTGTGCTACTAAATTGTCCAGACCGTGTTCTTGGATACTGATATCTTGTAGGCCCTTGTTGCTGTGATGATGGTTGTTGCGGTGAGTGATAGGGCGAGGACAGTGATGGCGAAGAAGTTGTTTCATACGCATTGTAATCGAATGGCATTGACACCGAGGAATCATACTGCTGCCCTTGTTCCTGTCCATGATAAGAATGCGTATTCTGTTTCTCAGAGAGATACGGTGAAGAGTTAGATTGTGGGTCTGAAGTCATGGAGTTAAACGAACGAAGGTTATTGTTTAGGAGGTTATTGTTAGGGTGGATATGAACGTAGTCCACTTCTTCTTCTTCGTCTGCCTCGTGAATAGTAGTGATGTTGCTAAGAGGCTGAGCTGGAGGCGGATCAAAGTCCAAACCCGAGGGGTCCAGAAAGTTATGCGACGATGTCCGTGAGGACGAATGTTGTCCTGATGAGAACATTTGAATGCGGTTTTGCGCACTCCTTTCCAAAGCCTGTGGGATTCTTGATTATAAAATCGATAATGCAAGTGGTTGACACGTCGATGATGCAAGAACAATGAAATTCAGCTTTGGAGACTAATAAATTTTGAGAAAGGAAGGAGAGAAAGAAGGAAATGTAATAAATAAAACAGAATGAACTGAATACAACACAGCCAAAAGAACACAGAAGTCGACAATTCTTTTGGTCTTGAGCGTTTTCTCCAGTGAAAAAGACGGCGCAAATGTCAAACGCCAAAACCAAAAATGGAGCCTAGGATATTGTCATTTACATATTTATTGGACATTCGGCTGTTCATTTGCCACAAATCAGGGTCAAAAAAGATCTTCTAAATGAAACACACACCCAGACCTAGGCAATCCATCGTCCAGAGTGGCCTCTTCAGTCCTAAATTACTAAAATGTGATCTTTCTCTGTGAGGTTCACTTTTCGTTTTTTTTTTTTGAGCCTGCGCTCTAGTGTGTCAGCCATTAAAGCATGCTTTATTAAACATTGAAGTATTCGCATTGAGGCAAACCTATAGTGATCCTTTCTACTGGATATGGATGCGACTCCAATCCCCATCCGTTAAGAATAGGCTTGTTGTATCCCAACCCTTTCGGTTCATAACTGCGACCAACTCTGGTACCGTCTCTATCGTCTGTTTATGTGCCCTGGCAACAGCCTGGCTCCATTCTTGGCCCTCTTTCGAGTCGTCAAGAGTGGCACCGGATAGACTATGACCACTTTTTCTGTTTTGACAATTCTTATTTTCCAAGATCGCTCTGATTGCGCAGGCATGGTAAAAGCCTTGAATTAAATCGCTTCCCTGCGCTTCCTTGTCGAACCACAGGACAACTTTTTTATTATGTTGCGTCTGAGCCCCTATAGCAGATCCATCAATCATGATATAGTACTGCTCTCTCTGAATAAAATCCATCTGTCGGAGAGCGCGTTCTAATGGCTTGACTGCGTCTCCAGTTCCTGTAAAATCAGAGACAGCAGGCTCGATATCAATAGCGATAGAAAACGGAGAGTGATATGACCTCACAAAGACTTCCTTGTGTGCGACTTCCTTTGGAGTCGGTACAAGGCGCTCCAATTCCTGATACAGACGCGTGTCTGTAGATTTTTCCCCATAGGAGGCTTCGTTGTTCAGGGCCAGCTCATGTAGCACTTTGTGAAAAACAGTCTCTGCTCGAGGCACATTAAGAGAAGGGGTAGTGACATAATGGCTGGATCGGTAGTTCGAATAAATGTTGAAGACCGAAAACGGAAGGAAAGTCAGGCACATAGGAATTAGAGGAAGGACAGTTGGATCTTCAGAGACATGGCTCATCAATGCTGCGATAACGACACCTAGGCCAGTTCCTTAATTATAAAGAATTAAAGGGTGCAAGGTCAGCTAAGATTCAAAACTCCGCGATGTGACCATCAACACAGAGACCGATCTTCATACCTACAAGTCCTGCAGCAGTTGTTTGGGATCCAGATTTTCCAGTGATGTCACCTAGACTACAATTATCCAATGATTATGGGGCACAAAAAAAAAAAAAAGAAGAAATACGAACGTTTCTCAGTACTAATTTTCAGATATGTCAAATTGGTATTCAATTGAGAAGTATTTATCTAGTATCATACTTGTCACGGAGTGCAAAGGTCTTATTCATTTGCGCACGTGTAGCAGAGCTTGCCAGCCATGCCATATTCTTGCCTACAAAATGAAATAAGTCACTTGGTCAGGAAAAGAAACCTCTTAGTAATAGAGGCTATACTTATAGAAATTTGACCTAATTACCGATGTTTGAAATGGACGCAATTATCAAGAAGTAGCCTGGCCAAAGTGGCGTTAAAAGTTCCAAAACGTTGGCACCCTGCATTGCCACTGATGCCTGAAACCTGTATCGTTTCGGTTCAGAGTCAAATTTGTCACTGACAAACGAAGCATAGACAACACCACCAAGCTGACCGAGACCATCCTTGATGATCCAATTAAGCGCAGCAGCCATTGGTATCGATCCTGCTCCAAGCCCCATAGCGAATAAGAGCGATTGCGTTGAAATCACTAACCCGAGATAAAAGAAAATTTACATCATCAGTCGTTGTATAGTGCTTCAAAATAACCTTGGTCTGGAAAAGCACCTTGCTCATGTAGTCAAATATTTGCCTGCTGTCACTGATCCAGCAATATTGTGGAAAAACTGCCATTTAGCGAATGCCCAGTAATTGGGCGTCACTGATTCTGGATATCCTTTAGGCAAAAAAACCGCAAGTGTTGCCTGTGGCGATAATAGGTATTTCGTAATACCAATAGACCCCTCTCCTTCTATTGAATCATCATTTGGAGGAGGCTGATTCCTGTGAGCAACAGCTTTGAGTCTATCATTATCAGGATCTGAGGAGTCGTCTTTAGTGATCGTTAAGCTTTGCCATTTGGGTAACCAGGTCCCTGACTTTCGTTGCTTGATATCAAGTCTGAGGATTGTAGTTGCCGAATCCTTAACATCCTTATTCCCATTGTGAGAGGAAAGCTTTTTAGAAAAGTGCATTCGCGTCTCATTTGAGGATGCAAATGCAAAGCGTGATGTCTTCTGAGCTTTTCGACATGCAGGACTAATCTGCCATAGGGATCTGTTGGCAGCGGTACGAGAAGAGGTGCGGAATGATGTACTCCATTGAGAACATTGTCCTGATGAACGAATGGGATGAAGCAGCATGATTACTACGCCTTACACACGCACACTCTTTCTCTTTGTCACTTTGCGCGTAAAGGAGTTAGGGTAAGGAGAAAGAGCGTTGAAGGACAGTGACTCTTGTGGACACTTTTCTGATCTTTTTCTCGCAGAGGACTGCGAATCGCGCGCGCTTATCTGTTTCATTTGAAATGTACCTGTGTGCCCAAGTATGATTGAAAGACACATCGCATCTGTCGCTTGAGATAAAACGGTCAGGCTATCCTTTTGTGACTCGACACACATGTAGTTGCTGAGATGGCAAGAGACTTCTTAAATAACAATTGGAAACAGCTGAGGACAAATGAGGATACTTTGAATAAGAATAATAAATATGTGATTCCAATAAAAAATGCTTACTTTGCCTTATAGTTGCAGCTGGATATCCAAACATGCCACATTAACTTATGGTGCTTTTTAAATCTTTAGTAGGTTCTCTTCATCATTGAAATGCAGAGAAAAACGTCTATCATAGAACATGTACCATAGTACAACAGGATCTAAAGCGTTAAAGAATTCACATTGAAGCAAAGTCGTGTTTTTATTGAATTTGTCTTAATCGTGATTATCCTTTAGATTGTCCTGTATCGAAGGATATGTTTAGAAGCATATGCTGAGCAATAGGTTAGGAATGGGTCATGAGAATGACAATTGAGATCAAGCGAGCGAATCCAGATTAAATGCGTGCTCTGAATTAAGGATGGAGTCCACAACAAAGATAGACAGTCAGGCAAGCCTTTCCAAAAAGGGTGCAATGTCTCCGAGGGCCAAGCATGGGTTAAGGGGCCAGTCAATGCAAGACATATGCAAATGAAGGTGTAAAATCATGTGAGTAAGCTTTGTTTATTTCATTGCGCTCTTTTCCGGGCCTTTTTTTACACACTTCCCCTCTCTTACTCCATCTTTTTCCTTTAGCAGACATCTCTCTTCTACTCACTCATTACCATTCTCCAGTCCTCTCTATTATCTACCCCTTCTCCATTCATCCTCTCCACTCCCAATAGATACTTCACGATATAAACGATTCACAACACTATGTCTTTCTCTATTGTTAAGCAGTCTGTTCTCGGCCTCTCACGCCCTGTTTTTAAATACAGCATCCCCACGGTATGCAAAGCGATCCCCTTTTCCCAAGTATACCCTTCAAATAGTTTTGCACCCTCTCTTTACTCAGACCAAATTGCATGTGGCATTTTCTTTCCTTTTCATATAACGATTCAACATCGGATCACTTTGCGAAATGGCCCTTTTATTCCGTTCCGGTTGCACACGTCATTAACTCGTTTCTGGACATCCGAACGGCTATTTGCCATATCTCCGTGTTTCCTTACATTTCTAGATTCCGGTCATTGCTGCACGTACATTCGCTACTGAGGCACCTACTCCTGTCAAGAAGTCCAAGACCTTCCAAATCTATAGATGGGTATGCATCTTGATTCATTGGTGTTTCTTCCGAGAGCCAAAAAAAGAAAAAAAAAGAAAAAAGACGCGATAAAATATTTGACTCGTCTTATTTCGGCGCTCGAGTCCGAAACACAAAATTATTTCCCGTTTCTACCACATTTCCCGAACTCACACGATCTATTGGCTCGCTTTTTTTTTTGTCTGTCCACGGACAACGCGAATAATAACAGAACCCTGAACAACCCGCTGAAAAGCCCAAGCTTCAGACATATGAGGTTGATATGAACAGCTGTGGTCCTATGGTTCTTGATGCCCTAATCAAAATCAAGAATGAGATTGATCCCACTTTGACTTTCCGTCGCTCTTGCCGTGAGGGTATTTGCGGCTCCTGTGCCATGAACATCGGTGGTCGCAACACACTCGCATGTATCTGCAAGATCGAGGTTGATGGCAAGCCCACTAAAATCTATCCTTTGCCTCACAGTACGTAAAAGTCATTGTTTAGTTCTTTTCAAGTCGCAGAATTGTCTTTTTTTTTTTTCTTAGCTTACTCTAACATCATCTCTTTCTTTATAATGCTTTAGCCTACGTTATCAAAGATTTAATTCCTGATTTGACCCAATTCTATGCCCAGTACAAGTCCATTGAGCCTTTCTTGAAGCAAAAGACTCCTGAGCTCGAGCGCGAGAACTTACAGTCCATTGAAGACCGCAAGAAGTTGGATGGTCTTTATGAATGTATTCTCTGCGCCTGCTGCTCTACATCCTGCCCCTCCTATTGGTGGAACTCTGATCAATACCTTGGACCTGCCGTCTTGATGCAGGCCTACCGCTGGATGATTGACAGCAGAGACCAGTTTGGCCCTGAACGTCGTCAAGCTCTTCAGAATCCTTTCTCCCTGTACCGCTGTCACACCATCATGAGTATGTTTTCGCATATATGAAGGGCTTCCTCTCGTCTTTTGTGAATACAACATTGCTCTTTCGATACATATTTTGTGCTAATCCTCCTACGCTTTCCCTTTCCTTTAGACTGCGCCAAGACCTGCCCCAAGGGTCTCAATCCTGTAAGTTACTTTTTTTAAGTGTATTCAACCCATCTTAGTAGCTAAAGCTAGCGCTTATTGAAGTAGATCACTAAATCCTGCTATCATTTTTTTAATATCGGATTTGATAGGGCCTTGCCATTGCGCAGATCAAGAAGGAAATGGCCTTGGAGTAAATATTTCTTCATCAGTAGTTATTCCTTTTTCACGATCAAACATATTACATTCAACTTCTACTTCCCTTTACCGCAATCTCCCATCCAGTTCAGATATTGGTTTTAATCCTGACTGATCTGGAGGCATAATAAATGATGTTTTTTATTCGTATTCTTGTGTCAAGCTTGGGCTGCAAAAACCAAGCCACACTATCTTGTCACCTTAACCTAAACGCGCTTCTGGGAGATCTGAATCACCTTTTCCTCCATATACTTCACCATTCATTCCACATATAGCCCAAACGAAACCAAAACCCCACCACTCTCTAATCCATGTCATGACGGTCGTCCCAATCTCCCAGTCCATTTTGGGATTTACTGGTGGGGTACTTAGCTCCATGACCGCCTATTCTTTGATAGCGGATCAAATCCGGACAGATGCTCACGCACTCGATCATTCACTGCAACGGTTTCGGAGAACAATCGAGTATGGCCTTCCTTTATTTATCCGCGATGAGGTAAAAGAAAACTTTTCCCTAGAGCTAATATTGCAGCGAAGCGCCAGAATAGCTATAGATTATATCGCTATTAATATAGTACTCATTTAATACCAGTCCGATTCAAAAATTTGAGTGAGACAACAGCTAATAAGACAATTCATGTTTTTCCTTTTATTAGGAGTTTCTTCAAGTAATGAATGCCTTGGAGATCACATCTCGACGTCAGAGGCGCGAAAAGTCATTGTGGGGGAAAATCAAACAGGCAGGACAGTGGAACTGGAACGCAGGACTAGTTGGTGCGGTTGACGCGTTTCATGAGTGGAAGCAATCCTAGAGATTACATCAATTACGAAGCACTTGTACATTAACTTCATTATCATTAAAAAAAAAAAAAAAAAAAAAAGCATTATGTTATACCAAGGATTGTTTGGTGATTCATGATTATCTTACAGACGATGGTCAAAAGTTAGCCAAATATGTATGCGAACAATTTCTTACTAGCCGTCAAAGACCAAAAGTACGGTAGCGCAGGTTGTAGAGTGGAAAGGTAACAATGGATCATTAGTCGTTTTACTTGTATTTAAAGAAATGGAGTGTATGAAAGGAGAAAAATGGAAATGCAAAGGCTATCTATGGAACAAATATGAAGGTAGAATATGCAGTAAAGTGCTATTACAGAGCGGGGGAAGTTTGTGCTAGTCAAATCAGCCATGCTGCCGAGATACCCTTTACTCGTCGAGCCCATATCGAGCATGATTGCGGCACCAGGCACTGACAGTCTCATAAACAAGGAAGGTTATGCATGTACCAGGAAGCACGCGGATCACATTTGGGGCAACACCCTTGTAAAATCCGAGAAGTCCTTCCGCTCTAAATGGAAAAAGCAAAAGCAATCATTTTTTTTTTTTTTTTTTTTTTTTTTTTTTTAATAAAACGCCACATTCGATATTGCGAAATAATAAGTCAAGCATCATGGTGTAAAGTTTTGCTAATAACTACCTTTTGATCTTTCTGATACAATCAACGACTCCAGTGTATACGACTTCACTTTGAGGATTGCTTATCATCTGTAGCCGCGATCTAAGCACTTGATAAGGATATGTGACGACCGTCGCAGTGACCTTGGAGGAGGCCGCCATACAAAGGTACTCAATTGTCGAAAGTGTTTCCCAATCATGGCTTTGTTCCAACAGCTTGGACTTTCTTAATTTCTCTAATGTCTCTGAATTCAAAGAGAGTCCGCCCATCTCTGCAGTTGCTTGTGCAGAATCTGTGACAGGTGTTGTGCTTTTCCCCCGTACTTCCTCAAGAAACTGTTTCTCCCACCTTTTCTTTTTAACTTCTTGTCTCCAGTCTTTCAGTTGCTCATATGCCATGAATTGGATCGCACCGTGACTCACGCCAAATAAGGCAGGTATCATTCCACGATACATGCCTTTGAGACCTTCAGCCTTTGCTAAGCTGTAAAGACCACCCAAAAGACTTTGATATGCTCCAGGGGTAGCTTTCTTTGTAGTACACATCCTTGTTTTGATCACCCATAAGGGATTAGTGACAGCAGCGGTGAGCGCACCTCCAAGCATCGATGCTATCATGTACTGTGCCGGGCCAAGTCGGCCGGTTTCCGGATCAACAGGCATTTGGCCCTTGATACCGGCATAGAGATAAAAATAAAGACCCCAGGACATAGTTGCGCCTGCAAAGTTGGGTGTCAGTCCACGATAGAGTCCATGACGAAAGCCTTCACTTCTAAAGATCTCCTGGAAACTGCGGAGCGTGCCTCCAATCCGAGGTGCTGCCTGTGATGCGTTGACTGTTGGAAGAAATTGGAAGATAAACATTCATGTAATAGAAAAAAAAATAAAAAAAACTATTTTCCTCAAGGTACCTTGGAAGCGTATTTTGATCAAATCTAGAGGATGCAAACATATCGTTGATACAGCACCTCCAGTGAAGCCCGCTAGTGCTTGATCCTGTTGTAACATGCACATAAAATTAGTCAGTCAAAAGTTGTCTTAAGATCAGTTTAGACATGATCTTTTTCTAAAAATCCCGAAATGAGCCTCGTTCTTCATGAGCGGTTCTTGACAATTGCATTTCGAAAACTATAAATCTTGTAAATTCTTTAAGTGTTATTCATTACCGTTGCTACACTTCCTGTATATGATTTTGGCATTTCTGATCAATGTTGCGTAGTCGGTGAAATGAGACAAGGCAGCTGTAGAGGAAGTTTGAAAGAAAAGATCCGATTTTTAAAAAATTAAATAGTCCTGACAAAATAAACAAATAGATTGATGGATGTTAGGGTAATGATGCAAAATACGGGAAGGAGGAAAAGAAGCGAGTTGTGCTGTGAAGGCAGAAGGTGAAAGCGCGGGGCAGTCTAACGGAGAAGACAGGGACAAGTCCGTAGATTCCTGCTGAGATATACCGCGGGAAAAAAAAAAAAAAAAAAAAAAAAAATCTGTCAGTCCATTGTCCACACAACCCCCGCATTTGTGCCTGCGAATAGCCTTGAGATAGGAAACAAATCGAGTGGTGGACGTAAAAGAATCGTGTGAAGTGGAGCATTTATTCGGACAAAACAGGAACAGGCCTGTTTGAAGTAGGTGACTTTGCTGTGCATCTGTGGTGTTGTAATTCATCAACCCGTGTCTTGTAGTCATTTTTTATTTTCTTAAATGTCCAAGACCGTTTTTTCCTTTAACACTCTCCATTCAGCAACCGCAATGTCATTACTGGTGATCTTATTTTAGAAAGATACACGATGCAAAACACCTTGTTGTACTACGCACACAAATTAGTGTTAATCAACGACATCATTCACAGTGAAGTAAATGAATGAATGGCGCCCACAAAACAATAGGACTTGTCTGGCATATTAGCACTTTGAGCCTTTGATTACAACCTGACATGTGGTCGATACTCCTCACCTACTCTTGTGCAGTCAGCAAAGTCTAGAAAACAGGACACTAGAAAGACAGAAGTGACAAGACAGAGGATAATATTTTTCAGCTTTTCTTAATTGATCATTTAGATAGGAAATGATTTAAACTTCGCGCCGTTCCTGAAAGAAAATATGGTTGTAGACATTTGGCCATGCTCATTTAGCGGTTCTATTGCTGTGTAACCGCAGCTGGAGGCAAGATGCTCTCGTGATTTGGAGGTCAATCCAGAACTCTGTGCGTGAGCCTTTCTTTCATTCTTTGTCCTTTCTCTCGCCATCCTCTATCTCTGTGTTTGAAGGGATGCGTTTCTTTATCAAGTTTGAGAAGGGCAGACGAGAAGAGATCTGGATGGTGCAAGAAGTCTTTTGATGAGATCTGATGCTAAAGTGTGGATAACGCAACGTGAGATGGAATCAACAACACCCTAAGGAAACTTTTTTTTTTTTTTTTTTGTTTTCTTGGTACCAATCTCTTCGCCGAGTCAAGTTACAACGCTAGCTCAAAAGAACGGCTATGCACATAGCCATTATCATCACCAGCGCTCTCGCCATCACTTACAGCTGCAGTGAGACTTTCAAAAATGAATTGGGAATAAAGTATTGGAAAGAGCACCATCATAAACTTTAATTTGCATCATGTTTGATTAATCAACATTGTCCAAAATTCCTGCACAACATGAACATCCAGTTGTCAAACAGCCATGAAGAAAAAAGTGCGTGAGCTGGAGTGCAAGAGAAAAGTACATGAGCGGATGCGTGAGACTTCAAGAGAGTCGATAAATATGCTCAATCGGCTCAACATTCATTGATTTCTCTGTTTGCTCCATCATCTTTGCGACCTTTTTCTCTTTGGTTTATTTTTTCTCTCTTTTTTTTTGTTAGGGCATCTCATCACTTTGTCCATCCTTCTCTTTATTTGCCACCACCATCTCCTTAGTAGTTTCTTTTACATTGCACCTGCAGCATCTCATTCAACACAACACACAGAACCATTCACTACAGAGTTACTTTATTTTATTTAGCGCATCAGTAAACTTGATCAAACTACAACTCTAATGTCGACTACAAATGAACTGGAGAAACAGCAGGGAGCCTCTCAACCTTCCACAACATCTTGCTCTGCTGCTCATGACCCTATTCCACCGTCTACCATCGCCATAGTTACATCCTCTGCATCATCTAACGCTGCTGTTGTCAAGGCTGCCATGCAGGCCAGACGAAAGTCACGCGGCCTAGGCGATGGGTTGCGACCGGACTTTGTCTTTCCAAAACCTCAACAAGCGCAGGCTCAGACGCCCTCGTCTTCCTCAGCGCCATTTTCCCAAGTCAACAGCAATGGACTTCAAAAGAGATTGGATAATTTATCGCTTAAGGAAGAGCAGTCTACATCTCCCGCGACAAGTATCACTTTGAGTGCTCCAAGTGACATTAACAGTGAAGCTTACGCGAAACCTCTCTCTGAAGGAGATAGCAAGTCGATGTTGAACCAGCAACATCTCAAGACTCATTACCGCACACATAGTCGTAATGGATCTACCGTCACGGTGCAGGACATAAAACAAGCCATTGCAGCCGCATCGACCGATCTACCACCACTTGCTGTCCTCTCCAACGCAACTAATCCATCAACGACTTTGGGAGAGTGCTCTACCATCACTTCAGTACCATCCCCAAACAACCCTGTTAGGTCGGAAACTTCGTCTGTGCCAGTTTCAGTCGAAGAGACGACACCCCCTCCGTTGCCACCATCTTCTGCTAAACAGGATCTGGTTTCCCAATCAGATGAATTCTCTCGGCCGGACATAACTAAACAATATTCATCATTGGACGTTGTCAGCGAGCCCTCAACTCCTTTCCGCGACTCGTGTTCGACTCCTCTCTTCTCTCCCATTTCATCACGATCTAACTCTGTACATTCGAATAGAACCACACGCGATCGATCAAACATTTCTGCGCCACCATTCTTTGCCTACTCCATTCCTCATGAATTCCCTTCACCTTATTACTCGCCACGACTGTTCCTCCCAAGTGCGACTGGCCCAACCTCTTTACCTACATCGCCCTTTGCACGTAAGCGTAAGCATGCTTATCATCATACAACCGTTTATTATCCTACCTCCACTATTTGTGTCAAGCTCCCAGGACAGGAGAAAGGGCTCTTTTGTGCACACCATCTCCCAGTTGGAGAAGAGTCCGAATTTGAGCACAGCGAGTATGCACAGGATGCATTCGAGCAGCAAGCACAGGCTTACAAGCCCAACGCCTCGAATAGTGTAGACGTAGATAAATGCATATCTCAGGCTTCTTTGGTCCTGCCTACAGCTTCACAACCCTACAGGCCGCCTGCTAGCCGTCTTAGAGGTGCTAGCGAAAATAAGAGTGACACCAACTCAACTGTAGCTAATGATCAACACAAATACATTGTCTCAGAGAGCTCTCGTCTTTTGCAACGCGCTTCACCTATATCTGATATCAAAGATGACACTTTTGCCACAACAGACTTGTCCGATTCTAACTCTCAACCCTCTGTACGCAACAAGAAAGTTCTCCCACCACCATTGAATCTTCCAGGAAATAACAATGTGCAGGACATCAACAAGCTAGCTGCAGAATCTATCACTCCAACAACACCTAGTCGTCGCCGCCATTCTAAAAGTCACAAGGATCAAAAGGACAAGATCGTAGATGGCCCTCAACTGCCAGATGCAGACAAGTACCAGACTGAGTCTCTTATGTCGGGTGACCATCAACATGTGGAAGACAACAATGAAAGCCAGGGTGGATCTGCAGAGCAGTCCAAGAAGTCGAAAGCTCGATCACGATCCAGATCGAGATCAAGATCTCGTAACCACACTCATGCTGGAAATAGCTCAGGCCAAACCCTATCTAACCAATCAGTCCCCCCCGTGCCGCAGACACCATCCTGGGTACCTGCGCACAAAATGACTCTTGGTACGGGACCATCTTCTGCAACTATCACTACTACTTCGACATCGCTATCGGCCCCAGTCCCTTTGACAGCACCCGTCAGCCCCTCTGCACTTTCACACTCAATCTCACCGGAGTTACCTACGAGCCCCTCCCCTGCCTCTACGTCAGGTCGTGGATCTGGCTCAAATTTTGCTGAATCTGATCTGAAACGTCGTGGCCCACGTCCGGCTCGTCTTTTGAGTACACGTTCAACAAGTAACTTGCAGACGTTGAGTGAGAGTGGTCAGGCTACTTTTTCGCCCCGAAGTGCACGCGATGGACCCTCCGATTACTTTTCTATGCGCCCACTTCAGCATCCACCGCGCACGCCTATGACTCCAGGAGGTGACTATGGTGATGACGACGACGATTACTATGGACGACTCCAGATGGTAACAACACCTATAATTCAAAATGGGTACTTCCCGAACTGGGCAAAAGGAGATGCACAGCTTGAGGAATTGCAACGTATTCGCCTGTTCCTAGCCCAGAGACAGTATCCTGACGAAATGCCTCTTTCCGATGAATGGTATGAATTATTTTGAGATTTTTCTTTTCTTTTTATTTTCCGTCAGTTTATGTGGAAGCAATGTACGTATTGGAAACCTGTAAACTGATGCCAATTTTTTTTTTAAAAAAAAAAAAATGTATCAGGACACTATTCTTTTCGGACACATCCGGAGCCAAAGATAAAACCGGTGTCCAGGACGCATACTCAAGTGCCATTACCCCGCTCTTCTCTTGTCACACAGTCCCTCAATTCGCTACATCCTGGAAATATGTTCGTGAGCGAGTCCGACCCGCAACAATGAAAATGAACCAGAATTTACACTGGTTCAAGAAAGGGATTAAGCCCATGTGGGAGGATCCTAAGAACAAGTATGGTGGACGCTTAACACTTTGCCCGCCAAAAGCGCTTTTAGACATTGTCTGGGAAACAGTATTGATTTTGATGGCTGGAGATGTTTTGGATCTTAATGGCGAAGGAACTGGTGCTGGTAAGTCTTTAGGATAAGGTTTAGATAATTACCATTTTATATATCCTTCATGGGGTGCTGTATGTTAGACTGACAATTAACGTTTATTACCTTGCTCCATGATACGAACCAGTTATCGCGCGTAGGCCCCGTGGTGATCGAGTGGAGGTGTGGGTGGGCGCCGAAGACACACCCGAGGCGTTAGCGCACATCCGAGGCGTACTTATCCAAGAGCTTGCCCCTAGTGGAGCGGATGAGGTTGTAAGGGTAGCCAAGTACAAAAAACATTTTGACAGCCGTAAAGAGGAAAAGATGAAGCAGCTTAGAGAGACGGCAGCTGCCACTACAATTAATACAGGATCGACTGCTGGAACATCGATATCATCGCAGAATACGCCTACAAGTACGAACGGAATACACAGCCTGTCGAGTCCTCTACCACCAATGACGCCGAAAGCGGGTACAAGCGGTAGTCTTGGAAGCAGTACACCGTCAGTAACCGAGTTCCAAACATTTGAGGCATTTACACAGCATCAACAGCAGCAGAGAGAACGGAAACGCGAGCGTGAGCGAGAGACTTTGAAGGAACATGAGCGAATCATGCAATTGGGTAAAGAGCGTCTTGAAAAGGAAAGGGCAGAGAAGGAGCGTTTGCGAGATGAAAAGGTTCGAGCAATGGCGGCAGCAGCGATGGCGGCGTCTGAAGCCAAGCATCAGCAGCAACTCAAAGAGCAACGTGGGAGGGCAGAAGCCCCAAAGGTCACATTAAATTAGACTACCTTCTTGTAACACTTTGAATTCATACATTAAACCTATGAAAATCAATCGATCAATAACGTTTTTTGAGCATTTGGATGAGTATTTTGCTCTTTATCTGTCAGACGCATCTGATTCTTTTCGGAATAATTCATTGGGCGTAAATTATGATTATCCACCATGTTATCTCTGCTCTACAATTCTCTACTGAATTCATGAATGTGCAAAACCCGGGAAAAAAAAAAAAGAGAAAAAAAGAAAAAAAAAGAGGTAGAGTGAATATGTATGTATTAGGTTCGGCCAGCTCATTTGTGTGTGCTTCTGTGGTGACTCGAAGTAAACAGGATGGGGCAGTGGTGCAGTAGGTCCCTGTAAAATAAAGCTGTGACTCAAGGGGATGAATCACTTCTTTTAAAAATGTTAGTCTACTTTACTGCTGATCTTCATATGCTAGTCCTTGAAAATAGATAAAGTATTCATTTTAATTCAGATCGGAGAAAAACTCCGTATTTTGCTTGGTGCTTTCTCCACTTTGCCCACTCTGTTCGGTTTATCAGACAAAACAAATGCTCATTTGAGGACTGTGGGACCTTGTTATTGATGACTCGACTGAAACTATTTCCACATTCAGATAATTGCTTTTGTACGTTTGAGAGATAAGTAAAAGTACTTTGAACGTTGCTCAATGGGCAACCAGAAATCATCTATTAACCCATTATTTGCCATCATAGATAAATAGCTTGCCTCTTCTTTTCTTTTTTTTCTTTTCTTTTCTTCATCTTTCTTAACTCCCTTCATCATTTCAATTTATATCCATTGTATCCAACTATCTTTCCTGCATTAACAAAGCTCAAAATTTTTTATCATCAACAAACAACAAAAGTCTTAGTCATACTAAACCGAATCTAACTAACAACCACCCCCCTTTGTTTACGCAGCCACACAAGTGCATCATCTATTTCTTTATAAATAACGAATTATATACACAAAATGTCTCCTTCAACAACAACTAACTCTCGTCCTGAATCACCAGTTCCTCTGATGCACTCCAAGGAAGAAATCGCAGCCGAATTCATGGAGGATCTCCGTGTTTCCGGGTACAATCCCCTTCTCCCTCCCCAGATCATTCAGGAAGAGATCCCTATGGTAATAGTAATTATGATAATAGCCGATAGACTCGCTTAGTGGGTCAACAAATACCCTGTTTGCTGAATACCTTTTTTTTTTTCTTTTCTTTTCTTTTTTTTTTTTTTCTCCTCTCTTTCTGCTGGCAAACACTTGTAGTCAGATGTTTCTCGCAAGGTCGTCTCATTGGCTCGTCAACAGGCCGCTAAGATTCTTCGTGGAGATGATGACCGTCTTATTGTAATTGTTGGTCCTTGTTCCATTCATGACCCCAAAGCAGCTCTCGAATACGCATCCCGTCTTAAACCTGTAGCAGAGAACCTCGCTGGCGAGCTGTTGATCATCATGCGTGCTTACTTTGAGAAGCCCCGTACGACAGTCGGCTGGAAAGGACTTATCAACGATCCCGATATTGATGGAACTTTCCAGATCAACAAGGGACTCAGGATTGCTAGAGACTTGTTGTGTCGATTGACGGATATGGGAATTCCTGTTGGTTGTGAATTGCTCGATACTATCTCACCTCAGTTCTTGGCGGATTTGATCTCTTGGGGTGCGATTGGTGCTCGTACAACCGAGTCTCAGTTACATCGAGAGTTGGCTAGTGGAGTTTCCTTCCCTCTTGGATTCAAAAATGGAACCGATGGTAACATTAGCATTGCTGTAGATGCGATCCGTGCGGCTGCAAAGCCTCATCATTTCCTGGGAGTGACAAAGCAAGGATTGGCAGCGATCACAAATACAAAAGGCAATGAGCTGTGTCATTTGATCTTGCGCGGCGGTAATGGTGGACCCAACTATGAGAAGGAACATATTGAGAAAACAAGAGAAGGATTGGCTAAGGCCAAGTTGCCAGAAGTGATCATGGTTGATTGCTCACATGGAAACTCAAAAAAGCAGCACAAAAATCAGGTATTAGTTTCAGCTGATTTGGCTAATCAGATTCGTGCAGGTGACAAGTCCATTGTGGGAGTGATGATTGAATCCAATTTGGTTGAAGGTCGTCAGGATGTTGGACCCGAAGGTAGAGATGCCTTAGTCTATGGACAAAGTATCACAGATGCCTGCGTCCATTGGGATGATACTGTCAAGATGTTGGAGGACCTTGCAGATGCCATCCGTGTAAGACGCGGCTAAAAGACCCATCCTCTTTTTATATTTTTTAAATCATCTGTATCATAAGTTTTTCTTAACCGAATAATGGTAGCAATAAAATTAAGACATCTCATCAAAAGCCCTGTGGATAATCTGCTTGCATTTCTTACGGCATTGGTAGAGTGGCACAGTCTTTACAAGAACGACTGAGAGCAATGTCACCGCTTTGAACTACAATGTGTCAAGTAAATCGTCAACAAATAGAGTCCTTGCCAAAAAGTCGTCGACTAAATATTTTCGCATTTTTAAATTGAATAGAACACCCTCCGTTTTTAGACAGAAAAGAAAACGTACAAACTAGAAATTTTAATTTTTATGAGAGAGGCGTGTTCCTCGGGGTGTTAGATCGGTAGACATTATACATATCACTCATCCCACTATGCGAGAGATGGCTTTAGGTATTAGCATGGAAAGCCATTTGACTACTTCTTGGAGGATGAGTGAATGTGAATGAGGGTAATGAGGGTCTGCTTCGATCGGTCAATGGTTTCCAATACAGTCAAGTCCATTCAAAAAATTATATGAAGGAAAGTCTTTGTACGTTAATTTCTATTCTTTCAGATTTTAATTGTGTCCCATAATCCGCGCTTTGGGGCGTTGTATTGGCAACAATTGTGATCGCGGAGATGTGCGATAGGATACAGCCACTATAAGTACTGGTCCCGAGGGACTTGGGGTTTATGGCTGCTAACCTTTATTTCAACATCTTTCGATGATGAAGCGACCCTCCTTACGCCAGAGATGCTGATCAGGGTCACGGCTAGAGCGATGTTGAAGCGTGGTAGTGGCCTCCGTGTGGTGCACCCTAGGCTGTCTGTTCATCTGCAGACAAGCAAAGAGTCTAGTGCTCTTTGATTCTTATGTTTACAGGTTCACCAAGTTAAATTGCGTGTTGGATCTATTTAAAAGATCAACATGAACTTAATTCTCTCTTCTTCTCCGTAGCTGCCACTTTTTCAAAAGATGAGGTTCTTATGAGGGTAATAATTAGCAGATTGATTTATTGATTCAGTACTAATTAATGAGCTAGCCTGTATCAACCTCTGAGCATAACATATAATAACAGTAAATAAGACAGCTACTTTTTTTTTTTGGAGCAAAAGTAGGTACCAATTATGAATGCCCATATTCCGTAGGTTTTACAGGCAAAAATCCTAGACAGTGTCATCATTTTCAAGTAGGACAAGCTTCCATATTTGGTGCTGTTGGCACGCAGACTATTCATAGGCTCGTCACCAGCCTGAGAGAGAAGCATCTGCAAGAGCAAGCCACCAGTTGCCTTTTTAGGCACGCTTGCCTTGCAGCACGTGTAAACACACGTGCGCTTCGTCCTCAGGCTGGTGACGAGCCTAGTGACGAGCCTATATTTTCCATTTCGGACAATAAGCCACTGAATCAATTCAGAGGCACTATTTAAAAAATATTAGTCGACGAGTTTGGCGAGGACTCTCATTCATGTACAAAGGTTCTTGTACGTTAAAATTCACGTGGCCCTTTTTTTTTCAAGAATATTTTTGACCCATCGCGCATACAGTTGATTTGTTAGGCGCTTGAACATTCCTATCTTGCATAGAAAGGAAACATGTATTTGATTCTTTCCTAAAAAATGTATGAGCATCAATACAAGATTTATGTTCATCGATATAAAAAACTGAATAAACACTTGTTGTATTAATATATATGTGAATCTACATCTTGTTTCTGCTACTTCCATCCACCATCTGATACTATTGCTCGTCACCCTTCTATCTACTCCTGCATACCAACTATCACCCCTTACAGCACTGAAAAGAAGCCCCTCGACAATGGGAGCACCAGCACTTCGGAATTAGGCGAGAAAAAAAGGCTTCGATCCGCCAAAAGCCCTGTCTATCATTACGAACAGCGCTGCCTTGGCGTACGAGAATGTCCACACGATCTGGTGGATGATCTCGAGACGTTTTCTCATCTACAACCTTGCAAGCACGTACACAATAACAAAGGTATATATTACACATGGCGTAATAGCTCTCATGTATAGAATAGTAGGAAATAGAAGAAGAAAGCTTAATGTATGACATCCTCAGATTAAATCGCTTTTGATCATGGTATGTCGCATCGACTCGGGAACAATAGATATATTGGGTTCGTTTGATTGATTTTTTCAGGATAACGTTTTCTATGGTCTCATAGTTGGACATTACCAAGCAATTTAAGGGTCGGGCAATCACCAGCGCTTTTAATCTGAGTGATAGATAAAAGAGAATGCGTTATTTTTTATTTTTATTTTTAAAAAAGCCTCTCAATTTATCAATTATCAATTCTATTTACTGGCACATTGATGAATTATTAGAATGAGACATTGCATAGCACTTTTCTTATCATTTTAAAGGAGATTTTTTATTGTTTTATTTTTTTTTTTAAATGAATCTGCTCTCAACTCTTATAGACGTTCAACACTTTGAACCCCCTTTTTTTTAATCTTTCATTCCTCCATCCGAGAAGACGAGAAGAGTGAGAACTGATCTGGAAAAATTGGCCATGTCAATCACCCAGTTATTTTATTTTATTTTATTTTTTTCCTTTTAGAGTCATTTAAGTCGGCTATTATATTATATTATATATATATATATATATATATATATATACATATTAGGGAGTGCCTAGAGCGGAGTAACTGCTTTCCAATTGTTCAACCTCTTATTCATGTCGCGAAACGATCAATGCAATTTTAAATAGTACTGGATATATATATATTATATGATATATATAAACATTTATCTAATTCATGTAACAAAAAATCGTCATTGGATAGCCTATCGATAGCCATAACTAAAGAAATGATACCAATCATTTCTCAACTCGTAAAAGAGATGATAACATTATTGAAGTGGAGACTAGCACGGTAACTTCATTCCCCGGTCGCTTATAAAGAAAGGTTGGTTTCAAAGATTTTATTTATTTTTTTAATTGCATGGTCTTCTGAAATCGACTCAACCCAGGCACCAAAAAGTGATTAGGAATTTTTTTTCCTGTTTCACAAACCTTCCAAGATCTCTATAGACATTTTAGTTTTGGCTTTGTTATTGTAAACGCAGATCAATAAGGACCCTAAGGGAATAAGAAAATGGTGACATTAATAAGCTCAATTTATTGAAGCTTAATATATATGTATATATATACAGTATATACACATTTTTCCTTATGCATGTGGAATGTGTAAGTGAATGTGAGACGTAGATTTGCAGAAGACGGATAATATGGAAATTATAAAAACGTTAATAAAGAATCGATGTGGGGTCGCAGCTCGTGTGGAGATTCTTTTGAGAGCACTCTCGAAAAATAGATGAGACAATATATAGAATAATCCCTCAGATGGAGTCCTTTTCAGAGTTGAGGTTTTTTTTTTTTTTTCTCAATTGCTTCGTGATGATAGTTATTTTATTGCTTTGCAGGACCAATTAAGTCAAGGAAGCATAGATGGAACAAAAGAACCAACTTGGGAAATCTTCCCCTGATGCCTTGATATGTTTGAGTGTATATGTGGACTGCATGCGACAGTAAAGCTCTTAAAAGAGATAAAGTGTAACAGAATTAACGCAAACAAACAAATAAACAAATTGGTGTCCGTGCCAATGAACAAAACAACGCGCTCTGTTATTACAATAATATCATTTACGCGTGGCCATTGACATGGTTGTACAGAAAATTGTCATTTTGTTGAAAGCTTCATGGGTTCCACATCCCAAAGGTAGCGTGAAAAACCCTTGCCATGCTCAGTCTAGCCTTTTCACTATTATTACTATTATTATTACTATGACTATTACTATAATTATTATTATTACTATATTATTACTATTGTTAATATTAACAGCCCAAAGAAAGGGTACAAAAAGCGAGTCATAGACATGAGGCAGTGTCCGCATCAATTCGAATACCAAGTTCAAGCCATTGATCGGTTTGTGGTTCATATCATGTCCGTTGTATTCATTTTATGATCTACACAATAATCCATACCTCATTATCTCTTTCTATGATCTACATGTACAAGATGACCATAATTCGTGAAACTTCATCATTTACTAATGCGGTTTTATTTTCCTGATCATCCGTCAGCAAGCACGCGATCATGTAAGGACCCTCATGCCAACGCTTTGTGAGTGACCCATGAAAAACAAAGCCATGAAGGGAAGAATATGTTTTGTGAAAAGCGATATTCTCGCTCTTTTTCCCCTTTCCTTCGACCATTGGCCCATCTTAACATCATTACTCAACTTTTCAGTACCTCAAAGTGCCCTTTTTCACCCAATGGTTGGCCATAATGCCCTGAAAAATAGCGCATCTCCTTTGTGTAATTTATAATTTTATAATTATATATAAACGCTTTAAAAAGCTCAAATCCGGAAATCTTAATTCACATATATACATCATCACGCTTTTTTTTTTTTTTTTTTTTTTTTCAAAAAAAAATCCAGGTGATCTGTGAGCAACTGTTGTAAACTTCATTAAAAGCCCTAGCATAATATATATATATACTATAGGTCCACGTACAAAAAAATATAATTGTAGTCGAAAATAGAGGGACCAGAGGGATAGAGATCATAAAAAGAGTATGGATTGGAAGCACCCTGATCTGCAACGGCCCAAAGTCAAAGAAAAAAAAGAGGGATGATCTATGAGCATGTCGACTATTCATATAGTGCGCTTATGATAGCCAATGCTCATTAGATCCATCAATGTTCCCCTGCATACATTAGCAGAGGTATCGATGTTTTACCCGGGTCCATATCGTCTATCGAAGTTTCAAGGACCTCATGACCTTGATCCAGGCACAGCATAGCTTCTACGCATGTTCGAGAGCTTTTCTCTTTACCCTAGTAGTAAGTAGTTTATGATGTCTATTTGTCCTGTTTATTTCAACACACGTATGCATTCGTTCCAGGGGTATTAGTCACCAACATGTGTTTAATCGTGTATGCAACTAGGGAAGAATCATCAGGTTGCGTAGATCCTAACATTCCACTGCGCTATTGTGTAGTCTCCATATCAAAGTGGGTTGGATCAATGGAGAAGCCAATGATACGGGAGGTTTTTTTGGAAAAAAAAAAAAAAAAAAAAAAAGCGGACATTTAATATTCGCAATGTTCAACGCAACAAGGTGATACGCATTGCTATCGCTATCTAGTGGTTACTAAAGTGGCAGATCAGGATTTGTAAATTGTCTTTTTGTTGGCTTTTTTTTACGACTGTCTATGTCTACAGAGCGAGGTAGAAGCAGATAGAGATGATTCTCAACGATAACAGACTGAAGCTTCAAGTCAAATAAAAAAAAAAATAAAAATAAAAAACAAAAAGGATCGGAGATCGAGCTGGTATAAGCATATCGGATATGGTATATATATCTGTATAGTTTATTACAGCTTTTTCTATTTAAAAAAAAATTGTTATCGAGGTTAATCTTGTAGCCTTGGTTCGCTGGTACGTCCTTATACAACATTTAAAGAGGATAAAAGTATTAAAAAAGAAACCAAACGAATGAATGAATGGGTAGGACACAACTCATTGTTCCTGAGTAATGTTATTCATGATAGGTGCCTGGATGGGAAACTGTCCGGAGAAAAGCAACGTGGAAAAACTGGTGAGCGATTTTTCATTTTACATGCTCGTATCGCTCGAGAGATGTCTCAGAAAATGATGTGATAGATCAGTGCACCTAAAAGATCCACCAAATTTCCTTACTCCTTACTCTCCTTGATCTACCAGACTATCAACATGTTTCCGTCTGATTCACAGGGAACCGTTGAAGGATAAGAGGCAAGTCGAAGTATTATTTACCCTGAATCGAGGTGAGGAGAGGCACAATGGAAAAGTTATCCAGGACAGTGCATGCACAGATGAGGAATAGAGTTCACATGGACTACAAAATGCGCTCATTGTTTATTTTTTTTAGATGAGGGAAATTGTTTTACAGATTGCTGAGCGACAATTCTGCTGTCCAAATGTGTAAATCTTTGCCATTTTAATTCGCTATCTTTGTAAATAAGCAAACGTATTATATAAAAATTGATCAGGGTTATTATTAAAAGTATATACTGTACACCGTTATAGATTTAGCCTATTCTCCCGTTTAGCCTTGGAAAAAAATAAACAAATCATCCATTCATTTTGCACGTCGACCATTGCGGATAACAAAACAGCAGAATGGACCAACTGTCAGAATGGTCTATATGAGACATGTAAAAAAAAAAAAGAAAGAGAATCATAGCGAATTGAATTGAATAGATTAAAAGACAATAGACAATAGCAATTTTAGGCCAGAGAAACTAGAGTAAAGGTTTGAGACAGACCTTTGGCCCTTTTTTTTCCCTCTTTTACACTACAAAGTGATGTGAGGAATTTTCAATTTCAATAGAGAAACATATTGACTATTCTATTGAATTGATTAATTTTACCATTTCTCCATGCACGCTCTGTCACCTAATCATTTTGCTCAACCTCATTTTTCCGTGCTTGTGCATCATCATTCATTAATTCGCAATTGGCTAGGATCTTTTTTGTATTGATAAATCCCTGCCTGGCACATCCATTTAAAAAGGCCCCCCATCCGCACTTTTTCTTTCTTTTTTTTTCTTCATCGTCATCTAATCTTTCCAATTCCTTACTGATACTCTCTTCACTCCTTCTCTCCCTTAATCTCCACAACGCTTCTCTACCCTCGTGCTGGGCTCTTTTCTCTCTCTTTTCTTCACGACCTCCCCACTCTACTTTTATCCTCAACAACGTTGCCTATCTTGACTTATTTAAAAATAATCACTCACTCTTTGTGAACTACCACTTCAACCACTCCCCTAAAATCAAAACATCCATATTAAAAAAAAAATGGCATCCAATCGTGCCGTTACCTCTGCCAAGGAGCAGACGGAGGGCCAGAATACCCCCTCTGGCACCAAGGCTTCTTCTGTCACCATCGATGTCAACGTCGCCACGATCGACGTCGAGGACTTGTACAACAAGGAGAAGTTTGACATGTCAACTATGGAGACAGATAACATCTTCCAATTGCTCAAGACCAGCGAAATTGGTTTGACTTCTGCAGAAGCAGATACTCGTCTCAAAAAGGTAATTACAATGATCATGATTGCGAGGGTGGAGACAAATTCAGCTCGTGTTACCACAGACCCTTCTGTTTGTGTTTGTGCTCTGAAATTCTCTGCCATGGACAAAATCAATCGTTGGCCTTGCAGAAAGGGGAAATCAACTGATAGCAATTTTCTGTATTCTTCCGCCTTCTCAATGAAATCTAGTTCGGTCACAATCGCCTCGAGCAAAAGGAGGTCAATCCTATTATGCAATTCTTATCCTTCATGTGGAACCCACTCTCTTGGTAAGTTTTTTCTCGATTGCTTTTGTTTAACTCCCATATTTATTTATTTTTTTTCTCACACATGTTTCTGATCCAAATTTTTCTTTAATACTGCAGGGTCATGGAAGCTGCTGCCCTTGTCGCCATTGTACTTTCCAACGGTGGTGGTGAGCCCCCAGACTGGCAAGACTTTGTCGGTATTGTTCTGTTGTTGATTGCCAACGCCACTATTGGTTATATTGAGGAACGTCAAGCTGGAAACGCCGTTAAGGCCTTGATGGCTTCCTTGGCCCCTCAGGCCAAGGTCAAGCGTGATGGTCAGTGGGCTACATTGGAGGCTGCCAACTTGGTTCCTGGTGATGTGATCTCAATTAAGCTTGGTGATATCGTTCCTGCGGATGCTCGCCTTATCGAGGCTGTCAACGTCTCTATCGATCAGGCCGCCTTGACTGGTGAATCTTTGCCCGCCAACAAGAAGAACGGCGATGAGATCTTTTCTGGTTCTACTGTTAAGCAAGGTGAAGGTGAGGCCGTCGTCATCGGTACTGGTTCCAACACCTTCTTCGGTCGTGCTGCCAAGCTTGTTCAGATGGCTGGTGATGATGTTGGACACTTGCAGATCGTTCTTGGTCGCATCGGTCGTTTCTGTATTGTGTCAATTGCTATTTTCTTGGTCATCGAGGTCATTGTCATGTATGCTGCCTTCAAATACGATTATCGTCGTGGTATCAACAACGTTCTTGTCTTGCTCATTGGTGGTATTCCCATTGCCATGCCCACTGTTCTGTCCGTCACCCTTGCTATCGGTGCTCGTCAGCTTGCCGAACACAAAGCCATTGTCACCCGCATGTCCGCTATTGAGGAATTGGCTGGTGTCACCATCCTCTGCTCTGACAAGACCGGTACATTGACCTTGAACGAGCTTACCATCGATATGGCCAACGTCAAGACCTATTCCAATGTCTCTGTGGAGGATATCATTCTCTACTCTGCCTATGCCTCTCGTGTTGAAAATCAGGACGCTATCGATACCTGCGTTGTCAAGTCTCTGCCCGATCCTACGCTCGCCCGTGCTGGAATTGAGCAGTTAGACTTTATTCCCTTCAACCCTACTGACAAGCGTACTGAGATCACCTATCGCCGTCTCTCTGATAATACTGTTCATCGTGTCTCTAAGGGTATGTCTTCCATCATTCTCGACCTCTGCACTCGCGACAAGACTGAGGCGTTAGTTGCTCAGATGCATGCTGATGTCGATGAGTTTGCTCGCCGTGGTCTTCGTGCTCTTGCTGTCGCTATGGAGAGTGTCCCCGGAGGTACTAAGGATGCTCCTGGTACTGGTTTCACTCTCATTGGTCTCTTGCCCATCTACGATCCTCCTCGTCACGACACCAAGGAAACCATTGATCGCGCCCAGGCCTTAGGTGTCCAAGTCAAGATGATTACTGGTGACCAGCTCGCTATTGCCAAGGAGACTGGTCGTCGTCTTAACTTGGGTGACCATATGTTCAACGCCTCGGTTCTTCGTGATGGTCCTCCAGCTGATGATAACGTCAAGTCGAACACTGTTGATGAGCTTGTTCTTGAGGCTGATGGTTTTGCTGGAGTCTATCCCGAGCACAAGTATGATATCGTGGCTCGTCTTCAGAACTTGGGTCACTTCACTGCCATGACTGGTGATGGTGTCAACGACGCTCCTGCTCTTGCCAAGGCCAACGTCGGTATTGCTGTCGCTGATGCCTCTGATGCTGCTCGCTCTGCTGCCGATATCGTCTTGACTGAGCCTGGTCTCTCAGTTATTATTGATGCCATCTTGGGATCCCGTCAAATTTTCCAGCGCATGCGCAACTATTCTGCCTACACTTGTTCGATCACCATTCGTGTTGTCCTTACCTTCTCTATCATGTGCTTCGCCTGGAAATTCGATTTCCCTCCTTTCATGATCCTGATCTTGGCCATCTTGAACGACGGAACCATCTTGACCATCTCTAAGGATCGTGTCATGCCTTCGCAGTACCCCAACCACTGGGACCTCAAGGAGATTTTCACTTCTGCCATTGTCTATGGTATTTACCTCACTGCTTCGACCTTGGCCTTCTTCGCTGTTGCCTACCACACTAGCTTCTTTTCGAACATGGGTCTCGATTCCTTTGACAACTCAAACCAATGGAAGCTGCACTCTATCATCTACCTGCAGGTTTCGATTCTTTCTCAAGCCTTGATTTTTGTCACTCGTTCTCAAGGCGTCTCTTTCATCGAGCGTCCCTCAGCGATCTTACTGCTTGCTTTCATCTTTGCCCAAATCATTGCTACTTTGATCGCTGTCTATGCTAACTGGGGTTTCACCCAAATCCAGGGATGTGGTTGGGGTTGGGCTGCTGCTGTCTGGGTCTGGAACATTGTCTGGTACTTCCCCTTGGACTTGATCAAGTTTGGTCTTCAGCGCCTCTTCAAGCCTACTCTCAAGTCCGTACAGGAGAACCAGCAGGAACTCCAGTTGGCCCGTACACGCTCGACTCGCTCCTTCTACTCCTCTCACTTCGACCGCTACACCAACCAGCCTCGCAACTTCTCACGCAAGAACTCGGTTGGTGGTCCTCTTACGGCCGATGGCAAGTCCTTGGGCATTTCTACACACGAGATGCGTCGCTTCAGCACCATCCAGGCTGCTCAAGTCTCGAATGCTTTAGGTGCCGGTGGTGCTGCAGGTCCATCACATTAAGCTCCCCTCCTACTCTTTCTTTTTTTTTCTTCATCCTTTAATCCACCCATCCTCATTTTAGAACCATAATTTAGTATCTTTTTATTTTCATTTTCATAATCATTCTTTCTGCGAGCAAAAAACAGTGCTTTATTCTTCTAAACAGTGTATAATATAAAACGAATAAAAACAGGTACACAAAAGTTACAGAAAAAGGGTTTTATCCTCTGTCTATGTCTAATAGGTAAATTTTTTTTTATTTGAACACAAACTATGCGATCACAGTCGGTTCCGGTCCTCGTGGGAAGAAAATTTTATTGTTCACTTTCGCTCATTAAAAAAATCCTTCCTCCTACACTCTACTCAACATCCTTCACTCTCTTCCAACATCATGCTCCGCTCATTCATTACTCGTGCATCCCCTGTCCAGAGTATTGCCAAACGCGCTCTCTCGACTGGCATTCCCAAGGTATCCACCTTTTTTTTTTTTTTTTTTTTTTTTTGCATTTATACTTCATCGCATCCAAACCACAACCTCTGCAAGTTTATTTTGCCACTTTGAAGAGAAATAAAAAGAATCAGTTCAAATGTTCAAATGTTCAAGTGACCCGACATGACATTGACAAGCAACACCAAATAACATGCCCTCTTTTTTTTTTTTTTTTTTTTTTTTAGACTTCCCCACTTTGGACTCTTGGCCGTTTGAATCATGTTGCTATTGCTGTTCCAGATATTGATCAGTCTACAGCTTTTTATCGCGACTTGATGGGTGCAAAAGTTAGCGAGAAAGTGGTAAGCAGCTCCGACTTCGACATTCTTTCTCTTTTTCTCTTTTTCTCTCATACTCTTTCTCTTCTTCTTTGCAAACTTACTTACCGCATGTCTTTTCTTTTTCTAATCTTTCTTAGCCACTACCTGAGCACGGCGTTTACACAGTCTTTGTAGAGTTGGGCAATACAAAGATTGAGCTTCTTCATCCATACGGTGAGAGCTCTCCCATCCAGGGATTTCTCAATAAGAACAAATCTGGAGGTATCCATCATATTTGCATCGAGGTCGATGATGTCACCAAGGCTGTGAATGATTTGATGGCAAAGGGTATCAAGGCCTTGAATCCTGTTCCAAAAATTGGCGCTCATGGCAAACCTGTCGTGTTCCTGCACCCTAAGGATTGTCATGGAACCTTGGTTGAACTTGAACAGAGTTAGACAACAAATTAAATAATACATATAATGAAGGTCACCAAGTGTAAAAAAAAAAAAAAAAAAAAAAAAAAGCGCTGATTTTAATATATACAAATGGTGAACATGTTTATTTTGCTCTCAATATGTCTCCACCTCAAGTTCAAAATTATCCAATTGTTGAAAGTACTTGATCCGATCTTGCTGTGTCTTGATTTGCGATTCGGTCCATCCACCCTTGTCTTTTTTCGCTTGCTTTCCTTTCTCTTTTCCTTTGCTATCTTTCAAGTTCATCGTCATTGAAGCGGCTGAAGACTTTGAAGGATGCTGATTACGTTTTGCGATGGACGTAGACGTCTCCGACTCTGCCTGTACTCGGCGCTTCTTGTTAGGCGCACTGGCTAGACGTGTTGATAAGGCTGTAGCTCGCTTAGTTGGAATACCACGGCGTGGCGCCGCTTTTTCTTCTGCTCCAGACGATGGCTCTTCAGACGAAGACGCTTCATCCTCTGAATCCATCTTATGATCGCTCTTATTACGAGTAGATCGCCAAGAATTTGCTTTCTGCTTCCTTCTAGGGCGCGGCAGCATCGCTTCGAGCTGCTCTGTCAATAAGAAAGTTTTTGTTCTTTGCTGTGGTCGCGCTCCTTTGACAGGTACAGAGGACGGTTCCAAAGAAGAAGGTGCTCCTGCTTCAGGCTTTCTCGGGGGAGAGCTTTCCATTATAAATGGTGATAACTCAGGGCTCGACGAGATGTCTAGCGGCATGAAGATTTTGTTTTTAACCTTCTTTGGTGTGGATGGCGCTGGTACGGACGTTCCAAGATCCTTTCTATTAATGTTGTCACTGCTTTCCTTATCTTCAAGTTGCTCGATTGGTGAGCTTGGATTTATAGGCGACACAGAAGTCCATCCAGGCATTTTATTTTGTAGATCCTGGTTGTCCCGTACAGAAGTAGCTTCGCTCGACAATGTCATCCTTTCTGTTTTGTAGGAACATCCTTCATCTTGAGTGACATCCAAGCCTAAACTCAGCTGGCAGGCCATTTGAATATCTTTGTTCATAGCATCAGAGATATCGCTTCCGTAGCTATAGGAAGCAGTCGATATCATAGAAAGATCGGGTTGATCTACAGCCTTTCCTTTACCCTTAATATCGATCTTGTCTTTTGTGTAGCCTCTTTTCTTAGTTGCGGTTCTGTCCACGGCGCTCTGCTTAAGCCTATAAATAAAACCATCGCTATTAATATTGTTGCGATTCTGCAAAGGTTCTTCATTACTCTGCTTCATCGCATTTCCAGATGTTGTGGTATCTCTCTCGTTGATGGTAAGAAGCTTTGATTGAATGCCGTCTCTCCGCTGGAGCAATCGATCCACTTTTGCGAACCCAAAAGGATCATCCTCTTTCTCTGCATCTTTATCACATAAAGCTTCGGATTCTGGGTCGATGTTCATTAGCTGGTGAGCATTGTTATTGATGTTGTTATTGCTATTGTGCCCAGACTCAAGTGGTTCCAAGTCTGCGAGAGTCAGACCTGGCACGTTGCGACCAGAGTGTGTAGATGTGGGCAAGGAGCTGCTAAAGACCGAAGGGACCCATTGAGTAACTTTGTTGTCAATTTTCTCTGACGTCCCTATTTCATCCTCCAAGTCAAACAATAATGGTGGGGGTGGGGGTGTGAGCGACAATCTTGAGAACAATGAGGAGTTGTCTTCATCATTTTTTTCGTCCCAATGACGATGACCCTTGTCGTTATCCTGCCAATTATCCCTGATGGTTGTTTTGGTATCGTGTAATGGTACTACGGACGACACTGTATCCAGCTGGGTATCAGAGGACACGGCCTGTTGGTCCCAGTTGTCTACCCCAGGTTTTCCTTTGGTCAAAGGCTTTGAAGAGCGTAGAGTGCGGTCAGGGATGACTATTGTATCAAATCGTTGCCAACGAGGTTTTTCAACCTCATCTGTTGCCGCGGTTGTCGTATCTGCCATTGACAGGTCTGCAGTTGTAGACACTCGTGCTCTGTCCTTGCCTCCCCGCCGTGCCGCTCGAGTTGCCCGGGTGCTTGTTGTAGTCTGTGATGGCGAGACCTTAAGTGATTCTGAATCTGGTGTGAGATCATGGACAGCCGCAGGACCTGCTTCTACTACTTCAGGTTCATCGCGACCGCCATGGAGGTCATTTTCTTTTGCGGCCATTGTTTTTTGTGTTCTGCGTGTCGTCTGTCGTTGATTGGGTATTAATGAGGTCAAGGAATCATCGGGGAAAGTCGTGCGTTTTGCTCGTGTGGTTGGCATGGCGACTAAATAGAAAGTTGGTATAGTTGGTAAAAAGGAAGGAAAAAGAATAGAAAAGTGATGGTGGCAAAATTTTAATATTTTAATGCTTGACAGCTTCAGGGTTATTAATGTCACAGTGACTTCAAACGTATGAACATCTCATTCATTTCCCTATCCAAGCTACTCATGTCTTTATTCAATCCCACTACTTCAAGCATATAAAACTGACATAGCTCAAAAAAAAAAAAAAAAAAAAAAAAAAAGCATAGGGAAAACGGAAAAAAAAGCTTTGGGTTATTCCTGCCACAAAATATCTACTGATTGCATTTCAGTAATGTAAGCTATGATGGAAATATCTATAACCGATTGCTTTCGCTTCGTTGTCGTGACCGAATTTCATCGTCTAGGGCCACAAGACCACATACTGATCCAGACCGAAACAAATCTGCTACTGAGAGTGGATTCGATATTTGACTATAATACCGCTTGTGACGTCTTGCGTTCTCTGCAGAAGGGACTGAGGACATTGACGACGATGAAATTCCTGGAATGGGTGAGAAATTACCATAGTTCCCGGTATACACTCGTGAATCAGGAGGTATTGACAAGGGTTGGAGTTGTTGTTGCGTCATCATGCCTCCTTCTTGTTGTTGTTGCTGCTGTATCATCCTCTCTAGCTCTCTTTCTTTGGCACGCATGGTCTTCTCAGCTTGGACTAAAAGGGCCTTGATTCCTTCATGGTTGGCATCCAGCGCCATCTTATAAGCCGCACCATCATCCAATCGATGATTAGCGCCATACTGGAGAAGCACTCGTACAGCGGCCTCATGGCCATGTTGACATGCTAATTGCAGTGGTGTTCCTTCATGAATGTTGACATCTGCTCCATGGTCCAGTAGTATTGCAATGATGTTATCATAGCCTATTCAGAAGGGGGGGAAAAAAAAGCAAAAGTAGAGAACCACCGCTGTTATGAACCCGAAGATGCGAGTTCAAAACAAAACAAAGAAAAAAAAAGATTCACTAGCTAGAAAAAATAGATTTTCTGGGCTTACCTTGAGACGTTGCAGTTCGTAAAGCACTACAACCTCCTAGCATCGTATCTGCACCGCTCTCACACAATACTTTGACAGCCTCTGCATGTCCAGCCTCTGCAGCTTGTCGCAGAGGGGCTCCATTCTTGGTTTCGATGTTGGCACCTGCTTGGATTAACAACTTCAAAATCTCAACATGTCCCTTTTGTGCGGCCACAAGAATGGCCTCCTCATTGAAGGCATGAACATCTGCCTCATATTCCATTAATAACTTGACCATCTCCACGTCATTTCCACGGACTGCATAACGTAGGGCTTTATCAGCGTCCTTTTGTATAAACAATCCTCCTGCCATAACCCTCCTAGCTCTCCTGGTCGAGGGGATTGAGCTTTGAAAAATAGATACCGGAAATGTCCCTGGTCCTGAGACTGCTGTCCGTTGCTCGATTTCCAGCTGTTGCACAATAGCACCTCGAGCTTCAGCAAAATCGAGAAGTGCCTTAACAGTACTACAATGTGATTGCTCATATGCGGCTTCGAAGGCCTTGTTCAGACCACTTTCGGAAGGTATGTAGTCTGGCTGCTGAAGGAGGATTGCAACGACGTCTTGTGGTAGCCATAGAAGTGATTGGCAAAAGTTGATACAAATGTGTTAAGTCCATGCCTCTTTGCTTTGAAATAAGGAACGAAAAACTTGATTATCCCCCCCCCCCCTTTGACACATTTTTTCTTTACCTCGACAGCCATTCTTAGCAGCCTCTCGCAAAAACCAGTCAGATCTAAACCTCAGATCAATCCCTGGCTCACTGTTTTCTAGTAAATGGCAGACGACATCCACGTGGCCCTTTGAGCAAGCCCATCGGAAACTATTATGAGAAAAAAAAAAAGAAAAAAAAAAAGGGCTCATCAGAAATATAGATCTTTATAATCGCAGATACTGGAATGGACCTATCTAAGCAGTCGAATTTCATGCGAGGTCGTCGATAATGCTGGCAAATGCCAAGAAGATAATGATGACATGTGGACAATTTGGGTAATGAAAATTTTGTTTGATAATAATAATGATAAATGATTTGCTGCGATGGTCCGATAACCTTGTTCTTCATTTGCGCTCCGTCTCATTTTGAGTCTGGCACGATGCATGATCAAGCCAATGGACTGGTTTGACAAGAAAGTACAAAAGGCAAACACTCTGGTCTTTCTTTTTTGTGTAAATGTTCACAAGTGTTGTTTGTGGGGGGGGGGGGGAATGTCGATTCCCTTTCCTCTTCAAACCCCACATTCATTTTTGATGTCAGTGCATTGTTTTGATCCACGCAAATAGACTTGATTTTTTTTTTTTTAGCACTTTTGTGTGGTGTGTCGTTATCGTCTCCTTGATCTCCGCCCAACAGAATTTGAGCATGCAAAACATTTCAACTAAGCAAAAAAGAGGCGTTCCACTTTTTTTTTGTCTTTTTCATGGTGATGCAAGGAAGCAGACAGACTGCTCATGATGATCATGGAACTTTCTCCTGATAAGATTGTTGTTGCACGCAAGCGAGAACAGTCCTGCTTTCTCCTCTCTTCTCGTCGAAAAAAAAAAAAAAAAAAGAGGGGAAGAAAACGAAAAAAGAGGGGAAGGAAAAATCCAATAAAATAAACAACATTAGCATCCAATACATAACCTACATAAATTCCTCTGGATCACGATAGACAGCTCCCATAGCAATGAGAAGCAGGACAACTGGGGAGTCAAGGATTGATCTTGTCAGCTTGTGCAGCTCAACAGTCTTACGGGACAACACCTGGTCGGGACCATGGAGAAGCCACAAATACTTGGCTCGTAAAGATGGTGATCGCGAGAGATTGTAGATCTGACGACAGCTTCGAACAAAGTTCTTCGGTGCAACCAGTCGACATAGAATCTCTTGCAAAATTTCTGTTGGAAGATCCAATAATTCTGTTGGTTGCGATTTTAATGCGGTTGTTGTTAAAGTCGTCGTACTTACTGCGCCCATCTGTCTTGGTGTTGTTGTCGTTGTTTGATCAAAGTCGGTTCCGTTGACCATTTCAGCAACAGTTTGAGCCCTATCTGCGATCTCCTTAGTTGGAGGAAGAGGTTCGAATGAGATTGAGTATGTACAATGAGGTTCCTTTTTCTCTTTTTGATAATGTAATGAACTTTTAAAGGAAGCGGCTGTAGGTGATGGTGAGCAAGATGAAGCCGGTGAAATTGGAGCTGAGCAAGGCGAAGATGGTGTTGATGATGCGGGTGTGGAGGCTGGTGAAGGTCCTTCGGATCGTTGTGATGAGGAATTAGAGACTGTTGGAGAGTGTAAGCAGCATGATGAGTCCGAGACAGTACCAGTTGCAAACGGCCATGAGCTGACAGTGGTGACTGTTTGTGTTGCCGATGTGGAGATTGTTGCTGCCGTTGTTGCCAAGAGGGTATTGATAGGAATGGAGGTGGGTTGCTCTTTAGAGTGTCCATCGAACGAAGGGATAGCCGGAATAGATCCCTCAGAGAGTCGTCGCATGCTTCTAAGACCAGTGAGAGGCAGACCTGTAGTGGCGACAGTGATGTTCCTAGATTGAACCTGGCTTTGTGTCTGACGGAGATAAGGGCGATTCTCGCTGTTTGAACTCATGGTTGTGAAGTAGATAAATGTGATAGAAAGTGCTGTTGGAGACTAGAGAGGAGTAATCAAAAGGTGAGAGTGCAGTTAACAATCAGCAACACAGATAAATATAAAGATATAGATGATGGCAAGGAATGGAAGAACAGAAAATGTATGCAAACGCAGGGTAAAAAAAGGGGAGGGGGAGTGTTGCAGGTGTTGGAGCGTTGAGAGAACAAAGTAAAAAGGAAAGCGATGGGAAAGAGAGAGTGAACAGACAAGACGCATTGTGACAAAAAAAAAAAAAGAAAAGAAAAAAGCTCGAGTCACAAGTTCATATTGAGTTGCAGAAAAAAAAATGTTTGAGCTCAGTCAATTCAATCAGACACTGGCTCGCTCGTTGCTTATAAACACAACATCCGTTCACTTCCCCTTGCTTTGCGCTCTTGTGGCACCTTCGTCGAGGGAATTGCAGATTTTGCTGTCTCTATTCTCTATTTCCTCATAACAAGGAATGAATGTGGGCGTGTGAGAGCTCAAGTGAGCATTGATTAGAGTATACTGGATAAATGTGCCAGCCTTGAAAGAAAAGCAACTACTCAATATCTATTAAGCCGATACTCCATGAAGAAGGAAGATGGAACCTTTGGCAGAAATGGTTTATTAATATTTGCCAGATGATGTTACTGTTGTCATGATGCAACGCATATTACGCTAAGCTGCATTATAAGCTTGCATGTAAACTTTAGCTCCATTCCGTCAAGTCAAGTAAGTCTAATGTCATAAAAAAAGTATTTACTCGGAATGCAAACAAACGCACAACCATCGACAGAACATTTTTTATCACGAGAATTCTAAAAGATTGGTGGCGGTCTGTCACGCCAAAAGTCCAAATTGTGGTACAACGTTTTAATCAGATCTAATTGTTTGTTGTTATTTACGAGGTCGTTTTCTCTAAGATGCACCACCAATTATCGCGATCGTAGCCCGATTGCACTATGGACGCCTTGTTGGTCCTCACCACTAATTCCTCGAGCTCACCCTTCTGGAAAAGATGATAATAGCGATTATACACAGGTGCTGCTTCAGATTCCTTTGCAGATGGCTGGGTTTGTTCATTTTGTACATTGGTCTGCTGTATGGCATTTTCCCTAGTCGACGCAAATTCCTCAAAGGTCAAATTATGCGTTGTGAGAACCTTTTGATCCTGATCTTTGTCGGCCTGGTCGCTCTTCATCTTTAGCTGATCCAGTGGTTCGTCAATCGATGAGGCCTCGTTGAGACTTGTCATCGCTGTTGTTACTGCAGCTGACGATGATTGTGATGATAATGACGTGGAAGGTTGTTGATGAACATTCGATCTTTCATTCCTTCTGACGCCCTGTGCTCTGGACTGAGTCCGATCTCTTGACTGTTTGGGTTCTGCCTTTTTGGGCATTGCCCAGGGTACGAAGACATCTTGTACATTCTTGTCAAAGTCTCGTTTACCCGATTGTTCCAATGCCCAAACGAATATTAAGACCTTCGCTCCAACTCTGACGACCCTCAAAATTTCTTCGATGGCATTAATGCGGCGTTCCGGAGTGATAAAGTGGTGAATTACAGCAATGGAAATAGCAAAATCCTGTATTCAGTGATTGTTATATTCATGCATAATAAGGCGATGCAGAGGTTAGTGGCTGAGTACGGTCAGAGTGTAGATAGCAGATATAGAGGGCAGTACGTGGATCACTCACAAAAAACTGTGGTCGGTAAGGGAGTGCGAGACCATCGCAGACCATGGCCTCATGACCACGTTCACTGCAAATACTAATCAAATTTGAACTCCTAATTCCACAGTAATGTCGGATAGTCCAGAAGAAAAAAAAAAAAAAAAAAAAAAAAAAAAAAGAGGAACATGTGGTCAGTACAAATCCATTCTTCATATTGTGGGTTTAATGATTGGCTTTTATTTCCTATTTGACATCTCTTACCTATCGGAGCCGATCATAAATAGGCTTGGATTGACACCAATGTACTTGCCATTGCCACATCCTACATCTGCCCCAACAGATCCTGCAGGCATGTTCATAAGAAACTCTTCGACAACAGGCCATGGCTAATGAAGGCGCAGTATATTTAGACATCAAAAGCCAGGGGCCGAAAGGGTGGTAGTAAGCGTAAATGATAGTACGCGCATAAAAGAACGCAGCGGCCATGCTTCGAAGCTCTTGCATTGCATAGCCCCTAGACTCTCTACTTTGGGTAACGAACATAGATGGTCCTGAGACTAAATAGAAATATATCGAGTTCTATTTTACCTTGTAGCGAGTAGCCGAGAAGTGAGGCGCAATAACCTGGTATACATTATGAACATATTCTTGCTCCTTTTGCTCCGGGGTCATACCTGGCTCCTCCGCCTGGAATGGCGAAGGAATGTGCAATGGATTCTTTTTGGATGTACTCATTTGGTTGATGAACGTTTGTATCCAAAAAATTAAGTTCCATTATTATTCATATTCCAATATTCATTGTATTATATATTGCATTTTTTCTTAAAAAAGCAGTCCATGTCCCAAGTATAATTTTCTACTACAATAGAAAACAGAATGCCATGCGGCGACAGTTACGGTTCTTGTGCAGCTTGAAGTGAATTAAGAACATGTACAAATATAATATCATTTATTGTAATATATTGTGTTTATATTGTATGTTGCTCTGTATTCTTCAAAGGTCCCGCTTTTTTTTTTTTTTTTTTTTTTGCAGTGCTGTGTTGCTTTGTTGCATTACATTACTTGCCAAGCGCAGCACCTTTCTCGCTTTCTCGCTTTCGAGTCTTCTTTTTTTCCTTTACTTCGCCCGAGCCAAACTGTCTCCTCTCTTCTCTTCCTTTTCCTTCTACACACGCTCTCTCTTTTATTCTCCTCACACACCCATCCCTTCTTTTGCTCTGTTTGTGCAAGGCTCTTGAAGCTGATTCGCGTGTCAAACTTTTTCTTTTTTCTTTTCTTTTTTTTTTTTTTCTACGGGACTGACATTCATTCTTCCATCCTCATTTCATTTCACTCGCTCTTTCTCTCATTCCCCCCCTTCTTCTCCTTCTGTCCGGATCCCCATACACATTCTTATTTATTTATTTATTGTCTCTTCCGTTCTATTTGCAACACTGAGTACCTTATAATCACCAGATATCACTGCGGCTTATACCCCTTTCACACATACCACCTCGCCAAAATGAAGGACGAGCCTCTCTCCTTCAAAGAGAAATATCTCAGACTACGTGAACGCTTTGATAGAGTGTCAGCGGTATGTGAAAGATGAAAAACAATCTGCCCCAAGTCAATCCATGCTTTGTTTTCTCTTTTTCTTTCTTTTTTGGGCGTTTCCCCCTTTTTTTTTTTTTCCTTTGTGTGAAACGGACGGACAAAATAGAAATAATAATAACCAAAACAAAAGGAAGAATGGTCCTGTCTTTGAATTGCCGTTGCAAAAACTATGTCTTGGAGGACGTTTGTGTGTACATTGATTCTTACCATCCTATCACCCCCGAAAAGCTTAGTCTGTTAAACAACCATATTAATGCAATAATGAGCACTTTCTTTTTGTTATTCCATGATCGCTATCGCCACTTCCTTATGCTTGCTCTTATAAATCTCACCAATGATTCTTATTGATGGTTTATTGGCCCATCTTCAGACCCAGCGCCAATATACCAACGACTTACAAGCTGCTCGTCTCAAGGCACGCAAACTCAAGGAGGAGAATAAGTAAGAAAAAAAAAAAAAAGAAAGAGGAAAACTTGTTGTTACCACGAACAAACACCCAATCAATGCATGATTACAATTCTTTTTTATGCTTCCTCTCCTGTCTTGTTCCCTGTTTTGTTTTGTTCCGTTCATTGTTTCATGCTTTTTTCCTTTCCGATTTTTTTTGTCGCATAATGGTTGCCACGTCATTCAACGCCCTGCCCCTTCCATGCATTTTTATTGTGTTCCTGACATCCTCAGTGCTCTTTTATTTCCTACAACCTAATGGCGCACGCGTCCCTTATTTAATTACTTTCCTAATCATTTATTTTTGTCCGCATTTTTCTTTCCGCTTCTTATCGTTTTATCATTCATTAGCCATCTATTGGATATCCTGAGCGACATGCAGCAAATGGCCGGGTCAGGGTAAGCTGGAGATCAAAATAACAATAAAAAGCGCTCATTGATAGAGTTTATTGTCCCGAGACATATTGCTTTCACCTAATGTTGCGCATCATTGCATATGACTAGTCCTTGCCTTCGATTTTAAAACTCACAAACATGTTTACATTCGCATTATAGGCTATCAAGTGACAGTGATACATCTTTCGATGACCTAAGCGACTTGGACGATGATGATGACGACGATTTTAAAGATGAGGGACATGGTGACTCACGTCATGGGCGGTCCAGCGCGGGTCGTGCAGATGTCTCTGATAACAATAGACAGGCGTTATCAGGCAGGGGCCGAAGAGGTAATCACCAGTCAACATCAGTATCGACATCAGTATCCGCATCCACAATCCAAATGAAATAGAACAAGCATAGCTCATCTCCAGAATAACAGTTAGCGAAATCATAAGCAAAAATCAAAATTTCAAAATCCAAAATCCAAAATCCAAATCCAAAATCCAAAAAATATCTGGATACTTTTTATTTTATTTTATTTTTTTTGGGGAGACAGTGAAAGAGGCTTTTTATACAGGCTCTGACCTCAGACCTCCTGCTTTTTTGATCTACTGCTGTAGATACTACTTCTAGTCATGGACTGCAAATGTCTCGAGACGTTACGAGCATGACAGACTCGAGCAATATTTCCACTGTTGGCGTCGCCAATGGTGGTTACAACAACCAAATGGATAACAGGCCAGCGAATATCAATACATCTAATACATCTAATCAGGCACCATCTAGGGCAGGCGCTCTTGTTAAAAAGGAGAAGCCAGAGGGCGCTCCGAAGCAAACAAGGCGAGCCACGGCAAGTGTTAGCAATATTTAAAGCGAAGGGGTCGTTTGTACACAACAGATATTAATAGTTGTTGAAGTTAACCGTCGATACATTTTATATTCCATTATAGAAACGAGCGGACCGTGGTAGGCCGCGTGCTGTAGTTCCACTTCCAACGAATCCAGACGGCTCGTTAAACTATCCGATCGTCGTCGGAAAGGGCACGAATGAAGTCATCATAGAAAACATGGGTAAGAGATTTGACAACGTGGGAGCGAAGGGATGAACTGCAACCAATTTTTTATTAATGCCAACTTTCAACACTGTAGGCAGAATTGTATGGCAAGGCAGGGGGTACCACAACCATCGCTACATCTTTCCAGTTGGATTTCGCAGCAAGAAACAATATACTTCGCTCTCCGATACATCTAAAAAAACTTATTTTATCAATGAAATCCTGGACGGAGGAGAACAACCTATTGTAAGTTTATAATCATGGCTTCTCATGTTTGCCGTATCTTAACACAAACAAACTTATACTGTCCTTTTCCTTGAATGTAGTTTCAAATAACTCTGGAAGACATGCCAGAAAAAGTTTTTCGGCACTCATCGTCAAGCGGCGCATGGGAGTTGGCATTAAAAGGGTTGATGGAGCTCGGTTACAATGCCAAGACCCACGCTTCAGGACCTGACATGTACGGCTTGACGAATTTAGGCGTTATAAAGTATATTCAGGAAATGCCCAACGCCCATCGCTGCCGGCGCTATATGCCACTAAAATGGATCATCGAGGACGATAGCTTGGGGTCCCCGTCGAATGGGGACCCTTCCGGAAGTAAATCACCAGGAAGGAAGAAGAAGATTAACAACAGTCTGTACGCTAGTAACCACGAAGTTCTTATGGAGACACTGGAGGAAGCAGAAAAGGCAGCCCAGTCTTCTGGATCTTCTACAGCACGACCATACACTCCTCGCAAGTACACGAAACGAAAAGCGAGTCAGGATCAGACGCCAGCACCAGAACTCATGGAGATCGAGCACATACCACCATTGGCCTTACTCCCGTCTGTTTCGGAGACAGAACCGGCCATGGGTCATATGGAGGGTGTGAAACATGAGAGAGATCAACATTTGGGTGCATTGCCAGTAAGGGATGAGGAAGCGATCAAGACTACGGACGTAGCACCACATACTCCTCAATCTATGGGTAGACAGGAGCAATATTTCTCAGGAATGTCCCATGATCAGGAAAATAAGATTTCAATTCATCGATATGACCATTCGTATGGACAACCACTCATGGAACCATGAGCTTATTGGCCATTACCATTATCATTACTATTATTTATCATTGCGTCAGCAGTGCTTCGCATCGACAAAAACTATCATACCATATACTCAATATTATCCATTATATACAATGCACCCTAATAGTCTATAGCATATCAACTATTATATACTTTCAATAACTGTTACTTTCATAGTAAGTTTCGAATAGCAAATTTTGTACAGCCTTTTAGGCCGGCTCGTAATCGCATATTGTCCTTCCTGCTGATGCTTGCAGTGATTTTTTCATTAAAACTATCTCTTAAATTCTATAGGATAGTTGTCGTTACATTTTTGCATTATTTTTCTAATTTTTTTATTTTTATTTTTTTGAATGCGTTCTAAACTTCGTGCTCTGCCAAAAGCATGTTGGGAATGCCGTCTCGAATATTGTAAATGTGTTTGCAGTTTGGGCAGATCATTTTTCCAGACTTTACATGCGTCTATATTATTAATCAAAAAGTAAAGACAGTCAAGTCAGTTTGGAAAAAAAATAAAAAAAGAATGTTGGCCAATTTGTTCCGATTAACGAGAGCGATAGCATAATGGTATATACCTCAAGGATAACGCGGTGAAGGATCTGAAGGAATTCGTCATTGTAGGCGGCATCTGCGGGCATAGTTGCCGGAAGATCGTTAATACCGAGCTGAATGCCACATGTTTTCAAAAAGAGAAAAAAAAAAAAAAAAAAAAAAAAGCTCAATTGAAATTATCCTCTTTTTTCTTTTCTTATCTACTCTTCTCCTTAATCCCGAGATTCCGAGAATAGAAAAAAAAATGCTGGTTTTCACTCCTTTAGCCTTGGATTTACCTTGAGACAAGTACTGACAAGGGCATCGTATTCCAGTTTTGTGAGCATATTCCTCAAAAAGTCTTCGTTCATTTCTGCCTCCTCCTGCTCGAGTTCAACTTCCTGAAACTCTAATGGAAAGTTATTTGCATTGCAGCCTTTGACGTGGCATTGAAGCATATTATGGGTAATAAGTCTCATGGCGTTTATGTTTTTGACAAATGTTTATATTGTGAGCAGGTGTCCGAGTAAGGAATGTAAAAGGCCAAGGCCTGAAAAGAAAAAAAGAAAAAGGTAAACAGGATATAAGCCACATGGCCCTTGCGCCAGCCTTTTTCGCAAGCAAAGCACACAGCCTTTTTATTCAACACAACCTTAGAGATGCCTCAATTCCTAATTCAGTTTGCACAGCAGCATGAGGAGGTAACAGAAAGACTACTGCCAGTCTGGCATTCAATTGACTATTATTTTTGAGATAAAGGTTTACAGCTCTGTTTTACTCATAAACAATAACCCTTTCCCTTTCACAACTTGAATATCTTTTTTTTTTTTTTTTTTTTTTTTGATTCTGTAGTTTCGTCTACCAGAATTGGAGGCGCTGGCAACCATAGAGAATGTGCAGATGACATATAATCCAAGTGACTACAGTCTAGAGGTACATATAGATATAAAAAACTGGAATTGATCTGTCATATTCAAATGTTATCTAGCTTTTCTGCAAAGTAGTTGTTGAGATCGTACTTTCCTCTCCTCTCTTTCTGACTCTGTATATGTATATTTACCCCTCGTTTTCTTTTAGTCCCCTTTCTTGATCGTTGAAATCGAGTCCGCAGAGAAAGCAACCCTGTTACTAAAGCGCGCAATCCTTATCAAGTAAGAAGCTTTATACAACTCAATTGCATGACATGACATGGTCGACCGGCAGACATCGTGGATCATAAGAATGAAGAAAATAATGAGGTTTTTAATAATAGCTTCTGTCTTCTTGCACCCATCAATATGTAGAACTATTACAGAGCTTTGGGGGAAAGGTTCATCATGGGATGATTTAATTGAAAAGGTCAAAGAACATCCTGAACGATGGGTATGTCTCTTTTCGCACCCATTATTCTTTCCGATTTTTTTCTGTTCACGGATTTGCTGTACATATCTATGAGCTTTAAAATCGAGCGTACTGAAACTAATCTTGCCTGGGTTCATACCTCTGGGTAGCCGCAATACCTGCATACAACATTCAAATTCTCCGTAGTGACATTCGGCGGTACAATTGAAATGAAAGATAAGCCTCAGATCATCAACCGATTCTCATTCACAGGATTTCTCGGCAAAATTGATCTCAAAAATCCAGAAGAAGAATTTTTGCTTATTGCAGACTATGGGATCGAGCCTGATTCGGTTGTGGCACATACTTTTTACATGGGTCGTCTTGTTGGAAATGGTCGACGTGATTTGATTGATAAATTCAATGTGAAGAAACGGAGATATATCGGCAATACTACCATGGACGCTGAGCTCTCTCTCATCATGGCCAACCAGGCATTATGTGGGTCAGGCAAGTTGGTCTACGATCCATTTGTGGGCACAGGAAGCTTTTTAATGACTTGTGCACATTTCGGAGCCATGACTGTGGGTAGTGATATCGATGGACGACAGATCCGTGGAAAGGGCAAAGCTAGTATTTACAGTAACTGTGAGCAATATAATCTGAAAGGAAGAGTCCTAGATGCTTTGGTCTTTGACGTTTGTCATGCGCCCTGGAGACGGATCAATGGAGGCATATTTGATGCCATTGTGACCGATCGTACGTTTTCATATCTCTTATCTTTACTCTGTTAATCGTCGCCCTCCTTTCTTCTTCTTCTTCTTCTTATTATTTCTGCTAACCGAGTTTTCCATTGAATTCGTTTATAAACAGCCCCATATGGCGTTCGCGCCGGTGCCAAGACGCTGGGACGTAAGGATCCTGCTAAGCAAGCCACTGAGCCCCGTATGGCTGTTGAGGAAGGCGTTCTTGCACATCTGTAAGTTTTTACCTATTTTTACTATGTTTTTTTTTTTTTTGCTTTGCCGTCTGTTGCAACATCATTTTGTTCAACTGCAACTGCTTTACTTTATATTTATGATATTATAATAGGCTTCCAGATTATGTACCCCCAACAAAACCATATGAGATGACTGAAGTAGTAGCAGATCTATTAATGTTCGCTGTTAAGAACCTTGTCCGCGGAGGCAGGCTTGTCTATTGGTTACCCACAGTTACAGAAGATTATGCAATTGATGATCTGCCGACGCATCCATGCATGGAACTCATCTCAAACAGTGAACAAGCTTTCGGACAATGGTCACGTCGTTTGATTACAATGGAAAAGGTGGCAGACTGGGATAGCAAGACAGGGTTGGGAGCGCCATCAGGAGACATGAATAAGTCGACTACTTCACCTAAACGACCTGGCCATTTCGGATTTAGGGATCGATATTTCGCCTTTAGTGCTGTTGAGAATGCAAAAAGGAAAAAGGAACTAAAGGAAGCTTATCAGAAGGGGGGGTCCGAAGGTGTAGCAGCGTACATGAAGGAGTTAGAAGAAAAAAAGAAGAATAGCCAACCATGATCTAAACAAAGTTATTACAACCAAAGCTCTATACTCTTTATGTCGCGACAATTGCCATTTTGATCCCTCCGAAGAAGGCTGTGCCCATTTAGACGTCCTTTTTGCACAAACATGCGATTCACAATCACTATCTGGATTAAACACGCGTTTGACTATCACATTTTGAGTTGCTAATGTGTGCTTCGCCCAACTATTCTTTTTATTCCTCCAACTTACGACTATTGCTTATCTGACAATACTTCATTTGTATACATGTCCACCATCATAAAAAAAAAAAAAAAAAAAAAAAGCTCGTTAGTGGTCGTCAAGAACAAACTAACAGCAAGACCATCAAAAGCATTAGAATGGCCTATGTTAATATATAGCGTACAAATTATGTCTTATTATTATTATATGCTTTAATTTTTATTTCCAGAATGTATAAAAGATAGGAACTGGAGTATTCAAAGAATGATCTTTCCCCCGTTCCGGCCTGCCTGCTAGCTAGTTCCGCATACGTGTACATGTTACCCCTGAATAAAAAAAATATATTTTTTTTCTTTTTTTCCTCCCACGGTAACTCCGTTTTTTTACTCCCACGAGGGACGATTTAAAGTTATCCACTGGAATTAGTTCTTCCTTCATTAACTTTGAAACTCAGTTCCGAATTAATCGTTTATACATCCGTACATTAAAAAAAAAAAAAAAAAAAAAAAAAAAAAAGGTGGGGAATCAAAATACTCCGTCTCTAAAGCTCCAAAAGTCATAGCCACCACAAGTAAAGATATAGCCCGTTTCATTTGGTCATGATACCTTATATTTTTTGAATACTTTCGAGTGTATTGGCAGCCAATTGGCTCGCTTGTTGCGAGTATTGTTGCAAGTCCGTCACGTAGTGAAATGCCACCAGAACAATTCAATCATCGTTTTTAGATTAAAAATATAAGGTATCATGACCAAATGAAATTGGCGATAACAATAGCATGACGATGTCGTTTTTATATTCATTGTTGATGAAAATGAATAATATATCTATAACATGGATAGTTTTCTTTGGAGGCGAATTGCCAAAAACTTTGGAGATCTCGCAAGAGCGAACATACCGAGGAAGTAAAAGCAAAAATCATAATGCAACAAGCTATATCATCATGATACACTACGTTCACTTTCACTTGCTCTGCACATCTACCAATTCTCGTCATTTTTCACTCCCTCTGTCCTTATCTTCTACTCCGATTTTATAAATAAACAAAAAAAAATCATACTGGCTACCTCTTGGTTTCTTTTATGCAAGAGGTATGTTGCCGAGTCTCCACACTGATCTAAAAATGGTTGTCATCCGAGACACACATTTATATATATATATATATATATATATATACAATCGATTGATTGCAGGCTCAAGCCCTTGTCTCTAACAGCAACAGGCACCAGGATATGGAGCTGTCGGCATTCATAAATATTCTACTAGCAGGTGTTACCCTGTACATTAAAATACTACTACCGTAGAAGCGTGATGTATTTTCCCCTTATAAATTTGTTAGTGAAACAATCATAATTTTCGTATTCTCGAGATACAAGTAAAAAAAAAGCTATTGATAGGCCTCAGAAGGCTGGATATTCTGCGCCTGTGGTGCTAGGTCACGGCCGGATATGAAGGGTGATGTTATACCAGATCAGTCTTGATGCTGAGGCCACATTCCTCCTTGTATATACTTCAGAGAGCCTTCCAATTAATTTCTAAACCATCAGAGTTATTTTTTTGTTGGGCATATCAATAGGTAATAATGGATTAAAAAAAAATATCAAGTAACAGATTATTAAAATTTTCTTCTTTCTTTATACAACTTGATCCAGAAATGACAAGAGGTGATTGTCAGAAGATTGGTGGCGACCACAAAAGGTGCTGTCATTAACAGTAACGTCGCATATTTGAAGATGATGTTTATGTAAACCTCTTTGAATATGCTTATCGGGAGGAAATGGAGAGTTTTCGGAAGGATTAACAAGTTCCCATTCGTCAAGTAAATTGACTCGCGGGTCTGAAAATTGTAGTCTCAAACTCTGAATGGATTAGAAATCCGCTTTGACAAATCGACAATTCGACAAACGAGCAAATCTGCTTTATCATTTTCCTCCAAGATTCTGAACTAAAAAAATAAATAAAATAAAGGTCTACAGAGATGTCCATTCCATATCCATACATGTTTTTTATATATATCTATTTGTATACTCTGCACATCTGCCCGTAGTTCCCGTGAAAGGGTTTATTGCGTTAGCAATGGTTACAATATGCTACATATGGTGTTATGTACCCAAGAGCGGAAAAGTGCATAAAGATATATTTGGAGGAAATATCTTTAGGACGTTGAGAAGAAATTGCCATGGAAAAGGATAGAACGGAATTTACAAAAGAGAACCTATGAGACGCGTTATTTTTATTGAACAAAAAAGGGAAAAAAATTAGGGTCAGGTTTGAAAGGAATGGTCCCTTTTCTTCTGAATCTTTAAAAACGATATACTTTAGTTGTCTTTGAAAGACGACTAACATGTGCAAATATCATTGTAATAAAGAAAAAGAAAAAAAGTAAGATGAAAGGAGGAAAAGGAAAGCGATGATCTGGTTCCAGAGGAAGAAACTTTCCCATCTTTTCTCGATTTTTACTTTTTTTTTGTCATGATCAGGTTCTTGATGACTCGGTGATTGGGTAAGGATTGAAGAAAATAAAGGGTACTCAGATGTGGAGGGGAAAGTAGGAACGGCTCAGCATAACTTGGAAAAAAAAAAAAAAAAAAAAAAGGAAAAAAAATGAGGGCATTAAAGATGCCTATTTTACTTTAGCTTTAACATCTCGTCACCCCAAGGTCACCAAGCATTGGATCGGATTACTGCGGCGATATTGGGATTGGGACATCGAGAAGTGGCGTACACCGCATGATACCGCATAATACTTCCTCCCCTTCTCCAATCGATTGAAAATAAAAAAAAATGGTTGCGGATTCGATAGTTATCCTTCCTTCTCTTTCTCCTCTCAATCCCCATTGGTACACATTTATTACTTGATGCATTTTATCCCTTTCTCACACAAGTCGTACACTGAGCAATGATGTCGTGAATGGATAAAATGGTCTGAACTCCTTTTTTTTTTTTTTTTTTTTCCTTATCTCGTGGAATAGAATGGAATGAACGGGTGTATGTTTTGTGAGTGTGTAATCAATATGTCGTTTGTTTTTGTTACAAGGGTATTTTTAACTATTCAGTACGATAGGACACAGATAGATTTGGATATTTATTTATTTATTTATTGCTATTATTCAATTGTCCCTGTTCCATCTGCTAAATAAAACTTATCCTTGGCTGAGTCAGTCTTCTCCAGAAAAAAAAAAAACACACAGACATCTTTTTAGCTATTCATTTGCAATTCAATCGAGAATCCGACTTACGGACTACGGCGGTCTTAATTTGTCTTTCCCCCTTCAACATGTACGCAATGTAACAAATATGGCCACACGGGAGATAAGGATTTCTGCACCCCGCTCAGGTAAAAAAAACCGTAAAGCAGATACAAAGAAAGATAAATACATTCAAGAGATATAAAGCAACCCTGCTTTTTTTATTTTTTTTTTATTTTATTATTTCTTTTATTTTTTATTTTTTATTTTTTATTTTTTTCTTTCTTTCTTCCCCCACCTCCTTCTAAACTGTTCTCTCTCTCCTTCTAAACTGCTCCTTTTTTCTGATGTCCTCGTTGTTTGCTGTGTCTACTTCTGTCCACGCAGCCGCTGACTCGCTTCTCTCACTTGCCACCATCCCCACCTCCACCACTTTGAATGTGAAAATGAAGGCTTCCCCACAAAAATATAAGCGCTCTTCTATTAGAAGCGTCGAGGATGCTCCACGTCCATATAAATGCCCAATCTGCCCGAAGGCCTTTCACCGCCTCGAGCATCAGACTCGACATGTTCGCACCCATACTGGTGAACGACCCCACCAATGTACTTTCCCCACTTGTCAAAAGCGCTTCTCACGTTCTGATGAGCTCACTCGACATTTGCGTATCCATATTGCAAAGCCATCCAAGAAAGAGATCCGTGAGCAGCGTGAAATGATTTCACCTTCTCCTTCACATGTCTCAATCAAACCATTTATGAGGGTTGCCCTCGCCACGGACGAGGAGAAGAACGACAACAACGATAACAATGATAACAACGACACTATCAGCACGTCATCCTCATCCCTCTCATTATCACCCTCGCCATCCCTTTCGCCTCGTTTGTTGGCGTTTTCGCTTCGCAAACAAAGATCTTCCCCTTATTCAGTTGTGGCAAAACGCAATAATTATAGTGCTTTTCAATCACCCTCGCCACCACCAGCAGTGTCTGTGAACTCTTCACCAATGTCAATGATTATGTCTGATTCTGAGTCTGATACACCAACGTCTCCCCTTTTTACGCCAGAGTCATCGCCTATGCCTTTGTCATCTTTGGAAATGCAAGGATACCATAATCAAACTCCATTTCACAATAGCAGCAACAGCAGCAGTAACAGTGGTAGTAGTAGCAACTACCACTCCCACTACCACAATAACTACAACCACAACTACAACTACGCTTCAAAAACTGAAGAGTCCTTTTCTCACTATTCTGCTTTCGACGCCTCCACATTGGCCCCTCTCCGTGGATCACAAGGACCCGTTACTCTACCTCCGTTCTCCACACTCATGAGAACCCTCTTCCGTTAAAAAGTGGAGAAGTGTTTCTTTTTTTACCTTTGCATCTTGTTATCATTACTAGTATTATTATCATCTGCACATCATTGCCTTGCTTGTATAAAAAAACCTCACTTCTGTACATATTTGATATCACCTTTGCTATTAACCCACTTTCATACTTTGGAAAAAAAAAAAAAAGAAAAAAAAACATGTAACAACATAATTTGCTTAACAAACCCAATAAAATAATTAAAAAAACAATATTTTTTATGAGAATATGGGATTGTCTTTTGCAAAGGTCAATTGTGGAAATGTTTGAAAAAAAAAAAAAAAAAAAAAAAAAAAAAAAGGCTTGTTGATATTGAAATTTTGCCACCAAGTTATGATGTGTAACCAGTGGGCTATCAGGTCGATTGATCGACAAAAATGGAAAATAAGTGTCCTCATCGTTAGCGATTACGATGGAGACATGGAAGAGATTCAAATTGTCGGCACCAGTCTCTCGGAAGTCGTTTTCTTTTTCTTCTTGATTGCTTCTTTGAGGTCGCCGATAGTGTCTTCTGGCGAGACTTCAACGGGGAATGCCGTGGATTGTCCGTCAAGGATGCAAAATAGTTTGAACATGGGATTGGTTAAAGAATGGATGTGAAGATTTATTTGCAGAAAGACGAGTAATATTTTGAAAGTGATCTGTGTTGTGCTGCACATCAACCCCATGCGCCAAATATATCATGTTTACATGTGTTGCTCTTCAACCCTATGAAATATATACATCAGTATCATGTCTTGTTTCTGTGATGTGTTGCACATCACCCAAGAGCCAAGCATATAAAACTGTATGATCCAGGGGTAAAAATCTAAGCTATAGTAAAAACCCACAAAAATGACTGCTAGTCGCAACATACTCCAGACAAGCGAGTGCTTATAAAGTATGCAAGGAAAATATATAAAAACCTTTCTAGTAGGATAATAATACCAAGGTGTCCAAAGCTGTATGTATCTTTTAAAAGTTGCTTTTGCTGATCATCAGTAGTCGTTACTCGTGGCACTTCTTGATCTTGAATCTGGTGCACATAAGGTAGAGAAGCACCAAGGCTTTCAATCTTCGCAATTAGATCTGCTGATTGCGTAATTATTGGAGAGTCAGTTGAATCTTTGGAGCGTAAGCTGCTTCTTGTTGACACGGCAGATACTCTAGCGGACTCTGACTGAGGAGGCTCTGAACCGGTCGGACTATTTTCTCGAGCCCATAATTCATCAGGAAAAGCTCTCGATAGCGCATAAGGAATAATGTTCAGCAATCCAGGTCTGTGGATGCATTGGAAATCATAAGACAAAAGGACAAAAGGGGAGAAGAAATTTCAAGAGCACACGCAAAGAGTCTTTATTTTGTCATTTTCTTTTAAAAAAAAGGATCTCTTCTAGTCCACCCATGCGATGATTTTTTCCCAACACTACAACTTGAAGGTTAAAAGAACAAGACTTTTCTTTTTCTGTTCTTAGTTCTTCCTGAGAGCAGCAGCGGAACCACGCTTGGCGAAACGCTGGTTACGGAGGAACTTGGGGTCAACACCCTTGAGGGAAGGGTGACGCTGGGTCTTTGGCTTCTTAATACCATTGCGGTGAGCCTTCTTGTCTGTAAAAGCAAAATAATAATAGAATAAAGAACGTCAGCAAAAAAGAAATAATGAACTTTTTGAAAGTATAAAATGATATGTAACCTAATCAAGGTCCAGACACATTTATTCTAGTTCAACAACAATCAACGCGTCCTGTGTATGATAACGATTAGGTGGAGAATATTTGGTAAAATATGTATAGATGTTGTTGATCAGACTGTTATCAAGGCGTATAAAATAATGGCCGCTGGGCACTGTTTTTCTTATCAAGGAAGATCTTAAAGTGGCATTGTAGACATTGCTTCCATAACAGAAAACACCGTGCGCGGCCCGGTTACTTCATTATGAAAGCAAGATCTCTGGATGATATTGAAAGACTGACTTTCCGTAATACATACGAATGTATAATGTCGAACCTCATGACATTTGAAGCCGATACAGCAATTCTTTCTTTAATTGATGTCGCCATGAAAAAGCCAAAAGAACAGCTGAAATCTTTTCATACATGAATTTTTTTTTTTTTTTTTTTGCTGTCATTCCGATGTCCTTGCAAACTGTTCAATTTTGCATCTGTCCCATTCCTTTCCTGATCAATAAGCTCTTCCTGAAAACGTATAAAGATGAAAATAAAATGAAAAACTTATTGCAACGTTATATTACGTACTCTGGTTGTGGTTGGTGTGGTTCTTGGACTTGGCCATTTTTTACTAGCTGAAAGTTGAGAATGGAAATAAGTAAGAGTAACTTTGTTAGTTTTCAAAGTTAAGATCATAATTAGAATGTAATTTTTAGGAGACTGATGAAGTCGTTCTTCTTCCCAAGTAATAATGTCGGGATCCGATTTTGAAATATTGAAGGCTTTTTTCTTTTTTCTTTTTTTTTTTAGATTTGCCATATCCCAGAACATGTTCTGCATGTGCAAGTCCAAAAGTAATGCCAATGGTGGATGTCTGAAAGAAAGTTTTCAGTAAAAAAAAAAATCAAGGTTATCCAAGCAAAGAATGATTGCTGACGTTGATAGTGAGAATGCAAAGATGTGTCAACCGATGGATAATGGATGCTTCTCTCAGTTTGATGCCTTTATCATGAATCCATCCGTCCAGATGCACTACCTCGTAAAATCGAAGAGTAAATTTAGAGGAAGAACAAATTCGTAGCACGTCCAACACATCTCTTTGAACCCCTCGCACCTGCTGGCTCTGAAAAAAAAAAAAAAAAAAAATAGTGGCTTGTGGTGCACGTGAAGCGGGTCGCGTCTCTGCAAAAAAGAAACCAGAATTCTTCTGCGTCCCACCGTTGTATTTAAGCAATATCAATCCTCCTGGATGCTGGTCACACATCCTTAGTGACATTTAGTATCTTGCTCTAGGTCTGGCATATTACATCATTCCATCATTGTAATTGGGCTAGGATATCTATCATGAAAATAGACCGGTCAACTTGGGCTGTGTATCGCTACAACGTTCACATCTCCATACACCATATACCTCATTGCTCTCCCTTTCTTAGATGTTCAGTCGACCAAACTTTTAGCCTTTGTTAGCAATGGTAAAAGTAGTATGTGTAGGACATGGAAGAAAAAGGAGAAAAAATTAGGAAAATGTCGTGCAACCGTATTTATGAGTTTGGGTAGCCGGATGGCCAGGGTTATCAGTAGATGGTGGGTACCCTTTACTAAGTCAAGCCATAAAATTGGAACGAACGATTTGGAAATGCCAACCTATACATGCACAATTACCTTCTAAAGCATCATGCAAGGGATCTTCTCAGTTCGTATGATCAACCTATATTTAGTCCTGGTTTGGTTTGATCTTAGCTGGACAGGTCGAATAACATGGCAACTTAAAGGCTACATGCTCAATCCTTTTCTCTCCCTTGCTCTACTCTTTCCTGCCCTGGCTCGCCATCAAGAAATCGCAATTCTATCTGGAGCCGGGGCAGATCTATTTATTTATTTATTTTTTTCATTTCTTTAATTTACGTGCAGTTACTAGGTTGTTACGGTATTTTGCAATAAAAGATGATTTTGATAGCCAACTTAACACCGCTCTTGATGGGGTATCGCATCCATAACATTCTCTTTAATGATTACTAGTAAAGTGGCAAAATAGCTCTATTTGAAACCAAAGGGCAAGAGGAGAACAGGGAAACTGGAAGCTTGTCTACGATTAACGAGAGTACAATAAAATTATACTTCCAGACCAAATGCACCCGCCCCTTCGGAAGCAACGGAAAGCACCTTTCCATAAATTATAACGTGTATGAGATAGAATATACAAAAAGTAAGTTGAAATGTACATATTTATCAAAATTAAACAAGACCTTACACTTGTGGTATTCATAGCATTGTCCTAAATGCATTTACTCACATAAGGCCTCCATTTACTCCATTGGTATGGAGCATAGTGCGATGATGGTGTCGCTGGTTTAGTCGTTCGCCCTTTTCAATACTGTATAGGAGCCATGTGGATTGAAGGAAAGAAAAGGTCGAAGTAGCATCGCCATGACTGGTCAAGGACGGTTGAGGATCTTGAGTTTCAGTCCCATTGATCAAAAGATAGTCGGCGAGATATAGAAGGAACTCTTTTAGAAGTACATCACCCATGGATGAAAGTTTGGAGCGGGCCATCATTCCTGTATTCAATCGTTATTATCACTAAAGTTTGCCTCTCTAGGCGGGACAACATGAGGTACTTCCATCAAAAGTTATTGTTTTTATTTGTCAATGGTCGGAAAAGACATTGAGGATCGAGCCAAGGTATACTTGACGCACTCATCTGCGGTTTCTGTAGGATTGAGGACGCTGATTTGTTAAAAACGGGTGAATATTGACGGGGTCTCGAATAAAGAGTCACCAACAATCATGTCGGGTTGATATCCGTGAGGCCATGCTTCTTACTTTCTCTTATCGTTTTCGTCCAGATGTCGGCGCAGCTTTTAGATTATAATAACGCCTCCATTGGTATATTTTTAGAGAGGGGATTTAGTCCAGGAGCAAGTGACCATAGTGGTATCGGCAACAACCGGTTTCTTGGCTTATTGAGAGTTAGGCCTGGTTGTGGTGAGTTCTGGAGGATTGCGAACTGTGGAATGGGAATTCTATCTCAGGTAAATGCCCTTTTTTTTTTTTTTTTTTTTTTTTCTATTTTTCCACTTGAATCCTTTTACTTGCCACTCCTTTTTAATTTCTCTCAGTTTGAGAGAGAACATCGCATTAGACCCTTTTTGTTCTTACAAAAATGCTATGCCTATGCCAGCTGGTTTTTTTTATTTTATTTTATTTTATTTTTTATATATATTAAATACTTTGATCAAACTTTTTTTCTCTTTCTTTCATTAGCATCTCCACTACATTATATGAACCAAAGACACTCCAAACCTTTTCGCCTCTGACTTACCAGCCATCTAGTCAATTGAGTATCTCATTGTGACAATGAAAGCTATCATTGCTTCCATCTGCCTTGTTGCAGCAGTTTGCCTTACAGCGCATGCAGTCCCACAGCAAGGTACCGTTGGTATAATAGTAGGATAGGACTAATAAAAAGAGAATGCTAACCCCTTTTTCTCCTCTCTTCTGTTCTACTGTTATGGCATTTCTATGTATACAACCCTTATCACAACACATGTTCTTAGAGGGACAAACTTATTATGCAGCTGAATTGCAGCATGAGTGGGGTCAGGGGGCCGACACAGTTAGTGAGCTGGAGTTTAGACGCATGTTCTTGCTGAAGGAATCGGGAGTGCAAGTTGCGGATGACATCTCGGTCGTCAGTGATCCAGACACAGCCGCTAATGTTGTAGCGCCCGAGTGTGACAACGCTTTTGCGCAGCTCAAAAAGTTTGCTCAGACCTTGCCTGACCAGTTGGCCAGGGATTTGGGCAGAATCCCTGGTGCTTCCATTTTAGTTGGAATATTGAGGATCGCCCTTGCTCCCATTGCTGCCATTTCTTCAGGACTCAATTCACTCACAGCAGGCGTGGTCCGTGCAATTCGCATAGTCATTGGTTCGATTAAGCTTGCAATCAGGCCTTTCGAGTGGATTCCAGGTATCAGGGGTATTGTTAAAAGGGTGAGAGACCTTCTTACAAACCTCGAGAAGCTTATTGATGCAGTCACTGGATGTAAAAGGTCCATGTCCCAGACTGAAAACGAGACTGAAGCGGTGGGTTCACAGTGTTATATCCTCGCAGATGTGTATCGCGGATTGATCAAGGACGCTCTTACGAACATGCCCGCTCCCTCTGCTTCCGCCTCCGATGACCAGAAGCGTGTTGCAGCTGGATCTGCTATGCTGTTGGACTTCATGGACAAGTACTCCATCGCTACCTCAAACGATGCCTTGTTGTCATCACGTCCCATCTTCTCTGCTGACTTGTTGGATCAGTATCGTCAGGAGCTCATCAACTTGGGTGAGACTGATGAAGTGAAGGAATTTGCACGCATCAACTTGGCACTTACTATCTCCATGAGTAATGCTCTCGAGGCATGCCTCAAGCTTTCAGCTGATCCCACTGCAGCTATGGAGGCTTGGGATGAAGACTTTGAGACATCCCATGAGGTTGAGGATGAGGTTGTGAATGAAGTTGTGAATGGCGAGCACCAGGAGTTGTAATAGTTGAATCTTAATAGCTTTCGGATAATAAAAAGATATCTTCATATCATCCTATCATTCCAGCCTGCTATCAAAATGATATTTGATACCTGCTAAATCATAAAAGTTGAAGAGACTTAGTGCGGAGTATCCTATGTCTTGGGGTTTTTAAGATGGTAATCAATCGCGATAGAATTAGAGCGACTCACTTCTATTGACTTTCAATGAAGAACGGAATAGCTATTTGGAGGCTATTTGATAAAATATTCAGCACTTCTTTTTCTGAACCCACTTTCCCTCCTCTTTTGCCCTGATGCACACTTTACAAACAATCTTTTCCCATAATACGACAAAACCACACATGGATACCTGGCTCATTATAGGAAATGCCTTTCTGGACATGGTTTTTTTTTTTTTTTTTTTTTTTTTTTTAAAAAAAAATGCGTTCGACTATCTGTTGGCTTGCCATCAGCCAGTGACACTTTACTACATCTTCCTCAAGAGAAGAGGGGCTACATGCCGAAAGAGTAACGCCATGCAAGATCACTCTCTTCAGTTGGTGATGGTCCTGAAGATCCCTTTTTTTTCTGTCCCTAATTGCACTCACATCACGGTAGCGCTGTACGGCCACATGTCGCGTTGTGATCAGCACAACAAAGAGTGGCTCGTGCTCAAGTAAAGTTGGTTGGTTATATATATTGATAGCTGCTAGTGATAATGCTATGACCGATACTTGAGTACGAGATAAAAAAGACACCTTGAATTGACGGCCCTAAGAGATTGGTTTGTTAACCGTCACTCAATAAGATGCATAATCAAAATTAGGCATTTTACCTATATGATCAGCTCCCGTAGTTGTTCGTTTGAATATCATTGTTTCTTGTATGGTTGTATAAGGTCTCCATGCCAAGTCCACCACACTTGCCCTGAGCAGTATCGGATGTATATTCTCCATTCGAGTATGTTCTCGTCCAAGTTATTATTCATAACAGTGCCACTTGTCAGATGCACAAGTCTATAGAGATCAGCTCGGACAGGTCTATGGAAAAGAGAACAAACAAAGTGTTTGTATATCGATATTTGTCCCACTTACTTCTCGAGGCTCAAAGCCTGCTCTTATTGGGGGCGAAAAAAACAATATCAAGTAGTGGAGCAAAGATGCCGTCGGATGTTCTATGAACTGCTATTGTGTAAATCCGTTTCTTTCTTTCTTTTTTTCTTTGCAAAAAAAAAAAAAAAAAAAAAAAAAAGATAGAAGAGGACTGACCCAATGTTCCAATAAGGCAGAAAGGATGGGGTGGGAGTATGGATAGCCAAGGTAGGAGGTAAACAGATTAGACATAATAGAAAGATAGAGTAGACAATAGAGACATGCACTCCCATCTACAAAAGGAAAGGATATGTAGGATTCATGGGTTGAAATGGCTCATCGATCTCTTCAGGTGTAGCAGTGCATCTAATAAAGCTGTTAGGCTTCTTCAAGGTTACCTTACTCAATGCATACACCAAAAGAGATATATGGCATGAAGCTCACTAACCCGGCATCAGGTTGTACCTCGTACTAGCTTCTGTCCTAAGCAATAAGGAAGTTCGACTCTTCAACCGAACAGAGCGTATATGTGGAGCAGGAGCCATCAAGTTTCACTCACACTCGCATATTCTCTTTGTTTCTTTCATAGAAGCAGTACGCAAGCCATCCCTTTGTTTTTGGACCATTGCTGCTGCTATACCCCCCTGATGGCTAAATGCTGCCGCATCTGGTTCTCTGGTCGTCGAATGAGTGCCATCGCATGCCCTTGTGTCCTTTGTGAGCTGCAGAGGCGTTTTCATTTCTCTTTTCATTTTATTTTATTTTTTTTTATTTTTTTTTTTTTTACAAATAAAGAGTTACGTATATAATCTTGGAGCCACTTCACATACCACTGCTACCATCTTTCATGGACACAATCCATACATACTATGAAGTATCCTTGACCAGGCCTCCCTGGCAGCTCTCTGAGCTCTTAACCAGGGCTAGGAGTGAAGGGAATCGAGTATTCCAAAACTTTTTTTTTTTTTCATTTGTCTGTACAAGCCTATTAGAAAAAGCTGTTTGGTGGCAAAAAGCAAAAATAAAATAAAATAAAATAAAATAAAATAAATAAATAAAAGAAAACAAAAGTGAGACACCACTCAGTGACATTCATATCCCTTACAAGGATGCTAAAAGGCACATGCAAAATGTTGACAGCGAATGTCAGCACTTATCGGATGTTCATCCGTCTGTGATGTGACCTAATACTTTCGAAGACTGATGATTCTTCTCATCCATCACCACTCAGCATTTAGAGATAAGGGGTTCTCCTTCTTCCTTCTTTTTCTGTCAAGAGTATGAAGCGTATCAAGGCTTGGGACTCACAAACCTACTGCACTTTTAAGGGGCCATATAATTGGCAATACTGAATCTGCATGATGAAGTGGTGGAACAAGCGGAAAGATTCATTAAAAAAGGAACAAGGTGAGAGAGAGCTATAGCTCAAGCACATTAGTCATATAACTATTCATATGCACTCTCTTTACTACCAATATTCTCAAGTAAATTCTATTCCTAAGTAGATGGGTCTATTAGGCACTGCCGGAAGCTTGTCTCTCTATTTCCTGGCCATCCCACTCAGCAAAGGAGGAGCGCCATGTGGACTTCTTTTTATCTTTTTCTTTTTCATTTTTCATTTTATTTTATTTTATTTTATTTTATTTTATTGTGTTTTATTTTATTTTATTTTATTGTATTTTATTTTGTTATTCTATTTTGTTTATTTTATTTTGTTGTTTTCAGTGTCCTCCTTCTCCTTGTCGTTTATGCTTTGTGTTCGGTGAACGTCTTTTTCTGATGATTCAGGACAGTGATATCATTGTTGGCACTACAATAAATATACTATATTATTTTACTTTCTTATCTTTTTATATTATTGTATTCATTATATTACTGTATTATTATATTCATTATAATGCCGTATACTGTATTTTTATAATACTATATTGTATATATTACCATATCGCTCACTTGACAAACCCTGACAAGTGCTTCGCTGCAGACAGATATAAACACGTCTCCTTGATTTGCCACAATTCTGTTCCTTTTCTTTTCTTTTTTTTCTTCTTCATCCAAACTCGGTTGTTCTGCATACAAACTCGATTGTTCTTTATCCAAACTCGGTTCTTCTTTAGCTAGCCTTGTTTATTTTTTCAAAGGTGCTTCTTCTTTACTCAAAATTGCTTCTTCTTTACCCAAAGTCACTCCCAACCATCTTTTTCATCATCGTTTAACCAACTATCGAAGCCATAGAACTTCTTGATTCCATCCTAATGTCGCTTAAGGATCTGTACCCAGTCGTCGAAATGGGACACCTGGCTCGATGGAAAGAAACCGGATCTTATGAAGATTTGTATGTTGGTGCTTTCATGACAGTGCCATCAGATACAACATGAATCTCACTTTGCTCAACAGCTTCCGGTGACCATTTTATATAGCAAACTAACCTATACTCTCCTAATATGTGCTAAACTTATTCATAGGATGTGCTACTCCGCTGAGCTACTTAGTACTCCCAATGACGCCATCCCGCACCCGATCGCGACAGTCATCCAGCTCGTATTAGCTGAGGCTGTTGCTGATACCCTTCCAGTTGATAATGCTGCTGCTTTCCTCCGCCAGCTTGCCACCAAACCTTCAGAATCAAGCTCAGGCGACGTGGCTAGCATCATTGTTGACTTTATTTGGTTCAAGGAAGCTGAGCTTGATAATTATACAGATAACCCAGAGGTTCAAGCAAAGAAACCTGAAAGATTCGTTCGCGTTGCCAAAGCGTTAATTGTAAGTGGCAAGGCTTTATTGCTTACGCGTCTCTAACAGATCTAAATGGCGTATATACTATATACCATGTGGCAGAATATAAAGTACTTCAAATATACCCTTATACAGATCCTCCTCATATTCTCTATTTGTTTCTATTTGGTTGTATTTAGGCCCAAAATTTCATCCCAGAGCGCCTCATGAAGGAGCGCTGGGAGCTGTCATTCCTGGAAAAAACAGGCGTCATCTCAAACATTGAAGACTCCAAGAAGCGTGTCATCCGCGCTAGCACGAACCAACTGTAAGTCACTGCCGCTATGTCGGCACCACAATATAGTATCATCCTAATTCTGTACGAGTATTAAATTGTGAAATGCCAGTCGGTGGGATGACTTGGCTTGAAGGGATATATGGTGTATAGCTTCTCAAGCTGCAGACCCCTTGGCCTCTTTGCCTATGTAGCAACTCTTACAGCACAAGACAAAAGTATCTCACGCCATACACTCGTTTTTCTTCTCAACATTACTAATCTGTTGGGATCTTCTGTTTGGGCCCTTCATGGCTTTAGATACAAGCAGCACAAGTTCAATCTCCTAAGAGAAGAGTCCGAGGGTTACTCGAAATTAATCACGGAGCTCGCAAGTGGTACAGCTGACAATGACAATGTCGGAAAGGTCGCTTCAAAGGCCCAGTCTGTTTTTGCCAACGTGCTCATTCTCATTGGTAAGTAAACAAAGAAAAGAAAGGAAAAAAAAAAAAAAAAAAGGCTATTAGCATTGTTTAAATGCTTCAACTGAGGGGAAGTGAGGCTTGAGTGCTAATTGTATCATGTCATCTTAGGCTATTTCGATCTTGACCCAATTCGGGTCCTTTCTATCGTTCTGGACGTCTTTTCTGCAAATATTATCACGCATTATCACTTCTTTATCGAGTTTTTGTTGATATCACCATGGTCTTCCCAAACAATGGGCAATCTGCCTGCGTTCAAAAACAAGGCCTGTGCTCAGGTTCTTGGCTTTATGTTTCAGGATTCGCAGGTGAGTGAACGTGTCAGAGAACAAGATTATTATGTCAGCCATGCATAAATTACTCTAACGTCTTCTTCCTGATTGTTGAACCTTAACCTTAATATCAATTCAATTGATTTATGTAGCGTCCTGAAAACCGCTATAAATCGCTAGTCGAACTGTACACAGTATCAGCCTTATTGATCAAGCACTCCATCATAAGTTTGGATGATCTTTATCCCCATGTAAATTAAACATTTGCACTTGGGTTTCAATAGTGTTTGCTTCATTATTGCTGTTATCGTTATTAACCTCTGCTAATGCTTAATACCTTTATTCTATGGTTTGTAGCTCTCCCCAACTGACAATGAGATAGCTCAAGAGTACACAAGATTCGTAGAAGCTATGAAGTCCAAAGCACAAGAGTATAAAAGCAGTCCACTTGCAGTAAGTCCCATGAACTGAACCATGCTAATTGTAATATGACACTGGTGAAGCACACAAACATCTAACTACAATGCTTTGCCTGTGTTATAGATGGCTGGCGCATTAGAGAACGACACAGTAACCTCTAGAGACAAGGGCGGCAAAGCGGTAGAGGAGCCAGTGCCAGAAGCCATCCCCGGGCTGCCGCTTCCTAACCAAAAAGTTGGAGTCCTAAATGCACTTTTATCTCTAGGAGATCTGGATCACGCAATGTTTATTCTTGCAAGGCTTCCTAAACTTACAGCTTCACACCCAGAATCGGCTGATTTGGTCTGCCGCTTGATCAACGAGATGATCAGCCCCGTATACTCACCCTTATCGCCAAGCGCGAGCCATCCGCAGCTAGCAAAGCGCAAAGACTTTGCCTACCGCTATCCTACTGCCTCAGAAGGAAAAGAGGTTAAAGCTGTACGTATCTTAGACCCATGGCTTCCACTCCCTACAGAGACCGAACGCTACGAATATTTTTATCAGGAATGGGGAGATGACCTTGTGCTGTGCCAGACAGTGCAGGATATCGTGCACTATGTATACCCAGTATTGTCTGTTGTTGGTGCTCGAATCCACCGAGACCTGAAGCTTGTGACCAAACTATGCCGTATTGGAGCTGGGACCCTTGATAGGATTCGCCGCGAAGTTGCTATGCTTGATGGACAGGATGATGCTCGATTGGCCATGCTCAACTCAGAGAAAGAAATCATTGAAGGCATTTGGGTCGACATGACAAGATCTCTATTTTTACCAACAGTATCTCTTGCATTCTCCAATCCTGGTACGTACCGTAGCCATAAACCATTCTTAAGGCTAACCAAGGACGGGTTTACCTTTAGAGTAATGGCAACTACACTGTACAACGCGAACACTACATTATATCCAAGGCTAACCTCCTAACCCTCCTCTTTTTTCTACTCTGTAACCCCAAGGCATTGTCCATGAAGTGTGGCAAGTGATAAAAGGACTAAACTATCAGACACGGTTTGCCCTCTATGGAGAATGGAAATCAGAGGCAGCCAAGCAATATCCAGAGCTTCTTGTGACAACAGCCTCAGCCGAGAAAGATGCCAAGGATATGATGCGGAGGATCAATAAGGAAAATGTGAAAGAGTATGGGCGCATGTTTGCTAAGTATGCCCATTCGAATCCGCTGGTTGTATTTGCTGCAGCGATCAAGCAACTAGAAGGTGGTTACGACAACATGGCCCAGCCTCTCGTGGATGCCTGCAAATATTTAACCGATTTTGGGCATGATGTTCTCAGCTACTCATTACTCGAATCATTATCGAAGCAAACGCGCAGCAAGGCCCAGGAGGATGGAACGTCCATCGCAAAATGGATGAACAGTAAGTTTTTTTTTTTTTTTTTTTTTTCCTTTGTTTGGGGACCCTGATGCTAGATTTCACTCCACCCAAGTTTCTCAACTATTCTTGTAATTGTTTTTTTATATCCAATTTTAGCATTGGCTTTGTTCTGCGGAAAGCTGTATCGAAAATACCCCTCAGGTGAACTGATGGGTATCCTACAATATGTTGTTAATCAGCTGCGACAACGCAACACTTATGATCTGGTGGTGCTGCGAGAGCTTTTGTCAAAGATGGGTGGAGTTGAGGATTTGAGTAACTTGACTAGGGAACAGCTTCTAGCGATGGCGGGTGGTGAATTGTTGCGGGATGAAGTACTTGCAGCAAGCGTTACTGGGGCTGTCATAAAAAAGGATGTAAGAAGCTGCAGCCGACTACAAAAGACTATGGCGCATGACAACATTGCTGCTCAACTTGTTGTTCTGCTTGCTCAACACAGACAGGAATGTATATTTGGATCCGTCGAAATCCCCCACTTGAAAGTCCTGAGCAACATTTTCGATCAGGCACATTCTACTCTTCTCCAGTTCCTAGACTTTTTGTCGTCTAGGCACCAAGAAGGATACACAATATTGCTCCCCAGTCTCACCGACCTTTGTGAGACTTATAAGATCACCCCTGCGGTCGCCATGTATATCGTACGGCCCAAGTTACAGGAATTAATACACCTGGAGCAAACAACAGAAATAGTAGTGCAGCCCGGCTCCAATCCTGCCCCTGACTCGGGTGATGTCGATGTCATAGAAGCAGGTGAAAATAAATCAAACGAAACAACTATCGCTAACAAAGAGCCTTGGCTACCGTGCTTAAGGTCTGTCGCTTTGGAGGTCAAATCCACCCTCCCGCCTAAAGCCTGGCGCTCTATGAAGCCACATTTCTACATTACCTTCTGGCAGTTGACTATGTATGACATCTATGTCCCCGTCCGAGAATATTACTCTGAAATAAATAGACTGAAACAGTCTATCCGCGCCATGGATAATGATAAAGCAACATATAACTCTAGTATGCAGGCCAAGAATAACAGGGATCGAGACCGTTTGGTAAACAGAGCATTCAACTTGCAACTGGAGATGGAGCGCCATTTGGCCCATCACAAGACCGTCATGGAGCGTTTGAAGCGCGAGAAGAACCACTGGTTTAAAGGATGTAAGGAAGGCCTTACATTACACTAATTTAATCAAACTTTGTTTTTTTATGTTGATGCTGAGTTACTTGTCTTTCTCACTTTTTTTTTTTTTCTTCTCCCTTCTCTGTAACAGTGGATGCCAGCCGTGAAGAGATCATCGGCCAAGTCATACAGCACTGTATCTATCCAAGGGCCGTCATGTCGGGCATGGATGCTATTTTTTGCTCAGCATTTATACAACTGATGCACTCATTAGGAACCATTAACTTCTCGACATTGACATTATTCGATAAGGTGTGTTTATATTCAGGTTTTTATTTTTACATCTTCCTCTACAAGTCCAGTACTTGAATATGCTAATGTCTGGAGCTCTATTCTATGTGTTCTAAATAGTTGTTTCTGGAGGTGGATCGTATACTCTTCCTCTCTTCTGAATCTGAAGCCAAGTCATACGGCTTATTCCTGTCAAGTGTTTTAAGCAACCTAGCTCGTTGGCATAAAAGCAGTGCATTGTATGCTGCAGAAGGTCATGGCGATAACCTGCCTGGGTTCCAAGTGAAATGGGGGTCACACAATATCAATGACGTAATCCATGAGGAAGATCTACTGGACTTTGAAATGTTCCGACATGGCCTCTTTAAATGGCATGTCAGACTATTTCAGGTGAGTCAACAATTGACTATCAGCTGTATGACTGATGTTTAAAGCTATTTGTAACCAAGTTCCCTATACTCATTGCTTAAATCCTAATTCGCTATAGGCCTTTCAATCCGCTGTTGAGACAAAAGAATACATGCCTATGAAGAATACGATCATGATGCTTCGAGAGCTTGCTCCGCGTTATCCAGAGCTGATGGTGCTCGGCACCCGCCTCACGTCAACCTTTAAGTCTATTGCCGAAAGCGAGGAGAGAGCTGACCTGAAGCTTATGGCGGCTTCCTACTTGGGGGTCCTGAAAAAGGGGCAAAGTTCTGGAGCCTGGCTGCCCACTTGCCAGTTCCATCTGGTCCAGCCGAAGGAGAGGACCGGCGCCCAGCCCAGGACTAGCGAGCCATCTGCTGCTGGGATGCCCAAGGCTGGACCAAGTAAACAGCCACTCGCCAAGGCCAGCACAGCCGCAGTGGAAAGAAGGTATGAGGCAGATGCACCAAAGTACCAATGTTACCAAAGTAATATGAGGACTTTATTAACTTGAAACTTGCCACATGCTTTTTTATTTTTTATTTTTCTATTTAAAAGTAGAATTAGTGCAATTAATACAAATACAAATAGAAATAGAAACACCAACGTCGACGGCAGCAAAGGATCCCTGGCACCAAGTGCTGAAAGGGCCTCTCGGACGGGTGGCGATGCGCTATCCTCCAGTGAACGAAGGACTGCTGTGCCCTTGCCCCCACGGCCAGCAGGCCCTCGACACGGAGGGAGCGCCTCCCTGGCGTCCAGCAGGGATGGCCCTAGAGGCGGTCCTGGTCGCTTGCAGTCAGATCCCCGTGACTCTCGCGACCAACGAGAAACCCGTGGCCGCTATGATCCTCGCGGCTGGCGGGAACCTCGTGACCGCCATGATCCTCGAGGCCGACGAGAAGCTGACCCAAGGGGCTCTTCTCGTCGTCAGGATCCCACTCGAGGATGTAAGTTGCTTTTTGATAAGATGAGCAACATGTTTGAGTCTTGGTTTTACCCGTGACTATGAGCTAATCTAAGTATATGTATCTTTCCTTACTTTGCCAACATAGCCGAAAGCTATAGGCCCTCCAGAGACAGGCTCGACCGCAAGCACGGTCGAGACACCAGCCTGGAGAGGGACAGGGACCCAAAGCGTCGACGCTGAAGGAAAATAAAATAATAATAATAACTTTCTCTTGCACATTACGATTTTCTGCTGTCAAAATTGTCAATTTTGTTGTGTGCGTTCAGCTTTGTAATGAGGGGAAAGTCACAAGTTGATTGCAGATAGTTCTGCTTTGTATATTCCAGTTAGCTTCCCCTCTTTTGGCCTGTTTAGGGTCGCGCGGTTCTGTAAAGCATCCTACCATTAGAAGATTGTGAAACATTTTTCCAGACTCGATGAGTGCTTCAATATTAGAGCGCCCCCGTCCCTTTTTTCGCCCTTGTGCTTGCCTACGACTCCTTTACTCTTGGAAAGGACAGTCATTTCATTGCGATTGCTACACCAATGTTACTATGACACGGATTTGTTATAATAACCTTCCCAAAGCTTTGCTTGTATCCTTGAGGCTTCTTGGCGTGTATGAGCTCCAATGAAATCTGTTCGGGCTTTGAGCCCATGGAGACACGGAAAACTTCAACTTGCCAGTGCTCGCTCTGTCAAAGTCCCAGTGATCTGTTCATGTATGAGGATAAAAAAAATATATAAAGGCCGGTGACGTCTTTAATGCTCTTTTCTCTTATGTTGCCCATGGAGGACATTTGGTGAGCGAGCAAATGCGATGCGTAGGACTGGATAGCCATTTTTGAGATGCTCAAAGTTGTCGATCATGATTTTTGCTAAGCTTGATGAAGGCAATGATTTTCACCAGTCCACTAAAGCCATTTTCATTTTTTCTTTTTCTTTTTTTTTTTTTTTTTACCAGAACTTGATTGGTTCGGTGCACCAGTGATGGTATGTGCCCTAATACAAGAAAACCTTGACACACAACCGGGCACCAAACCAACAACCGTTGAGTGCGATGGTTTAGAAGCCACTAGTTGAGAGAATGTGCGCTGTGACGTTAGAATAATCGATGGTTGCGTTTGTTCTCTTATACATAAATAACCATCCGGTTTTATTTGACCACGAGCCACTCTTTGTTGTGCTGATCACAACGCGACATGTGGCCGTACAGCGCTACCGTGATGTGAGTGCAATTAGGGACAGAAAAAAAAGGGATCTTCAGGACCATCACCAACTGAAGAGAGTGATCTTGCATGGCGTTACTCTTTTGGCATGCAGCCCCTCTTCTCTTGAGGAAGATGTAGCAAAGTGTCACTGGCTGATGGCAAGTCAATAGACAGTCGGACTGTTATTATTATCATTACCATTAAGCAAAAGTCTTTACTCAGTAAAGGCATCCCTACAATGAGCTGAGTGCCCATATCCGGTATTTGCACGCATAGCCGATTGAGTGCAAAAATATATACAAGAGAAAGAAAAAGAGAAGAGTGCTGAGTTTCCATGAAAAATATTTCACTACCCTTACTGAAGGCCAACAGGAGGAGTCATTTTAAAGGCCCAAGGCCAATAGGCTATTCCGCACTAGTTCTTTTTAACCTTCATATTATATTGATAGAGCGGCATTATGATGAAAGCAGAAATCAAATATCATCTAGAAAATATGTAAAACTATTAGGGGATATCATTTTTATTCTCTGTAGACCATTACGGCCCAATAAGGAGGATAACTATTACCACTATTGGGCCCGCTCGACATTCTCAACTTCATTCTCAACTCCATTCTCCCACTCGTGAAATGCGTCAAGCTCTTTACTCAAAGACTCCATAGCTGCAGTGGGATCAGCCGAAACCTTGAGGCATGCCTCAAGAGCATTACTCATGGAGATAGTAAGTGCCAAGTTGATGCGTGCAAATTCCTTCACTTCATCAGTCTCACCCAAGTTGATGAGCTCCTGACGATACTGATCCAACAAGTCAGCAGAGAAGATGGGACGTGATGACAACAAGGCATCGTTTGAGGTAGCGATGGAGTACTTGTCCATGAAGTCCAACAGCATAGCAGATCCAGCTGCAACACGCTTCTGGTCATCGGAGGCGGAAGCAGAGGGAGCGGGCATGTTCGTAAGAGCGTCCTTGATCAATCCGCGATACACATCTGCGAGGATATAACACTGTGAACCCACCGCTTCAGTCTCGTTTTCAGTCTGGGACATGGACCTTTTACATCCAGTGACTGCATCAATAAGCTTCTCGAGGTTTGTAAGAAGGTCTCTCACCCTTTTAACAATACCCCTGATACCTGGAATCCACTCGAAAGGCCTGATTGCAAGCTTAATCGAACCAATGACTATGCGAATTGCACGGACCACGCCTGCTGTGAGTGAATTGAGTCCTGAAGAAATGGCAGCAATGGGAGCAAGGGCGATCCTCAATATTCCAACTAAAATGGAAGCACCAGGGATTCTGCCCAAATCCCTGGCCAACTGGTCAGGCAAGGTCTGAGCAAACTTTTTGAGCTGCGCAAAAGCGTTGTCACACTCGGGCGCTACAACATTAGCGGCTGTGTCTGGATCACTGACGACCGAGATGTCATCCGCAACTTGCACTCCCGATTCCTTCAGCAAGAACATGCGTCTAAACTCCAGCTCACTAACTGTGTCGGCCCCCTGACCCCACTCATGCTGCAATTCAGCTGCATAATAAGTTTGTCCCTCTAAGAACATGTGTTGTGATAAGGGTTGTATACATAGAAATGCCATAACAGTAGAACAGAAGAGAGGAGAAAAAGGGGTTAGCATTCTCTTTTTATTAGTCCTATCCTACTATTATACCAACGGTACCTTGCTGTGGGACTGCATGCGCTGTAAGGCAAACTGCTGCAACAAGGCAGATGGAAGCAATGATAGCTTTCATTGTCACAATGAGATACTCAATTGACTAGATGGCTGGTAAGTCAGAGGCGAAAAGGTTTGGAGTGTCTTTGGTTCATATAATGTAGTGGAGATGCTAATGAAAGAAAGAGAAAAAAAGTTTGATCAAAGTATTTAATATATATATATAAAAAAAAAAAAAAAAAAAACAGCTGGCATAGGCTTAGCATTTTTGTAAGAACAAAAAGGGTCTAATGCGATGTTCTCTATCAAACTGAGGAGAGCATATTATAGAAATTAAAAAGGAGTGGCAAGTAAAAAGATTCAAGTGGAAAAATAGAAAAAAAAAAAAAAGGACATTCACCTGAGATAGAATTCCCATTCCACAGTTCGCAATCCTCCAGAACTCACCACAACCAGGCCTAACTCTCAATAAGCCAAGAAACTGGTTGGTGTCGATGCCACCACGATTGTTCGCCGCGAGACTAGACGACCCTCCCCAAATAATACACGAATAGAAGCGCTATTCTAGTCAGTCCAAAAACTACAAGGAAATAGGAAGGATGCCCTCATGGAATCAACCCGACATGATTGTTGGTGACTCTTTATTCGAGACCCCGTCAATATTCACCCGTTTTTAACAAATCAGCGTCCTCAATCCTATAGAAACCGCAGATGAGTGCGTCAAGCATACCTTGGCTCGATCCTCAATGTCTTTTCCGACTATTGACAAATAAAAACAATAGCTTTTGATGGAAGTGCCTCATGTTGTCCCGCCTAAAGAGGCAAACTTTGGCGATAATAACGAGTGAATACAGTAGTGGTGCAGTATTGCCAATTATATGGCCCCTTAAAAGTGCAGTAGGTTTGTGAGTCCCAAGCCTTGATACGCTTCATACTCTTGACAGAAAAAGAAGGAAGAAGGAGAACCCCTTATCTCTAAATGCTGAGTGGTGATGGATGAGAAGAATCATCAGTCTTCGAAAGTATTAGGTCACATCACAGACGGATGAACATCCGATAAGTGCTGACATTCGCTGTCAACATTTTGCATGTGCCTTTTAGCATCCTTGTAAGGGATATGAATGTCACTGAGTGGTGTCTCACTTTTGTTTTCTTTTATTTATTTATTTTATTTTATTTTATTTTATTTTATTTTTGCTTTTTTGCCACCAAACAGCTTTTTCTAATAGGCTTGTACAGACAAATGAAAAAAAAAAAAAGTTTTGGAATACTCGATTCCCTTCACTCCTAGCCCTGGTTAAGAGCTCAGAGAGCTGCCAGGGAGGCCTGGTCAAGGATACTTCATAGTATGTATGGATTGTGTCCATGAAAGATGGTAGCAGTGGTATGTGAAGTGGCTCCAAGATTATATACGTAACTCTTTATTTGTAAAAAAAAAAAAAATAAAAAAAAAATAAAATAAAATGAAAAGAGAAATGAAAACGCCTCTGCAGCTCACAAAGGACACAAGGGCATGCGATGGCACTCATTCGACGACCAGAGAACCAGATGCGGCAGCATTTAGCCATCAGGGGGGTATAGCAGCAGCAATGGTCCAAAAACAAAGGGATGGCTTGCGTACTGCTTCTATGAAAGAAACAAAGAGAATATGCGAGTGTGAGTGAAACTTGATGGCTCCTGCTCCACATATACGCTCTGTTCGGTTGAAGAGTCGAACTTCCTTATTGCTTAGGACAGAAGCTAGTACGAGGTACAACCTGATGCCGGGTTAGTGAGCTTCATGCCATATATCTCTTTTGGTGTATGCATTGAGTAAGGTAACCTTGAAGAAGCCTAACAGCTTTATTAGATGCACTGCTACACCTGAAGAGATCGATGAGCCATTTCAACCCATGAATCCTACATATCCTTTCCTTTTGTAGATGGGAGTGCATGTCTCTATTGTCTACTCTATCTTTCTATTATGTCTAATCTGTTTACCTCCTACCTTGGCTATCCATACTCCCACCCCATCCTTTCTGCCTTATTGGAACATTGGGTCAGTCCTCTTCTATCTTTTTTTTTTTTTTTTTTTTTTTTTTTTGCAAAGAAAAAAAGAAAGAAAGAAACGGATTTACACAATAGCAGTTCATAGAACATCCGACGGCATCTTTGCTCCACTACTTGATATTGTTTTTTTCGCCCCCAATAAGAGCAGGCTTTGAGCCTCGAGAAGTAAGTGGGACAAATATCGATATACAAACACTTTGTTTGTTCTCTTTTCCATAGACCTGTCCGAGCTGATCTCTATAGACTTGTGCATCTGACAAGTGGCACTGTTAT